AATCTGGAGGGCAGTAGCTGCAAAAGTGAGGGAGTAATGGGGTATGATATTCTGAAATGACATACCAAACACAGACATGGGATGAGAGTGTATCACATCCCAGACACCTAGATATATTCACAGAGGATGATTTAAATGCAATGCAGGAGAGAGCGCACAGAAATCAGGATTTCTGATGAAGATACAAGATATGTGTGGAAAGTGGAAGTTCTGAGAAAACACAACATGCATAAGTTCATGTGCAGACATTATATCAACAGGCTATTTGCTGCATCACAATTGAGTACTATTGGGGTGCTCAGATCGGAATTTGCAAGCTTATCGGTGATGAGATGCATATGGGGCACCATATGTCATTATTTCATGACATACAGTATCCTGACACAGCATATGCTCCGATTAGAATGCAAAAACATGGAATAGAACGGGGTATAACATAGCTATCCAACGCAGAAAAGACCTTGAAGAACGGTTGAGAATCAGTGGAGATGTGCAAGGTGAGCCAGAAGTGTGGTTTATGCTGAATGTACTCTGACCTCGCTTTTCACTGCAACCACACTTCTGGCTCACCTTGCACATCTCCACTGATTCTCAACCGTTCTTCAAGGTCTTTTCTGCGTTGGATAGCTATGTTATACCCCGTTCTATTCCATGTTTTTGCATTCTAATCGGAGCATATGCTGTGTCAGGATACTGTATGTCATGAAATAATGACATATGGTGCCCCATATGCATCTCATCACCGATAAGCTTGCAAATTCCGATCTGAGCACCCCAATAGTACTCAATTGTGATGCAGCAAATAGCCTGTTGATATAATGTCTGCACATGAACTTATGCATGTTGTGTTTTCTCAGAACTTCCACTTTCCACACATATCTTGTATCTTCATCAGAAATCCTGATTTCTGTGCGCTCTCTCCTGCATTGCATTTAAATCATCCTCTGTGAATATATCTAGGTGTCTGGGATGTGATACACTCTCATCCCATGTCTGTGTTTGGTATGTCATTTCAGAATATCATACCCCATTACTCCCTCACTTTTGCAGCTACTGCCCTCCAGATTTGCACACCCACAGCTCTTGCATGCTACTACCTGATCCAGCAAACAGCTTGGTCAATTTCCATCAACACATGCAGCTGTGAAGGGTGACTTCCTAGGGAGAGGGTGTTTAGTACAGGCATACTAACTCATCTAATATTACCAATATCAGTGATAAAAAACTCGGTGTCAAAGGCTGGAGGCGAACAAAGACTCAGTGATGGATTGAGGCAGTCAAAAAGTTGGTAATGAGGACCGGTAACAGGCACCAGCAATCAAAAACTCGGCAATGAAAGCAGTAATACACACAGATGTCCAAAAACTCGGTAATAGATACAGGCAGTCTGGTAATGAAGGCTGACAATATACACAGGCAATCAAAAAGTTGGAGGTACACAGGTGGTCAAAAACTCGGAGATACACAGGTGATCAAAAACTCGGAGATCGACCCCCGGGGGGAGTCAATTACCGGCCCGGAGGTGACCCCCGGGGGGAGTCAATTGCCGATTGCGGAGATCGGCTTGAGCCTTGCACTTTCTATCATGGGTTTCTTGCTCTCTCTTTGCGCATTGTGTGAATAAAAATGGAACTAATGGGCACCCATTCTGTCTGTTTCGGTTGCACAGCTGGTGCAGTTTCCTGTCCTTTCAGAGTACAGTTCCTGTGTCTCAGTGATATGATAAGCTGAAGAATTGCTCTGGCATGGGTGCACCTATACATGCAAAGAAACACAGGCATGCAATAGAGTATGCCAGTTCCCAGATGTGCTAATGGGAGCTGTGGAATGCTGGTGCATTCATATTAAGGGTGGGATATTAATAAGCTCATATGAGGGGTGAGACGCCGATGAGCTCATATGAGGGGGCAAGCTCATATGAGGGGGCAAGCTCATATGAGGGGGGCAAGCTCATATGAGGGGGGCGAGCGCCGAGCTCATATGAGGGGACGAGCTCATATGAGTGGCAAGGCGCTACAAAGTTCATATGAGGGAAAGACACTGATGCACTCATATAAGCAGCCACTTTTATAATATGTATAGGTGGCAGGGTGTGAGGGCACTCATATGTGTGGCTATGTGGTACATATAGACGGTAGTAGCAGGTATAGAGCGCCCACTCATATGAGCTTATCCGAACGCCAGTAGCGGTGTATGTTGTCATTGATATGAACGCCAGTGGCAGGGTATTCTGGCGCCACCCAGTGTCCACCTGGGCTTTGATGGATTTGTTGACGTTCTGTTGCCAGATTCGCAGGGTGGGGCATGTCGTGGTTTCAGATGGCATTGGCGAGGTCGAAAGTGGTGGGGTGTTCCTCCGGCGTGTTGGTGAGCTGCGTGTTGTCAGTGATTTCGCCTTCCTCAGTTACTGCTGCCTCCGGTGCGTGGCGGGCACCGAACTGCAGTTGTGTCTGCCGGAAGATGGCGGCGAGTTTGGGCGGTGCGGGCTGCCGATGCTGTCGGGGCTGCGACCCATAGTTCAAGGGAGGGCCGTGTCCAATCCAGCCCGCTTCTCCTTGGCCGAGCGGTGTGGCATTAGCTCCCGAGAGCTTGTGTGACTGAGGCGGCTTAGGGTGAGCCGATTTAGGGCGGCCGGGTGCGTGTATCTGTCCTTTGTAACGCTCCGCTGGTGACTGGATCCCCTCCGGATAGTCGGACGCCTTCTCCCATGAGGTGGGGTCTGACGTGAGGTAGTACCTGTAACTTGCAGCTCCGGCTCGCGCAGACTTGAGTCGGGTTTGTTCCCTGAAGACCGGGCAGGCCTTGCTCCATGCCGGGTGATTCTTGTCGGCGTAGCCCTCCCGTTCGCAGTTGGCGCAGCTGTGGGCAAAGCGGTCCTTCGTCGGGACTGGGCAGCAGTCGGTGCGGTGTGGCTGCGCGCATGTGGCGCACGTGTCGTGGATGTCGGGGCATGTTTGGGCGAGGTGGAAGGGTGAGTACCTCTGGCATTTCGCGCAGCGGATGGGATCGGGGGCGTCCTTGCGGACCTCTACTCTCTTGCTGTCAAGGGTGAGTCCCTTCCGTATCATCTCGTTCGCCACCGCCGCTGAGCGCGCCGCCAGCAGAAGGTGCGCCGTGTGTTGCTCCGGGTGCCGCTTGTCAACGGCTTTGATCCACCTTACGTCCAGTAGAGATCCCATCTCGAGGCCGTTCTCTCTTTCTATGGCCCCCTTTGCCGCATCCCCCTGCGTGTCTAGCGTGATCGGGGCATATTCCGCAACCACCTTGAACGGACGCGGGGTGATTCTCGCCCCAACCGTCAGGTATTTCGCGAAAACGGGTCCCTGTGTTCCAAACTCGTCTTCCAGCCATCTCGCCTGCTCTGCTGTCTCGAACTCGAGGGCGACACCCCCTTTCTTCAGGTACGACACCGCAACCACCTTGGGTGGAGTATCCCCTGGTGGGGGGTCCATTGGGCCAGCCTCGTCCACCGCTTTCTCCAACGCCAGCTTCGCCTTCTCCACCATCACCTTCTCTGTGATCCGCATCCCCGCCTGGTCATTGCACGAAACTCCGTCTATCCAGACTTCTCTTTCTCTGCGTGTGGCCCTGTCCAACGCCCTCCTCAGCTCCGGGGCAGGCACGTCCTTCACCGTCGCGGTCGACGCGTTTGCCGCTGCCCGCTTGATCACCGTCGCGAAGGACGGGTCTGCTAGGGCTTCCAATGCGGGTGTAAGGTCTCCCTGCATCTGGGAGCCGCCGATACCTCCGCTCTCCTCCACTCTCTCCTTCACCATCCTCCACGTCTCATTCATCTTCTCTATAGCCGTCTCGCACGCCTCCACCGACTTCGCGTGGACATCATCCACCTTCTTCGACACCTTTTTCAAGATCCGGTTCGCGATAGTAGCACTCACCGTTTCCTCAGCCATTGCTTGCGATAGAAACGCCATAGCTGCGATGACCTTGATGAGTTCGTTTGCGGGTTTCGGTGGTGCGAGCGCGATGGATGCTAAGCCCCGTGTGAACTGTTCCGGGGAAGGGCCGGCATGGGCATCCCACTCGAGTTGGTACTTGGTGAGAGTCTCTCTCATGGCTTCTGCGTCGGGTACCACGCCCTTTAGGGCTTCTAGGACTTGCTCGTCGGAGAGCTGGTCGAGGTCGTCGGCCGTGTACGTTTTAGCTTTCGGGCGGGCGCTTCCTGACATGTTACAGGTTACTGGTGGCGACGCCGTCGCCCCTGCCACTTGCTTGGGGGCATATTAGCTGGGGGTACTTTACTTGCACGAGAAAGAAGTTTAGTTAAGCTTTTAGAGTGGTGGCTCCGCACGATCGCTGTCCGCTCCGAGTGACAGCAATGCGTGGGAAAGTTCCGGATGGTGGCGGTATCAGAAGAAGGAGCGTCCAAGCGCATGACGTCACAGCATGGTGCACCAGACGCTAGCCGAGTCGTCGCGCGTCATGACGCGGGCGCACCACCGCGGGGCGGTTTGGCGCTCGCATATAGAGTCGAGTCGAGATGACGTTCCGTGGTGCGGGGGGAGGCGGTGCGCGCGGGCTCAGCTGTTTAAGTTAGCCAAGCAAGAAGGGTCTTGAACATGTGAGCGCATGACGCGTGTCGTGAGTGCTCAAGCCAACTCTCCCAGCGGCTTTGTGGGTTCGCGTGAGATCGAGCTCGGACGTAGTAGCAGAAGAGTTTCCCGAGTCCATTGTCATTGCAGTGCGTTCAGAATCCGTCTATGTAGGTATTGACACAAACAAGCAGACGAGCGAGCGAGCATACGACAAGTTAACGATCGAACCGAACCGCGTCCAGTCCACGAGAGCGAAGGGCAAATATGTGTAATGAGATGGGGGTTATAGTGCGCGTGTGGGATATGTGCGTGTAGGGTGCGGGTGCGAGTCCCAATCCAATGGTAGCCGTGGTGATAAACAATACAGATGGTTCCGATGTCCGTTCTCATCCCCCTCCTTTCGTGACGTTTTTGGTACAACAGGTTGTTTTTGGCACTTCGACACGTTCACTCGTCGTCTGTTCAAACAATACAATCAGCACCGACTCGAGCGAAAGAGCGCAGCGCGGACCACTCACCAACCTCCTCGCCCCCGCTCTTCGCGCCCGTCCTCTTCTGCCTCCTCGGCGGCGCCGCGCCCGTCTCGGTCCGGCACAGCGTCTTCATGTGCCGCAGCGCCGCGTCCCGCCGCGCGAACGGCCGCCCGCAGCGGTTGCACTGGTACTCCTCCGCCTTGATGTGCTTCGAGCTCACGTGCCGCCCAAAGTTCGCGCTGTCCTTGAACGCCATCCCGCACGGCACCCTGCCGCCTCCGCCGTGGCCGTCCTCGGCCTCGACCGTCCACGGGCAGCAGAGCGTCTCGCCCCCGGCGGCCTGAAAGTGCGAGCGCATGTGGCTCGCCGTCTCGGACTTGCGCCCGCTCAGCGGCGCGCCGCACCCGGCGAACGCGCACGCGGACGCCGCCGCCGCGCGCTCGCGGTCGTAGTGGTACTGCGGCACGATCGCGCCCCGCGGGCCGCGCTCGGCGCGCGGCGCGTCCGGCCCGGCGTACGCGCGGCGGGCGAGAAGACCGCGCCGCCGCCGTATGTCGCCGCGCGCCCGCGCTTGCGTGAGGGCTCGGCGTCGGCGTCGGCGTCGTCGTCGAAGGCTTGGGCGGCGGGGGAGTCGGCGGGAGAAGAGTAGGGCGAGGGCGAGAACGCGGCGGTTGGGGGCGAGGGAGCGGACGAGGAAGAGGAGGAGGATGAAGAGGAGGACGAGGAGGAAGGGGCGTAGTCAACGGGGGAGGATTCGCGCGAGGCGCGGCGCTTGGTGCCTGTGACCGCGGCTTCGTCGTCGTCCGAGGGAGTGGCGTGCTCTCGCGGGGCGGAGACGAGTCCAGGGACGAAGCGGCACTTCTTCTGGATCGGCGCAGGCTGCGCGGCCGGCGTCCAGGCGGGTTGTTGCTGCTGCTGTGGCTGGTAGGAGGACGGAACAGGGTTGAGCAAGTTCTCGGCGCCGCGGGGGAGAGACCGGGCGGGGTGCCCGTGAGACTGGGAGTGGGAGTGCGCGCGAGCAAAGTACGGGCGGAAGTCGGGCGAGTGGCTCGGGGACGACGCCTCGGACGGGCTCAGCGGCGCGCGCGCGTCGTACTGCGCGCGCCGGGGCATGGGCTGGTAGAGGCCCGGCGAGCACTGGCGCGTGATCGCGGAGAGCGGGGGCAGGGTGCAGCCCTCGTCGGCGTCCTCGCGCTTGACCCAGCGCTCGCGCTCGTCGTCGACGTCCATGTCCATCGACTCCGGCGGCGCGCCGTACGAGCTCACGGACGGGCTCCGGCTCGTCGGCGGCGACGCGGACGACGTCGAGGCCGAGACCCAGCTGTGCGCATGGTGCGCGAAGCGCGGGCGCGCGGGAACGGGCGCGCCCCGCCGCTCGTCGTCGTACGCGTACGCCTCGGGCGAGGAGCTCCCGCCCGCGAGCTCCTCCACGGTGCGGATCGGGGGCAGCCGGCGGTATTCGACCTCGGGCGACCAGCTGCGCTGGCGCTCGTGGCGCGAGTCCACGGGGGAGACGCTGTGGTGCTGGTGCTGGTGGTGCGTCTCGGACGGGCGGTGGGGGTGGGGGTGGTTCCGCTGCTCGCGCGCGCGGATGGTGGAGGAGCGCTTGACCGAGGCCGGGCCGCGGCGGGCGAACTCGAGGTGCTCGGACTCGTCGCCGTCGTCGTCTTCGTCGTCCCGCTCGGACTGGCCCACGAGTGCCGCGTCCGCGGGGCGGTGCCGCGCGTACGAGAGCGGGAGCGAGGAGCTGGACGAGGATAGCGAAAGCGAAGAGGCGGAGGTGGAGGCGGAGGAGAAGGAGGAGAGGGAGGTGGTGGAGCTCGCCATGGCCCAGTTGTCGGTCGCCTTGATGTAGTTGAACTTCATCGAGGCGGAGGCGGCGGAGGGGTGAGCCATGTGGGAGAGGCTGAGGGACGAGTGGGACGCGTGGTGGGCATCGTCGAGGGCCTGGGCATATACGCGGGAGCGGCTGGAGGAGGGGCGTGGCAGGTGAGCTAACGCGTCTGAGAGGAAGAACGGGACCGGGACGGGGAGGCGGACTTTGACGTACGTCGTCGTCGTCGGGCGCTCCGCTGGAGCGCGCGCAGGGGCGGAGGGCTTGCGCGCGTCCGGGCGCGCGAGTCTGGGAGAGTCGTAGAGGGCCATGGGGTGCGGTGTGTGCTCGCGAGGGCTAGGGCAGTGGCCTGGAGTTGAGTACTGAGTGGCGATCACGCTAGTTATACGGAGGTGTGTGCGCGCGCGCCTGTGGGGCGGACACAAAGGACGATTGACCGGGTCAAAGGAAGTGGGGATGATTGCAGCCTGGCGAGCGGTTCGATCAATCGACGGACGCGTTCGGCGAAGGGCGGGCCACACACGTACGGGACTCGGGGCAGAGGGGGCAGGTGCGGGCTCGGTGTGCGCAATGTATGTGCAGCTGCCGGCGACAAGAGTGGGGACGAGGGAGAGGGTGGGTGGCGGAGAGGGCTATATAGGCAGGACCGGAAGGGAGGCCGAGACGGGAGGGGAGCACGTCTGGGGTCCATCCTCGAGCATCTCCAGATTCCAGATTCGAGAGGCCACACGGCGTCTTTCCACGGCGTTGGCAACGGGGCGGGGGTGCTGCCCATCGGCCGCTCTGGACTCGCCGCCCCGCGCCGGAGGCGGTCCACAAAGGAAGCCGATTAGGCGACAACGCACTCCTCCGCCGCTTTGGGCTCCCTCCTGCTCCCTCTCGCTGGCTCGCGCGCGCACACAGAAGCAGGGCGCGCAGAATGGTTGTCTCGCGCGTGGCTCGCGCAGGGGTTCGCTGGGACGAGGGGGGCAGAGGTGCCTGGGCTGGGGGCGGGGGGGCGCAGATTGGCCAGCGGCGGAGGCGCGGATTCGACGGACAGGATTGGACGCCGGGGAAGGCGCGAGAGCACGCGGGGGTGTGGCCAGCGCGGGCGCGGGAGGCGGATGAGAGGGAGAGGGGATTACGACGGTCTGGGCCCAGGGCGCCATCTCCGGGGTGCGTCTGAAACGGACCTCTGAAATGCAGGCACTCGCGCTCCCTCCCGCGAGAGGCCCGGACAGGCAAGTGTGGCAGCGCCCGCGCCGCCTGCGAGGCGAGCGAGTCAGCGACCGTCAAAGGGGCAGGCGAGGGCAGCTCGCAGCCGTCCGCGGCGAGCGACGATCCTCCGAGCGTGGGTCAGCTGTGGCCAGAGGAGAAGCGGGCGGGCGGAGGGGGGCGGAGAGGGCCTCGACGGTCGCCTGGGACGGTCGCCTGGGACGGGGTTCGGACTCGGAGCACCCTGGCTCGGAGCACCCTCGCATCTTCCGTTCCGCTCAATGGCCAGCGTGGCGCCCGTCGGCCCCCCACGCTCGCTGTCAAGTACGTCCGCCGTCGCGGCTTCCGGTCCGTAGTGCGCTGCGCAGGGCCCAGCCCGCGTCCGCCCCCGCACACTCTCGCCCACGTCGCGCAGGCCGCGTGGACGGCGAAGAGCAGGGTCCCCTGCTAGCCAACATCACGATCGGCGGAGGCCCCATACGCTCTGTGGCCGCCGCAGGTGTGGCCTCCTGCCGAAAAGGAAACCGCAATCGGGCACCTCATCGCGCCCGCAGTGAGCCTCGACCCCTGCCCGTTTAGGCAGGTCGATTGCCTCCGCCCCGCCACCGTGCCGGCCCGTCCCAGTCTCGCCTTTTGATCTCGTCCGCTTCGCTCAGACGACTCGCCCTCCCGACCATGCCCTCCGCCTGGGCGCCCGCTCCCGGTCTCGAGCCCAACCTGCCTCCCTACGAGGTCTTCACCGCACCTATCGAAAAGCCCGAGATCGACGACCGCGAGTATCGCATCCTCCGTCTCCAGAACGGCCTCCGCGCCCTCCTCGTCCACGACCCAGACGCAGACAAGGCCGCGTCCTCCCTCTGCGTCGCCGTCGGGGCCTTCCACGACCCGGTATGCGTCCCGCGCGCCCCGCGTGCCCCCCACCCCGAATCCGTGCCCAGACCTGACGCCCTTGTCCCCTTCCGCGTCTTTCGCGGGAACCCCGGTCCATCCTCTCGTCCTTCTGCCCTTCTCCACAGGACGACGCGCCTGGGCTCGCTCACTTCTGCGAGCACCTGCTCACCAAGGTCTGTCGCCCGGCCTTCCTCTCTCCCATGCTAATCCTCTTGTATGCACCCACGCCTCGTGCGCACCGCACTGGCCTTGAGACGATCACGAGCCCTCTCCATGCCACTCGCGATGTGCTCTCCCCGATCGGTCGCGGATCTGCCCTGCCCGCGCACACGAGAGGACCCTGGCTGTGCCACTCCCCCATTCTCATGCCCAGACGCTGACATCAGACGTTTGCTCGCGCCCAGGGCACGGAACCGTATCCCGAAGAGGGCGACTACATCGCCGTGCGTGCGTCTCTCCGCCTTCTAGCCTCGTCTTCGCTCACTCGCCCTCCTCGCACGTTGCTCCGCCCGCCGCGCAGTACGTCTGCGCCCATGGCGGGTCCCGCAACGCGGCCACCGGCGGGATGTCCACCGACTACTGGTTCGCCGTCGCGCCAGACAGCCTCGCAGGCGCGCTCGCGTACCAGGCCGCCTTCTTCTACGCCCCGCTCTTCACCCCGGAGCTCACCAAGCGCGAGGTGCACGCGGTCGACAACGAGTACAGGCGCAACCTCCAGAACGACACCCGGCGCATGAACCAGCTCACGAAGCACCTCAGCCTCCCCGGCCACCCCTTCCACCAGTTCGGCACGGGCTCGTACGAGAGCCTGACCGAGAGCCCGCGCCGCACGCTGCCCGAGGGCACGGACGAAGAGCGGATCCTGCTCGAGACGCGCAGCCGGCTCGTCGCGTGGTGGGAGGCGCAATACTGCTCGCGCAGGATGACGCTCGTTATTGTCGGAAAGGGTGGGTACGCACTTGGCCAGCGCCCGCACGCGCCCGCGAAGCAGCCCTCGTCCGTCAGGGCCTCGGCACCGGAAGCCCGGAGTCCGGATCCGACGGGCGAGGGTGCTCGACGCGTGCTCCCTCGCCCAAGTCCGTCTCCCCTCCCTGCTTGCTGATTCCGGCCTGCGCAGATTCACTCGACGCCCTCGCCGCGTGCGCCGTCCCGCTCTTCTCCAAGATCCCCGACCGCGGCCTCGACCCCGCCCCGGCGATCACTGCGCCCGTCTGGGGCCCGGAGCACAAGGGAGTGAGTCTCTGCACCGCTTGCCCGCCACCGCCGCCTCCCCCCCTCGGTAACGGCAGCGCACGTGGGGCCCAAGCGAGTGGGGTTACACAACGCTTTGCTAACCAACCCCTTTGGTCCCGGGCAGACGCTCGTCTTCGCGCAAACCGCCAAGGACGTGCACAAGCTCGCGCTCCAATTCGCGCTCCCGAACCTCGCCTCGTACTGGGAAAGCCGGCCGGTCTCCGTGCTCGCCCACTTCCTCGGGCACGAGGGCCCCGGGAGCGCGTGTGCGTACCTCAAGCAGCGCGGATGGCTCCTCGAGCTCACCGCGGGGCTCTCCACCGGCAGCCACGCGCGCGGGCCCCAGATATTCGAGATCGGGTGCCTCCTCACCGTCGACGGCTACCGTGAGTGCCGGTGCTGCTTGCACTGTACGCGGAGCACGCAGTTGACATCCCTGTGTGCACAGTAAACTACGAGTCGGTGCTCGCCACGCTCTTCCAGCACATCGCCGTCCTGCGCGCCGCGCAGCCGCTCCCGGACTGGCACCACGCCGAGCTGCAGACCATGGCCGCCACGCGCTTCCGCTTCGCGCAGAAGGCGGCCCCCCACAGGTACGCCCAGGCGCTCTCGCGCACGGGCTCGCAGCCGTACCCGCCCGAGCACGTCCTCAGCGGGCCGCACCTCTTCCGCACGCGCGACGACGCCGTGCTCCGCCGCGTCCTCGACGGCCTCGCCCCGCGCGAGGGCCGCGCGTTCGTGTGGGCGCCGACGCACCGCGCGGAGGTCGTCGGGGACGACGGGCTGCGGACGGACGGGTGGGCGACGGAGCGGTGGTACGGCACGCGGTTCGCCGTGCGCCCGCTCGGCGCGGCGCTGCGCGCGAGGGTGAGTGGCTCGGACGTCGCGTCGTCATCGTGTGACTCACCCCGCCTCGTCCCGGACGACAATGGCCCCGCGTGGTGCGCTGGGAATCTGCGCCACTGGTTGATACACTGCGTCGCGATCTCCAGCTCGAGGCGGCGATAGCCCCCGATGCGCGGTATCTGGCTCTGCCACGGCCGAACCCCTTCATCCCGTCCGAGGAGGGGCTCAGGGTGGACAAAGGGCCGGAGGGCGCCGAGGTCAGTCCGGCATCCATCGATCGCGCGCGTTGTGGGATCGTGTGGGTGGTGGTGGTAGGGCTGACCTTGTTTTCTCCTCCCTCGCGCGTGCGACGCCACCCGGGGGATCCGGCCAGCCGGCGAAATACCCGACGCTGATCGTGCGGACGGCTGCGGCGCGGCTCTGGCACAAGCAGGACGACCGGTTCTGGGTGCCCAAGGCGGACGTGTACGTCGTGGTGAAGAGGTACGTTTGTACTCTGGGATCTTTCCTTTTCAGCTGCCCAGCGCGACTCGGCGGCATCTGATGCGTCTGGGACAGCCGGCTGGCGTATGCGAGCCCGCGCCACGCGATGCTTTCTCGGTGCGTTATTCGTCCATTATCCCTCCTCCGCTCTCGGGACTCACCGTGACTCACGCGCGTCCGCCAAAGGCTGCTCGTGGACCTCGTGGACGACGCGCTCGCCGAGGTCACGTACGACGCCAGCCTCGCCGACCTCGCCTACGCGCTCTCGAACCACACCGACGGGCTCGTCCTGCACGTGAGCGGGTACCGCGACAAGCTCGCGGTGCTGCTGCGGACCGTGCTCGAGAAGCTGCGCACGCTCGCGGTGGCGCCCGACCGGCTCAGGGTGGCCAAGGAGAAGGTGCGTGCGGTGGTCAACTCGATTGGGGTGCCGAATTAACTCGGGCGGGCGCGACAGATCAGGCGGGAGTACGAGAACTTCTATCTGCAGCAGCCGTCGAATCTGTCCGAGCAGTTCGCGCGGTGGGCGTACGAGCCAGTGGTGTGGACCCCGGCGGAGAAGGTGCCGGAGCTGGAGTTCATCGGGGAGAAGGACGTCGACGGGCACCGCGACGCGTTGCTGTCGAAGGTGGCCCTTGAGATGCTCGTGAACGGGGACGCGACCCGGGAGGTACGTGTCTGGTCTTTTGAATCGTGCGCAGTATGCGGCGTTGAATGCGAATATACAGGGAGCCCTTGAGTATCTTTCCCTCGCTGAAGACATCCTCCGCCCGCGCCCTCTCCTTCCCAGCGAGATCCCGACCAGACACGCGCTCGTGCTTCCTGAAGGTCGGACCCCTTCTTCTCCCAATCCCAAGGCGCGGTCACTGACCAGCCAGACAGGCTCCAACTTCGTCTTCCGCAAGCGCCACGCCAACAAAAACGAGACCAACAACGCGCTCTCGTACTACATCCAGGTCGGGCTCGAGGCCGACGCCCGCTCGCGCGCGATCGCCAGCCTGCTCTGCCACCTCATGCACGAGCCCCCGTTCTCCACGCTCCGGACGAAGGAGCAGCTCGGGTGCGCCCTCCCCCCTCTACCTCCCCTCTCCGTTCTTCTCGACAAAGCCGGCTCTCTGGGCTCACTGCGGCGCAGGTACGTCGTGGCCGCGAACCGCTGGTCCGTCGCCGGCGCGACGCACGGCCTCCTCGTCAAGGTGCAGTCCCCGCGGCCGCCGTGGGCCGTCGAGGCCCGCGTCGACGCCTTCCTCGCCGGCTTCGGGGACACGCTCGGCGCGATGGCGGCGCCCGCGTTCGCGGCGGCGCGCGCGGGGCTCGTCGCGGCCCGCCGCGAGCGCGCGAAGAACGTCGCGGAGGAGGGCGCGCGGTTCTGGGCGCGCGTCCGCGCGGGCGACTGCGACTTTGTCCGAGGTGCGCGTTCTTTGCTGTTGGTTTTGCGTCCAGATCGTCGTCGTCTGCGTCTGCACCGCACGTCGAACAAGCGCTCAGCGGAAAGGGACCAACGCCGGGCTGACATCCATCCTTTCTTTTCCAATCGCACTTTGCTCGCCGCTGCGCGCAGCCGACACCGACGCCGACGCCATCGGCGCGCTCACCCTCGCCGACGCGTGCGCCGCGTACGACGCGCTCGTGCACCCCGCGCGCGCCGCCGCGACCCGCCGCAAGCTCTCAGTCCAGCTCGTCTCGCAGCACACGACCGAGGCCCCGCCCGCGCCCGCGCCCGGGGTGCGCGTCGTCGTCGGTGGCGGTGGGGAGGCCAGAGGCGGAGGCGGAGGCAGCGTTCAAGGCGGGCCTGGGGCGCACGCCCGCCGCGCGCGTCGTCGTCTCGCGCGCGTTTGGGGAGCACGAGGGCGCGGAGCGCGCGCTGCTGGAGGGCGGCGGGCCCGGATCGGGGGTGCTGGGTCGCTTTTTGTGAAACTGTAGCTAGAGCCTAGGTTGGCTGGCATGCGGTTCCGAGGGCAATGGGGTCCGGCTCAAGTGGAGAAGGTGCTTTCGAAGGACGACGGATGCTTGGATCTAGCCCGGTCAGAATTAATACGACGTGGTGTGCGTGCGTTGAACAATCGCAGGTTGTCGGAACCCTGGACTATCGGGGAGAAGGTTCAAACGTTCAACGTTCAACGTTCTTGGGAGGCGACGTTGTTGTTTGTTGTCGTCGCCGGCCCGTTGCAGGGTGGTTTCGAGTTCAGGCTTCCGTGGGTCAGCAATTCGACGCCGAACGTTCCGCCCCGCGCTGCGGCGCAGTAGTCGTCCTCGTCGGTGCCCGCGGATGGACGGACAGGAACTCTGCATGCTATCCACTCCGAGGGTGGCTGCCGCTATTGTGCGGTAGTGGGGGGTCTTCCCGACGGTCTCGACTTAGTCTACGTAGCTAGAAGCCCTCCAGTCTACGGCGCCCGGACCAACCCACACCGCGAGACAATCACAGCAGATCAGCACGCGGTCGTCCGGCGGGGGGTCGAGCTCCGACGGTGGAAGGAGAACTGGGAAGGTGCCCCGAATGCGCACCCGTCACGCTCCGTGCGCCGCTCGCGACGATCCACCCACGGGCCCCCCAAAAATTCAAATTGCGTGTGTGCTCGTCCGGCGGTGCGTGCGCAGTTAGCCGCGACCACCGTGCGCGACGAGCCTCTCGGGTCCAGCCTTTTACCTGCGGCCGCGACGGTTCTCGGAAGGCACGGTGTGCATGTGCATGAGGCCTCGAGGCGTTGAAGCTAGCTTGAGGGCTCCCTCGTGTAGCGAACTCGGAACAAGCGTTGATCGTTCTAAGTTCGGCATTCGATTTCGAGGGTTGGCGGCGTCGCCGACTTCGGGAATCGGAGCCTTCGAGCGTCCGTCCCAGGTCGACCGTTCCTGACGAGCGGTGCGAGAGCTCTCGAAGCTTCGAGAGAGCGGGGCGCGTCGACGTCATGGCCAGGGACGAGCCCACGAGCTCCCCCCGGTGGGGGAGCTGCGCGAGGCCTGAAGGGATGCCTTGGCCGCGTCGATGGGGCAGAGAACACCGACTCTGAGCACACTCTGCTGGGCGGGGCGCGCTGGGTCCAGATTAGCCAGCAGTCTGTCTATCTTTGCACACCGGAATGTACAGCGAGTCGCCCGTGCGGGCGTGAGGAACACATTATCCATGGTATGCTGTACGTATAAAGTCCGTGGGGATGCGGGTGCGGGAAGAGAACGTCGGCCAAGCGAAATGAACGCGGCCGGGGGACCGCGTTTATGCATGTGCGACCAGAGCTATATGATACGTGGGCGTAGCGTCGTGACCAAATGTCCGGGTGATAGTCCGTCGTCGTCGTCATCTGCTGAAAAGCAGCCTCCTAGTCCGTGGCGGCCTCTCCGTCTCCACCTCTGCCGCCTGCCGCCCTCCGCACAATCCTGCGCCTCACCCTCCAGACCTGCCGTTTACCGCATCGCTTGCCTGAGGAGCGAGTAGCCGGACAGGAACATGACGGTGAACGTCACGGCCAGGCTGACCGTCGCGGGATGTGTGATGAGGTCGAGTGATGCACCGTTGCACGTAGCGCATGTCCAACCTAGAGGTGTACCGACGGCACTTGATCAGTACGCTCTCCCGCGCGAATGCCCAAAACATGAGATGTGGCCCGGCGGCACGAAAATGGAACAGACCCCACGGGTCACGTCCATTGTGCGTCGACGCAGCCGCACATCCCTGACTCATGTGAAAAAAGAGAGAGACTCACTTTCCAGAGGAGTATATGCCTCGGGGGTATAGAGAGCAAATTGTAGGGACGAGTACGGCGAGAGGAGCCCGGGGGCACGAGTGGCGTCAGGTCCGCGGTCGTCCCAGATGTGGAGGGCGTACGAGCCGGGGGCGAGCGGGAGCTGTGAATTGGCCTGCTGGTACGACCACAAGTCCCAGGTGACGGAGGTCGCAGTGCCGTTGATGATGCCGTCCGTGGGGCCTACTGGATATGTGTTCCCGTTTGCTCCGACGGCGTGCACGGTGAGGTGGGTGGGCATGGAGAGGACATCGGTGAAGTTCCAGGCGAAGGTGACCGTCTGCGAGGCGGCGATCTTGTAGAAGGATGTCGAGGCCTGAGGGGGCTTTGTGACTGTGATCGAGCCGGCAGCGGCCGTCTGGGGGATTCCAGAGGACGATTGAGAGGACTGTTGAGTGGAAGCTTGTGAGGTCGTTTGTGAGGAGTTAGACATGGCGGGAGAGGAGTGGATGGAGAAAGGACAGGCAGACGGTCGTCGTCGTGGGCAGGTTCGCGGCGTGCGAGCCCGCCCTGTTGGTCGCAACGGTCACAGCGGCGAGGCGTGACGATCGAGGCTGGGCTGGCCGGGGATGGGTGTGTAAGCATCGTGACCGTGACGAGGGTGTGGGATCGCTGGCCGGGGGAGCGGCCTCCTGCTCGCACTGCGTCCATCATCCCGAACTCGCGCTCGTCCTTCTCTTCCGTGCGCCCGCTCGCTTCGACAGGACGATGACACCTGCCGGCTTCTCCCAGTCTGCCAACTAACTCGCCAACCGAGGCAACTCCCCAGATGGTTTCCTGACGCGCCGTGATCTGGGCAGGGTCAGAGGATACGCGACGTGCATCAGCCCCTCCGCCGTCGTGGGCGCCAGGCGCTGCAGAACGACGCCCACCCACGCCTCGTGCCCAAGGCGTCCACCCCGGGCGGACGGCGGCGCCTCACGCCCCCTGCAGTGCGGGCGATCTCGCTGCCTGTGCTGTTTCTCGCTCGTGCGCGACGGGAATCGCACGGGAGGAGGGGAGCCAGGAACTGCAGATGCACGACTGATCGCATGGGAAGATTTGCCTCGTCAGTCGGGCTCTGAGCTGTGTCCATCACATCCACCCGGCCGGAGGCAGGCTGATCATCCGTATTCTCCGGCAAACGAAGCCCCAGCCCGGTTCATATACCTGAAACGCCCCAGCGCCTGCTGTTTACGTTCTTCTTCCCCCCCTATACCCTCTCGCGGCTCGTTGCTTGCTTTTCGTCTCTTATACCCTTTTCTCCTTCCCCCACGCTCCTTTCCGCCATGGCTCTCGCCGTCCCCCGACCACGCGTACTGACGACCATGCCGTCGTCCGGCCCTGCCTCCACCTCAGACTCGGGCTATCGCATCATTATCTCCCCCTCTGAGCCCCCCTGCTCCAACCGTGACGCCCGCATCTACGAAGGAAACACGAGCACGATGTCCCTTTCTCAGGCAGAAAGCGACGAGGACGAGGACACTCCGATAAGTCCCATAACGTTCGGCGCGAACGAGGCGTATGAGCGCTCCAGGCTCTCCTTCGTGCCCCCCTTCCCCCGCCCTTCATCCACCCCTTCGACGCCTCTGAGCGCGAACCACCCCTCCCCTGTTTCTCCTGTCATCTTCACCCAACTCAACTCCAGCAGCCCCTCTCTCGCCTATGCACCTCCTCCAGTCTTCCCCAGCGCCGGCACCCTCTCCCTCGCCATGCGTCTCAAGCGCCCCCTCCCCCCGCTTCCTCCCGACGCTGGCATGGACGACGACACGGACGATGCGGACACCAGACCGTTGATGCGCTCAATCGCCGTCTCGCGGTCCACCTCCATGAAGAAGTTCCTCCCGCGCAACGCAGGGAGCAGCAGGTGGCATACCTCCCCATCCAGCAGCGATGAACGCGACAGTGACAGCAGCCCTGGCTTCTCGCCCGCAGCGTCCTCCCAATCCCCCTCGACATCGGTCTATACCACCGCCTCGTCCGACTCGGCGGGCTCCATCCACGTCCTCGACGGCTTTCGCACCGCGCCCACCCTGTACGACGCCGCCGCGTACGACCCCAAGCCCCGCTTCCCCCCGCTCACCATCCCCGCGCGCTCCGCCTCCGTCCCGGTCCAGATGCCTGCTGCAGTTGCAGCAGCCGCCATCATCGGCCAGCCCATCGTCGTCCGCCACCCGAGCCCATCGATCGCGGTCACTCCAGCGTCCCCGGGGGCCGCCCAAAACTTCCCCTCCTTCGGCTACAAGCAGCGCTCGGCGTCATCGACGTCCATCGTCCTCGCCTCGCCCTACAGCCCCCCACCCCTGGTGCTCGACGAGCACGCGTACACGAGCGAGCCGATGACGTTCGCCCCACTGCACTCCCCCACCTCCCCGCCCCCGCCCCTGTCTCTCCACGACCAGACCCAGGCACAAGTAGATCGCGACCTCGTCCCGCTCCGGACGGACAGCCTCCCCCCGCGCGCGGCCTCGCCCGCGCCCTCGCTCTCGCCCTCGGTCGCGTCCGGCCGCTCCCTCGCCAAGGCGAGCACGCAGACCCTGCGGCGCATCGCGTCCCGCACGCGCCTCTTCGGCCGCCGCACGCTCTCGTCCGCGTCGGAACCCGCGTGGACCGGCGACGCGGGCGGCGCGGAGTCGGTCGCGGACGAGCACAACTCGCACTCGCTCGACGAGAGCCGGCTCGGCACCGGCTCGAGCTCGTCCTCGCGCCGCCCGAGCTTCGAGTCGATCGCGGAGGCGGCGCAGGCCGCGCCCGCACCCGCACCCGCCGCAGGGACTGGGAGGGGCCCGATGCGCCTGGAAATTGCGGAGGCCACGCTCACGTCGCAGGGGGACGTGTGGGAGACGCGGGAGCTGCACGACGTGATCCCGAAGCTGCGTCTGTTGCGCGTGGCGAGCCGGAACCGGTAGTGACCGCTGCGCAGGAGGAGAAAATTTTGCGTCCGCGGGGTGGAGGTAGACGTGCGCCGACAGTGGGTCGCAGCGAGGTTCGAGCAGCCGTAAGCTCGTCAGCTGTGCAAAACCTTGCTCCACGCTCCTCGCCGCCGCCGCCACTAGGCCCACCAGGAAGCAGGAGAGGCTCTCACGAACCCGCCCGTCGCGCGGGGCGATTGCCATGGACATCACACGCCCCACCCACCCATCCTCTTCTTATTGTTGTACAAAAGCGCCCCACGACGGCGGGCCACTTCCGTCCTCCACCTCCCCCTTTGGAGGATTTTCTTATTCTTGCTACTGCTCTTGTCTTATTGCGGACTCACCCACCACCCACCGTCCTATCATTATTTCGGGCAGACTTGTACGCTTACGATACTCCGCTGCGCGCGCCGCTCGTTCCCCCACAACCCACCGCCGCCATCACGCTCTTGGGATCACTTATACTTTTGCTCGCCTCGTCGACCGACCGCTCTGCTACATGTACGCGCACGCACCACACTGTTGTTGTAACTAATCTGGCGAGCCCCGCACCTCTCATCGGACTCGTCTGTCGCTGTACCGCATTGTACCCGTACTTACTGAAACCACATATTTTACTGCCTCTCACCCCATGTTCGTCTGTGCGTGCAATCGCTTCGATGTGCGTCTGCGCGCGCCCGGTCTGCACGTTTGGATGCGCATTCGCGGTGCGGTGCTGGGATCGCCGGACGTCTACGCACCGGGCCCCGCATCCACATGGGAGTTGAGACGGCCTCGCCGGTGAGCGGATGACGGACCAGGTGCGCTGGCGCGACGGACGACGCTTCCTCGGCTGTGGACGTGCTTCGACTGCTAACTGCTAACTCTGCGCTTCAGACTGAGGAGACGCACTCGAGGTCACTGACATGGAGCACCGTAAGGATACCTAGAGCGCCGAATTCCAGCCGATGTCTGCCCGAGCGCCGAATACAGGGCCTCGCACATCGCTTCGGAGTCCGCTCAGCCTGACTCGGCCCACGCGTCAGGCGTTGAGTATCGACCAGCAAGCGCCCGCAGGGAACGCGGCCCTCGGCCTCAGTCCGACTCCCGCGTCGACCACGACCAGGCCTAGGCTAGCGCTCCCGCTCGATCCCCTCCGCAGCGTTCGTCGCAGCCCTGCGCGCTCTCCGATCTATGTATCCGTCTGCCCTCCACCCCCGCTCATCCATCGCGACCCCAGACAGATGCGTTCCCTCCGTCCACCCATCCGACCTTCGTCGTTCCCGCGAATGGATCCAGCCCCGCTTCGCGAACCTCGCTTGGCGGCACGATGCGCGGTCTGCTGACCGTCCACGCTCTCACCTCAAAGTGCTCTCACCCGCACACCCACCCGCACGCCCTCAGCCACTCCGCCCACCGAGAGCCATTGAAGCCCGTCTGAACGACAGCCACCATGTTCTCCTCGGCGCACCGCCGTGCTTGGTGCGTCTCCCAGTGCCCCTTCTCCCCACCGCGCCCGCCCCCGCTCATCCGTGCGCTCTCCCATGGCCACACAGCCTGAAGAAGCAGAAGGAGCGCGACGAGCGCATCGCCAGCCTCCCGCCCGAGTACCGCGCGCCGATCACCCTCGACGAGGAGCGCCTCCTCTCCCGCCCCGCCGCCGAGCTCATCGCCGCCGTCCAGGCCGGCGCCCTCGCGCCCCCGACCGTCCTCCTCGCCTACGGCAAGAAGGCGCTCAAGGCGCACGCCGCCACCAACTGCCTCACCGAGGTCCTCATCGCCCGCGCCCACGCCGAGTGGGCGGGCGCCCCGCTCCTGAGCAAGACGCAAGAACAAGAACAAGACCACGCCCGCGCACGCAACGGCGCCGACACGCACGCGCACGCCGGCGAGTGCAACACGCAGGGCCCGCTCGCGGGGATGCCCGTGAGCGTGAAGGACACGGTCGCGGTCGCGGGCGAGGACGCGTGCATCGGGTACTCGGCGTGGGTCGGGCGCCCGGCGGCGGCGGACGCGGCGGTCGTCCGCCTCCTCCGCGACGCGGGCGCGGTCGTGTTCGTGAAGACGAACGTGCCGACCACGCTGCTCTCGCTCGAGAGCGCGAACGACGTGTTCGGGCGGACGACGAACCCGCACGGGCGGGAGTTCGCGCCGGGGGGTCCACCGGCGGCGAGGCCGCGCTCTTGGCCTACGGCGGCTCGAGGTTGGGGATCGGGACGGACGTGGCTGGGTCGGTGCGTGCGCCTGCGTGAGTGTTGCGTCTCCATTTGGGCGGAGGGTGTGCGTGTGTGTGCTGAACGTAGGTGCGCATGTAACAGGCACTACTCTGGCGTGTACGCCATCAAGTCATCCATGCACCGTTTCCTCAAGACCGGCAATCCGACGAGCATGCCGGGCCAGGAGGGCATTCCGGCCACCTACTCGCCCATGGCGCGGACGCTTGAAGATCTGGAGACTTTCTGGCGCGGCATATTCGCCATGAAGCCTTGGGAATATGATCATTCGGTGCGTTGTCAGATCCTTCGTATTCCATCTCGTGCGGCATTGACGCGAGCACCGCATATCCAGGTTCTACCGATACCATGGCGCGAGGTTGACTTGGCGTCCGGGAAACCTATTAGGTGGGCTGTGCTCTGGGATGATGGTGAGTCTCGGAGTCTGCACCCCTGATGGGCGTCGTTTGTTGGTGCACGTATGTGCGTTCGTGGTGACAACCCCTGATCTCGTCTCATACAGGCGTCGTGGCGCCATCGCCCGCATGCAAACGTGCGCTAGAGACCGTCGTCTCTGAACTCAAGGCGCGTGGCCACGACGTGGTCGACCTGTACGTCGCTCGTCTCTGCCTTGACCTCAATCCAACCTACACTTCCCCAGAGAGGCACCGAGCGCGTTCGAAGGCCTCGAGATCGGCGCGCAGCTCCTCCTCGCCGACGCCGCCAAGGTCTCCACGCAGCCGCTCCGCCGCGGGGAGACGAACGACCCGGGCGTCGCGCAGGCGCGGCGCATGTTCGCGGCGCCGCGCGCGTACAAGCGCGCGTACGCGTGGTACCTCCGCGCGGTCGCGCGCGACCCGCTCTACGCCGCGCTCGTCGGCGCCTGGTCGGAGAAGACGGTGCCGGAGTACCTCGCGCTCGTCGCGCGCCGGGCGTACGCGCGCGCTGGCACGCCGCGCTGCGCGCGGGCGCGGTCGACTTCGTGCTCTGCGCGCCGAACGCGCTCCCCGCGTGCCCGCACGGGGGCATGCGCGACGGCTGGAAGGGGTGCGGGTACACGTTTCTGTGGAACGTCGTGCGTATCTCTCTCTTTCTGTCGTTAATTCGCTTCGACCGAACTCCCCGCTGACGCCGACGCCGCGCCCGCTCGCAGCTGGACTACACCGCGGGCGTGATGCCGGTGACGCACGTCGACCGGGAGCGGGACGGGCTGGACGCGACGGCGTTCAAGGCGCGGAACGCGATCGAGCGCGGGATGTACGGGATGTACGACGCCGGGCGGATGCACGGCCTCCCGGTGGGCGTGCAGGTCGTCGGGCGGCGGCTGGAGGAAGAGAAGGTGCTCGCGGGTATGAAGCTTGTCGAGGGCGTGCTCCGGGAGGCGGGCAAGGCGTACGTGCTGCTGGAGACGAAGGATTGAGGCCTGAGGGCGGCTAGGAGAATCGATGGCATTCGGGGTCGTGCGCTTGGCTTGTAACAACATCCAGTGGTGTAATTCTAGACTTTGTGAACACACGGCCGCAGGCTTGCCATGACGCGCAGGCACGAGACGAGACGATCTGGCTGGTCACCTTGAACGTCATCGTCGTCACGATGTACAGAGGTACGCTCCAGTGCGACTGCGAGCTCATCCGCATGCCGTACCCAGGTGGGATCCTGCTCCTCCTCGCGCCTGGGCGAAGAACCGACGTCATCCCCTCTTGATCTCTACTTATGCTCGGCTGCTGGGCGCATTGGACGCCATCATCGACGATCTCACCCGCTGCATAACTGCCTATCACGACACACATCATGTCCGACTTCACCAACGACGCGTCCACCGGCAACCAACAGTTCGAACAGGGCGGTATGAACCAGGGCGGCATGAACCAGCAGGGCGGCATGACCGACAGCGGCACGCAGCAGACCGGCGAGAAGCAAGACTGGCTCGACAAGGGCATCGAGGGCGTGGGCAAGAAGTTCGGCGTCAACGTCGTACGTTTTCCCGACGTTCGTACACGCGCCGAGGGAACCATCTCATCCCTCTTCCCCTCGCAGAGCGACCAGAACGCCGACCGTGCTGGTGACTTCGCGAACAAGGAGTTCACCCAGAGGAGGGTATGTCCCGTCACGTTCCTGCCTGGGTCTGCTCAGTGCTCATCCGATGAATTTATCCTCGATTGGTATAGGTCGCGGCCTTCCTGGTGTTCAGTGAATGACGGTGTTTAGTAAAGATAATACTACGGCATACGGAAATGATGTTGTACCATCGCAGTTGCATTATATGGAGTCTTTGACATGACCTTTCCGTGCTCTGGGAAAGCATCCAATGGTAACTTTAACCATCTCCCTCATGCACGAAATTGCGTGAATGGATACCGCCACGAAACCCAAGATGATAGTACCTCATTCCACCAAATATGAAGAAGGTCCACTTTCTGTCCGCTCGAGCTCTCAAGCCATTCTCGCTCCAACATGAGCTCCAAGGACAACGGCGCCGATGGAGCTGTACAGGGGACATCGAAAACGCCCTTCTCCCCTGATTGCCCTGCGTGGGGCCAACGTCACGACGCCCCGCGCACTGCGGTCGTCCGCTCCCCTGTCCCGCAACGCCGAGCACAGAGAGCGGCCTGCCTGGACTGCGCGGTATGCAGAGCACGCCAGCGCACGTCCTTCGCGTACAGGAACACGACGCACCATGATGTCAGCGCTCCCCAACTTTGCCACTGGCCCCGGTGCCTGCCCTCCAAAACGTATATCATCAGGCTCGCGTCGGAGGACCGGGGCGCAGATTCAGGTCCCCCTCACACCACTGCCCACACCCACACCCACACACCCACCCCCACTCGCACGCACAAGCACACTATGTCCAACTTCGGCGCCTCCGACACGTACGACGACTCGTCCTTCGGCCAGTCCGGCCAGCAGAAGGGTCAGCAGAAGGGTCAGCAGGGCCAGCAGGGCCAGCAGGGCCAGCGCGGCCAGCAGCAGTTCGGCTCCGCCGACTTCACCGGCACCGGCGGCACTGGCTACGACCAGTCCCGCGGCCTCGATTCGTCCGACCAGGGCATGGGCGGCGGCTACGGCGCGATGGGCTCCGGCGTCGCGGGCGGATACCAGGGCAGCCAGCAGCAGCAGGGCCAGCAGGGACAGATGGGCCAACAGGGCCAACAGGGCCAACAGGGCCAACAGGGCCAACAAGGCCAGGACTGGCTCGACCGCGACGTCCATTCTGCCGGACAGAAGTTCGGGATGAACGTGGTGAGTGCCTCCGCTTGCAATAGTGGGCGATTGGGCAGCATATTGACTGCACCGTGCGCAACGTAGAGCGACCAAAACGCCGACCGCGCTGGAGACGCCGCGAACAAGCAGTTCCAGAGCCGCACTGGTTAGTCTTTTCGCTCGAGTTCGACGCATGAAAGGCACTCACCTTCTTTCCAGGCCGCAACATCCCCGGTGCCAACTAAACCTTCGAGCACAGATGATGGTGTACGAATATGCAGTCACTTCGATGCCGGGCTCGCTCGGTTGTATTATACGAGATGTTTATCAGGCATGCGAGAATCACGTATGAAATGACTTGATTCTGCCCACTTCGATGTGTGCCATGCTACGTCCGCGAGACAATATCCTTGAGTGCGTCGGCAACCATTATAATCTGGCAAATTCAAGTCGTCAACGTGTGCTCGTAAGGTCTGGCTCTTATGACTCACATTGCCCTCACTCATAGCCGAGAAATGGTCTCCAGGGATATCCTTCGCCAGGACGCCCCCTCCAAGCAGGCGCTTCCACTGCATAACATTCACATCCCCGTCCAAGTCGCCCCCACACCCCGCGAAGAACGGCCGCAGCGGCTCCGACGGCTGCCCCGACAGCACCTGCTCCGCGGCGTCCCGCGATCGGAACACCACCGCAGGCACACCGTCAAGCCGAAGCTCGGACGGCACAGGCGAAAAGCCTGGGTCGTACGTCGCGAACGCGCGTGCGGCCGCCGCATCTGCGCGCAGAACAGCGCACGCGCCGCGGGCGAGCGCACCGCAGGCGCGAGGGTGTCGATCGCGCCGTCCGGGAGCGCATGGCGCGCGCGCGGGTCAGGGAAGGGGCGGGGCTGTCGATGAGCACGAGCGCGTGCACTGCGTGGCCGGAGGCGAGGAGCTGCTTTGCCATCTCGTAGGCGACGACCCCGCCGAAGGACCAGCCTGGCACGTCGGGCGCGGCGTCTCGGTGGTCAGCGTGAAGCAAGGCGGAGGGACGGTGGACAGAACGCACCGCCGAGGACGCAGTCACTGACCGCTTCTCGTCTCTGCGCAGCTCGTCGAGGAGCAGCCGCGCGTAGGAGGCGGCCATCGCGACGATCGTCCCGCCCTCGTGCGGCGGAGGCGGCGAAGTGCGTGTTCCGGATGGCCCAGACGTCGCAGCCGAGGGGCGGGAGCCGCTTGTAAGGCCCAACAAACCACTCCCGTCGTGGACGAGCACGAGCGTGCGCGCGTGCGCGGGCCCATGCTGCAGTCTGACCAGCTCGGGTCCCGATGAGAGCGCAGAGGGTGGCGAGTCTCTGTCTTCGGTTCGGGCTTCCTCGATGCCCGGCGGGCTGCCCCCTTCGGTGCCTACGTTCGCGTCGCAGAGGACGATCCCACTGTCGACCGCTGGTAGCGAGCATTTGCTTCGCGCCTGCGCCTCCTCGACGAGTCGCACGATGTCGGTCACGGTCTCCGAGTCCGCTAGGGAACGTGGGCTGAGTTCGCGCGCGTCCGTGGGGAGCAGCTTGCGCAGGCACGCGGACACCTCCCAGAGCATGAGTGAGTCAATGCCCAAGTGCGCGAGCCGCGCGTTCGGTGCGATCGCGGCGCGCGGGAGGCCAGCGGTGTCCGCGAGAATTTGAAAGACGTTCTCTCGGACGGAGTTCGCGCTTTCGGCCGTGAATGCAAAGGTCTCCACGGACGACGCCTGGGGAGTGGAGTCAGGGGGCTGCGCGGCGGTGGCGAACGCACGCTGGAGGCTGGCGACGGCGACGTTGACGAAGTGGACGCGCTGGAGGCGCGCGATGATCTGTCCTGGAGCTTTTTCGTCGTCGATGGCCATCGCGTACACGTCTACGAGGACGCCGCGCCCCGACGCGTCGACGATATGCGCGTACACCGCGGCGCGCGCTGCGCCCTCGACTTCGTCTTCCGGAAAACACACGGCGTCGACGCTGTCGCAGATGAGCGCATCGCGACCGTTCATGCCATGCGTCAAGTTGGCGAGGAAGCCGGCGACGTGGAAAAGGGTGTCGACGAAGATGGGCGAGCGCATGTGCGGCTGGTTCCCTGTGGGGATCTGCGTGACGGCGTACGCAGCGGGGAATGGGGATGACGCGTCGACGACAAGGGTCTGGATGGTGCGGTACTGAGGTGAATAAACGACAAATGGGGGGAATAGATTGTCATAAACGTCCTCCGTCGAGAATTTCTGGAAGCCGGATGGTTTGCTGAGGGCCAGTTCACGAATCCTTGAGTCTAGCACGGCACGGACGCTGAGAAGCTTCCTCGCGCGACGTGCGAGAGACACGGTCTTCAGATATCCGGTGCAGTGCGCCTGAGTTAAGTTCGGAGCGTTGACGGTACTGACGGTGAATGATGCCTTTTGCTTGTGGTCGGAGGGAAGAGACGATATGTCGGCGCGGATCTTGGCATCTCTGTTCTGCAGATACACGAGCGGTGTCGTGAATTCGACCGCGACCAGATCGAAAGGACTTGTAGAATCAAAGGCCCCTGCAGAAGACTTCCCAGCTGCGTGAACCAGCTCCGCATATACCGACGCTGGACAAAGCGGAGTGCCGACGATTTGATGACCTTCAATGAGCTCTGCGAATGTGCGTAGGGGAATATCTAGTACATCGCCGAATGCTCGATCCGAGCGTTCCGACCTTTCTGAATCCCCAAGACCTTGTGACGCGAGAGACTCATGGGATGTCGGCCGCTCCTGGTACGGGACCCAGAAGCGCGTCTGCTCGAAGGGATACGCCGGAAGGTCGACCAGTTGAGCGTGGGGGGTAAGGTCTGCGTAGACGCATCTCCACCGAATGGGTGCTGCGGTGCGGTATAGCTGCACGAGGGACGCGCACAAGACGTCAAACGCCGAAGCGCCCCTGCGCATTGAAGGAAGGGCGAGTGGCTCCATCTGCTGCGAGGTCGTGTGCAGATGCTGAATGTCGCGGAGAAGAGGGAGAGTGCTGGTATGTGAGCCGATCTCGATGAACGCTGCGACGGTGGAGAGGTCGATGGAGGACCGCAGTGCAAGAGCCGCTTGCTGGAACTTGACGGGCTCGCGGGCGTGCCGTGAGAAGTACTCCGAGGTGAATGTGCTGTTGTCCCCTGGCTCCACCAATGCGCCTGTGACGCCAGAGAAGATCGGGATAGTTGGGGAGACCATGTCATCGTCGACGCGACCTGATGAAGACCGTCGAGGATAGGGTCCATTGCCGCGGAGTGTGAGGCATAAGGGATGTCCAAAATGACGCAGCGTATTGCTTGGGCCTGGCATACTCCGGAGAAGGCGTTGATGTCCTCATAAGGTCCGCCTACGGTGAAGAGCGAAGCGCTGGGGACGTTGATTAAGTATAAAGATGGCGGATGATCTGGTCGTAGATCCCACCTATTGTAGCAGCAAACGGTGATATCTGGAAACGCAACTAGCAGGCTTGCGAGTTTGTCTGCGGAGATTGCAATGGACGCCATAGACGTCTTCCCAGGCTCGCAAAGCGAAGTGACCAACCGCGCCCGAGCTACTACTAGTTTCAGGGCATCTCGCAAAGTGAGGACGCCAGCAAGGGCGAGTGCAGCAAACTCCCCGAAGCTGTTCACGACGACTATTCAGAACCAATTATGATGACACAAGAAGTTGGGCGTACCTATGCCCGATCAGTGCGCAGGGCTCCAAGCCCCAGCTCACCCAGAGTTTCGCAAGCGCGTACTGTAGCACGAAAAGCGTGCTCTCCAGCAGCCCCTGCTGCTGTGTCTTCGAGTTCGGATCAACGAAGAGGTCTCGAAAACCCGCATAACCCCAGTCGTGAAGCGTTTCAGCGCAGTTGTCGACCAACTGTGTGATAAAAGGGATGCTCCGGTAGAGCTCTGCGCCCACGCCAGCGTACTGCTGGCCTTGGCCAGAAAAAACGAACACCACCCTGTCGGCTTCTGAAGCGATGCGGACAGGGGCGGTAGAGAGGGCGCGGAGAATGTCCTCTTGTGTGCGGCCGCTCACTGCTATCCGGTACGAGTGCAGCTGGCGTCGAGCGGTGCAGGAGTAGGCGAAGGATTCGAGGGCGGCGGGGTGATCTGCTGTTGCTTTGAGGTGGTCGAGGTACGCCCGGCGGCGTTTCTCCGCCGCGTCTGCAGTCCGGCACGAGAGAGCGACGACGAAAGTGGATGACGACCGAGAATAATCTCTAGAGGTAGAGTGTGGTGCAACGGGCACGTACTCTTGCAGTACCAGCGCAGCGTTCGATCCGCTGGCCCCGAAGTTCGAGAGGAGTGCCGTCCGTGGCCGATTCTCAACTTGACGCCATGGAGTGTTCTCCAAGTCAATGAGGATGTTGTTAACAGAGAGATCTGGGATAGCTGGGCTGAGCTGCTGGAACGAGACGTGCCGGGGAATCGTTTGCTCTCGCAGCATGAGCAGCAGCTTCGCCAGGCTCGCGGCTCCAGAAGCGGCCTCGCAGTGTCCGATATTTCCTTTGACGAAGGTGACATGGAGCGAATTGTCGCGCGGGCGGTCCATCGCGAGAACGGCCCGGATCGCTTCCGCTTCCGCGGGGTCCCCCGCTTGAGTACCAGTCCCATGGCACTCAACGACATTAAGATCCAGAGGATCGACGCGAGCGGCCGTCAGGACGCGCTTGAAGAGGGCGATCTGAGACGGGACGTGGGGATGGGTGATGGACCGGGCGTTCCCAGACTGGTTCACTTCGACTCCTCGGATGACGGCGCGGATCCGGTCGTTGTCCGCAACGGCATCTTCGAGACGCTTGAGGACGAATAGGCCGCATCCCTCGGCGCGGCAGTAACCGTCGGCGCTTTGGTCCCACGGTCGACATTGACCTGTGGGGCTGAGGAAGTGACCGCGCGCAAGCCCGAGATACATCTAGTGCGGGCTTGGTGAGTGAATGGAAGAGGGAAACGAGGAACTCACGTCGGGGCTTGTGATGACGTTCACCCCGCCCGCGAGGGCCGCATTGCAATCTCCGGCTTGCAGCGCACGACAAGCTTGGTGAATGGCGACGAGGGAGGACGAGCATGCAGTATCCAAAACCATGGACGGGCCGCCAAAACCAAAGGCGTACGCGAGCTTCCCGGCGAGAAACGAATGTATTGTGCCTGAATGGAGCTGAGCTTTTCCGGGTAGGAGAGTTCGGGGTGCGAGACATACCTGTCGTATAGTAGACGTCGATGTCGTTCCGGAGATTGTGCACGTAGTCATTGGTCGCGGCGCCGACGTAGGTGCCAAACGTGTTGGGGTCCGAGGACGGTGTGGAGTCTGGAAGGTAGCCAGCATCTTCGAGTGCGTTGTAGGCGACCCGTAGAAGCAAGCGTTGTTGTGGGTCCATGTTCTGCGCTTCGCGAGGCGAGATGCGGAAGAAAGAACAGTCGAACGTGTCTGGGTTCTTGAGGAAGTTCCCATGGACGACGTCCATTGTCCTTGAACTGCCAGTGCGTTGAGCGTAGCAGGATCTGTCGAACCTGTCACATGGGATCTACCCGACATTGGGTTGAGTATCAAGTAAAAAGAGGAGTCGCCAAAAGCGGATACCTCGGAGACGGTGTTCACACTATGCTTGAGGACGTCCCAAAGTCCTTGGGCGTCTTCTGCTCCAGGAAGCTCGCAGGCGAAGCCCACAATTGCGATGTCTGGAAATGATGAGCCGGGAAATGAGAAGTTCGACATCTTGAACGTTGAGTAGGAGCAGGGCCTGCAGGGGAAGTCGACGGAGGCATCAGGGCGGCGAATGAGACTTATAGGGCGCGATGAGAGACGGCGCCGGTGACAGGCGGCGAGTTATGGCGGTATAGAAGAGCAAAGGAGAAGGAATTGGGGCGAGCAACGCTTCGCACGTGGTCTCCAAAGCCTCTGATCAAACATCGTCGTCCGACCGATCCCAGCCCTAGTCTTGCCTGCCACGTGTGCGCCCCCGGGCCGGCTCCGAGTTTCCCCCGGCGCTTGGCACTTGCCTGGCCATCGCCCTCCTCGTACATCTCTCTCTTATGCGTCTCTCTCTCGCCCTCACATGTTTTGCTGCCCCTGGTTCGCCCAAAGCACAAACATCCAGTGTCTTCTGGTGCGAAATTGTGCCTTTTGGCACAGAACAGTAGCTTATGAAGATTATTCCAGGCATATCACCACTGGATGTGACGTTTGCCGAGCCTGATAGAGGCTTTCAAAGTCTCGCGACCCTATGAACCTATGGATGCGTTCGTGTGAGCATTCACCGTCTATCTCTACTGGTCCTTTTGAAAGTGACATACCGCCGGAGTAGACCTTTCCAAATGCCATAGCTTGGAACTGGTCGTACAGCGCCAGCACTCCCGCGCTCGCGACCCCGCGCACGATGTTCGCGCCAGCGCCCTTGAAGAGCGAGCGGAAGCCTTCCTTCGCGACGATCTGGGACCCGGCGTCCATGATGGACTTGTAGTGCACGCCCGTGCCCGACGTCATCATCATCCGGCGCCTGCGCGGCGGAACAAGCTGAGTTCCATACCGTCCGGCGGGGAGAGAAGAACGCTCACCTGAGGGTGTCAAGCGGGTACGACCCGAACCCGGCGAAGCTGGTGACCGCCCATCCCAGCATGAACGACGCGAGGAAGGATCCCTGCAGCGGCCCGACGAGCACCACCGGCTCTGCACGGCCTGGTCAACACCCCGTTCTGCCCGCGAAGAAGTCATAGGACGCACTCAACGAGTCGTAGCAGCCAAAGTACAGCCCGCGGTACACGATGATCCCCAGCACGCTCGGCACGAAGCCGCGGTAGAGCCCCACGATGCCGTCGCTCGCGAGCGTCTTGCGGTAGACGTCGACGAGACCCTTGTACTGGCGCTCCCCCCCGGCGCCGGCCTTGACGGACTTGGCGTCGTTGGCGAGCCGCGTGCGCGCGAAGTCGAGCGAGTACACGAACACGAGCGACGCCGCGCCCGCGGACGCGCCCGCCATGAGGTTCCCCGCGGCCCACGCCCAGTAGCCGTCCTTGTCCTTGCGGAATCCGAAGAGCGCCTTAAAGTAGTCCTCTGTGCGTGGGTGCCAATGGACGCGCGTTCAAGGTTCGAAGCGGGTCCGGATGCGACGGAGGAGAGCGCGGTGTATATGGTGAGTCCCCCAAAAGCATGGTACATAGCACATCAGGACTGACGTACTGAAAGCGAAGTTCAGGGCCTGTGTGGGGAAGTACCGGACGATGTTCGCGGTGTTGCCCCGCCAGAGCGCGACGACGCCCTCGTCGCCGTACGTCCGCATCAGGCAATCCCCGATGCCCTTGTACGGCTTCGCGAGTCGCCCTTGCTTGATCTGTCAACGCACAGGTCAGTGTCTTCCCCACGAGCCACTCGCGGCGTGCACAGGCTCAATCCCGTCTTCTCCAGACTGCGAAGGACCGGGCACCGGGCCGGACGCCCGGCTCACGCAGGACGGGTGGCACGAACAGACTGGCACGCACCATCTCGTCCTGGTTCTGGATGAGCAGCTTGATGCGCTCGAGCGGCGCCGCCGCGGTCTTCGAGATTGTCTGGAAGGCACCAACCCGTCAGCTCAACCCGCTCCGGTCTCGAGAGCCGCGCCGTGGAGAAACGGACGTACCGCAGACACGCCGCCCATCATGAAGTCGACTGCGCGGAGGCGCGATGGATCAGCGCGCTCGCATGTGAAAGGCTGGACCGGGGGAGGTGCGCACCAGCGAAGTCCTTCGCGGACTTGGTCTTCTTAATTTCGGCCATGTCGTCTAGGTGTGTGTATAACGCGGAGAAAATATTACGAGAAGGGTTTAGGCGAGAATATGCAGAGAGAAGAAAGGCTGAGTGGGGAGGTGGCTCGAGGCCGGAACGGTCTAGCGGAGTCGAAAAACTGGAGAGGACGCTGGAATCACTGAGGACTCGACAGCTGGATCGATGGTCCCCCGCTCCGTCCCCGCCCGTTTAAATCATGGGCCCAGCGGAAGCAGAAGGGGAGCCGCAAAGGCATAGTCCCGGGTCGCGCTCGGGGCGCACCGGAAGGACAAACTGCAAGGCGGTGTCGTAGCCTTGTAAACGTGCAGCACGTCTCCCTCGTCTGATGCGCCCCTTATTATACATGTGCACGAGCGATTGCGAGGGACTCATCTGTTCAGAGAGCGGATATAAGTCCGGGTTTACTATCGCGCAGAGGTATGCCGTTGGCACCCCCCAGTTCCGACTTCCAATGTTGACTGGCAACTGGGGCTCGTACACAGCGGCGCAGTGCGTTTCATGCTGAATTTGGTTGCCCTATCGGAGGGCGAGTCAGTCGAATGGTCGGCACCGAGACGGGAGCAATAACGGCGCGAGGCACTTCGGTCATGAGATCCGAGTCGCCAGCTTTCGGACCCACCAGAGACTCGAGACGTCGAGAAGAGTATGCAGGTAGTGTCTATTCGTGAATGCGCGTATGAAATCAGTGCAAAAGTCGATACAAGATGTCCGTGGGGTGACGACTAACGTAAGCGGCAATACACAACTCTACAGAATAAAGGAATGCGACGACAGCAGCGATGGGTCCTGGGGCAGCAGGTAGTTACACGGGTAAAGAACAATAGAGGAAAGGGCGGATTCGTGACGACCACTGGGGTCGCATTGCAGAGACAACCGCGGTACACTACTAGGAGCACACGTAGTCCGAATCGATGTCGGCCATACCGGTGATGAATATAGTCCGCATCCTGGTATCATAGTGGTATATCGGATACGACGAGGACATAAACCTTGGCAGCGACGTCCGATAGTTCAGTAACTGAAGATCATGAGCCACGGGTTCAGGACAATCTGCACAGATAGATGAGCGATGGAACGATAATCGGACCCGTTCTAGACACTCACAGGGAACAGGATGTGGCATCCGACGACGACAGCGAGAGGGAAGATGACAGCCCACGCCGAGCCGTCAATGCGCCACTCGAGAGGAACGAGCGACGTGCTCAGGATGATCATTCCAAGCACGACGACCCAAGACACCAGCCAGGAGAACCAGAATCGCTTGAAGATCTTTGGCACCTCCTTGAAGAAGTTCGAACGTTCAACCTCCTTCTTCGTGGCGCCCCAAGTCATGTTGTACGAGAAGGTGTGCGCCAAGATCGCCTGGGTCACCGGGATCGACAGGCCGCCGAAGAAGAAGAAGCTGCAGAACATATGTGTGAGTCGGTGGATACGCCGAACACGTGGTGTGAGAACATACAAGAACGGAATCCACAGGATGTTCTCGAACAGCGCGGACATCTACGCCCGATGGTCAACACGACTGCTCGTACGACCTGTATAGATCTACTCACGATTGACTTCTCGCCGAGACGATACTCGAGAAGAGTGAAGCCAACATTTCCTGATCCAATGAAGACGACGGTGGTAGCCAGCCAGATTTCGAAACTGTGCATGTAGAAGCCGTCTATGGGGAACTGGAAGCCGAGCAAGATGTAGTTCAAGATACTGATGGTGATCGAGGCGGCGATACCATCTGAGACGGCCCCAATGAGTGATCAAGCGCGCGCGCGCGATGAGAGCAGCACTTACAGTACGAGAACATGTACGCCATCATAGAGAACTTGTAATGCAGAGGTGCTGCTGACCACAAGAACCTGTGGATCTGGTGCGCGATCGGGCCCTTGCGCCACCACTGCAAAACAGGGTTGAAGAGCAGCTCGTTGCAGCCTACATCCGTATAAGCATGATGCATGCGCATACAATAACGCGTACTCACCGTATGCGTATTTTTGCCACCGATTTAACTCGTCGTCGACGGTGAGAGAGACACCCTCCTTGAAGCCGCCCTTGGAGTACGTGGACCAACGAATGATATAACCACGCATTTGAAGCCTCAAGGCCATGTCGAAGTCTTCAGACACGTTTGACTCCGACCAGATCTTCTCCAGACCGTCTGCAGGGTCAATGAAGGCCGCATCTTGGATCGCCTTCCAGCGCAGGAAAGCATTGTGGCCCACGAACGGCGCAACCTCGCCATTGGCGCAGCCTATAAAGTGCCCGTCAGAAAGCGCCCGAGAGACGCTCAAAATACGCACTGAACGAGATACACCTGTTGATCCTGCGGGTGAAGTACGCGATGCCGTTCTCAAAGTAGTGATGCGCGACCTGCATGACATCGGACTCATGCTGGATGATACCGACCGTGGGGCATTCCGCCATCTCGCGCGCAGCATCCCGGAGGCAGTCTTCTGGAACGACGGTGTCGGAGTCGACGATCAAGATGATCTCGCCTAGACGGCAAGCACGACCGTTCGCAGCCCAAGGTCGGAACTGGCGTCCGTTGGCTTCGTAGACCTCGTCGATGGCCATCTGTAGTGATTTCTCCTCGAGGTCGTCCCATTCGTCGGTAGTGTTCGAACCAGTCTCACTGGAGGTCCGCACGCGCTGACCGAATCCCGGGTGCAAGGAGCCTTGATCTTCGCCATCATGGTTCTGGTACTGCATACCGTAGCGCATACGCTCGTCGCTACCTCCAGGGGCAGAGGCGTTTGGGCCCTTCTCTTGAGAGAGGAGTTGGGAGAGATGTTTCTCTGCCTTGAGAGAGAGCGCCAAAGCGTAGTTCATGTTCGACGCCTTCTTGAAGCGACCAGCACGCTTGAAACCCCCAGCGGCGTTGTCGTGTTTGGGTCGGGCGACCCAGCCGATACCGTGATTGGCATAAAAGAGGATTCGGGCGTCTCTTTCTTCAACAGGAAGGAGGCGAAGACCGTCGTCGTTGATGAAGATAGTTGATGTTCCGCCCTGACGAGCGTAGGTCTGCATGGCCTTCTTGATGGACTCGATCGAGGGGGCCCTAAGACGCAATCAGGATGGTGCAGTGCCTATAGATAGATAATACTAACAAGACGGTATCGAGACCTTCTTTGTAGACAGGCATCTGAATGGTGATGTGGGGGAGTGCATTGTCGACGATCTTGTTGGGGCGAGGCTTGACAGCTGAGTAATACTTGGAGTTCTTATGGAACTGCGCGATCGGGCCGAGGGCCATCGAGACATTCTGGATAATCTGGAGGGCGAAAAACTAATTTTGTGTGGAGTCAGGAGATGTATATGGGACGCGAGGATGCGTTGGCACGTACGAGTGATACACAGAAGAACAGCGGCAACAGGGCGGCAAGTGCCAGGCGGATGAAATTGCCATCAAGCTGAACCTCTTGGAGTAGAATATTCACACCGTTTCCGATGAAGACTGTGCGCAGATGAGTCCATGTGGGGATTGACGAAGCGAACACTACTCACATATACTCAGACCAGCTGCCAGTCCATTGTAGATGGGAGCGAGAAGCATTGGCCGCCTCGGCTCGGGGCCCGCTTCGACGTCAGCGTACGCGTCGATCCCATCTGGCCTCTCAACGACGACGGTCTTCTTGCCACCCCACCACGTACGCTTGACCTTCGTGGTCGAGCCGACCGGCGTCTCCTTCACGATGGGCTCCTTGTCCATGGTGAGCTCTTCAACGCTCATGCCAAGCACACCTCCAGAGCCCACGAAGACTCCACGAGGAGTACCAGGGGTGGGAGTACCGGCACCCATACCAGAGTTCCGCTGTGTCTGGGCATTGGACAGGCGAGCATTCAGCTGTTGCAAAGAATGTCCAGAAACCGAGCCTGTGAACCAAGGGGAGCGTGAGTCATAGTAGACCAAGCCAACGTTGATAAGCCTAGCGGCACATACCTGCAAGGCTGCCAGGGTGGCTAGTCGAGCTGGTCGGATGAGAGCTGGCAATTCCTCCCGGTCGAGAGCGCCAGAGCAGCTTGATGAGCCTTTCCTCGAAGTCGTGGCATGTGGGGATGATGTTGTCGATGGAGTCAGACCACACTAACAGGACACGCTCGTCGCGCTGCAGTCGATATGTTAGTAGCTGAAGATTCAACAGCGAAATATAATGCCATAAGGGTTCAAGGCGCACGATGTCCGCTCTGCTGATGAAAGAAAAGAGACAAGAGAAACCGCACGGCCCGCTCCTCCGCTCCCTTCCATCAAGAAGCGCCCTTCAAGCGCCCAAAAGGCGGTGGCTGTATCCTCACAGGCACAACACATGCACAGATCTTCCATCATCAGACTTCAACCAAATACCCAACCCGCAAAATGAAGGCACAACGTGAGTGAGCCCTTCCAAGTTCCAACAACGTACACCTGCATCGGTGCTGGGAAAGCACGCGCCGACCCGTCGACCACAGAGCCGCACGCGTCGCGTTCCTCAACCAGTGCGTGCTGTCGGACGTCAACATCGCATCCCGAGCACATGGCTGCGGGCAGGCCTACGCGGAGGCTGATATGAACAGAAGACGGCGAAGCACGAGCTGGGTGCGCCTTCCACGCGCCTCACGGAACAGATGTTGGGCCGCGCGGGCGAGGAATGCACAGCAACGGAGACGAGCCTAAGCGAAAATGACACTCACAATGAACGCTGCGAGTTGTTCCTTATCGGCCGTGGGAAGGTCCGACATGGTGTCCAAGATCTGAATGCGCGTGTTCGCGTCTATGTAGATGGACGCGTCCTGAGGGCCGCTGCGTAGATGGTGAGTAATGTCATATCAGCTCGGAGCGCACTATGATCAACACGTACACTTCAGCAAACGCGGCGTGCACGGCCGCGCTGCGAACTTTGACCGCAACCGCAGGGTTCAAGGCGCGAATGGCGGTCTCGAACGGTTCGAGGCCCAGGTTCTCGTACGGAAAGACGCGGTACTCGCCATTGTCGACACGAAGGGCGACGCCAACAGCAATGTTGTCCTCGTTGGGTCGGAACCAGGCATCGCCCTGGGTCTGCTTGAAGATGTGGTGCAGAAAGGCGTCGTACCGGTCGTAATCCATCTTGGGACCGACACCACAACCAAGGCTAGGGAGGCTCGGAGGGGACAGCTACAAGATGCGAAAGGACGGCAGTGGGTGGCGAGAGGACGGGAGGGGAGGGGAGGCGGAACGCGGGCTGGAGTCGAGGGAAGGGGAGAAGAGGGTGCGGCGACGCGTGCGGTCGGAGGGCGGACGGGCAAGCGGCAGCAGAACGCATGGGATGCCGGCTTCTTCAGGAAAACAGGTTGCGGCGAGGCGTTCGCACGAGTTGGAACGACAATATCCGGCAAGCCCCCGTCGGCGTCCCTTATCGAAACCTCCCAATCAATGCCGCATGGGTGCAAAGGTGCGCGTCTCTGGCTTTTTTCGGCTCGCGTTCTCCATGGCTTCGTCCCGGCGCTCCCCCGGCCGCTCTTCACCTTCGTGAGACTCCCACCGAGCTAGTGCTACACAGGTGCGGTTTCGGGTCCTCCAAGCCGCCGTGGAAGATAAGCCGACAGCACCAACAGAAAACCTGCTCGTAGACACACCCTTGGTAGGCCATTGTGCTCCCGCGTAGATCACTGTAGTCAATACGACAGTTCGTGAAGGACCCCGGAACCACTACCATCAAACTTTGTGATTGTAAGTTGTGACGTCACCAGTGTCTGCGCCGGCCTATCTGTGCCATGAGTGTCCCGTGGATTGCACTGCGGTGGTCGCACGACGTGGGCAGATGAAGGCATATGCCCGTCGTAAACCCGGCCGGCGACCTGCGGCCGGGCACCTTCCTAGCACCTCTGTGTGAGGGAACGCCTCGCCGTTTCGGCGGGGATTGGGATTTCATTCGCCGCGCCGGCAGAGTGTATATGTCTCTCTGCGCAATCCTACTTCATGAGACGTATATGATCCCTCAATGAAACTGCCCTACGTGGTGCACTCTGGGTTCGGCATACTTGCACACCTCGCTTGGGGCCACCACCTTCGCGCGCCGCCGGGGGGATTTGCGCGGGTGAGAGGAAACAAGCAGGCGTCGAGCCGATGCCGAAACCGACGTCGGAGCACGCTGCCGTTTGGAGCTCGAGAACCGGGGGAGTGGGTCGGGCGTTTGCGGAGCACTACGCCCGGGACCCCGGATACTTGCAGCCGTGTTGGAACGCCGCGCTGGTTCGACGACGCATCCTCGCCGAAGAGCGGCTTATCTTGAGAAGCTGCAATGACCGCAAAAAAGGGTCCGCCCAGGTTGTTTCCTCGCGCTCTCCTCCCTCCCGCAAGGCGTTCCACCCCCTCCCTCTTGCTTCCGGTCCACGACGACTCGTCCCTCCGTAGCATTTAAACCTCATCCCCTCCCCGACCATGTACGCCCGTCGCAGGGAGTCGACCGGTCGCTCCGCGTACTCGTCTGCAGACGCCTATCGCGCGCTCGGTGGTTCGGGGCCCTCCAGCAACTCTCACTCAGGCCACGGACACGCCGACTCCAGCGAAGACGAATCTCAGCTCCAGCGCTACACCACCTCCCCCGTCGCGGAAAACTTCGCCACCCACCGCTCCCCCGAAGCCTCTCGCGGTGCGACGGCTCTTTCGCCGCCGCGTCCTCAGTTCACTGCCGACAATCGTACTTCCTGGAGCTCCGAGAACAACTCATACGCCGCCGGTGAGCAGAGCGATTCGGACGGCGTTGCCCCTCCCGTTCCCAGCAAGGGTGCGAACCACAAGTCCGTCCGGCCCGTCCCTCGCGGCAGCTACGCGCGTGCGCGCCAAGAGGCGATTGCTGCAACTCAACCTATCTCGCCTACGAATCCTCGCATACGCGCGCGGAACCATCGCCGCCGCTCATCGATAGCTCAAGAGTACGCTGTGGAGGCCGAAGGAACGGACGTCGCGTCGACGACTTCCCACGCGATGTCGGTCCCCAGCGGGCAGGCGCCCAACCCGTTCGACACGCCGACCAACTCGTTCTACAGCGCCATTCCTGGCAGCCCTGCCTCGCCGACGAGTGGCCGCGCTCCTCCATCGGCGTTCCCTTTCCTTTCCCACCCAGGGAACCCCGATCCGGGCACCCACATCCCCGGCATGGGACGTCGCTCGTCCGTCGAGAGCCTGCGGGCGCGTGAGGCCGCGCATCAACGGTCGCCCATCTCGCCGAACTACACCGGAACGGCTTATCCTGCTGCAGGCACCGCTGCGGGCTACGGCCCCCTCGCCCACGACAACGCCAGCATGGGAGACCTCGGACGCCCGTACGCGCCCTTCATGGAGAACGGCGGCGTGCCCTCGCGCGAGGGAAGCGCGACACCGCCGAGCCCGATGGGCAGCCAGAACGCCCTTTACATGTCGAGCGCGGCCGCCGCCATGAACGCCAGCCAGACTCACATTCAGGGCGCCGGTACCATTCCGCGCTCGCAGTCCAGTCCCGCGCTGAACATGCGCGCGCCATTCCTGTCGCCCGCTTCGCGCCCGTCGTCGACGGTGTGGTCGCCGCCGGCCTACCCCTTCCCTTATCCCCCGACGCAATCGGCGTCGTCAACCTCCGGGTTCGTGCGCAAGACAAAGCCGCTCATGCCTTCTTCTCGCTTGTCCCAGAAGCTCTCCACGGAGGACAAACCGTGGTTGAAGAAGCGGGATTGCCGCGACCGCACGTCTTGGTGGCTCACGTTCGTCTGTTTGTGGCTCGGCGTCGGCGGCGCTGCGGTGCTCTGCTTTTTCGGTTGGAATTCCGTTCTTATCCTGAAGGACTCCGACCTCTGCCTCGTCCTCGAAGACAACTTCGACACGCTCGACCTCAACACCTGGACGCGTGACGTCGAGCTGGGTGGCTTCGGCAATGGCGAGTTCCAGATGACCACAAACTCGGACAAGAACCTCTTCGTTCAGAACGGGGAGTTGTATATCTTGCCGACTTTGACCTCTGACGAGATTGGTCTTGGGAAGATCACTGATGGTGGGAGTTACACTCTCGACGGTTGCACCTCTAACAATAAGGTGAATATCTCATTCCGTTGTATGGGGTAGGATTCTCATTTCCCATGTCTGCCACAGAGTGCCTGCGAGGTTACGTCCAATGCCGGACAACACCAAGCCATCCAGCCTGTGCAGTCTGCCCGTCTTCACACCGCCAGCTCTACCACCATTGCGTTTGGTAAGGTCGAAGTTAGGGCGAAGATTCCCCGAGGCGATTGGCTATGGCCTGCAATCTGGATGCTTCCCAAGGACAGCAAGTATGGCCAATGGCCGCTCAGCGGCGAAATTGATGTGAGTATTCTTGACCCCTTCTTGTATCACTTGCTCGCGCGCGATACTGACATAACACTGTAGCTCATGGAGGCTCGCGGCAACGCTCCGTCGTACCCCGCCCAAGGACGGAACTTTGTTCGGAGCTCGCTCAACTACGGCCCTCTCGCCTCCCTTCCAACTCAGATCTTCGGGTTCATCTCGCAGAAGCAGTCGTCGTACGACAAGGACTTCCATGTCTACGCCCTTGAATGGACGCCTGACTGGATGCGCTTCTACGTCGACTCGCGTCTCACGGCCATGATGAACTTGAAGATCACAGGCAAGGGTGGCAAGGACTTCTTCAAGCGCGGCAACTACCCAGAGACCTCGACTAACGGTTCCAACGTCGCTGTCGTCGTCGAGGACATCTGGGCTGAGCAGGGCGGCCAGGCCGCAGCGCCCTTCGACCAGGGTGAGTTCTGCTTACTGTACGGGTTCCCACCGCTGGGCGACTCGTGGCTGGATAGGGCTGTTCTGACCGCTTCGGGCTCTATTCTTGGCATCCTCCAGAATTCTACCTGATCCTGGATGTCGCTGCCGGAGGCACTAGCGGATGGTTCCCGGACGGCGTCGGCGGCAAGCCCTGGTTCGACGGCTCGAACACCGCGATGTTTGACTTCGCCAAGGCGCAGTCGACTTGGTCGGCGACGTGGCCGTCGGACTCTGCAGACCTAGCAATGCGGATGTGAGTAAAATGTCTTTCTTTACATCCGTCCCGAACCCTGGATGCGCGTAGAAGTTGACGCTGACTGCCACTACTCCACAGCGACTATGTGAAGATGTGGAAGCTGGGCTCCTGCTAGGTGCTATCGCCGCCGACGCCGCTGCACCTGCGGCTTTTCGCTGTTTTGCCCTCATACTGAGACGGACTCAGACCTTAGAAGACCCTTGCATATACCTGCATACCCGTTAGCACACACGAGTTCACCCCCTGCGCTTAGAATCGCCCCGCTTTTTCCCCACTGCTCTGCTAGTACTGTATGATTATGAGCTCCTCTATAGTTCTGGGTCCTTGCGGTCGTTCGTCCCCCGCTCATGCGCCGTTGCGCTTCCGTTCTTTGCTTCTCGCTCTCGGTAGTTCCTAGTCCCCGTCTGTGACGAACACTTCCACGCATCATCATGAACACTGTCTCCGTTAGCTCTGAGCCTCTCCATTGCCGCTTCTACATAGCCATACACCCGTACTGTCGTTATCGCCTGTTGTCCATCGTGTATACGACTATCTTACTGCCAACACGCACACTCGCGCGCGCCGCCGTTGACATGATCCCACCACCCTGCCCGCCGCCCTCTACGCCATCCGAAGCAGAACAAGGTGCGTTCTAGCCCCGCGATTGCCTCATCGGTGCGTCATAGCCCTCTGTGCCCATCAATTGCTGTCACCCTCGCAGATGCTGCGTTATCGTGCGAGCCCCGCTGGCCCGTGCGTGCGGCCGCGCTGGCGCGTCGAGATTGGTTTTGTGTCCTTCGCGGGACGCAAGCATGTACTTCGGCCGCTCGGGCGCTCCGGCCGGCGCCCCTCGAAGGTGCACCAGAAACAGATGTCCTCCGGTTCCTTCACAGTTCGGGCGTCCCGCCGGAATCCCCCAGAGGTTCCCATCGCGGTCGACGCGCTTCCGGTTCCGGACGCACATCCCTCGCGCGGGCGTCGGCGGTCGGTGTTTGCTGGAAATTTTCAGCGGGTCGGACGCGCTCCGAGGTCCAACGGATGTCGCGCGGCGCGGGCGGAGGACGCCGCGCGACGTGCACTAATCTGGGGCGGCGCGACACGCCGATTCCACTCGCCCCGTCGGCCTTGTCGGGCATCGATGGCAGAGGACTCGACGGTGATTTCGACGTCGGTGCGGCGATCATCGCCCTCGCGGGTGAAGGAGCAGAAGGCGTCTTTCCTGCAGGCTGAGGCTGCCAGGACGCGTGTAGCTTACGCGAGGGGGCCGTGATCTCAGCGCTCGCGCTCCCCGTCTCGGGGATGTTCTTCGGGGGTCTGGAGATAGGCACCAGCTGGGAAGCACCCAACTCTCGTGGCCCAGGATCGAGGAGCACTCTCCGCCGTCGACATCGCGGTCATCGCTCCCGCGCGGCGCGAATCTGCCTCGCGACTCGCGCTCGCGCAATTATACATACCGCACGCTACGTGTCTTGGAATCCTGTGCAATCGCATCTCGTTAGTCTGCACGTACGGCTTCGCCGCGGGCAAGGGCTGATCGCGCGCGCGCGCGCGCGCGGTGTTCGTGTCGGCGATCGCAGCCCTCGCTCGAGCCGGGCTAGATGTGCCGCGTCGGGCAGGCCTGCCACCCGCGGTCACACGTGCGGACGAGGCCGAGCGGGTGTGGCGGTCGGGGCCGACTTTGTGTGGGAGGGCGGGTGTGCCAGGGGTCCTGTCGGCGGGTATTGACGTCGCGGTGGAAACCGAGCCCTCTTTGGGAACTCCAATTTCTGAACTGTGGGAAAATGCGTCCGGCGCCGTGCGGGATGCAGAAAGAGAACAACGAGTGTGTCTGCGCGAGGAGGCGATTGGCGGGGGGTAAGTTGGTGCCTGTTGCCGACACCCACGAGACGGCGATGGCAACCTCCGATGATGCACAACGACGACATGACCTGACCAGTGACATGACGCGCTTGGATGTACAGTATGACGTTGCGTCACGAGACCGGGCTGACCTCGGTGAGATGATGACCTGTTCTCGGCAATGACATCATAATTAAACAAGCATCTGGTTATGTGACGCATACTTATTGAAAAGTGTCGGCGAACTCCGTAGTCGGCCGGGTGCATTCAGTTGCAACGTCTCTGGGAGATTTTCTCCGTCGCCCGTTCCGCAATCTTCTGCACCGCGCGGAGCTGTTGAACGTTGAACTCCGCTGGAAGGCCTGTGGTATCGCGGCTTCGATGTTTACGTTGGGTTCCTGAATCCGGGGCCGAGTTGGGCACGCAACAGTTTCACGAGAAGCAGCCCAAGGTGTCCACAATGTATGCGATATAGCGGGCGAGGAGGTTACATGACAGCGGATACACTGGTGGTGGGAACCCCTTTCGAAGTCGGCCCAACAATGGCGTGGAAGCGGTCGGACGGAGATGTGCCGTTCCCGCAGAAGTCATGTCGGAGTGCTAGAGCTCCGGACAGAATGCCTTGGCACAGTGAGAAGTTTGATCCACTGGAAAACGATGCAGAGGAGAACTTGCCATACGAGGTAGGATCCATATGGTCCAGCCGTGAAACATGAAGTCGCAGGCGGGTCCTATTCAAGTTACAACCTCGAGTGCTGTAGTTGCAGCCATGGATATAGCAATATAGCAACGCAAACGTTGTTGCGAAGACAACATGTTTTGAACGCCAACAACATTAATTGGTAACTTCTCAGAGGCAACACGACAGCCTCATGCCCATTGTCCCAGAGGGTGAAGGCGCACATCACTCACCCACTTGTCCTCAACGCACCAACGCTTGCTACGCAAGTTGCACATCAACTTCTCGTTCGATGATACACACATGTGCACTTTGAATGCCTCTCACTGCTTTCTCCAAACAGCACACCATTGGTATTTCCGCGGCCTCCTCGTACGTCTCCACTCAATATCTGATGCCGACCATAACTCACCTGTCGTATTTGCGAACTCCCTTCGCCTCTCCGCGGTATTGTCTTGTGCAAGTCTGGATTCTCCGTGTTGCCTGCGATGCGTGCACACGATCTGGCTTGTGACACCAAGAACGCGTCGCGTCACTGCCGTCACCGCATTTGTCACGGGATCATGGGCGTCCCGTTGCTCGCGGTGTGGCCACCACCAACGACAGCGTCGCCCATCCTGCCACTGCTATCGCTGGCATCCTCCTCTCTTCCCAGGTAGACCATTCCTCGTCTTTGCGAACTTGCACTCCTCCCTGCACCTCATGAGTGACCGGTCTCTACACGCAAAGGCCATCCTTGGCCCGGATCTCTTTGGCCGTCTCTCGCAGACCAAGGTGCTTCTTGTTGGGGCGGGTGGGATTGGTTGCGAGCTTCGTGCGTATTCCAGCTTTCGCCCCATTGCTGCGAGGGCTCACTCGAGTCTTTTCGCCTATCTTGCATGACTTCACCAGTGAAGAATATCGTCCTCACTGGCTTTGGCGACATCACCCTACTTGATTTGGACACCATAGACCTGTCGAACCTCAACCGACAGTTCCTTTTCAGGAAAAAAGACATCAAGCAGAGCAAAGCTCTGGTACGTGTGCGATCTCACGTTCACGCACGTGTGCATACTCAGCATCTGCTCTCTGACTGATCCACTATGTCTCATAGGTCGCAGCGAAGACTGCATCTGCCTTCAACCCTAGCGTGAAAATTACCCCCATTCACGCCAACATCAAGGAGCCCCAGTTCGATGTCGCGTGGTTCCGGAGTTTCGACATCGTGCTCAACGCGCTTGACAACCTAGGCGAGTACTGTTCCTGTGTTACTGTGGTATATCGACCCCCATGGCTGCTCTCGACGGGGCCCGATTTTCATCCCTGGAACCTCAAACCCACGTATGGGATGGTCGTTTAACCGCGTGTCATTGTTGTCGAGATCCCGTGTCCGTGATGTCGCTGTGCAGAGGAGGCACGCTGAGCTGGAGAGCCCACCCATTGCATGCAACCGCCAGCTGACTCTTCACCGATAGATGCTCGGAGGCACGTCAACAAAATGTGCATGGCGGCTAATGTCCCGCTTGTCGAATCTGGGACCGCCGGGTACCTGGGCCAGGTACAACCTATTCTGAAGGTAAACGCGTTAAAACAATGCCTCCGGTCTCCTCACCAACTCCGGCACCTTATTTTTCTAGGATCGCGCCGAGTGCTTTGACTGCATTCCCAAGCCAACACCCAAAACCTTCCCTGTATGCACGATTCGGTCCACGCCGTCCCAACCAATCCACTGCATTGTGTGGGCGAAGAGCTATCTCATTCCGTGCGTTCTGGTTCTCACCACGGCGTTCATAAGGGGCTGACACACACTTTCTCTAGACAGCTGTTCGGTGAAGACGAAGACGGAGCGGAGCTTGACGAGGCAGAGAAGCAAGGAGAGAATGGTGCGTGTTCGATATCGTTCGACAGTCTACTTCCGTTTGACGAGACGTTTGACGGACAGCGTCGGAAATCGCCGCGCTACGCAAGGAAGCGCAAGCCTTCAAGGCGGTGCGTGAGGCCCTCCGCTCGGTCCCTGCAGGGGACGCGTCGTCGTCAGGTCCTAGTGCGGCGAAACTGGTCTTCAACAAGGTATGTCATACAGCCCACCTAATGACCACGTCCCATCAACGATGACGCTGACTTTGTTTCATTGTAGGTCTTCCATGCCGACATTCTGAACCTCTTGTCCATGGCTGACATGTGGCGCTCACGGGCGCCGCCTATTCCCCTCGACTTCGATAAGATTCTTGAGGGCAGCTTCCCTCTTCTCCGCCCGCAGCAGAACGGTCTACCCCAGCCCCCTCAAAATGGTAACGCCTCGAGCAGCAAGCAACGCGAGACAGTTGGAACCGGGAAGGCCGAAGTCAAAGTCAACGGCACAGCCCCGGTCTCCGTGAACGGTGCCGGCTTGAAGGACCAGCGCGCGCTTTCGCTGCAGGACAACCTTGAGCTGTTTATTGCCAGGTCCGTCGTCTCACATGTCGGCAACAAAAAGCTGATGGTTCGGCGTTCGGCAGCACGGAGCGCCTCGCGGCGCGCATTCGAGGGGGCGAACACACCATCTCTTTCGACAAGGACGACGAGGACACGCTCGACTTCGTCACCGCTGCAGCCAACTTGCGCTCCGCCGCATACGGTATCCCCGGCAAGAGCCGCTGGGAAGTCAAAGGTGCGTGCGGCCGAACATCCTCACCCGCGCTCCGCTCCCTGACGGCTGCTATCTCTCTCACCCGCGATCCGCGCCTCTGCCTCCGCAGAGATGGCGGGGAACATCATCCCTGCGATCGCGACGACGAACGCGATCATCGCCGGGCTCATCGTCCTCCAGGCGCTGCACCTCCTCCGGCGATCGTACGCCGCGCTCCGGAACGTACACGTGCAGTTCAAGCCGTCGATGCCGCTCAGCTCGATCTCGATGTGCCCGCCGAACTCGTTCTGCGGCGTGTGCCGGGACGAGTACGCGGAGGTCTTGTGTGACCCCTCGCGCGTCACGCTCCGCGAGGTCGTCGACGGCGTCCTCGGCGCGGGCGGCGAGGACGGGGACGCGGCGATGCGCGAGGTGAGCGTGTACGAGGACAAACGCGTGCTGAGCGATCCGGACTGGGACGACAACAACGACCGCACGCTCGAGAGCCTGACCGTGACGCGGGGCAAGTTTGTCTCGATCGTGGACGAGGAGGGCGAGTATGCGACAATCCAGGTCGCGATCGGGGTCCTTCCGTGAGTCTGCTTGTGTTATATGTTTGGGCATAGCTAAACGAACGTTTTGGCGTACTAGACCGGACCACCCCGCGGACGGCCCTGCGCTGATCTTGCCCTCGCCACTGCCCAAGCCCGCGAAGAAGGCAAAGCCACCACCGTCAACGCCTACGCCCGTGACGCCTCTCGTGCCGTCGAAAAAGCGTCCCGCCCCGGAAGACGATGGAGTTACGGACGGAGATGGACCCCTCGCGAAACGCGCGAAGACTCTGGGCGCGGTGCCGTTCACCCCGAGCAAAAAGCGGAAGCTGGAGGAGGACGGGGTGATCGTGCTCGACGACGCGGACGAGCAGATAGACCAGGCGGGGACCCGGACGTCATCGAGATCGACTGAGCGCGTTCTCCGCTGCCGCCCTTTTCCGTACAGATACGTCGAGCACAGGACTCAAGCACGCCCGCCCGTTCTCGCCCGTCGGTCTTTGCCCACCGTGGGTGCAAGCCGGGAGGCGCGTTCGGTGCGTGGCCTGTCATTTCGGTTCCTTATGTCGCTAGTATTGGACCTCCCTACATTCGTTGCCCACGTCGTTCATCGCTCTCGCACTCTGTTCTTGGTCGTATTTTTATGTCGCTGTCGTAGTTACATTATTGCTCGCGCTAAGTACTCAAAATACTCCCCATCGCAGATGCTATTCCAGTCCAGGTCCCCACCGCGTTTTTCCAGCGCGCACAGAATTTTCACATCGGAGCTCTCAACGAGCATCGTCACGACCTCCGTCTTGCGGCCTGCCTGTGGTTTGCAGACTACTGATCGATGAGATGGCAATCTGATCTTTTGCCAGGATGATCAGACACCGTCCCGTGACTTTGGACCCATATATTCAACGCGTCGGTGGCGCAAGAAAGTCGCGTTGTTTACACGTGCTTTGATTGGGTGGCAGAACTGGGGACGGACGTGGTGAGATGGAGAATCGTGAGTGCATCGACGCTTCTGAGGTGAATAGACAGTGGTTGATGTCTCTCTGATATCGAGGTGCATTCATTGGCTCTGCCTATCCCTGGAAGCGAGGAAAACGTCGTGTTTTCACGATGTCGAGCAGCGGCCAACTTCGCCATCGACTTTCTGCAGTATGATGTGTTACCGAACGGTGAAATGAAGGGTGCAGTGTACGTCCGCAGTGGCCATTGTCGTGCCGAGCGTATAGGAGATACGGGGATGCACGCCACTGAGTAGCGACCACAATCAAGGAGACAATCGAGGGGCAGCGACCACAACGCTGGTGAGTCTCTCCCACAGCCAATCACATTTTTGCCACTGCCCACCTTCAGCTCTGCCATTGTAAGTGGAAAGACTGATCCACTATTGCACGATTCAGGGGGCTCCCACGGCGAAGCTGAGGACGAGCGAGGATGAGCTCCACACTCCGATGTCGACACCGGAGGGCCGCCGTGCGCCGAGGCCCAAGCCAAGAGCCCAGCTTCCAGAGCCCGCATTGTGTCCAGCAACCACTGCACAGCTAGTGTTGGGTGATCGGGGCGCGCCTCGGCTGTCCATGCAGCTTTCGCCTTTGTAAGGAGCAAGAGACAAACGTCGCGGGACTTTGCTGACTTCCCACGCGCGCCCTGAGATAAGAGAGGGCCATCCGGCTAGGTTACCCTCTCCACCTCAATCCTTTACACTCTTTTCCCCAGGCTCTGCGACCTCGTAATTTCTTCCCCCGTTCCTCATTTTCGCAGCCTAGAAGGCCCGGCATATTCCACGCTCATCCATGTCTCAAGCTTCGGCCACCCTTACCTTCCAGTCCTCCACTAGCCGCCCCAAGCACCACATCTTTGAAGCGATGGACTTGGGCCGCGCCCTGGTGAGTCGCTGTTGATCTCCCATCCCCCGCACTCTTCCAACCCCTCCGACCACTCTCAGCCTGCCCAGCCCATGGACGTCGACAACGACTACCCCGGCTCGTCCGACGACCTCGACCCCGACACGCGCCGCGCTCTGCTCGAGAACGAGTGCCTGCGCCTCCACGCGCAAAACCTCGCCAAGCCCAAAGGCCCTCCGCACGTGAGCACCACCGCGGCGGTCGAGGCGTACCGGAAGATACACAGTGCGTGTCTCCCGTCCGCCCTGCATTCGTTCGCGTTCACTCAGACGCGCTCTGTTCAGTCCTCACGCCCCCGTGCCAGTACGTCGCCCCCGAGACGTTCATGCACGCCTTCATCCCCGAGGTCGTCGTCCCCGACGATGATTCTGAAGACGAAGAGGAGCAGAGCGACGACGAGGTCGTCGAGGTGGAACCCCCGAGGAAGGCTGCCAAGAAGAAGGGGACGGTCAAGCAGGCGACGACGACGACGAAGGCCCAGGTCAAGAAGGCGGTCAAGACGGCCCCGGCCGCGAAGCAGACCGTCCTGGGCAGGAGCTCTGCCTCCAACAAGAAGCCCAAGGCTGCCACTCCCAAGGCCCGTGGTCGCCATTGAGCCCACGACTCCTATACCTTACTATCCGGTCCTAGCGCAGCGCGCCAAGGCTCACTCCGATGCCCCTCAACCACACATCCCGCTCTTTACGATGAACTTATGACTACTTATCTCCATGCTACCCACCTCTCATGATTATGATCGCCACATCTACCGTCTGTGTGTATCGCTGCTATTACTAGTCACGGACTTTACGACTTGCTGTAGCCCTACTGGACACGGACACTCTGTACAAATATGCACCCACTTAATGTCATCTGCCGCTTTGGATGATCTCGTCCGGGTTATCTGGCGTGTCATCACTGGTATATCAGTAAGCGAATCCAAACCCGCTTGGTGCCGTTTGCTGCCCGCGGGGTTTGTGCAGTATCTCGAGACATGTCTAGGGAAAACAAGCTGACATATGATCATGGCATCAGACACATCATTCCAAACGAGACCCAGTGAGGATACGAACTTTGGATTGGCGACTTGGTCGCCGCGCCTGCACCCATCGGACTCATCTGCTCGCCGTGCTGCATGACGTCCCGAGACACGGCCCTCGGATCGATGTATCGACACATTGAAATTTTAAGCAAATACCGGACGCTTCTAAGAGTGCAAAGGTCTGACCATAGTCCGTAAGTCGAAGCTTCTAACTAGCAAGGCCGTAACTCTGCTCAAGGGAAAGACGGAAGAACGGAAGAAACTCTAGCTATAATCACAGCCGCTTGACCTTCATCGGCATCTCCGCCTTTGTGCTCTCGCCAACGGAGGGGTAGTGCACGCTGGCCGAGTTCCAGGTAATCGGGACGTCGGGCAACTCAAAGGCAAAAGACTCGAGGAGAATGGAGAGAACGACCTCTGAGTGACGCGTGTTAGAGGGGCTGGACCAGGACACTGCTCGCGAGACGTACTCATTTCGCACTGGGAGAACTTGAAGCCGCTGCAGGACGTCGTCAGTTCGAATCACACCCGAAGAGCGGAACGAAGCTCACATGCACGCGCGTCCGCCCCCGAGGAACGTCAACCTGGTGGACGGAATGTCAGCATGCCTCTGCGCGCGAAAGCGGACGGCGGTGAAGGACAGCGCTCACATATTGGAGTATACTCCGGGGACCCGCGCGCCGACGATGGAGTCGGGCAGCGGGGCGAGCCAGCGCTCCGGCTTCCACTCGAGCGCGTCGGGGCCCCAGAGCGTCTTGTCGCGGTTGAGCGCGGCGATGCCGACGACGACGGTCGTGCCCTTGGGCACGGGCACGCTGTGGAGCTCCCGATGATCGCGCGTTACGATGGGCGCGCGCAGAGGGAGGACGGTGTCTTCGCGGGCGCTGTGAGAACGGAGGGTGTTATTCAGCAACAGGAAGGGATTTGCAATATTTGAAAGGGCGCACACTTTGGATATGGACGAAACGGGAGCGTAACTGGAGGGTGCTTTCACGTTAGTAGTGGTTCCAGGAGATCGCGGAAGGAAGCGCACAGTCGGAGGGTCTCCCGGCAGACGGCTTCGAGGTACGGGAGCTCGAAGAGGTCGTCGAAGTTGAGGTCTTTACCATCGCGGCGGGCTTCCACGATCTCAGCGCGGAGTTTGGTCTGGACGTCCGGGTTTCGCGCAAGCAAGTACAAGATACGAGAAAGCGCACTCGAGGTAGTGTCTGTCGCAGCGAACACCAGTGTTCTAAAGAGTCGCGAGTCGTCAGATGCCCAGGGGCAGCAGCCTCGGTATTGCCTTACTTACGAGATCTGCCCGACGATTTCTTCCTCAGTGAGAGCCTCTCCCGCAGAGGCTCCCATGTTCGCCGAAACTGACGAAAATGTGAGCTAATTGTCTATCACAAATAACAGGTCATGAGACCCACCGAGGCGGCTCATGATGTCCTTCCCGTCACCGATGTCATCAAATGAGTCGACTGGTTGGTCACCGCGCAGCACATCCATCTTCTCTGCGACTAGTTGTCGAGCCTGGGTGTTTAGTACGTGGATGACATCGCGGAGCTTTTGTGCGTGCTTTGAAGGTATGTGGTCGACAATCCAACGGCGGAAGGCTGCGGGGCCGAGTTTGATGAGCACAGGAAGAAGGCGTCGCCAGAGTGCGAAATGGCTCAGAGCAGGACTGGTATACCGACCGATCAGACATCGACGACAACGACAACAAAGGTGCACACTCACATGAGGCCCTTTACTGCCTCTCCGTAGGCACTGGCGTGGTCTCCTTCTAGGGAATCGAGCGAGCGGCCGAGCCCGGCCTGGCCCACGAGCTCGAGCGCCGTGCGACCCAGCCACCCCAGCATATCGATCTCCGTCCAATGGTCGCCTTTGATGCGCGCCAACATCGCATCCCGGAACTAACGAGAGTGAAGGGTGAGTATGACCAATAGCCAGAAGCGGCGCGCCCAGTGAGAAATGCGCTCACCCGGTACGTGACGCTGTACATGATTGGGAGAGTGGAGCGGAGATGAGCGGGGGAGAAGGCCGGGTTCAGGATCTTCCTCTGACGCTTGTGTTGATCGCCTGCCGAGCCCGACCGCACAGATTAAGCGGCTGTATATTACGAGAAACAGCAGGACACACCCGCAACGGAGACGAGACCCGGGCCGAACATGAGATCGTTGGACCTGGAGCGGTGCTCAGCCAGTGTCGTCGGGTAGGAGCGGGTACCACGTACAAGAGATGGGTATCAGGCTCCTCGAAGATGTGGTGCTCTTTTATCAAAACCGTATGAAGGGCAACTGGGTCAAAAATGAAGAGTCGAGGTTCCTGGAGAAGTCGGAGTCAGAGGGACACGTTAGACGGATGTACGTCACAATCCCTTACGCCGAATAGACCCAGGAATCTGACAACTGAGCCATATCTCTCGTAGAGTGACTCACGCCACGGTTCGGCGTCGCGTCTGTACATGAGCCCGAGATGTCCTGCATCATTGATAAGCAAGTGTAGACGAAGTGAAGAGTGTTGCACAAAATGTACCTTTAAGCCACGATTTGGCCGGAGGCCCTGGTATGACATCGAGAGGTGACTTTGAGAAGAGCTTGAGCTTCTTCGCGATGAAAAGTGGAACATAAAAAAGGAGACCTGACACGATGATTGAACACAGGGTATTCATGTTCAGTGAGGGGGTGAAGATGGGGAGCGGGGACCGACGGAAGCATTCTTATACTCCTTGACCATTCGCGCTTCAAAGGCATCTCCTGTGCAGCTCCACATTCCGCAGCCTCTGGAAGTGAGTAAAGTAGTCGAGCTCGTCAGCGGCGCTGACGTTCGTCGTGTAGCGGCGACAAGAGGATCGGTGTGTCCACTCCGAGCGTGTGGGATGCCGCACTCGGCAGGCGAGAAGACCTTCTCGTCGGGTACGCGACGAATGGCTGGGCGCGTTGATCTCGCCAACCATTCAGCTTCGTCTTGAAACCGGCATTCCCGCGACCATGACAAAAAGTCAAGGGTAAGAAGGCCATCCGCGGCAGCGGACTAAGTATAGGGATGTGCACGGCCCGTGGCACCAAGAGACAGGTCAGCACACTGTACTCACGGAAGATTTGTGGAAAGGAGAAGACTGCGTCATCGCGGGCGTCATGAGATAAACAAGGTGCAGGTGCATAGCACACACCTCTTCCGACTGCGGCACCACACGGAAATTACTTGCTTCGAAACGCTCGAACGGTTCGTCGGCCCTGCCGCCCCAGGGAAAACCACAGAATCCTCTCCGTTGGCGTAGCGAAAGGGTTTTCATGAACAGGCGACAATGTCCAAGTGTCTATACAATCAAGCTTGTGTGAGTTCGTGCGAAGCACGCCGATCCGAAGTTGGCCACCGAGGACTAATAGACGGACATACCGGACGATATTGAGCGGCCCGTTGTGGCGCAAATAGTACTGCGGTTGGAAAGGCGATGCAGTTAGGCGCGAACGCTGCGCTGCCTACGTTCTTATCAGAAGTCTATCTTGTGAAATCCGCAGAGGAAGTTGGTCGAGGCGCGAGCCCGTCTCTATTAGAAAATTTCAGACGTCTATTTCCTGCGCGGGTGAGGAGCACGATAGGTTCAACATGAACGCCTTACGTGGCATGGAGGGCCTTCGCCGGTGACAGACGTATGTTGACTCGTAAAGAGCGTGTCGCTGGCTTGTGTGTGAGTACAGACGCGACGGCTTTTCGATAGCAAAACATCGAGTCACGCGTGGTAGTGGCAAGAGGCAAGCAGTGGGCGCTTGCCGTTTCCGGCCAACCGCATCATGTCAATCCCGAGGCCGATCTATTGGGTACGATGGGAGAGAGCTACGCGTGGACACAGTGGTCCTCTGTCTCCGATCCCTCATCCAGCACCTCGACCACCTCTCCATCCACATGCGGCACCAGCGTCTTCCCGCTTTCGTTGATCGGGCAGACCGAAAAGGAGATGCGCACGGTGATCAGCAACTTCGTAGTCACGTCCCTCGTCGCATCGTACCGCCCTGCGGGCATCGCGAACACTGGTAGCTCCGGCTGCAGCCAGCTCGCGACGTGGTCCCCCGGGCACGCGTGCGCCACCTGCGCCTCCGCCTGGCACACGGCCACCGCGTCGTCGTAGTTCACCGCATTTTCCTCGTCCAGCACACGCACGCGCGCCCAATGTTCTCCCGCGGAGCCCGGCACGGCGCACACTCCAAGCGCGAGGACGAAGTTGGTGCACGGACGCGTGATGATCTTCACTAGCTGCGCGAAGATCTGCCCTTTGGTAGCCTCGTCTTCATACGCCACGGGGGCAGCACGATTGTACTGGTGTCCGTTGAAGAAGAGCGCGCACGGCGCGGGGGAGCCACATCGCGTCGGGGTCGCGGCCTGGCAGCTGAGAAGGTCCTCGGGCCGCGCGAGCGCGCGCACGTCGATCCGAAACGGGGCATCCGTCCGCGCGTTGAGACCCGCGAGAGCGTGTTCGACTTGCAGCACGCCCTTCTGGGACGGGGTCGCGTCCTGGAAGCTGTGTGCGTGGAACGGGGGGCTCCCGGAAATGTACACGGTGCGCCACCGCGGACGGAACCGAGTCTCGTCGGCGGAGAGGAAGTCGCGGACACGGTTCCCGCCGTAGGAGACTCGGAGTTCCCCGCAGTGATACAACGGGCGAGACGGATCGACATTGGGCCGGCGGCAGGGGACGAGGTTCAGACCGAGAGGCTTGGCCTCGTGGGTGCAGAACAGGATGGCGACGATGTCCGTCTCGGTCTCGATGACGGGGATGCGGGCGCGTACCCCATACGGAGTGACGGTGAATACTGGTGCGCCAACACGCTCTTCTACATGATCGTCCTCTCTGGGCGGATCAATCGACATGTTGCCAGTACCGGAGCCAACCTGAACAGAATAGTGTCAATTTAACCGTTCGTTCAGCTGAAAAAGTGAAAGTGATTCTTACATGGAACCGAATTCCGGGTCTACGCGCGTTGAAAACGATAGGAGATGGGGCGAGAAGATAGTGGCCAGAGTCCTCATGTATCGAGCAGTAATCCGGTCCTGCTGACTCCGCCTGCGGGGATGGCGATCTTGAAGCTGTAGGGGTCCTGAAGTTATTCCATCCTCCCCAGGCGAACAGGGACGTGTCGGTTGAGGTCTTCATGATCTCCTCCTGTAAACGGTAGAACGCATGCTGGCCTTCTCCATACAGAATCGGCATGTTGATCCCGAATATACCCATCAAGCTGTAGGCTTCATCTTCCACCTTGGTTGCACGGCGTGCTGCGGCCCACACCATGCGATCGTAGATGCTGATCTCCGAGATATCTTGCTCCAGGCACAGGACTTCTGCGGGAACCGTTGTGATGCTATTGATGAGCTCTGCGTGCTCCGCCTTGGTCCCGAGACTGGTCCACTTGGAAGAGACGAAGAGGAGGAGTTTGGGTGCGATGAGCTCTTGGAGGGTCCACGCGCGGTCGTGCCACACGCTCTGCTTGAATTTGAGCTCCCAGCCCTCGTCAGACCTGGCAGGGACGTCGCGGAGATAGGCATAGCAAATGTTCGAAAGAGAATAGTACCGGAACATGGAGTTGACCGCCTCGGATAACTCGACGCTGCTCCGCTTGTCGATGCAGCAGGTGTCGATCCACAGCCACTTGTGACCGTGCTTCTCCGCCAGCTTGCAGCTTTCGCGGATCTTCGTGCAGACGAGCTTGCGGGGGTTGGTGCCGTCTGCTTTGCATTGAAGACGGAGGGCTTGAACATCCTCGAAGGTTTGCTCGTGGTCGTCCCATCTGTGCGAAAGGATGGCGAAGCCTTCGGATACGTCGAGTGGGCCGTTGAAGAACCGTAACTCGGCGCGATCCGTGCTAAGAAGCCACATCTATGATTATGTAATCACTAAATCGACTTTTTGCGACATTCAGAGCAGATCCGTACCTCGCGACTTGGGTAGGGGAGAAGGACTGGGCGATTGTTAGGTCTGGGTACGGGTATGAGTCGTGACCGTGACCACAAAGTTACCCCCACGCACGCTTGAACAACCTGGGTGGGCTTCGATGTGGTCCGTCACCCTTATTTCAAGGATGCGCAGCTGAGAACGGACATATTAGAGAAGGGTTTGAAATGATGGTTTGGAACACAGAGGGCATCGAGACGGGGCCAGGCAAGCAGTGGGCGCTTGCCGCTCTCGTCTCGAGCAGCCAATCGGAATCTGCCGGTGATGCTGATGGTCAGACATCTGATCCGAACTTCAGTCGCTTGTCGCGAGGCTTGTCTGTGACCTCTAGGCTCTCGGACGCATCATGCATGTCGCTGCATCATGAACGTTGAACTCTCTCTGGCTCACACCATTTCGAGGCGGACGAGGATCCTGCCTCCAAAGCTCAAAGCTGTAATGCCAACGATCAACACCTACTGGACGCTGTTTCATCCCAGGCCCCGAATGCTTCGCGATATGAAAATTTAGTAGGAAGCCATCATATCCAATTATTCCTACAGAAGGAGATCAAACAGTGAGTCTACATCCATCACCAACGGTTATATCCACGTCTTAAAAAGCTCCACGTAGCCCACCTGTGCTCCTCCGCCTGTGTTCGGACTCCGCTACCAAGCTCGCTTTCATTGGGATCGGAGGGTTTTCTCACTTTGGCAGCCTGAGTAACCTTGCGCAGATTTCCTGTGCGCTCGACGTCCGCTCATCATCGACAGCATGGCACATCGCCTGCCAAGTCGTGCAGACCAGTACGTCCAGCTTGAACACTGCCACCCGTCGAGTTCGCCTTGCATGGTCCGAAAGGAAAGGACTTGCCTGCAGCGCCTGCGTAAGCCATCCGCAAGGTAGCTCCGCACACTGTCTGTGTGACGGCCGTGCAACCTCAAGATCTCATCAGTCGTCGACGCATACAACCGGCCATACGATTCCTTTCACCCCCTCTCTCTCCAGACAGCCCAAATACGACGCTCCTCCAGGCCCGCCCCCTACCTACATGGCCTCCACCGTGAACACCTCCACCCCGCGCAGCAGCTTCACCGCTGGCTGCATGGGCGCGCCGGGCGCGCCGGGCGCCGGGTCAGACGACGAGAAGGGCATACTGCTCGCACCGCCTGGGCCTGCGGCGGGCGACACGACACGGATGGGGATGAGGGAGGGATCGTCGTCGACGATGAGCAGCCGTCGGGACAGCTCTGGGTCGACGTACGCGATGCGCGTGGGGCCGACTGGGCCGTCGTCGACGGACACATGGGGGAGGGCGATCCGTTCGCGGACTTTGATCGTACCGAGGGGTTCAGGCGGTGAACGTGCGGGCTGCGGGTGGTCGAACTGGCCGGATCCTAATACACACACATATATGTTCGCTCAAGCGGCGTGTGTTTGATGGAGGCATGAGACGGAGCGATCGAAAGGGAAATAAAAACGGTTTCAAAGCTGCTCGGGACCTCACTCGGCCGTATTTGGAATCCCAGACGCCGGCGTGCTACTGTACATCACCAGCGTGTGGCTTGGCTGTGGCTGGCGCTAAATCTGAGCAGATTGCCAGCGAAGCGAAAGGAGTAAGAGCCGCCGTCGTCGCACCCCCCGACCCGTCGCACAAACGCCACATCTTCGTGCCCAGTCTGCCGGGGCTCAAGCTCTGCTTCCCATGGCAGCCAGGTTCCGATGCGATGTCCTCCAAAATTTTCTCCGTTTCCGGCCTCGCATATTCAACAGTGAACACCGGTCCTGCGAGACGTGCTTCGTAAGTACTATGGTACCGAAGCATCCGCTTTATGCTTCTGGAGCACTCCTTGCATCGAAGACGGGTGTGTTATGTGACTCGTGAATCCCTTTGAAGGTATGTGTTTTAATTGTCTGGCTTTCGCTGTTCTAAACTCCAGCTGACGATTGGAACAGAATGGTCCGGTCTGTTCACTGTGGGTGCTCCACCAAACTAGATGCGAAGCCGCAAGAAATCAGTTTGTGAGAACACTCCCTCGAGGCTGTGCGGTACTGTGGCTGTGCAATATTTGAACACGTCATTGTCCTGGAGGCGTGCGCAGCGCATCCAGGCAAGTGGACGTGAGCGAGGCGGCCATCGATTTTCATAATCCCATATTGTGCGCATAAATGGAAAGTATAAGCAGAGGTGGACCCAGGGTCGCGCAAACGAATACGCAACCTGCTTTTGTGCTATACACGTTGGATACAGGTTGGCCTTCATAGTTGCACCTCTTTCCTGTTCTTCAGAACCCACTCACAAAACATCACAGGGGGAATAGCGCTGCCTGGCGATGGACCAGATGTGATTATCTGGCCCGTCTGAGGTGACGCTAAGGCCTTCCCAAACCAAGGCTACGTTTTGACATGTCCGAGTACGCTCAGGATGTCGCGCATGCCTGTCGGCGTGGATATGTGACTCCTACCATGCTTCTAGTACGTCGGTACCGCCTATCATTCACGAAGGAACACACTTACGGTGGATGTACAGCGATGACAGTCCCCGCCAAAACCGCGACCTCATTCCACAGGCTGAGCAGCAGCGAAGTGCCCAATGGGTGCCAGACTGCGTTTTGCGTAGCCCCTGCAAGCCCAGACGGAAAGCTACCCACCCGCATACCGCCACTCGAAGCCACACAAGTGCCCCTTCCACCATTGGGTTCGGCTTTGGGAACATCTTGTGGTACGCCGGTCGTCGCCGTTTCTTCTGAGATGGTGGGGGCCTCAGGCATCATGGCCAACGGCTCGACAAAGACCTTAGGTTCGCCACGCACCACGGTAAGTCCCCGCGTCCGGTGCCTCGGTCCTCCTGCGGTACCTTTTGCGCTGACGTCCCCCGTCATGGGGGTGTGGCAGGCATCCAAGCGAGCACATTCTCCTTTGTCCCCGTCCGCGTATCCCTCGTTGCCAGGACAGCCCCCGCGCGGCTGCGGACTTTTACCTCGGCCCGGCAGGCGGAGGAGAGTGCAGCAAGCGGGAAAGTCGCGGCCTCGGCTGGGGGCCCGGTGGGCGTCTTGCGCTGCACAAAAACGGCGGCGTGCTGGGGCACCGCTCCTTCATCCCAACTCCCACCATCCCCACCGCGACCCGCGACCACTTTTCTTGACGCCCCCACTCAACCTTGCACTATACCCTTCAACAACTTCTAGAAGATATCACCATGCCTGCTGCGATCTCCCCCTCCTCCACCCAGCGCCGCGCGCGCGTCGCGAAGTCCCGCAAAGTGTCGAGGGACTCCGAGAACGAGTCTTTCGGGAACTACCCCCTCCCCGCCGCCCCCATCCGCCGCCCCAAGCGTCGCGTCGTGCTCGACGAGCTCCACCTCAAGAGCCAGAACAACCAGGACGCCGGCGCGACGACCACGCCTGCCACCACCGAGGGAGAAGAGATGTACTGATGCGGGCGACAGCAATGCGCACATCCGGTGAGACCTCCCCTTCCTCCCGCGCTGACCACCGCGCTGACCCCGGTGCGCTTCAACTAGCTGCCTGCGATACCCACGCGCCGCCGCGCTAGGCGACGTTACGACGCTCGACGATTCGAAGGAATTGGAAGGGAATGGATGATATGACGACGATGGAAGCTGTACTTGCTTTGTAGCACATCCTGTTCTGCGATCTGATGTTATCGATGCTCTCGTGTTCTCATCTCCTGCCCGAGTTCGTCGATGCGTGTCAACCATCCCCTCAACTCCCTTCCCGGCGGCTGGTCGTGTGATCGTCGACGATGAGGTTTACCGACATGCGATACATCCAATGTTGATGTCGCATGTCGTCGTCGTCGTCGATGGGTCGATGGAGTGTGGTGGCTTGGTGGCTAGGGAAACGTGGGGGAGGATGCGGAGAATTGGAACTCACCTGTCGCTGACCACCCCCTCCGTCAATCGATCCCTGCACAGCGCATTCACGGCTATTGGTGTGCTGATATGAGGACGCGTGATGCTGGAGAGCGGCGTTTTTGCAGACAAATGCCTTGCTTGAAAGTCTTGTAAGGGTGGTTGGAGATGTATTGCATGGGGATGCAGCCGCGTAGTTGGACGGGCGCGGAAGGGAGGGCAGGAAACGACTTCAATTTCCTTCGCGATTCACGCGCAGGTGGTCTTTAAAGCATCCCGCTGGTTTCAGACCCCTACAGACAACAAAAGGTCCACGGAGAGTATTGTGACACTCGGCCACAGCGCCCGTGGTGGCCCACTTCCGGTGGCATGTCGCTCGCGCACCGGCCTCCCTCGACGATCGAGAATTCCCTCTTCGGGCACGACACAAAAAACCCCGTGTGTCAGCGCTCGGCTGTTCAATTAGAAGCCCGGTCGGACGGTGCTCCTAATCGAGAACCCTACCACAGAGCTTCCGAACTGGAGGAGCGCAATTTAAGCGCGCAAGGACGAAGGCACGAATACACAAGTGGGTAGAGATTTCCTTGGTGAGTAGTACAAAGACGCCCGTTATATCCAGCTACATTGTACATTGACAATATACCCATTCCATCTCCGCACCATTCTCTTCAGTTGCGGCCTGTGGAACATGTCAGCTCGGATCAGAGAGTGTAACGAAGTCTATGCGCACCGACGAAGCTTTCCAGACCACGGGAGATCTTGCCCGCAGTTTCGTTGTCCTGCAGACGATGTTCAACATCAAGGGCAGACAAGGCGAGGATACGCAGACGCTTACGATGTTCATACCAGCCTTCCCAGCCGCGTACGACACGCCCTTCTCGAGCCAGTCCCCGCCCCCAGTCGAGCCCGCGCCGTACTGCGTCTTGCTGTACGAGTCCGAGTCGGAGCGGTCCTCGTTGCGCGAGGAGCCGTACGAGTCGGAGGAGCTCGAGTTCCCCACGGTCCCGGTTGGGGCGTTCGTGCGCGACGACCCGTACGAGTCGTTATCGCGAGAAGATGAGTCGTTGTTGCGAGAGGATGAGTCGTTGTCGTGAGAAGATGAGTCGTTGTTGCGACCGGAGCCATAGGCGTCCTCATTGCGGGAGGACCCGTAAGAGTTCTCGTTGCGAGAGGAGCCGTAAGAGTCCTCATTGCGAGAGGAGCCGTAAGAGTCCTCATTGCGAGAGGACCCGTAGGAGTCGTTGTCGTTGCGGGAGGATCCGTACGAATCGTTGTCGTTGCGGGAGGAGCCGTAGGAGTCGTTGTCGTTGCGCGAGCCGGAGCTGTCACTCTCGTTGCGGCGAGAGCCTGTGCGGTCGTTGTCGCTGTTCCCGCCGGACCCGTAGGTGTCTTTGGAGCCCGCGTACGAGTCTGAGTTGCTCCTGTTTCCGAAGTCATTGTCGCGGGAGGCGCCGTACTCGTTCGAGCGGTTTGTGGAGCCCTCGGTGTCGTTGTCGCGGTCGCGGCCACTGCCGTAAGCGTTATCGCTGCCGTAGCTATCCATGAGGGTGAATTGGTGTGGGGAGAAGCGGGGGTAGACAGCGGTTGTGGTGGAGCGGGGTCTGGCGGGATGGGTAGAATGGCGGAGGCATTTATAATACTGCAGGGCGCTCAGTAGTGACATGGAGTATGGAGAGATTCGAGCTGATATTCAGGAACTGTCCGCGACATGAATCCACCCGTGACTCTGGGGATAGGGGCCGGGATTGATCGACCGAGGAGGAGGCATCAACGTGCGAGGTTGGACATCGGTTTCGCAGACAAACCAGTGCGGCGGAGGAATCGAAGCGAACGGGGCAGCTGTAGCTCCGGTGAGTTCTGAGCAACAAGGGCGGACGAGGACATGGAAGCGTACCTGTGCCTATCACGGGAGTGGAGACGGCGTGCGACCACAAGTGCTAGTGAATGACGGTATGAATGTTTTACGCAGAAAACATCCAAGGCAGAGAGCATGCGTGAAGCTTTGAAGCCTGGGCCTCACTTGGCACCAGCCACCATGCATGGTGGCAAGCCTTGAATATTGTTCGTATTTGGCCCACGGCGATGCCTGGTGGGCTAGAATCCCGTCCTGCCCGTCGATATGAGCGGGACCCCGCCTCCGTGTGCACGTCTGGCCTCGGCAGGGGCGGTGTGGAGGCTGAGGGTCAGAGGAAGACGAGTCGAGAGGCACCGCCCGCCAGTGACGTCGTTCCCAGCAGTCATTGCGCTTACCTCAGCAACTACCCGCTTTGGGCGACCACGTCTCGAGCTGCGGCACCAGCCCACGGGCAACAGCGCACTCCCCGTTCAACGCGACGACCACCACCACCATGCGCGCGTTGGCGACCACCCTCCTCCCCCTTCTCCTTGCGGCTACGGCTCTCGCCATCCCTGCCGGCGATCAGGTCTTCCTCGGCGACCTCTCCCGCGCCACCAAGGACTTGAAGCATGCCGCTCAGAGCATCTACAAGGGCGAACAGACCATCATGCGCTGGGTCGACCAGGGCAAGGAGTTCATGAAGCAGCACGACATAACTTGTGAGTCTTATCTCGTCCGAGTATGCGTGCCGTGTCCAACCACCACTTGGCGTGCAGATGAGCTTGTCTCCCACCCTGCCTTTGGCGAGCACTCTCTCCGCATGACCGAGCCCACGCTCTGCGACTCCTCTGTAAAGCAGGCGTCCGGCTATCTCGACATTGCAGACGACAAGCACCTCTTCTTCTGGTTCTTCGAGGCCCGCAACCAGCCCGAGGACGCTCCCCTCGTCCTCTGGCTCAACGGCGGCCCCGGTTGCTCCTCCACCACCGGTCTGCTCTTCGAGCTCGGTCCGTGCAGGATCGGCACCGACGGCAAGAACGTCACCCACAACCCCCACTCGTGGACCGAGTCCGCGAACGTCATCTTCCTCGACCAGCCCGTCAACGTCGGCTACTCGTACGCCGAGGGCAGCACTTCCGTGAACACGTCCCCCGTCGCCGCCGAGGACGTTTACGCCTTCCTCGAGCTCTTCCTCGCCCGCTTCCCCAAGTTCCAGAGGACGTCCTTCCACATCGCCGCCGAGTCCTACGGCGGCATGTACGCGCCCGCGATTGCCTCCGCCGTGCACCACAACAACCTCGCGCTCGCAAAGTCTCCCGCCGGCGCTGCGCCCGGGCTCGTGCACATCAACCTCGCCTCGATCATGATCGGGAACGGGATCACCGACCCGCTCGTGCAGATGGCGAGCGTGCCCGACGCCGCCTGCGACGGCGAGTTCCCCGTGTACGACGACCCCGACGGCCCGCAGTGCCAGGCGCTGCGCACCAAGGTCCCCACCTGCCAGCGCCTCATGAAGGCGTGCTACAACTTCGACTCCAAGTTCACCTGTGTCCCCGCGCTCATGTACTGCAACAGCCAGCTCATGGGCCCCATCGTCCGTGAGTACCCCGTCCTCTCCCGCTCACTTCCCGCGCGCTCTTCTGATGCGAGTGGCGCGCCCCCACGACCGCAGAGACCGGCCGGAACATCTACGACGTCCGCCGCTCGTGCGACCGCTCCAAGGACGGTGACCTGTGCTACAAGGAGTTGCAGTGGATCGACACATGGATGAACTTGCCTGCGACGAAGAAGGCGCTCGGCGTGAACCCCGCACTCGACTTCGCGTCCTGCAACATGGAGGTCAACCAGGCGTTCGCACTCCAGGGCGACGGTGCACGCAACCGCGCCAAGCTCCTCCCTGAGCTCGTTGAGAGCGGCATCCGTCTGCTCATCTACGCCGGCGACGCGGACATGGCTTGCAACTACGTCGTGCGTATCTTCCGCTACTTGTGTCACCGGAAGGCGGTTACTCACAGAGTATAATCGTAGGGCAACGAGCGTTGGCTGGAGTCCCTCGAGTCCAAGTTCCAGACCGAGTTCGTCAAGACCACCAAGCAGCCCTGGGTGACGCTCAGCAAGGGCGGCTTCTCTGGCTGGGTCCGCTCCGCTGGTGGCGATGGTTTCACCGCGGGCAACGTCACCTACGTGCAGGTCCACGCTGCTGGGTGCGTCCGCTTGCCGTCGCAATCCCTGACATTCACATTCTGACCCATCGTCTTCTCTCGCAACAGCCACATGGTCCCCTTCGACCAGCCCGAGGCGTCGCTCGACCTCATCTCCCGCTGGCTCGCCGATGTCCCGCTCACCCTCAACGCCGCGGCCATGGCGGCGGAGATGGACATGCCCCTCAGCGGTATCTGAAGCACAAGGTCCCACTCGTCCGTCTGCTTTCGCTGTGACACGCCCCACGTCTTTACACACGACACTCCTTGTACTTGTAGTGACGCACTCGGATAATAGAATCCGCAGATAGATTATTGGTTAACTTGCGAGCGAGGAGAACCTCAGCGCGCACGGGTGACGAACTCAATCTTGTGCCCGGCGACGTACCCCCGGGCTCGAAAAGGCGACGCTGCGGCCGACGACGGTAACTTGGCAGTCGAGGAAAGGATGGCCCGCCTGGAGGACACGATGAAAATTCTCGCGAGGGCCGTATGTGGACAAGCATTTCCCCACCTACGCCCATATTCAGAACCAATGCGGCAAGCTCGAAGAGGGGTATACGAGACCTGCAGTGCCGGCTCGCCATCGACGGCATTGGGCTCTCTGACAAAGACGCCGACCTCGAAGCCTTCACTTGGGCCTGGGTCAGGCTTCGGGATGCGTCCGAGCGTTTGGACCGAGCACGCGTGAGGCTTGAAGCTTACGGTGAGTGTCTGCGCTACCAAAATGTCGTCGAATGGTCCCCGCTGATAGTCATCGATCGTGTCTCTAGCGCAATCTTAATGTCCCAAGGCGCGCCGCACTAGGCGAGGAACCTGTGGGGTCTCGGCGCAAAGACTGCCGGGGAGGGAGCGGTTGTAATCGATCCTATGTATGTTTGTATCACAACGCAAGCTTTTCTGAAGCTCCGTGCACTCCATTCTCAAGCGGTCATGCTAATGGTACATTCAATATTCCAACTTCCTTCCATCCATCCGTCCGTCCGTCCGCCCCTCACACGAGCGCGACCTTCATCCGGGGCTGCACCTCGAGCTGCCGGAGGACCTGGCCGCCATGCATGACGCGCACGCGTTGACCCGCGGGCGTGTTCGCGCCGGCGGTGAGCGTCGCCGTCTTCAGCGACTGCCCGTGGTCCGTCCAGGAGACCTCGAAGGCGAGCCCGAGCCGGACGTGCGCGTTCGTGAACGAACCGGACTCCCAGGGCACCGGGCTTAGGGGCAGGAGGTAGATCGTCAGCTCGTCGTCCCACGACGCGACGTCCGGGGTGGAGACGAGGCCGTTCTGCGCAGGAGGGGGCGTGAGCGGCGAGCGGGCGATAGAAAGTATGGGGGAGGGCAAGGACGTACGAGGAGCGCGGCGGCGAAGCCGAAGTTGGCGTCGATCTGGAAGATGTCGGGCGAGCCGGGGTTGTACAAGCTGAAGAGGTTCCCGCCGAAGTTGCGCTCGAGCGCGTACTGTCACACACACACCGTGTCAGTCTCCCATGGGATCCGTGAGGAGAATGTGGACAGGGACGCACCGTGAGCTCGTGATAGAACATGGTCGAGTTCTTGAGCTGCGCCCAGCACGCCGCACGCCACACCTTCTCCCAGCCCGAGTCTGCGTCGGGCCCGGTGCCGTCCCCGCGGTGGATCAGGCTCGTGGTCACTGCAGCAATGACCTCGTCGTTGGTGTAGTTAGCGGTGGGGCTTGCTTGATGCGTAGCGTTGTAGTTGAACACGGAGTAGCCGGGGTAAAGGCCGATGAGGTGCGAGAGGTGACGGTGGGTGTCGGTCGGGGAGTCTAGGTCGACCTTCCACTCTACGTGAAAGGAGATATAAGAAGCCGTTCGTCAGAGTGCGGATGAGGGTGGGCAAGAGACGCACCTTGGAGCTGGCCCCAAGACCCGATGTGGATGCCCTTGTCCATCTGGTCGCGCACAGATATAACGCCTGCAAGGATGGATGGGTGAGTACAGACCACCTTGGAGCCGTAGCAAGCACTAACGATTGAGGAAGTCGGTGTCGGTGTCGCCAGATGCATTGAACCCTTTCTCGATCGCGTTGAAGAGCATCCAGAGGAGCTGTTGGGCATGCGAGCAACCTTCGAGGATTTTCATCAGCTATCCTGCTTCAATTGACCTGGGGCGGGCTATTTACCCATGGTGATCGTGGACTGTTCAGGAGAATTGCAGGGGTTGACAATAAGGGTGGAGTCGTTGAAGCGCAGATCAGGGAAGAGATTGTTCAGGTGGAATAGTGCGGTTGACTACGTTGTGCCATTAGGGACCACGAAGTTGGGAGGCAGAAGAGATGCAACGTACCTTGAGGAGTGGATAGCCTTGAGTCCGGAACCACTCATTGTCACCGCTGGCAAAGCTGTAGTGATCCCAAACGTGAAGCATCTGTGGTAAACTCGTTCAATGGCGGTATGACAGATCTGGAGGAAGATGTTTTACCATCCACGCGTTCGCACCTAATGGGTGATCAGAAAGTTATCCCCGTTATATTATGGTGATTACACACCGGTGTAATCGGCGTAGGAGGAACCTCCTGTCTTCATTCCTGTGTGGCCGAACGTCTAGTAATCATACTATCATTGATTGTACGGTTAATGGTGACTAAAGCGGCAACGTACGTTCAGCTGAGGTAAAAGACCATTAGACGTCTTCTAGGTAAAAGGAAGGAAGTAACGAAATCTTACCTCATCGTGGACGACAAAGCCTTCGGAGGTGTTGTACAACACTTGAGCAGTGTATTCTCCACGCGGTACCCATGTTTTCTGTCGAATAAAAAGGTTAGTGATGAAGCGGCGTGTTTAAACCGCATTTACCTCGATGTAATTAAAGAGAGGACCAGCGACGTCCATGCCAGTCAACTCCGCAAACCAGTAGTTCATCTGGAGGTTGATGTTTGCGTCTTCGCGGACGCTTGAGAAAGGACTCGTGTTCATGCAGAGAACGACAACTCACGGTAATCTATAAAGTCATCTCAGCGGAAGAACAGCGTATCAAGCCCATGGTGCTTACCTGCGCCCCAAGGGTTGCTCGAATCCTTGCCCCACTTGCCTTGGAGGTTAGCAGGGAGCGTACCCCGCCCGCTGCCGGCGAGCAAGTACCGACCGAGGTTGAAAGTGAGCCACTCCAGGTACGGGCTTCCAACGTCAGTCTGGTATGCGCTCTTGAGCTGGTCGGTGGGGGTCGTGAGGTCAGGCGTCTGCCCCAGGTCGAGCTGGAAGGTATTCATGAAGTTGGCATAGTCGTTGATGTGGGCTTGCACGACGGCGTCGTAGCCGCCATCCTGGGCGGTGGCGGGGCCGATGAGGGAGACGAGGGCATCGTGGGGGTCGGGGCCTTTGAAAGAGAAATTATGGGCGGCGTCGCCGGCGTCCATGTCGTAGTCGGTACCGCCGACCCAAGTGATCGTTGCAGCGGTTGCAGCGGTGACAGTGATGGTCGCGTTGGTGCCAGAGGGAGTGCAGACGACGGACGCGCCCTGGCCGGTTGCATCGACGCGGGCGAGGAGCTCGAACATCATGCCTGGGCTGCCAGCAGTGCCAGTGACCTGGAGAGTGGAGTTGTCGAAGCATGAGACTGCGGGGATGGGCATGCCAGACTCGGGGTTGAGGGAGTAGGCGAAGGTGGTGGCGGGGAGGGTGCTGCCATCGGTGGTGTTGACGTGCTGGAGGCAGGCTTGGATCGGGTGGGAGCAAAACGTCTCTCTGGGAGGGATGAACAAGTGAGCGGGGGAGGGAAGGGGCAGCGCACCGGAAGAAGGACGAGTTAGCCTGTGTCCACGAGGTGCGATGGACGGCGGCATCCAGGTCGAGCCAGCGGAAGAAGTCGGTCACGTCACCAGCAAGGTCGAGGGTGGAGAAGAGGTAGCCCGCGCCGGCGTACGAGCCTTCAGCCAGCAGGATCAGCCGCCCGCGCTGTCAATAAAGAGTGCGTGCATACCGTAATTGGTGGGCGTCGTGGCCAGTGATTCGGTACCTGTAACAACGTCAGGACATTCAGTCTCATGCTCGAGCAACAGCGCGACCAACGTACTGCCGATGGTGCCGTCTGAGCTGTCGAAGATGGACTGGCGGATGCCGGCGAGGTCGGCCGCCATCTGCGCCGCCTCGTCCGGCCGCTTGTTACCGCCATTGTAGCTCTGAAGAGCAGAATAGTTAGCGGCGGAAAACGAATGCCAGCGCCGATGACCGGGCCGGATGGAACACGAACGATGACGTACGCTGTTCTGGAACGGGCCGCCGGACCACAAGGACTCGATGTTCAGCTGCGTTACTTCCGTGGCCGAGCCGCCCATAAGCATCGCTGCGAACCGTCGTCAGCGCCCCCGTCTGCAGCAAACGAACGGCCAGACGCTCACCTGCCAGGTAGCCGTTCCCCACAGGTAGCCATTCTTCAGACCAGAACTCGGTGTCTGCGGTGCCCTGCGAGGTGTACCATAGCCCGTTGCCAGTGCTTGGGAATCCCGATGGCGCGGCGAGGGCCGCAGAGAGCGTCGTGCTCAGCAAGGCCACCTGGCCCACTACGCGTCCAAGGAGCATGTTCGGGTGAGGCGCGCCGGAGAGAGCGAGTCAGTGTCGTCGTCTTCTCGCACCATCCGGCTTTTATCCATCCGTCTCAGAGCTTGGCCGTCTATGCCTCGACGTTCTGAGGCAGCCGAACGACTACGGCAGCAAGCTCCGAAGAGAGCATGTGCAACGGTGCATGAGGGGCGATGGCTGCTTCTCCACTCTGCGGCGGCGGGCGTGCGATCGTCCTCTTCACCACATGATGCGCCGGACGCAACGGCTGACGCACCTTCTCCAGCCTCTGTGTTCACCGAGGGGACGCCGGTCAGGGCGGCCGGCCCGTGGGCGACGAGAGGCAACTGCTGCTATTGTAGGCGATGAGCACCGCTCGGAAATCGACAGTGCCCGCCGAGCAAGATCACTTGCCGGAGAAATGTACCCGGCCACATCTGTGAAATTGTCTTGAGCAGGCAAGTGCGGTGGCTACGGACCGCTACTCACGGTCGTAGAGACCAACGGACGAACGGAGGACACCCATTTCCAACAAGCTCAAGCTCGGAGGAGGTGGTCGAGAACAAGAAGGGTGGAGACTCCACAGGCTTCCCCGCGGGCGCGCTCTAGAGCCGGTCACGAGGAGGAGTTGACGTCGGCATGTGGATACCAGCAGTGGCAGACGACTCGGGGGGAGAGAATAGACCGGATGAAGGGAGCCGCTGTATTGAGAGTGGGCGCAGAGGGTGCAGTGAGAAGGGTGCGGTGCATGCGTCTACCGAGAGCGAGCACAGGCCTCTCTCTCCCCTCGACCACCACCATCTCGCCCCATTCACTGCAGACCAGGTACACCCCCTCCCCATCGCATTCCCCCGGACTGCCTATCGCCCTCCCCCCACTGTCCTTTCCCGACGGTGGTGGTCCCGACGTCGGCCCTTGCCTCAGCCGACACCGCACCACCGGGCCCTCGACGGGCCCATCCTCTCGCTCATCCGGGGCTCCCAGTGAGCTCCTGCCACCACACCACGCCAGGTCGCCTACGCCGTCCTCGCTCGCCCACCCGGGCTCTCCACCACCCCCTCTTGGCCTTCCGCCGGGCGCACGCTGGCCCCCCGCGTCGCCGCTCGCCGCCCACCAAGAGCTGCCCCCACCCTCACCGCACGACTTCCCTCGCATGCGGCCTCCCACCCTCCGCCTGGGCTCCACGGCCTGGGCTCTTCTCGGTCACCCCAGCCTGCACCCCGCGGGCACCCGCACGGCCTAGCGCCTGCGGCACCACCACCACGCCCTGGCCTCATGGCTGGGGCTCCTCCACCCTCGCGTCCGCCTCGGTGCGGCCGCAGGTGCCTGCGCGCTCCCTCGTGGGCGTGCGGGCGCCTCCTCTCCTCGCAAGGCTAGGGCTCCGCGCGCCTCAACAGCGCCGGTTGGGGCCCCGTCCCATCCTCAAGCCGGCCCGTGAATCCCTCATAGGCGACCAAGAAGAGCACCCGGTTGGGTTGAACGGTGAGAGTTTGTGGCCTTGAGATGCGCTCTTTGGACGTTCGGGGACTCTGTTACGGACTCTTTCCTCGACTCGCGCTCCGGTGTTCAGAACGCGGCCGCCTGCAGGGCCTGCACCCCCACTACTAGCTCAGGCTGTGGCCCCGTGACCAAATGTCGACAACCGAACGCGGGATAACCGCCGTCCCTGATTGTATTAGACATACTTAGCACTATGTAAGGTACTTAGGGCTCTGGCAAGACATCATCATCATCATCATCATACCGAGAGCGAGCAGACGTTCTGGATCCATTCAGCCCCACGGTCCACCCTAGCAGATGCACGGTGCTCACGCTCACGTGCTGCCTCACTGGACGAACAACCCGCGCCGCGACCTGCGTCCCAAGCCTTGCAACCCCCAGCCCGCCTCCGGGCTGAATAACAACAGGGCGTTCAAGGCGCGCGGGGCGTTGGGCTTACACACGTCTGTGCAGAACCGCAAAGATATGCGCCTTTGGACCGCTGAGCTCAACCACGAGTGAACGAATAGGATTCTGTAATAATTGTGCATTGAAGGCCTGTATGTAGCTAGGACCTAGATGGGCGCGCTCGTCCTCTCCCCCTGCATATCGGTTTTTTGTTGACGATCGACGTGCGTAGGTACCTGAAGGTGGCGGTTGCACCCGCGGTGATCACAGTCACTTGGCGCGTACATTGCCTGGCTGATGTACATCTTGCTCGCGCATCGTGCGCACTCCAATCGAGCATCCGCGAAGTTGGAATTCCACTGTCCCGTCCTCACGTGGTTTCCGGTGCTCCGCGTCCCGTCTCATGGTTAGTTTCTGCCTTGCTGTACTGTATGTACGGTAGCTATGCGGTCTCGCTGCAGCTGCAGAAGCGCCTTGTATATAAGTTTGGTCTCGAACGCGTTTGTATCCAGCTCGAAAGAGCTTATGGCAATTCCGCCAAGGGCCCATGGCGTCTACAGGCGTACGCATCACCGACACGTGGGGCGGCACAACACCATCTCGGCCAAATTCTCCTGTGGCAGCCACGGCCTACATAGGTACCCCCTGCTCAAGCGGTGTGCACATCGCGACTTCGAGTCAATCAACCCGTCGCGAACATTGGATCCATGTGCACGCGCTCCATCATCCAAGTTGCGCGCGCGAGACCGGTAGCAGACCCGAGTGATGGCGACGACCCGACGTCGACGTCGTCAAGAGCCCGCCCGCGCCTCCTCCTGTGCCTCCTTTCCTCGAGCTCGTCCTTCCCCTCCACCTTTCTCTTCTTCGCCTCCCTCGCGCTCCGCGCCCCCCACTTTCCGATCATTCTGCCCTAGGCACCTCGACGTTCTTTCTCGCTGTGCGACCGGGTGCACACGGACTCCCAACTCCACGACTCATAAGACCCCTGTCCTCCCGCGACCCGTACATACACTCTACTCCTAGCGCAGGATGGGCTTCTCTGGATTCTCGTCGGCTGGGAAGCTTAAGCTTGGCGTTCATCGTCCGTCTATCCATGTCGTCTTTGCGAGCATCGACACTGACGGCTGCACACAGTCCTGCTCATCGTGCTGGACATCGCCGCTCTCGCATTTGCAGCGCGTGTCAACGTCTTCCAAGAGTACTACTGTGAGTATCTTGCCCACCAACTCCTCCCGGTTCAGGGACAGGCGCATGTGCGAAGTGCTCATTAGATGCTCCTAGTTATGGCGGATCTCTTCCCGCTCGGTCTCGCCGCTGCCACCCTCGCCATCCTCGTCTTCACGTCAGTCTCCACTTTCATACATTCCCAAACGTGTACGTTGCCTAACTCGCGGCCGTACACAGCACTGGCCTCGACCTCCTCCTCGAGAGCGTCCCTACTGCCCGCCCTGCCGTTGAAGTAGGCATCCTCTACGTCCTCAGCATCTTCTGGCTTGGTACGTGATATGATGTGTCGCGCGTAAAGGTTGTACGTGCTCAATATGGGTCTACCAAAATAGCCTTCAACGCGTTTTCGACCTCCCGCTGGCACAATGTTCCCTTGAACTGCAGCGTGATTCCGGACGACTACGCGGACATGCGCGGCTGGTGCGTCGACGTCCAGGCCCTCAAGGCGTTTGTGTGGATCTTGTTTGTCGGACGTGAGCACTTTCATTCTTCTCTTCCTTCCCCCTTTCCCCCTCTTCTACTTCTACCGTCTCCATTCAGAGCTCCGCTCGTCCTTCCTGTGTCTACGTCCGGTGCGCTGACGCCTGACTTTCCCCCTCCACACTCCCGGCCCGCTCAATTGTCCCCACCCGACGCAAAACGTTCTTCCACCGACCCTCTTCCTCTCGGCCCCGCTTGCCCGCGCCCCGTTCCCGGACTTCGCGTTCTCAGTCTTCCTCACCGCAACATTCACGCTCCGCTACGCGATCAGCGAGCACCGCCAGGGCCGCACGCACGTCTGGTCCGGCTCGCTCTCGCGCTACGAGGCCCGCGACACGGCCGGCAACGATGGCTTCCGCCAAACGGGCACAGACTACTTCGCGCGCGGCCATTCTGCGTTCGAGAAGTTCTAGTCCGCGCCGCCGTCGCTGCCGCTTCGACACCCTCGTCGTCGTCTCGCCCCCCTCTCGCCCCGGTCCCCTGGTCTGCAGACGTCAGGAGCCGGCGAGGTGACGGCGAGGCGAACGATTGGCACGCCACGTACGAAGACGACCTCCCGCCTATACCTCTTCATTGTGGTTTACTTCCCTTTCTCTGTCCCGTATTTTCTTGTCATCTTCATCTTCGCTGACCGGTCGACCTTCCGGCAAGGGCTACTGGCATTGTAGTTTACTCGCATCTGTGGTTTGTTTGATCTGTGGGTGGTGGACTGTCACTCGGCAATGGCACTTCGGTTGGGAATGAAATTGTGTAGGATGTGGCCGCAAACAATGTGTGAATTTTGGAACAAGTCTCGAACTCTCGGCGGCCCTAGTCGACCCTCAAGAGACGCTCACTATCAGTGCTCAGCGCTCAGCGCTCAGCATCACCAGTCACAGGCGCTTGCGAAGCCAGTGGCATCCAGGCATCCGTCTGATTTCGACTACGACGTCGCGGCACGTCTCCAAGCTCAAATTCAAGGCTTTTCTCGCGTACGTTCTCGTCTCTCTCTTCGATGTATGGTGATGTCCAATGTGGATTCATTGGTCAGGCCCGTCCGTCGCGCCGGGTTGAATTCAGCCATGCTGGTGATCTCAATCGTAACCTCCCTGGTGCCAATGGCTCAAGCTTTCTCGTGGACATATACGCCTGCGGGAAAGATTTCTGGAGCCGTCGCCAATGCTGCGGGTGCGTAAAAGCTCTCGGTCTTTGTGCGGTGTTCATGATTGTGGATATGCTTAGAAGTTCCCTCGCCGGAAGAGATCACCGCAGTTCTGCAGGGAGTTGGTGCGTATCGCCCCAACCTATCCACGCACATCTATCGAATTTGACGACGTGCCGTCATATAAATCTTAGGGTCCTTGGAGACGTACTCAAACAGGCCCGACTGTTTCCGGGCGGCGGCTAAGCGTATCCAAACCCGATGCAGCGAGCTCGAGATAGACGAAGGAGCACGAGTTCAAGGTGCGTCTTCACCCTGTTCCACGAGGCCGTTCATGACATTATGACCGCATATAGCCGCACTTTCAATGACATTGTGCGAAATCGCCACCGCCGAACACAATTCACCACCCATGGAATGCGCTTCCTTCGGAGGACAAGATGGCTCCCGCGGGGACACCACAGCCCGACAATGTGTCTCGTAAGATCACCCCTTCCGACCATCATTCTAACAACGAGAGTTTGACGTTGAGTTTCTTCACAGGGCTCTGTCGCGTAGCGCGCAATACTGGTCTAGCTATTCCGGGTATCTTCGAGAAGTTGGTAAGTGAGGCTAAATGCGTAGTGGCATGGGGAGTTCCTGCTGAAACCGCAAAAGCCCAGTTGTGTTTTGCGTTTCAGCGATGGAACGACATTGGTATGCCCCCTTGTTACGGCGTGAATCAGCCCCTAATCGTTCAACGCACCCCACTAGATACCGCAAAACAAGTGCACAGGAATGCCACGATGGAGGCGATTTTGGCTCTACGCGTCATCTCTGATCAACGAAGGGACATGCAAACAGCATGGGATGATTCGTCTGCCATCTTACAGGTTCGCATGCAGCTTGAGGTCTGCTTCTACTGGGCGCTGATCCGACGAGCGCAGACGATGCGAGAAGTAGTGCACGAGATACGTACAGCGGCGGTAGATGCGGACGTGGCGTCTCGCGATAACATGGTCAGGGCCAGTGCAACCTTGGACCAGGTGCGCATATATAGACCTAAATACTACGCACGAAAGCCGACGTCAGGGGACTTAGGTGTTACTCGGGCTGCAAATCGCGACTTCGGAGGTAGAGGAACGTTTTGCGCGCGGATACACAACCATGATCGGCCAGGTACGTGACAGCTCCTACTGCGTAGTGATACGATCCAATGGAAAACATACAGATGAATGCCAGCATGTCAGAGGTACTCGAGCAGGTACGTGGTCATATTGAAGTGGTATGAGGCTTGCTGAGTATAGGTGACCTTGTCTAGTTTGCGATCCTCTTGGGCAGCGTCGCGCGCACATTCGAACAAGACCTCAACGAAAGAATGGATAATGCACACGCCCCTTTAATGCGTCAGATGGAGGTCATGAACGAGCTAGCGGTATGAAACTTTCATTGTGCCTTCTTTCACTGCTCACTCATGGGGGGCAGCTTCGTGCGGGTTCTCGGTTCTCGGCTCTCGAAGGATCGTTCGGAGCCTTGGAACAGGTACGAGTGGCATCATATCCTGAGGACTGAATATCAGAACTAGTGCAGGTCGCCATGAGTCTCATCGGAGGCATACAGGAATCAAGTGCAGTGCTGGATTTGTTGTATCAGCATGCAGTAGCCGCCTCTGAGAAGCACGTGGACCTCCTTCGACTGAGCGACACTCTGTCCGAATCATTGACGGACATGCTGGAACAGACCCATACAAGAGCGCGAGAGATCAATGTCACCATGACTGCAATGAAGGAGAGTCTGGATCGCGGCACAGATGACTGGGGCACTACGTTAGGACCCTGGCTGCAGCACGCTGCAGTCCACATACTTCGAGGTACGTCGATTGGTGGGGGAACGCCAATACTGAATACCACCGGCTTCTGCAGTGAACCCTACCTTATTTCAGCAACCGGTCTTTTCCGCGCTCCGTGCTACTGCAGTAGTGGTCCGCGCTCTCATCGCTCTCACCACCTGGGCTACTACGGTGCGCTTTCACATACTCATGCCACTCCATTCCTAGTGTGACGAGGCGTCACGTATCATAGACTGTCTTTGTGTTCCTCTTCTCGACTAGGGCTTTGCTCCCGACTTCCTTGCAGGCTTGGCCGACGCGAAGATCGCTTGCTGGAACTCTTGCCGACAAGTGCAACAAGCCCGCCGGCCGGGCTTCGAATGCTGCAGGAGCTTCTAGTCGACGTGCGTACTTCTCTGCCTCGGCACCATCCGTATCATCTACTGGCCGCACTGGGAGGGTTTCTCGGATTCCGGATCGGCTTTGTCAACAAGCTTCACAATGCTAGAGTCCATTCCCTTGGGCGCCAGATCTCTGGCCGTAAATAGCTTCTAGCCCTAACCCATGTCAGACACCATTCGTCTATATCGCAAGTTTTGGTCGCCCAGTGACATTAAAACCGCATCGTGCGGTACAGATATTGCCCAATGCAGCGTGTGTTCCGGTGATAGATGGGTGTATGCATGCGTTGGTGTCGAAAACGCCTCCTGGTTACTCTAACGCCCGTCATCAACAAGGAAGTAATGGAACTATAAACAGTGCGGTCAAGCTCAAAGCCCAAACCGTATATTGGTCTGTCAGCGACTCCAGCTGAATTGTGTGCGCGCCCGCGCCCGCCACTCTTCTTCCAAGACCACCATCTGCTCGCCACCAGCACACTCCCATTCGGCCTCCCGTGCGCGCAGATGTCGCGCGAATCCGAAACAATGCTGGTGCACACGCTGCCGGCCCATAGCCTGCCGCGGGGCTGGTATGACCGAGACGCGCGTGCGCGAGACGGCGTCTGCGCGACAAAGCACACACTCGCGAGTGCTGCGGTAGTCCGGTCACCCCCCGGCCGCGAACACAGTCCGCCCCGGATCCGCCGCCCACCCGCAGGGCCGCCACCACTGGCACATACAGCGCATGCGTCGTCTTTTGTGCGCCCAAACGCGGCCAGCGAGCTCTCCGGGGTGAGTCTGCTTTATTATATTCTGCACTGGGCCCGAGCGCTGACTGACTCCGTGTCCTTCCTTGACTTGACTCCTGTGGTCGCCCCGGCTCCGCGCCGACTCGCATTTGTCTCGCGGCTCCTGACACCACCTCGCAGCACGCCCCCCGAGGCCTCCACGACGTTTTCCGTCGTTCCACTACTACCATGATCGACGCGCCACAACGGGATACTGGTGTGGATATGACGGTGGGGAGGCCTCGTGACGACATACCGCAGTATGATTCAGGCACTTCATATAAGGGCGCCCGGGTGCCGGGCCCTCCTCAGGTCAGTTCCCGCAGAAACGAGGCTACTCACCTTCTTTGTCTTCCGGCTCTTCGACTTACGCGTGGTCTTACCGAAATGCAGAATATCAAGCGTGACCGCGAGGTATGCAGGGAATATTTGCGCGGGCGCTGCCAACGGGGACCCAACTGTATATATTTGCATCCCGAGGTACGCGCGAGGCTCCATCGTTGTATGGGAGAGCAGCCGCTAACGTGCTTTTAGAGCGATCAATATGCCAAAAAGACCAGAGAGGAACCACAACGTTATGCACCACATGCCCCGTCGGCGCCGAACCCATCGCCCGCTAGACCACCGCCATCCAATCCCCAACATGCTTCATCCTCGTCGCGCGTCGTTCAACCGGAACAACCGTCAACTTCGGTCAAGCGATCAGGCGTTCAGTATAACGAGTCGCACCCTGTTGAAAACGCACCTCGTGTATTGGATTCCACTGCCTCGTCCGGAGCTCAGGACAACCACTCCATTTCGTTGGCTCTCTCACATCCGCGGCGCCCGCTGCCTGTTCAACCCGAGAATCCACCACCGCCCTACGGGAGTCATCAAGAACGCCATGGTCCTCTGAGAGCAGGCAACGCAGTCGCTGCCGGTCAGCCTCAACCCGAAACTCGGTTTTCCGGACAACCAGTCTCCCGTCTCGCACAAAACATTGGGCCGTCTTCACGACTGGGTGAAGATACTAGACCGGCGAGGGTGAGCACACGAGTCATCATGTTGTTTCTTCGTCACTCATCGTTTGAAGACCTCGAACGAGATTTGCACCATGTACCACAAGGGACTCTGCAAATATGGAAATGACTGCTTCAAAACGCATATCCTCCCAATGACACTGTCAGAGCGAAACACGACCCCGGAAAAGGTCAGTGGGAACTTTGCAAACAGAGTATAACGAACTAATGACGAGGATGAACCAGTCTGCTCCTTCACCAAATGCCTGCATTCGCTCATGGCATCATCATGCAAGAGCGCGTTGCCAACACAACATGCAGGGGAAATGCACACGAGGTGCTAACTGCCCCTATTCGCACGATCCGCCTGAGAAAATACCAGCCGCAATGGTACCTGTTCCCGAGACAGCCTCTGCTCAGGTAAGAAATCTTCTCAGTATTTTTTCAGACGAACTGACAAAATGCAGTCCTCGCACATGGCATCTGCCGGCGTTGCCCATGACGTTACGCATGAGGAATCCTACGACACGATACCGGAGATGATCTGCAGAGCCTTCTTATCAGGACATTGTCGCAACCCAATGTGTACAATGTGGCACGTTGCTCCTCAAGAGCTGGTCAGCCTTAACGCAGTCGTCGCTGCCGGTGGGGAGTTAATCGTAGACGCCGGGGGTACTGAGTTGAAGCCTGAGGTGAGGATTGGTCGCATCCTCCAGTATCTGTTTATCTGAAGAGAACCACCTCTAGCCCTCTGCGGCCAACTCGTCGCCCGAGAACCCGGCCGAGGACAGGTCTGGGTAAGGGTTCCTTCGTACGATCAACGCCCACTGGCTGATGAGGTCTGCTGCAGAAGCACAGATGCTGCGGGTACGCAAGGAAAGGCTCGCAAGAAAGTACGTGCATATGTGTACTACAAGTGCACTCACGCTCACATTTTTGCTACCGCAGAAGAAATCCAACGAACCGGACGGAGAAGCTCAACCGCAGGTCAGTAGAAAAGGGAAGGCGCAGATCAAGGACGTACAAGGGACGGCCCAAAGCAAGGTTCAGCAAGTAGAAAAAGCCAAAAAGGATATCCAGTCCAAGGATCGCCATGAGGAGACTAGCAAGAAGCCCCCAAAGCGTAAGAAATCTAAGACGGCCACGCTGGAAGACCAGGTTCCACAAGATGAGAGGTCAACCGCGGCTCCCAGTGGTTCATCGTCGGAAACTCGAACACCATCCTCCTCCGCTCCCGTTACTAGAACCCCCAAGCCATCCAAAGACACTGCACGCTCCACCTCCCCGAAGCAGAGCAAGGCCAAAAAGAGAGCTCCTGTTTCTGTACCCGAAGACGGTGGCGGAGATACAGAGGGCGAAGACGCAATCTCTTCATTGGTGAGTCCACCTACTCAGTTCTGATACGACGAATTGCTGAACCGTGTTTTCAATAGCGCGGTTCCCGGACAGTATCTGCGCAGACTTCGCGGACTTCCGTAGAATCATCTTCAGTCTCAACCGTCACGACAGATGCCTCGAAGCGGCCTTGCCTCGACTTTCTCAGAGGCATATGCTCCCGGAAATCGTGCAAGTATAGCCATCCACTCCAGCCTACAGCGGAACAAGCTACTTTTGCACAGGTCAGATACCGGTTGCGTGTTGAATGAATCATAACATAATGCGCTTTGCAGGCTGAAACTGCGCCTACTCCTGGGACGCAACCCGTAAGGTACAATGTGCCTAGAAGCACTTCTCTGACTGACGTCTTTTTCTAGACTCCTCGGGAGGATGGCATCGTCATCCCCATCATGGATTCTCTAATGGTAAAAATTGGTGCAGGATTCGAGATCATGCAAGTCAGTACCGGTTTCGAGCCCAGGCAGATCGTGCTGGGAGGCGTTCCCTCCATTATTTCTCCTGCGGAGATACGTACGGCTTTGGCCCGCTTCGGTGACGTCGTCAACGTGGCTCTCTCTGACGAACCTAGAGACGCAGATGCCTTCGTTTACCAGGTGACATTTGCGCTGGCGGACGCAGCAGTCGAAACGGTGGCCCGCGTGGACGGCAATACCCTCTTCAACTCTCCCGTCTACGCGCGACTTCAGCCTATGAAGGCCAAGATAGGCTCAGGCGGCGATTTCTTCGATGGCGACGTACTTTTTAAACTCCCAACAGCAAGAAAGTGCGCCTACGTCGGGTACAAGACCGAGGAAGCTGCTCAGATCGCCATCGCCAGAGCTGACGGAAAGGATCTCCGAGGAATGCAAGTTGCCGCAACCTGCTACACCGGCATGCCCAAAGTCGGCCAATTCAATGTGAAGTACGAATACCTCCCTGCAAACGCCACAGAGAAGGATCTGGCGCGATTCGGCGACTACGAGTCCCATATGTTTGAGAGGCCGAACTACCAGTCCCCCAAAGGCGCAATCGAGGGTCTTCGGCGCCAGTTGGCCGACTACGGCGAGGTCTCTCTAGACGTCCCTCCTGGCCCGAACCGCATGATGTTCCGGGTCTGGGCACACTTCAAGGATCCCTTGGCCGCGGAGAAGGCCCGTGGGGATCTACATGGACGGTGCCCAGCCTACATCGGGAAGCAGAGGATATTTGCGCATCACTATAGATCACTCACGTACATGGTGCCGTCGCGCAAGTTCAACCATCTCTCTCAAGATCTTTTCGACCTTCACGCGTATCTCCACCACAAGTACAACGCCACCATCTTCGTGGACGACAAGAGAACAGCTACTGCGCCCAACACTCCGGTCGTCATCACGTTCCTGTCGGAGAATCCAGCCGAGGTCCCCGAGGCTAAAGCCGCTTTTGACCGTCTTCTTCGCGGTGATAAGCTGACAGAGAACGGGCGGACCGTGTGGAACGAGTTCTTCGGAACTAGGGAAGGGCTCCAGTTCCTGGACGGGCTTCAGAAGAACCATCCTATGGTCAGGGTCTACCGCGACACTCACCGACGCACCCTTACGCTCTTTGGACCGGAATTGCGTCGCTCGCGCGTACGCGACATCATTCTCGCTCACGCTCGGCGCCTCGCATCCCAGCGACAGCAGCGCCACCGAGTCGCCGGGAACTTGTTCTTGACCGAAGACCTCGCCACATTGAGAAAGGAGCTCGGAGAGGGAAGCGTTTGGTTCGACTTTCTGCGCAAGGAACTCGTCGTCTGCGGTGATGAGGATGCCCGGAAGACTGCCAAGCTCGCCATCCAGGATGCCATCAAGCGCCGTGGCCAGCTTCCTCGGACCTCCAGCTCATCCAACGGCTGCCCAGTTTGCCTCAGCGAACCTTCACATCCCGTTTCCCTTCCTTGCAACCATCGCTGGTGCACTCCTTGTCTTAGCGCCTTCCTCAACGCCGCCGCCGATGTCAAAATGTTCCCGCTCACATGCCTGGGAGACAATGCACGGTGCACGTGCCGTATTCCACTGGACATCGTACGACAGCTTCTCCCTCCGGATGCCTTCGATACTCTCGCTCGTACGGCATTCAACCTCTACATCCACGCGCGTCCGAAGGAGTTCCAGTATTGCCCCACACCGGACTGCCCCCAGGTCTACCGCGTTCCAGGCAAGCGCCCCTCCCTCGCTCCCGCGCCGTCTTCGACCACGACCAGCATCAGCAAGGGGAAGGGCCGCGAAGAGCCTCCTCCCCCAGCAGCTGCGCCCGCGCCGGTGCTGCAGTGCCCAACGTGTCTTGTGCGCATCTGTTCGGCGTGCGGGGCGGAACACCACGAGACGCGCTCCTGCCGGGACGTCTCGCCGGCGGACGAGGCACAGTTCGCGACTTGGCGAGCTGGCCACGACGTCAAGGACTGTCCAAAGTGCAAGATCCCGATCGAGCGCGAGGCGGGATGCAACCACATGACGTGCGCGCGCTGCAAGACGCACATATGCTGGGCCTGCCTCGAGACGTTCGAGACGAGCGGGGAGGTGTACGGGCACATGCGCGCGATCCACGGTGGGATCGGCGGCCTGGACGTGTATCTCTGAGGGGCCGGCCGGGGGCTGCTATGGTCGCCGGTGGGGATGGTGTGTCTTGTTGTACGTTTTCGTTTGCTGTCTCGTGCTCCCCCGAGCTAATGGCTATTGTCGTCGTTTAGGACTGTTGCTTCCGTGCCTGCGTATCGCCTCGATGCAGTTCTCCCACTTCTCCATGACTCCACTGTGTGTGCTTCGCGGATACTAGATACCCCAATGTACTTGTACTGGGACCACCACCGATCACCGTCATTCTTTATGTACTCTATCCCGCCCTCTGACCCTGTACTGTTACGTCTCCGGACGATGTCACATTATTCATACCTTTTATGCCACCCACCGACGATCGAGACAGAAAGGCTATACAGCACCTCTGGAGGTCGTGAAGATGATCGCTCTGATGCACCGGTGACTGGGGCCTTTTTGGAACAGTCAAAACGGGTCTTGAGTGTGTCCACACGCTCTCCGAATTACGATCACGTGAGAGCACAAGCAAGCGCGTTGCCCTTCCAGCCCTTCCTCGACTCTCTACCCCCTGCTGCATCCATGGCCACGCCAAAGCTGGTTTCGGCGGTCTTCAAGGGCACTGCGTTTGAAGAGCGCTCCCGCGCCGTCCTCCGCGACCACTTCTCCATGTCCCTCCGACGAGTTGGCGGCAGAGGCGACGGCGGCATCGACCTCCAAGGCTGGTGGTGGCTCCCCGCACAGTGCGTGAACCATGGCCACCCCTCCGCAACACACGCCCTCCCCACCCCCGCACGACCGCACGACCGCGTGCCCGTCCGCGTCCTGGGCCAGTGCAAGGCCGAGGCGAGGAAGGTCGGCCCCCGCCACATCCGCGAGTTCGAGGGCACCGTCCTCCGGCTCTCCGCGGCGCACCCCCTCGGCGTCGCCGCCTCTCCAGGTCCAGGTCCAGGTCCAAGCCCGAGGGCGTCCGTCGGGGTGTTCCTCTCCCTCTCCCCGTTCACGCTCGCGGCGCTCCGCCAGGCGTACTCCTCCCCCGTCCCGCTCGCGCTGGTGCACCTCCCGGAGCCCGGAGACGGTTGTGCGGAGGCGGACCGCACCGACGCGCGGATGCCGGGGAACGTGATCTTCAACCCGGCGCTGAGCGCGAGCCACGGGCTGCTCCGCGGGACGCTGGAGCCGCGGTGGGAGCGGGGGCCTGGGGAAGGAGGGCCTGCTCTTTGGAGTGGGGGTTCGCGGTTGGAGAGTTGGGTGCCGGAGGACGCGCGGGATGCTCGTCGAGCACTAGGTGTGTTGCCTCCGTAATCTCTTGTGTAGTGTGTAGATATCCATTGGTTTTCGTAGGCCCTTGAACGCAGCAATCTCCGGGCCCTTGTCATGGGAAACTCCTTCATCCTGAGACTTCGATGAGGACAGCAAGCAACCCTTGACGACACTAGTTGAGTTTATATGCGTACGGAGCTCGTAGTATATCCGTTCTAACGACGATTTAGATGGACATTGGGCAGACACCATGCTCGTGAAAGCACGTTTGTCCGGTCACCATGTTTGCCTGGGCTTCTCTACTCGCGGGTTGTACCGCGGCCATTACTGTAGCATACGCATCTGCTATGTCCTTGGACGGCGCGGACTTCTTGAAGCCCGACAAAGCACACAGAAACTATGGTCACATGAGCCTCCAGGGCAACCAAGGACTTCTACGTCTCCGATGCCGGATGTCAACCTCGGCGTCGAAAACATCGTGGTCGGTTACATCGGGGAGTCGCCCACCTACGACAATCACTGGGTCGTTGACACTGGTAGCTCGTACATTTGGGTTGACGCGGATTTGCGGGGTTGGGTACGTGCGGACAAACTCGAGCATCGCACAGCGTGCACCGGGGTATGTTGATGTATGATGTCGCCGAAGGCAGCGTCAAATGCTGACGAATTCTACTAGGCACTTTCTTATGGATCTGGGAGTGTGCTCGGTGAGTGACAGTCGTTGACTACCTTCGATATATGATTCTCATGCTGTTAAGGTAGACTGCAAATGGCTCGAGAACCGGGATGTCGGGAATTCCGCGATTTTTAGCGATTCGACATATACGGGGGCAAACTTAGGTGAGATCAGCGCGCATATGGGACATTAGACCCATTACTTACGTTGCACTCACAGACTCGCTCTTGTCGCACCCACCGCCGGCACGGCTCTTCCTCTGGACGGCTTGGTGCAGGGTCTCGCACCCACCGTGCTGGAGACGGCGAAGAAGCAGGGTACAATCACCGACGAGGACCTCGGAGTATCCTCTATGACCAGCCGCGAGTCCAGCGGATGCCCGCATTCGGCGCCGATGAAAGTCTGTACACGGGTGACATCGGCTTCTGGTGCGTCTCCTTCGCTACTGCATTCATTAGTGCACACCTGACATACTTTCTCGCGCACCTCCCCAGGTCGATCGGTTCAAATGAGGTTACGGACAGACCGTCGGCGTCGACTTCTCACTGGCCACCTACGACCCAACCGATAACGCGACCGCGCTTTTGAAGAGTCGCCACTCATCACGGCAAGGATAGCTTGGGCGGTCAAGTTCACCAGGTGGAACCCGAACCCGATAACGTCTCAATAGCAACTGTACTACGGTATACACATATGGCAGGTTTGCGAAGATAACGCGAGAAGCATGCATGAAGATGGACAACTACATCGCAAAGACCTAATCGAACGCAAAACGAAGGAAAAGAGACACTATGGGTGCAACGGACAAGAAATGCGACAGAGATCGACGATCAAGCACCGGCCAATCCTCAAAACGCAACAAAACGACCTCGATCGCTGTCCATTTCGCCAGAAATCATGCAAACGAGGAGGCGCGCAGACTCCAAAACTGCATCTCGGCGCTTACTGCAACTCGAGCCGGTGGGCGGTCAGCAGCGTGTTGCGCCCGTCGACGACCCTCTCCCGGACCCACTCCCGGAACGCGCCCTCGTCGACGACGCTCCGAAGGATGCCCGCGCGCACCGCGGAGAAGCAGACCGCGAACCCGAGCTTCGCCTCCACGCGCGCGCGGAACGCGGCGAGGCCCGTTCCCGCCGGCACGCGCACCTTCCACACCTCGTCCGTCGTCGGCACCCAGACCTTGAGCACGATCCGGCCGTCCGCCGCCGGCGCCCAGCGCGCGGGCTCGGCGCGCGGCTCGGGGATGGGAGGGAGCGCGGCGAACTTCCTCGCGCGCGCGGACCGTGGGGGGTCGGGGGCCGCGGCGGGCAGCGGGGAATCCCACGCGTCGGGGCTCATGCTCAGGAAGGAGCCGACGGGGTCCGTCCGCTCCGTCGTCGCCGTCGTCGGGGTCCGTCGCGCGATGGGGATCGGTGCGGACGGTGCGAGCGCGTGCGCGTGCGCGCCGTGGAGGGACTGCGGGAGGAGCGGTGCTGGGCGGTGGCGCTTGGTCGCGGGGCGAGCGGATGTTGTGGTTTGCGCAAAGGACGAGGGCGCGCCGGGGTCGTTCTCTTTGCCGGCCGCGCGCGGGGCGCGGAGCGTGCCGCTGCGCACGCGCCGGGGGATGTTGTGGATGGCAGTGAGGACCTTGGCGGACGTGGTGTGTTGATGCGTGTTCGCGGACATGGCGGCGGGAGCGAGTGGGGCCAAGGGCGAGGTGTTGGCGAAGAGCTGGATGAGTTGCGCGACGAGCTGCGGGGGCGAGAGCGAGGCTGTGGGCGGGACTTGGCGGGTGGTTGGGGATGATGAGTGTGGGGGGCGAAATCTAACCACTGGCGGAGGGCTGGCAGACAGCGCGGGGGAATCCATCCTGTTGCCAGCCTCGAGTGCGGAGGACGCAGATGGTCTAATATAATGGTCAGCCTCAGACGTATAACAGGAACGGGACCAGCTCCATGCTGTCCGGAATGGGTCGCGCGCGCGAGCATTCTAAGTACAATGGGATCCTTACTTTTATGATGAGATCGTACGAAGCCGTCGGCCAATGGTAGATGAGCCACTCGGACTCTGGAGTTGTTGGATAACTGTGAGAGTTCTCTGCCACCATTGTACTGGAGTAGGTTTATTGTTGTTGTGCTACTGGCTATCGGCGAGAGGGTAACTACACAGTACCCACGTGCGGAGGCGGTACTTAGGTTGAATCGTTGTAACTTGTGGGTTTGCCTCGAGCCCAGACACGAACATCGGGAGTTCAGGCCAGGTGTGTCCCTCTTGAGAAGTCCCGCGACATTCTCGAGCAGCTCCCGTGCAGATTTCTCCTGAATTATGTTATTGGTTTGCTGTCGAAGTTCGCACTGAGGTTTTTGAAGGTCGAGGTCGAGGTTACGGCGCTAACGTTAAATGTTGGTGTTGAAACGCCTGGCGTCGTGGAGGCAGCCCTCGAAGACCTGGATGTGGGTAACGTGGTCTGGCCCACATATATACCGATACCAGTGAATCTTTGTCTTGTAGTCTTTTCCACCCCTGCCCTTCGCGAATCGCGACGTGCTCCCTAGACTCGGTCGGTCGTCAGCGGCTTGCCAGTGCACGAGACGCTTGCGAAAAGACGCCCATGCAGCGGCGGGAACTTCCGGAGCGAGGCTTTTGGAACGCGACGTCGGCGCCAGCGAGCACGTCCGTCTCACTCTCGCCATGTCTTAGTCCGTCCCTCGTTCTCCTCTCTGCGCGCATGCACTTACTCTCTTTGCTTTTGACAGCGTTATCCTCGGCCGCGCTGTCAAAAACGAGTACCTCACCCTCGGTACCCTCTTCACCGTTGCGGCGGGTGTTATGCTGGCCGGCGGTGGCAAGAAGGACACGAAGCCTCCGACCCTCCAGCAGGTCAAGGAGTCGGTCAAGATTGGCGCGAGCTCAAAGTGCGTACTTCTGCTGTTTCATGCTGCGCCGCCGACTGACCGAGTCTCTCCGTGTTCCGTGCTTGGTGGGGTGCTGGACATGCAGTGAGGAGGAGGAATTGTACGTGCCTGCGGCTTTCACTCCAGACGAGGACGGACTGTCGACAACTGACCAGGATGAACAGCATCAAGAACTTCATTGCAGAGGCGGAGAAGGAGAGCGGGTCGAAACACTGAGCGGAGCTTGTGTACCCCCGTCGCGTTGCTGTAGCAGACCCCCAGAATCCTTGACCTGCGCTTTCTCCCTCTATTCCCGAGTGCATGTGAGCTGCAACTTTCCTGAGCACGATGGACCAATACCACGGCACTGCAAGGCGAATGAGTGTAGTAGGATGTTGGGCCATTTGATTCGGGACGTGCTGCGGGTGTGGAGGAGACCGTACCTAGACGCGGGGTGGCGATCAGGTGTTGCGAGCAGTCGGCAATTCCGTTTCGCGCCCCAGTCACCACCCGTCGCTCGTGTGTTGACCGCAACCAGCGAATTCATCTCTTGTTCTCTCTGCCTGCCTCTGGCCTCTTCCTCTCCTTCGCCCACACGGTCGCTGCCCACGCTGTCCCTGCACACGTCGCCCGTCTTTACGTATCCGTCTAATGTCAACATGAATGCCAGCGTCCAACCCCCACCCAGCCCGTCCCTCGCTGGCCCCCGTCCGCTCCAGCTCGTCGATGGCAACGTGCTCTCCATTCTCTCAGCCCCTTCGTCCCCGTCCCCCCTCAGCCCAGGACTCTCCACGCCCCCGCCCAGCGCCCGCAAGTTCCACCCTTCCCGCAGGCAGTCGTCCATCTCCTACTTCCCCAGCGACCACACTCCAAGCTGGGATCTACGCTCCCCCACCAGTGCCACCTCCCGTCCGTCATCACTCAAGCGGAGCACGTCCTTAAACCACAAGCTCCCAGGTCCGCTGGATTTGCAGGGAAACAAGCGGAGTAGCCTGCCCCTCACAGACCCTCTGGGCAGCCCACAAGTCGAGCAGCGACCACCGCTCACGCTAACCGAGAAGTACGTCTCTCCCTCTTCGTCTCCAGCGCCGTAGCTTCAAGCCATACTGTATATATGCGCCCCCCGTGAGCTTGCCTGCTGACTCTACCCTTCCTCGCAGGCACGCCGACCTCCTCCGCTTCATCGCCCAGAAAGAGTCGAAATGCCTCGAGCTCCGCTCGCAGCTCGCCGCGCACGAAGCCGAGCTCGCGCAGCTCAAGCGCAAGTGGGAGCGCATCGTCTCCCGCGGCATGGACCGCGCCTACTCGCAACAACCCGCCTCCGCCGCCGCCTCGTCCAACTCGCTCCTCACCGGGGCCGTCAAGGACGTCAGCCGGCTCCTCGCCGCCGGCCTCTCCGACCTCGCCGCCTCCCCCAGCGGCAGCCCGAACCCGGCCAGCACCTCCTTCCCCGCGCACTCCGCCCCGCCGTCCGCGTTCGCGAAGCACGGCCCGCCCGTGCTCGCGCTCGAGACCGGCGGCCGCGCGCTCGGACACGCCAACTCCTGCAGCACCAGCACCAGCACCAGCACCAGCGCGTCTTCGTCCGGCACCGGCACCGCATCCTCGAGCGTGCGCCTCTCGCAGTCGTCCGCGTCGTCGCTCGCCTTCGACGAGCCCCTCGCGGAGCAGGACGAGGGCGCGGAGGCGGAGGACCACGCCGCGCGCGCGATCCGCGTCGACGGCGGCACGGGCATCGAGAGCCCCGTGCAGATCTCGCCCGCGAGCGCGATCAAGGCCGCGAAGCTGCACCGGCGCAAGAGCCGCGAGGTCCCCGCCCCCGCGCTCGCGCCCACGTCGTCGTCCCCGGGGACGTCGAGGGCGACCGTGGCGGCGGAGGAGCGCAAGGCGAAGCGGGCGAGCATGCACGGCGGGGTGCCGCCCGCGGCGTCGATCCCCGGCCTAAGCCCGCTCGCGAGCGGGTGGATGGAGAGCGTGGGGAGCACCGTGGGCAAGAGGTGGGGGGAGATACAGAAGGGCGAGACGTGAGTGTTTTGCCTCCTCGAATCCGTCTTCGTCTGCTGCCACTTGTTGGTACATGCCAATCCTCCCCGCCTGCGCTTGCGCGTGCATTTTATCTTCGTTCACCCCGCAGTCCACCACACTCTACTCCAATCCTCCCCTCCTCATCCTCTGCTAAATCCCCACCCCTGGCCAACCCCCGTCCCGTCTCCCAACTCCATCCGCTGACGCACCCTCCCGCCCACAGGTTCACCAAGAGCCAGAAGCGCGCGTCGCTCCTCCTCTCCGACGCCGCCTCCTCCTTCTTCGCCGCGCTCGCGCCCACGACCCCGACCGGGGGCGCACACACGCCCGTCTCCGTCTCCTCGAACCCGTTCGGCGCCGCGCTCTCCCCCCTCGGCGCGTCCCCGACCGCGGCCTCCGCCGCGACCTCGCTCCTCGAGCTCGACGACGAGGGCGCGGGCGCGCTCGGCAGCGTGCTGGTGCCCGACCGGCCGGCGCTCGCGCCGTCGCGACCCGCGCCCGCGGCGCAGAGCAAAAGCTTGCTCGATGACGACGACGACGAGTGGAATTGGTAGCCTCTCGTCCACGGTGGAGTAGAGGGTGTGGTTATAGTACGTGTCCGGTTTATTGTTTAGTGACTGTTTGTGTGCACGCGCTGTTATGTCTGCGTGCACACGTCCTTCGTGTTGGAACCATGAATGACGAAACGATGTTTGGCGAAGAGCGTCGGTTCCTTCGCAGGAAGCTTGTGTGTCACGCGGGAAGAAGTATGAAACCATTTTCTGCTTTTTATTTGGTTTGGGTAGTGGTAGAAGACTCGAGCGCCGTGGCGCTATGAGTGCAGACTACCTTTTACAGTACCGTGGTGGAGCCGTGTAATAGGGGTTTGTGATGTATAGTAAGAGAGAGAGAGAGAGATGAAAGAGAGATGAGAGGCAGGACTATCGACACTTCGAACAGGACACATGGAGGCTGCACCAGGGGCGCAGCCTCGCCTGGACGAGGTTGGTGCTGAAAGACGCACGGGGCCGAAGCCAGAGGGGTTTTGATACGTATGAGTGTCGGGGTGCGAGAGCCAGTAAACACCGAAGGCCACCGCAAGGGCGACGACAGAGGGGAGGGTGACCTCGAACCGAGACGCTGGTGTGAGGGGCTGAGACGAGGGAGGGCCCGGGAGCTGAACGCTGAGACGAGGGTCGGACGTTGGCGGGCTGGCGGGGAGAGCACCGGCGAGGACGCCGACGTGCTGAGTGGCGGTGGCGAGGTCGTGCCAAGGTGCCAATGTGGGTGGGTCGAAGGCGAGCCAAAGGAATGGGGTCGTGAGTGGCCAAGTGATACGACCAGTGAGGTCAGCCAAGTTGAAGGAGGCGACAGGGGTTGAGCGGCGAGGTCAAGCCAGACAGCGGTGGAGTTGTACCGCAAGGGCGGCGAGGTCGTGCCAGAAGGGTAAGTCGGCGAGGTCGAGCCGGAAGGGCAGGTGAGAGTGATCATACAAAGGACCCGATGTTGCGACAGCGAGATGCACGAGGGCGGACACCTGAAGTCGTCGAGATGTTGGCCATTCGGATTGCTGGATGCGCAGGGAAGAAGGGAAGAACGGTCCTAGCACTTGCGCATACGTCAGACTTGAATAACAATAATGAGAAAGGGCAAACTCACGAGAATAGGATGCAATGTTACACGTCGCGCCAAGTCTGGAAGACCGACGTGCTGAGAAGCGGCGGGGTCTTGCCAGTACTCGCGGCGGGATCGTGCCGAGAACGGAGATCATGCGACTCAAAGCAGCTGTAACTCTAGCCGCCGAAAGAAGAGGCGGGAGGGGATGAAGGCGTCTGTACTTTGGACCAAATAGACACGTCGAATTTCAAAGTCGTTGTGACAATGGGTGAGACGCTTACGACACAAGACACCGCATTGGGAAACAGGCGGTGGAGAGGAATTCGACGCGATGAAGAGAGGTCGAGCCGCGAACCAGCAGGGGGCGAGGTCGTGCCAATGGCGGCAGGATCATGTCGAGAGCGGAGGAGTGGTGAACCTGCGGCATCTGCGAGCCATGCGAGGCGAAACAACAGAGGACGAAGATAGAGGTGTCGCCTCGATGCTGAAGCAAACAGACATATTAGTCTTCGAAGTCGCCGCGACGATGAGTGGAGTACTCACGAGATAGGACACTCTGTTACCGGGCGGGTAGATGTGCTGAAGAGAGGCGAGATCGAGCCAGCAGTGGGTGACGAGGTTGGGCCAGGGGGTGGCGAGACCGAGCCGGTGAGGACGAAGTTGCGACAGAGGTCGGCGAGATCGTGCCATTGGTTGGCGAGGTCATGTCGAAGGGCGACGCCGTCGCCTCGGAAGTTAGCAGACGTGCGCCGAAGGGTGGTGGGGCCTTCCGGGATCCAGAGCTCGCTACCAGTGAGGTTGTCGCCGAAGGAACGAGGCGAATCGAGGTAGCCAAGAGCGTCACCCGAAGAGTGGGGAGAGCGAAGGTGTGCGAAAGTAGGGATGGGTGGCGAAAAAGAAGGCGGGGGAGAAAGTCATTACTGTACAGGAGCTTTTTCGGGTTGAAGCGTGGATGATATGGAAGCGGGTGTCGCGACGGTGGGGCGGGAGATGAATGGGAGGAGTCGTTACTGTCCTGGTAGGGTTTTGGTGTTGAAGTGGAAATCGCCCAAAATACCCATTAAAAGGGGAAAGATACCGAAGGCCCATTAAAGGAGATACCGGGGGATGACCCTGTGAAGAAAGACGACATGGACCCGAGGTATTGTGGATTTTGTGATTTTTGTGAGGGTGAGGAAGGTAGAGGGGGGTAGTCGGTGTTAAGAAAAGAAGGAAGATGCCGCAGCGGGGTGAGATCGGAAGGGGGGTGATGAGGGAGACGGGAGAGATGTTGGTGGGAGGGGAAGCGGCGTCGAACAGGGCGGAGTAGCCAGGATGTGGCCTTTTCGGGGGGCGCTTCCTTGCTTGACGGGGGCGACAATGGTGAAGACGGGGGTTCACGCAGAGATGGAGGAGGGGGAATGAGGGGATGGTTTTTCTGGGGGTTTGAACTTTTCGAGGGTAGCAGTCGCCGAAGCGCCCCATGCAAGGACCAAGACACGGGAGGCGGATTGGGTTCGGTGACCGAAGACGAAGAAAATATGAACCGGTGACGAAAGGACCCATTAAATGAGGGGGATGCCGAAGGCCCATTAAAAGAAGAGGAGTGAGGGACGGATAGCCAAGAGGAAGAAGAACGACTTGATGACCGATGGCAGGGAGACGAGGAGGGGAAGGACCAAAGCCAGAGACCCCAGTGAACGAGCAGGCCGAGAGAGAACGAGAACATGAAAAGACGACGGAAAGTGAAAGTCGAGAGCCCAAGGAGCGAGAGCAGGCCTGAGGCGGCGATGGGGGAGGACAAAACAAGGAACAGGACGGCTGACCAGGTGCGCCCGTGGTGCCGAGCATACCCATGTCCCAAGCCTTCATCGCTCTCCATCCCGGAGCGATCGCGCCCGCCGGCCCAGCGTCACCCCAACACGAGCGAAGTATCCGGATCCGCAGCCTCAAACCCCATGTCCGGCGACGACGGCAGCTGTACACCCGCCGTACCGGCCAGGAAGTCGGCCAACTCGTGGAACATGAGGTCGGACACGTCGGAATCCTCGCCCACGTCGTTGGAATTATCCCTCTGAGCGGAGAAGAGGTCGCCTTGAGCATTGTCCTTGTCACCGTTCGTGTTGGAATTGCCGTGGAGGATGGCGTTGCCAGGCTTGTCGTCGTTCTCGACATCGCAGTCGGCTGAGCTCGCAGATTTCTCCCCAGCGGCGTGGAGGCGAGGGAAAGAGACCGCTCGCGAGCGAGCTTGTCTTCGTAGATCGCGGTCAAGGATCTCGAGAAGCCGCCGGTCCTGGGCTTCGCCGAAGTCATAGAGGTCCTTGAGGGTGCCGCGCGACGGGACGGGAGGAGGTCGACTTGAGCGTCGAGATGGCGCCGAGGGTGAAGAAGGGGCGGATGCAGCGCGGACGGTGAACCCGAGTCCCATGCTCCCTTGACCATCCTGTCCACCCACGCCGCCACGTCTCCCGGGCTCTGAGGAGCTGCTGCCTCGTCTGCCTCGTCTCCACCTTTTTCCCGGTGGATCGCCGAGAGAGAACGTCTTGCCCGACACGTTAGAGACGGACCATCGCTGTTCTTCTTCCTCTTCAAGCCGTGGAGCGTTCCAGCTCGCCGGGGGGACCTGCAGGTAGTCACGCTCCTCGAGGGACGAGTGGTGCGGGAAGTAGAAGCTGACGGGGGACGCGAGTTGGGCAGTACTTGGCGACGACATGACGAGTGGACCTCCTAGGGCGGCCGGGTCGACATCGGGCGTGGGTGGACCGTCGCGCGGCGAGCCGATGGCGGACTCGATGTTGTCCGGGGATCCAGGAGAGGACGGGTCGAGCGCAGGCGTCGCGGGAGAGCCTATGGAGCAGGGGCTTTCGGGCGGACCACCGGACTGTTCGTTGTCTTGGCTGTACATGCTCGAAGGACTGTCGGGGCAGACGTCTTCGGGGAGCTGCTCGATGAAGGGCTGGATGACGATGGCGGGGACCTCTGGTGGTACGACGACGGAGGAGCAGGCCGCAACGAGCTTGGGCGCTGCGGCGAGGAAAGCAGGTCGCGCGGCGGCATCGTCCCTCTTGAAGTGCTCGTGGAATGCAGGGAGGTGCCGGCGCACACACTCTGGGTAGCCGAGCGACGGGTTGGACGGGGACGGCAGCTCTGGAGACGACGGGGTGGGCAGCAGGCCAACGGGTGGTGAGATGGGCGACGACAGGGCACGCTCTTCGGACGCGGGCGCGGCGGGGGCCTCGATGTCAACCCGAGCGTTGGCCCCGGCGGGGGACGGACCGGAGTGCACGGGCTGCCAAAGGGCGTGTCAACCACAAGGTGGAGCGGACGAAGAAGGAAAGAGGCTGACCGCGATCTTGCCCGCGTCGACCGCCCAGGGAAGGTCGCCGATCACGCGGCAGACGACCGAGTGCCGGATCGTCCTGTACCGCTTGTTGGCGCCGTGGACCGCGGGCAGAGGGAGGCCCGCGAGACCCGTGTGCGTCTTCTCGGACCCGCTGCACATGATCTCGTCCGCGGTCGGAGTCGACGGCGAGCGGCCCGTGGAGGCCATCGACGCGAAGAACGCGTGCCTGAGCCCGTCGTTGCTCTTGAGGTCGCCCGTCGGGTGCTGCGCCTCGACGTTGTCGACGACCCAAATGCTCCGGCGTCGACGGCGGCGGCCGTGGGTGACGCACACCGCGATGGAGATGACGCAGAACGCGACCGCGAGGAGTGCGAGCACCGTGTAAACACCCGACGAGGTATCCAGCGCAGACGCGGGGGTCGGAGGGGCGCTGGGTGTCGTCTGCGGCGCCAGAGGGGAGAGGGTAGTGTGGGGGATGGAAGGCATGGATGATTGTTGAGCTTGAGGTTGGCTTGAGGTAGGCGGTGGCAAGTTTCGAAAGCAGTGCGAAAGCGAGGAAAGCGAGGAACGAAGGGGCAGTGAGTGCGTTTGCCTAGGAAGATATACACCTGAGAGACGTCAGCCACTGGCTGACTGCTGTCTGCAGCTGGGACAGTGCCGGGTGTCGGCATTGTCGACTGGTTCTAGACCGCAACAAGCCTGATTCACAATGGCTCTTGCATGCTCGCTTCGAGCACGGCCGTTGGGTACTAATTGGTCTCTCTGTGAGCGGATTTTGTACCGTGACGTAGGTACTGCACATGAACATACCCGAAGATGCACCCAGAAGAGTTGTCGCAGTGATGAGCAGATGGCTAATTTTCACGAGTGGATTTTGGCGGGTGACGATCTTGCGCGCAAGCCCATAGTGTCAGAAGGCGAGGACATTCAGTCTGAGCTGAAGGCATTGGCAGCTAGCCCATATCTTGACATGCGTTCCGATTGCATCCCTATGGCACCAGAACCCACTTTGATCTCCTGCGGGGCAATGCCGGCGATAGTGGTATGTCCGCTATAATCGAGGTCGTCAGTATGACCCACGCGGAGCGTCACCAAAAGTCCTGTATCTCGTTGGAGGGATGGCGCAATCTTCGATCTCGTTCCGAGCGTGCTGCGTCGCATCCAAGGTGTCAGAAAACTCGTATATGGAATTGTGTTCATATTTTTGATGTTTCACGCATGTTGTAGAAGTAAAGGAAATAAGATGCATTGAAGAGAGAGATCAGACACTTCGACAACTTAGATATCGAGAGGAAAAGCATATCAGACACCCTGCAGAATACCGTGTCGTATAGACTCACTAGACATCTCGTCGAAACGGTGGTGTCTTCTCCGAACGTAGAACATGAGATGATGGCGCAAGTACCGTAGTATGCCAGCACACAGCGCCGTTGCCAGACCATAGTATGACAACCCGCACTGCCAAGGGTGTACGTTCTTGGGATACCCAAAAACAGCAGAGGTCAGCAGCCGAAGGGTGATGAGGGTGCGAAACAGGAATAGCCCCGAAAGTCTCAGCTTTCCGTTCTTTGTCAGGCCACCGGCGGTTTCGTGCCCCCGCACACAGTGTACGAGGAGAAACCTGCACGGCGAGCACAGACAAAAGCCTCACAGGCCACAAGCCTTAGCCAAGGTTATGCTGACATCACGGATTTACAGGGGCGTGGGTGGATGTGAATATGTACTCACTCACTGCATCCATCAAGTGCACTCGGCCCCCGCAACTACCGGAATCCAGTGAACGTGACGGCTGGATGTGATCGGAGAACGAGAGGAAATCGGCTTCTATCCTGTTGGTACACGTGCCCACTGGAGGGCAGGAGAAGAAAGACGCGTGGGGCGATGCCCATGAACGAAGTCTGGACTGCTTGAAGGATGCCCTCGGACCAGCGGGAAGATAGGCTCGAACTGTCTTGTACCATCTTGGATTCTGGCAGACGAGATAGCGAGAAGACGAGTGGACGAACGAAACGTTATGAGGTTGCTAGGCGAGGTGTTGCTGCGCATGCGGGGAGGTAATTCTCCGTTGATGGCGTGAGGCGCCACCCACGAGGAGGGGACCGTGGGGCAAAGGATGCGCAAAGTAGCCGCGAATGGGTGTAATCATCTTGAACGCGCGATGGTTGGGGATGTCGCAGCAGGGAATAGCGATGGCAGCAGTAGAGGGTGGCTGAGTATATAGCGTCGTTTGTGGAGGATATTTGTCTCGGACGCGCACCGCTAACCGCTTAAGATCTGTGCGTCGGTCACAGGATGATGTGACAGGGATGATGTGACTTCGGACATGCACGGCGTCACGAAGCCATGCAGCAGCTGGCAACGGCGAGTACCTAGATCCAGCTGACTATTACTGTCGACCCTGTCGACGCACCCGTGGTTTATAAATGATGCTCAGTACATCGCGCGGGCTTCAGTCGCCCCCTTTCCTGTTTTCCCCCGGCGACTCTCTTGGAGGCTTTCTGCTCCTTTTCTTTCTCTCCTCCGCTTCTTGAACCTTTCTCTTCGGTTTCGGCGCGAGCGCCGAGTCCTTTTCACTTGTTGGTTTTCGAGACATGTCCGACTCTTCCGTCAATGCCGTCTCGGAATTCTATACCCCCGGCCCGGTCCAATACAGTCCTGCCAAAGTTTCTGGTGTGGCGGTGAGTCTGCAACTGCTCGTTCCCCCACCACATTGTACTCTACTGCACTACGCGGCGGCGGATGTCAATGACAGAACAGCGTACTCACTTACGTGCGTTCCCCAGGTCCTGGTAGTTGCCGGGATCCTTTCCCTCGTGGCAGTGATTCCGGCGCTTTACGGAGTAAGTCCTCCAATCAATGCCCTTTGGATTTCCTGCGCACAGTGCCACATCTGATACGTGCACGACCTGTCTCACCCAGGTGCTCAGATGGTTGCGTCCTAAGCTTGGAAGCATACGCATCCTGCCCTTCTTTGTATCCCTCCTGGTGGCCAACGCCCTACAGGCGTAGGCACGATCATGAACGCCCGCTGGATCCATGACCGCAACGTCGTCTCTGGTCCACTGTGCACTGCCCAGGCGGGATCAAGCAGGCAGGCAATGTCGGCATGGCGCTCTGGTGAGCCTCGTCTCCGTGACTGTGCGATCAAGCCTTGGCGCTGACCTACAAGCGGCCACTACCAGGTCTTTTGCGCTCTCGGCACACGTCTTCATGCTGCTCTTCGTCCGCCGCTTAAGCCTCTCGGCTATGCAGTCTTGGGTTATCCTCGGCGTTGGCTGGTTCCTGATTGCATTTGTGGTCGTCATCGGTCCGACTGTCATCGAGAGGTCTGGCCGTGGACCGTACTTCGGTCCCACTGGCTTCTGGTGAGCGAACACAGTCATTTCACTGTGTGAGGGTACGGTATTGACGTCACACCACAAGGTGCTGGATCACAGGAGAGTATCCGAGGGAGCAATTCTTCCTCGAATACTTCTTCGAGTTCCTCTCCGCCTTCCTCTCCTTCTTTATGTACATGATCGTCCTCCTCCGGGTGCGCGGAAACCTCACCCGGGACAGCCAGGGAAAGTGGCACCTCCGCTTCGTCCCTCATGGAGAACGATGGAGGCTCGCCATCCGGCGCGACTCCGTCGACGAGTGCATGATGAACGTCGCCGCGCGGATGATCTGGTACCCGGTACGTGCTCCCCGCAGACCCCCCTCCCCCTCCCTCGCCATCTCACAGTCGTGCGGTCCGGGACAGGTCGCGTACACGATCCTCCTCGTCCCCGTCACCGTCGCACGCTTCTGGGAGTTCGGCGGCCACCACGTCCCCTTCCGCGCGACGATCTTCGCCGACTTCGTCTTCAACCTCCAGGGCGTCGCCAACGTCCTCCTCCTGCTCATCACCCACCGCTTCGTCCCCCACGCGGAGGCGCTCCCCATCTTTGCGCCGCGCAGGAACGTGAGCATGGGCTCCCCCGAGTCGTTCGGCATCACGCCCTTCATGCTCCCCCCGCGCGACGAGGTGAAGGACGAGGACCGGCGAGCGCGGAGAAGGAGCCCGGCGCGCACGACGGCTCGGTGGTCGTGCACCGCGACGCGCGCAGGCATTCGGCGGCGTCGTTGGCCTCGATCAACTCCACGACGCCGATGGTGCTGCACATCCAGTGAAGTGGTCCGAGTCTGCGCAGGTCCTTTCGGGAAGGGCCGCTGTAACGCCGCACGTTCGCCTTGACGTCGACCCCTTATGGAGGCCCAGTGTATTATTTGAGTGCGCTGGACGCGCTTGTCTCGGATATATGTTACACTTGACATCAATGCTTGTATCAACAGATCTTCCTAGTTGGACGTGTATTTGGTAGCAAGAATCCCTACTGTAGAGCCTTTCGCATTCGTAACATGTCGGCCTTGATCCGAAAACACCAGGAGCGTCTGGACCGCTCCCAGCTAAACCTCGAGTCGTGACAAATGATCATGTGCCGTGACCGCTCGCGTTTGGCACCTGATCTGGAATTCAAGCGCCCTTCGATTTGTCTCTCCTCTTGAACGTCTGCCCTTTGCCTTGTGCCTTCATAGTCTCCGTTCCTTGCTTCTCGGCCTTCTCCGCAACAAGCTAACTATCAATTCTACCAGGTCTTCTCGCGCGCGGCCGTCAGTGCAAGGTTGGCGATTACGAGGTGATTCCGGCTTCCCTCTTTGGCGCACCCGGACGGGAAGCTCGCGGTGGTCACCAGCCACGCCGCGCCACCTACGGCATATCGGTCAAGGAAGAGCCTCAATAGGTGATGCTATGGCATACCGCCGGCTTCCGTCCACCACCATCCCACCACCAGACACCGAGGTTGCCGCATCCGGGTTAGCCCACGAAGCCCCGCCGCGAATGGGCGACCTGAGGAGCGGATCCAGCGCAGGAACGCGGGCCCGCAGCGCCATGGACGTACTAAGTGGCGGGTCCGCGACGCTCTGTCCACCACGCATTCACTTCCGGACGGGCCCTAGTGCTTGTCGGCCCTCCACGCACCTTGAGGTGCCCTAGGGATGGAAGCTCTGCACGGTGCCAGTCCGCGCGAAGCCGGCAACGCCTCCCACGCGCGCGGGGCGTGCGGGCTCTGGTCAATTCGAGGCGTCGATTGGCGAGGGCCTGGACGTACGCCGCGAGCGTGCATAGTATACGTACGTCCGTGGACAGGTCGCAGCGGCCTATCTGAATCGCGCGCGCGGGTGCGCGGGTAAACGGGCGGAGGGAGTTGCGCTCCACGGGGGTTACGGCAGGCGAATACCACGCCCCGCAGCCGCTGGCACCAGGGCGCAGAGGGCCGGAAGGGGGCGAAGGCGGGGAGTGTGTATGCATGCGCCGTTGCCCATGGTGATCGCGGGGGGTGTTCTGACTCAGAAGACGGGCATCGTCCGGGTCGGAGGGTCCAGCATCGGACGCACGTCCGTCCGCCTGCTGGATGCGGAAATACGCCCACGACATGAATGGAGCCGCGCAACGGGGCGGGCGCACGGGTGGGCAGAAGGAAGGGTCAGAAGGTTCGGTGGAGAACATCCGTGTGGGGCACCCTGGCGGCGTTTGGGAGGCGCGCTCCCATCCGTGTGCCCGCGCGCCGAGATTGAACGAGACTGGGGCCCGGTGTCGGTGCAGGATGCGCGGGCGCGGAGGATCATGGGTCTCATCCAAGCTCGCCAGGGCGTTCGAGGGCGGGATCCACCGCGTACAAACCAAGCGACCGCTTTGGTGCGTCGGGCGTCTAGGCAACGCCGCGGGGGCAGACGCACGGGCGTCTGAGACAATCGACTTGCTTCTTTCCTCCTAGCCCCGGTTCCCAGCGTTGCGGCCGGCTTCCTGAAAACTGGTGCATTCTCGGAGCCTCTGCAGCCGCCTCGGTCGACACCGACGCGCTCGAGCCTCGCGTCGGCGGGTTTCCCGGCCTTACGTCCTCCGACCCGGCGCCGCGCTGGCCATCGTCGGCGAGCAAGTGGTTCATTCAGGCAGGCACAGCCGCCTAACAAGCCTTTCTCCTCCGCCGATCGGCGCGATGGTGACGGATCGAGGCCTGTGTCCTGATCTGGGCCGCGGACGCGCCGAGGGACCACCGGCCGTGCTCCCCGTCCTCTCCCCGCACCCAGCACCCACGCCCCGCGCGGACGGGACGGCGGGTGACAGCGCAAACGCCATCACGCGTCTCTTTGCCATGCGCGACGTGTTATAATCCATGACGCCGAGTGCGCAGAAGCTCCCGCCGCCGCCAGCTGTCCGTCCGTCCGACTGCCCCGCCGCCGCGTTCGTCGCGGTCTTGTTTATAACTCCCCGCGTCCGCTTCCTGCCTCTCTTCCTCCCTCCCCTCCCCGCGCCCTTCCCTCCTCTGCTTCGCTCCGCTCCTGCTCCGCCTCGCGCCCTCCCTGGCTCCTGCTTCCGCGCCCCGCGCGCCCTCCAGCCATAGTCTGTTCCAGCGCCTCCGGGGAAGAACAAGAACCAACAACATGCTGTCCTTCGCGAACAAGGCCAAGGGGATCGTCACCGACGGCGACCCCCTCGCCTATGTCATGGCGCCCCCGCCCAACGAGTCGGAGGAAGAGCGCCAGGCGCGCCTTGCCGCCGAGGCTGAGGCGAAGAGGATATCCGACGCCATCGATGAAGAGCTCCAGCGCCAGGCCAAGAGCGAGAGGCGCGGTCCTCGCCCGGTCAAGATTCTCCTGCTAGGTGAGTCCGTACCTTCTTGTATGCGGTTTGGTGCTCAGTGGCATTCGACGGGCAGGTCAGAGCGAGTCCGGTACGTGCATCTTTGACGTTCTGCCACTCGCGCCCTGCTGAGACGAGCGGTGCGCAGGCAAGTCGACCACCCTCAAGAGTGAGTCGCTCGCGTTTCGTTGCTGGTCTGAGCTTCCACATAGCTGACGCTTCGCTCCTCCAAGATTTTCAGCTCATGAACACACCATCTGTGAGTAGTGATTTCAACAGATCATCAATCCGTGATTGCTCACTCGCGCGTAATAAAGGCATTCCGCAAAGAGCGCGCGTCGTGGCGCGCAGTCGTCCACCTCAACATTGTCCGCTCAATCCGTGTAATCTTAGAGGCCATGGCCGAAATTCAGGCGCAGTCCCCATACAACTCTTCTCCCATACGCACGCACCCTCCCGACTCCCTCGCCCACTCCCCATCCCTCGTGCCAAGACCCTCCCACCGTTCGCTGACTCCAGAACACCTGAAGTTGAAGCTCCGCCTATCCCCGCTCATCCAGGTCGAAGAGGAACTCATCAGACGACTGACCCCCGTCGGGTCTGGCGAGCTGGAAGCGACCCATCTGCATGGAGACCGCTCGCGTGCCCTGGACAGGGAACTCACAGTCAACAGTCAGCTCGCTTGGCGAGGCGTCTTTCAGCGCATGGTTGGCCGCAACAGCGGCGATGGCGAGGGCGACTACATTGATCCCGGAGTGAGTCCATGTTCCTCGGTGTTCCTTTTGTCCCGCGATGCTCCCATGTACTGATGATGCGCTATCGCTCAGGATCCTGCGCGGGTTCTGCACGCTTGCGCCGACGACATGATTGCTCTGTGGCACGACCCTGCGATCAAGACCATGCTCCGCTCACAGGGCACCCGCCTTGAGGACCTCCCAGGATTGTGAGTGTTTTACGTGACCACGCCCTTCTATGCATTGACCCGGCCATGCAGCTTCCTCGACTGCATTGAGCGCGTAACTCATCCAAAATACGTTCCGACTGATGGTACGTACACCGGTTAACTCCCACGATACGCTCTTCACAAAATATGCCGTTCCCAGATGATATTCTCCGGGCGCGACTGAAGACCGTGGGCGTGTCCGAGCACAGGTTCTCCATCAAAGAGGGTGAGAGTTACCCGTTACTTTGCCATTCTGATATTCTCACACACCGCCTACATAGGGTACTCAGGTACCATGGCCCGCGACCTCAGAATATACGATGTCGGCGGACATAGGTCATTGGTACGTGAAGTCCCACTTGACATATGGCGCTCGAGGCTGATGGACGCTGTCTCGCTTGTAACAGCGAGGTAACGAAATCTGCGGTCTGCCACTCGCATATACTGACGGAATGTTGACTTCCAGCCGCATGGGCGCCTTTCTTCGACGACATGAAGTACGTTTCTTTGCAGAAGCTTCTTCCGCTCGTATATTTACACGCACCGCAGTGCCATTCTGTTCCTCGCGCCTCTGAGCGGATTCGACCAGGTGCTCACGGAAGACCCGTCTGTGAACCGTTTGGAAGACTCGGTGCTCTTGTGGAAGTCGATCTGCTCGAATCCCCTTCTTGGGAAGACAACCATCATCTTATTCCTCAACAAGATCGACATCTTCCAGGCAAAGCTCGAGTCAGGCGTCTCGTTCAGCCAGTTCATCATCTCGTACGGGAACCGGCCAAACACATTCGAGGACACTTCGATGTGTAAGTTTCCCTTCGGCGTCGTCCGTTGATGCGAGTACGAGGGGCTGATCTCGGCGCGCAGACATGCGGAGGAAGTTCGGGCAGATCCACAAGGAATACTCGCCTCAGGCACGGAGCTTCTACAGTCATTTCACTTCGGTCACGGTACGTCGCGCGCGGCGACTTCGGGGGAGACCATGGGACTGACTTCGCCTACCGATGAATGCAGAACACCGAGACGACGAAGGATCTGCTTCTCAACGGTGAGTACATTTGGCCCACGGACGCCGACAGTTGCCCAGTCGGTACTAATGATTGCCACGTACGCAGTGCAAGAATCCATTATCCTAGCAAACCTGAGGAGCATCAACCTCACCAATTGAGCAACATCGGACGTTATCTGTATGCTACTCCCGCCGTGCTCTGCGTTCCCCTCGTCGTCGTGCCTACAGCCATGCCTGCTATATCCCCAAAAATATGCGCCTGTGTAAGCTCACCAGAGCGACGACCTCCCCGGTTTCTCGACCAGCTGTATGTAGCACGGTCAACGGCGACAGGTCGCCTCTCGATAATACGGACTCCATCACGACTGTTAGCACTACCTTTATCCACTACCCCTTACGGTATATACCTCGTGCACTGTTGTATACTAGCTCACACATGTGTCTCTGTTCTACTAGTCAGGACATGTTATTGCATCCTCGGTTATGTTGCCGCTTTCAGAAGCTGCCTGTTCGTCCCGACATGTAAGCAATGCGGGCGCTCCGACCGCGGGGAGCTTTCGAGGGCGAAGATAGACATGCGCGCGCGAGGTACGCGCAGTGATTGTACACGATGGGGCGGGGAGACCACGCGCAGGACTCGGGCGGGGGGACGTTCGCCCGCGCGCCCTCGGTGTGCACGGCGCGTGCTGGCCTTGGATATTTGTGGCGGGATGGGTATCGTTAGGCTCGAGCATCCAGCCGTTTTCGTCGTGACCTCCTCTAACGGCTGGTCAAACTCGTAGGGGAGCCTTGCGTGAGTCCCATAAAAGGCAGTCACATGATGGGGATGCCCTTTGCTCCACTCCCCCGCCCAAACGGGCTTGTTGGGGTACGCCGCCCTCCCCAAGCCCTGCGCGTGAGCTCGCGCGCGAGCTCCAGCGGTGCGCGCGCGCGGCCGGTCGCGCACAGGCGCCTCACGGGCCGTTGTGTCTGCCGCTCCTGCACATGCGATGCTCAACTCGCTCTCTGGGCGACGGGTCCAGGAGATGTGGCAATCAAATAATGAAACGGCTTATGCAAAGTACAGTAGCTTCTCTGTTTAAATTCAATGTACAATGATCTAGGTACTGTGCGGACAGCCATGGAATGCGCGGATAGCGGCACAGGCGCACGAAGTGGGTGCGTGAGGTCGACCCTTGTAAACCAGAGGCAGACGGCTGAAAAGTAGGAGTCAATGGTGGCTGAGGCCTGAGGAGTGGGCTTGGATGCCGCCGAATGCGAGTTAAGCATATGGATGAAAACGTTGGGCAGACTCATGGGTGAAGAGCAGAGTTGCCTGGCAGCCCATATGGATGAAACGCGTGGGGGGGGAAACATCGCTGACGCAAAAGTGGCGGCTCCCGAGATTTCAGAGAGCAAGGAGCTTCCAAATCTGGCTGGAGAGTGGGGTATTGTAAACGCGACACGGGAGAGCGAGTCGAGCATCGCGGGCGACAGACGCGAGGCGCCTGTGCGCGACCGGCCGCGCGCGCGCACCGCTGGAGCTCGCGCGCGAGCTCACGCGCAGGGCTTGGGGAGGGCGGCGTACCCCAACAAGCCCGTTTGGGCGGGGGAGTGGAGCAAAGGGCATCCCCATCATGTGACTGCCTTTTATGGGACTCACGCAAGGCTCCCCTACGAGTTTGACCAGCCGTTAGAGGAGGTCACGACGAAAACGGCTGGATGATTGAGCCTAGGGTATCGTGCAGGTGCGGGGACCGTTCCTACTTGAACCAGGTGTGACCACGCTGGGACCGTAATGGTCCCCCCTGCACCGGGTTGGATCCAACCGCGGGCCCGGGAGGACTACCAGTCTTGAGATGGATTTCGCTCGCGCATCCGTACGTATACCGCTTCGTCGTCTCGCCTTCCTTGATACTTGTGCCCCCGTCCTGTCCACCGACATCCTAGCCCGCCCACCATCGCTCTCGTCGCGTCGACTGGCTCCACGCTGGTCGGGCGTCGGGCGCGGCGCCCTCGCGCATCTCGACAGCGACGTCGCTGTGGCAGATCTCTCGGTGAGGCCCGCACGTCGCACAGGCCCCGGGGGCCGCCGTCGGACTGCGAACGCGGTGGCCGGCGATCGCGTGCGCAGGGCGTTGCTCGTCTTCGCCGGGCTCCCCCATTCGCTCCGCGGCCCAGTGTTCCGTCCCCCGTGCGCGTATGTCTGTCGTCTTCCGCTTCTCTTCGTTCGGCTTCGACCGCGTCCGAAGGGCCCGTGTCCGGACGTCGGAAGTACGTGCTCAGTCTGAGGCGACAGATGGCCGATCTGGGGGCCCGACGCCGGGCGTGAGGTGAGGATCTGGGAGGTACCGTGAAGGTCGTGCGTATGTGAAGGGGCGATCGACGGCCGAGGCCGGAGGAGCTCACCTGGTCGGATATGGACGCGGCGGAGCGGAGCAGCGCCGTCCGTCGCAACGGGCCCGAGCGGAGGAAAGTTGGGTTGTGTGCGTCATTCGGAGCACCGCGAAGACGTGCGCCGCGCGCAAACAGTGGCTTGGGGCCGGGGCCCGTTCGCTCGAGCTGTTGGGGTCTGATCACGGCCTGACGGCCGACCCGCCGCGCAATCTGTGACGTCCGCGGAGGACGTGGGGTTGCTGCGGAGGAATGGTCGAAGGACGGGGTTGGACTGCCTGGAGCCGCGCGACGAATCACGGGCGGGTTGACGAGAGGGTTCTGAAGGAACGCGGGCTCCGATACGCAGCTCCGCGTCGACGGCGAGCCAGCAGCGGGCTTGGCGATTGCCATGAAAGGGCTACGGAAGGGCCGCTTCGCGACGGCCCGCCGCGCGACGCGCGATCTCAGCCCCAACGGAATCGCTACGGTCACGTGCAAACATGCGCTGCTGCCACTGCTGCAAGGTCGAGGCGTGGCCCGACACGACTTGATGGTCGCGGGCTCGTCGAGGTCGAGAAACGAGCGCGCTCGAGAGCACGGCGCGTGCCAGGACGCTGGGCGACAAGCAAAGGCTGGGGCCGTGGTGGCGTCGTGGGGCATGATGCTCGCGACTGGGGACAGGACCACGAGCGTCTGTTTGTGTGCGCTGCTGGGGGCTTGTTGAATGGCGCGGGCGCTAAGCTCGCTCACCGTGCGTTTGCATACAGGAACGTTCTGGCGCATACGCGCATGCGCTGTACGCGTGCGCGCACTTCCTGCCGGACGCTGAACAAGACCGATGGAGCAGCGGGAGGAAGAACTTGGGGAGACGCGGAAAAAGCCGGCCTCGCGTGACGCTGAGAAGTCGCGCATCCCCAACGGAAAAGTGTGGAGGTATATAACCCTTTCCCGGCACACTGGCGTTATCCCGCCCCCTACCCCTCCCCCGACGACCATGTCCTCCGTCGCGGACTCCCGCGCGACGCCCGCCAAGGAGCCCTCCACCCTCACCCCGCCGATGACGCCACCGGAAGCCAAGAACAAGGACGATGTCCCCATTGACATCGACATTCCCGACAACTACGTGTCCTGGACCATGAAGAACCAGAAGGAGCGACCCCCGGTCACCTGGGGCAACATCTTCAGCGAGCTCAACTACCTCTCGCTCGCCGTTCTCACCATTACTCCCACAATCTCCATCGTTGGTGCGCTCACGACTCCGCTCATGTGGCAGACCGCTGCTTTCAGTGTCTTTTATTACTTCGTGACTGGTCTCGGTGAGCCTTAGTCGCGTTCTCCTGTATGCGAGTCTGTTTATTCATTGGGACTACTAGGCATCACCGCTGGGTACCACCGTCTGTGGGCGCATCGGTCGTACAACGCGTCCAAGCCGCTCCAGTACTTCCTCGCGTTGGCGGGTGCCGGCGCCGTCGAAGGTTCTATCAAGTGGTGGTCTCGTGGCCACCGTGCTCACCACCGCTACACCGACACCGCCCTTGATCCCTACAACGCGGAGCTTGGCTTCTGGTGGTCACACATCGGCTGGATGCTCGTCAAGCCCCGTCGTCGGCCTGGTGTCGCGGACGTCAGCGACTTGAGCAAGAACGAAGTTGTCCGGTTCCAGCACCGTTGGTACCGCACCCTCATCCTTGTGTTCGGTTTCGTCCTCCCGACTCTCGTGTGTGGCTTTGGATGGGGCGACTTCCGGGGTGGTTACTTTTACGCCGGAGCTGCCCGTCTCTGTTTCGTCCACCACGTGCGTACGCCGGGCCATTGCATATGCTCCTCCATGCTAACCTTAGTGGGTTTTAGTCTACCTTTTGCGTCAACTCGCTTGCGCACTGGCTCGGTGAGGCGCCATTCGACGACAAGCACACGCCCCGCGACCACATGATCACCGCGTTGGTCACCATTGGCGAAGGCTACCACAACTTCCACCATCAGTTCCCCATGGACTACCGTAACGCCATCAAGTGGTACCAGTACGATCCCACCAAATGGTTCATTTGGGTGTGCCAGCAGGTCGGCCTTGCTAGCCACCTGAAGACCTTCCCGGAGAACGAAGTCGCCAAGGGCCAACTTACGATGCAGCTCAAGCGCCTTCGCGAGAAGCAGGAGCACCTCAACTGGGCGCCGGACAGTGACGACCTTCCTGTCGTCAACTGGAGCAGCTGTAAGTCCCGAATGCGTGCTGTCATTGTTATATGCTCATCTTTTTCTTAGTCCAGGAACAGTCCATGAAGCGCCCTCTTGTCGTCGTTGCCGGTTTCATTCACGACGTCTCTTCTTTCATGGACGAGCACCCTGGTGGCCGACATCTCATTGCCAAGATGATTGGCAAGGATGGTACTACTGCGTTCTTCGGCGGTGTGTACGACCACTCGAATGCGGCTCACAACGTACGTCATGTCTTTGCTACTCGCGGAAGCTGTATTGACTTGGTGCCTTAAGTTGCTTTCTATGATGCGTGTCGGTGTGCTTCACGGCGGTATGCAGCACGGCCTTGACGACAAGCGCGTCCCCCCTGGCCAGCGACTTCGGGTTGCACGGTACACCGAGCTCGCGTCGCCTTACGCTTCCTCGACGGCGGCTTCGGATGGTGAGGGCATGCTCGGCTGAACATTGTCCATTACCCCCTGTTTCCCTCTGCTTTCGGTCGTGACTGTAGGTTTCCGCGTGCCGTGTACATTCCCTTCTGCTCTCGCATCACACATGCATAGTTTCATCGCATACATTAGAGGCTCCCGTTCGTAGACAGGAAACCTCGCCCCGCCGTGTAGACGGCGTGGAGCTGGGGAGTACTCAGTTCTCTGGAGTGGTAATGAAGTGGATGGACTGTTAAGTTGGTGGAAGGGGGCTCTTACCGGGCTTGACGATCATGACTTTGTACTCCGTATCATTCTCATGATCAACGATTTTGAAACTCACTCTTAGTGTCCTTTCTTTGGCGATGAAGCGGGTAAGTTGACGCGATGGAGGTACTGTCGGCGCATGAAATTTGGCGTGCCGCGAAAAAGCGCGGCTCCCTGGTGAAGCATTGAGCGCCGGACACTTAGGTTTGCTTTGAACGTTGATAAGTACGGCATTGACGAATTTCGACCTCTTTCGGGGACTACAGGGAGCTCTGTCCAAGGTCGCCGTCTCTCTTGGAACTTCAGAATGACACCCGTCGACACACTCCAAGCTCTGACACCGGGCACAGACAGCTCGCATCTGAGCGACTCTGTGAAGTTGGTTGAAAGTGCTCGGCTTTTGGCATGTACCGCCGCGCTCTCCATTCCCGACTGAGGTGCGTCATTTCCATGAACATCATCTACTCTTCCCTAAGGGCCTCAAACCCTGTATACACTCTGCAGATCCATATCCCTCTCGTTGCAATTCGGATGTAGTCTGTCACTGTCGCGGCAGTATGTCATCCCCATCTCGATAGGCATTCACGCGCCCGTTCCATGTCCGCACTGCCCAGCTGGGATTGGCCGCCCACCTGACCTTATCCCAGTTACCCCACGTACGCAAATAATCCTCGAGATGCTCTCATATCGGTGCCATGTTCGGTGCCGCGCTGGACGGGGAAGCGTGCCCCACGACCAAGGGTGGACGCTTTAAGCAAGATCGCTCCGTGCATTCGCCGGCCACCACGCACTCTCGACACATATGAACACGTCGACTCCGACACCGTGGCCTTCCTTGGGCTCTCGCGGCCCACCCACGCCTGGTCCCCGGTTCACGCCCCCGACGACCTTACGACTGCACTATGCCCCTGACGTTCAACAACGCTCTAGACGTCGATGTCGAAGCCACGGTGGAGAACACCCCCGTGTCCGAGGTCCACGCGCACGCCAAGAAGATGTCGGTCGACTTCAGCCTCACCGAATGCACCCTCGTCCGACGCGAGCGGCCAGGGCTACTCATGGTCGACTTCGATGCGGGAGGCACGACGGACCCCAGGGTAGGCGCTCTCGAAAGCTCCGCACGATCCTCTGCTCACCCTTCCTCTGGGACGTGCAGAACTGGGCCAGGTGGTACAAGAGATGGGTGTCTGGCCTGTCGGTCATCATGATATCCCTTGCGTCCGTATCTCGAGCATCCTTCTTTGGCGCGTGGCTCACGTCCGCTGCAGCATGTCGTCATCGGGCGCACTGATCCCCTTCTCCGCCGCACTGGACTCTCAATATGGCATCGGCGTGTTCGTGAACGAACTCTTCGTCGCCCAGTTCACAATGAGCTTCTGCGTTGGACCTCTGATTCTCGCTCCGTTGTCTGAAAAGGTCTGTGGATCATTATGCTCGTGGACGAAAGTACTCCTGCTCATCCGTCGTGGAAATTACAGTACGGTCGTAAACCTGTTTTACTGGTGTCTTGGATCGCCTTCACTGTGAGTACATGCCGCAGTTATGTAGCCACCTACCCTCTTATGTGAATCAAAGCTCCTCTACATCGGTGCGGCGGTCTCCACCGCGGCGACTAGCGTTGTTGCTTGCCACATCGTGGCCGGTCTGTTCATCTCTGCCCCCATGACCATCAGTCCGTGAGTGCCTCCAGTCTGCGGATCGTGAAGAACGCATTGCTGAGTTTTTGCCTCAGAGCCGTCATTGCGGATGTGTGAGTGCGTTGAGATCCATGCGTATGTTCACGCTGATTGTATCCGCGACCAGATGGGGTTTCCCCTCGCGCGAGGAGGCTATGGCTATATACGCACTCGCCATAGTCGCGCCACCGATGTGCGTGGACGTCTGCGCTCCGGTTCCTCGCCCTGACGTAGTCCCCCTTAGCGGTGCCGCGTCTGGTGGAATCCTGCTCAAGCTCGGAGTCAATCAGCACAGCGTGTTCTGGATCTACACCATCATCGTACGCCCACCGAATTCCTATTGCTGCCTTGACTGATTCTGATGCCTCTTGTTGAAGGGGGCGCTGATGACAGTCCTCGTCGCGTTCACCATGCGCGAGACGTACCGGTAGGCGTCTTTTGTGCGTCCGATGGGCATGGTACTGATTTGATGTCGACAGCCCTTTGATTCTGCTTAAGCATGCGAGGCGTCTGCGCGAGGAGACGGGCGACGACCGTTTCAAAGCGCCCCTTGAGGTTCCCCAGATCGACCTCGGCTTGGGTGCTCGCTGCCTCTGCAATATGCTCGCGCGCCCTATTCGTCTGTTCATTCACGAGCCTCTTCTCGCCATCGTGTCGGCGTACTTGGCCGTATGTGCATTCTTCTCTGTGACTTCTTGCGACCTAATACTGATGTTGTTTTCGAGACAGATCATTCAGATGTGCTCATCGATATTCGTTCAGGGCTGTACGTCGGCCTTTGGGGCCTCAACGGGCATCGTCAGCAGTACGTCCGTCGATAGAGCACGTGAGACTCAGGCTCACCCCTTTAGCAGCCCTTGGTGCATCGTCCGCGACGCTGATCATCGGTGGGATCGCAGTGATGTTCTCGGTCAGCAGCCAACCACGGCCCCGCGTGCTACTTCTCACACCTCCTCTAGTACATCTTTGTGGTGCACCGCCGCTTTTCCGTGCGGCACGCCGAAGCGTTCGCCCCCGAGCGCGTGCCGCCCGAAGTGCGCCTGGTGCTGTCCAAGTGGGCGGCGCCTGTGTTCGCCGTCACGTTCTTCTGGTTCGGGTGCGTGCTCCAGGCTTTCCCCGCGTTCCTCCCGCGTAATGATCAGCTGCCAGGTGGACGCTCTTCAACACGTTCAGCTCTGTGGTGCCGCTCGTCTCGGGCGTAGTGATGGGAGGGGCCATCTTCCTTCTCGTGGTCAGCACTTCGCGTTGTGTGCACACGGCGGCGTGGCTGACGCTTGCGTTCCTTCACGCTCCCCAGTTCCCAGTCCTCAACTACATCGTGGAGGTTTACGAAGGGATCACGGCGAGTGCCATGGCCAGCGTCGTCGTCTCGATGAACCTCTTCCCCGCGCTGTTCCCGGTACGTGCCGTCCGCATTGAGGACACCGTGCGCGCCGTTCTCACAACCGCTCTCCTCGCAGCTCTTCTCCACGAGGATGTTCCTCGTCCTGACCCCGCATTGGGCGCTCACCGTCGCGGGATGCATCGCGCTTCTCGTGACGCCTTTCCCGACGCTTTTGATCAGGTGCGCTTCGAGGCGACTTTCGTTCCGCACTCGAATCGCTGACTGACACCGTGCCCCGCCAGATACGGCTCCATGATGCGCGCACGATCGGGGTACGCTTCGCGTGCGCACGCTTGAGTGTGGGCCCCGCAAGGAGTGTCATGTGTATATGCGTGTCCTAATATCTTCGCTGTGTGTATTGCTCACGCTTCCTTCCGTGGATAAATTTGCTCGAGCGGCCCCTCCGGCGGGTAATTCTATAGGGCTATTGTAGAAATGCCAGCTGGTTCTCGCCGCGGGTAGTGTGTATGCAGGGCAGCTCCGACTAGTACTCCAGGGCTATGTAAACTGGGCTTTTTCTTCACTCACATGTTGTATCGAACTACTTCTACCAGGAACCTGCACGACGCCTGACAATGGGACTCAGTGTCCATGCGAGTTAACGTTACCAATAAACGCAGGGGCCAAACATATGTGGACTCCCTCGTCTACATCGGAGCGTAATAAACGGCTACCGGTTCCCTGACATCCTGCGGCACGACAAACAGATTTTCCTGAAAGGCAGCCGGCGCCAGCCCCCACGACGACTAGTCGACGGACTCAACTAGTAGTACTAGGTTGAAAGGGGCCTCTTGTCACGGCAGTCGCCGAGCTTCGCGGAGACGCCGATGTCCAAACGCGGAAAATTCGCCGCTCGCGAGCGTTGTGGCGCGCTCAACCAGGCTCAACTGCGCACTCCAGTCGCTGGCAAGAGAGTCGACGGTCAATCCCTCCGCCTTCCCCAGGGCCCCGTCTTTCTCCTCAAGCCCTCTCTCGTCCCGTCATGTCTGTCGCCGCGATTCTCGCCCGTGCAAGGTTCGCCTCCGCCTCGTCCTCCGCCCTCTCTCTCGCCTCCTCCTCGCGCCACGCGCTCCCCGTCCGCCAGCTAGCGGCCGCCACGGCCCTCGCCCCCTCGCGCGCGTACGCCAAGCCGGCCAAGAAGGGCGGAAAGCCCTCAAAGCCCTCCAAGGGCCCCGCGGCGGACCACGACGGCGACGGCGACGGCGACGGGCCCGCGCCGAAGAAGCACGGCGGCGCGGGCAAGGCGGTCGCGACGGACGCGCTCGTGCCCGCGTCGCAGCTGCTCACGGCGGACGCGGAGTACCGCGGGACGGAGGGGAAGATGCTCGCCGCGGCGGAGTGGCTCCGGAAGGAGGTCGCCGCGCTCGAGACGCGCGCGACGGGGCGCGTCACCCCGGGGCTGCTCGCGCCCGTGCGGGTGCGGGCGCAGGGCGCGAAGGACGCGCGCGGGGTGCGGCTGGAGGAGGTCGCGACGGTGGGCGTGAAGGACGGGACGGTGCTGATCGTCACCGTGTTCGAGGAGCATGTGAGTCCGCCCTGCGTGGTCTGTCGGCGAGAGGGCGCGAGGGCTCACGGCGGGTGTGTAGACGTTGAAGGCGGTCGAGGCGGCCATCTACGAGGCAAAGATCCCGAGTATCACGCCGCAGAGGGTGGACTCGCGCACCCTCAAGATTCCCGTGCCCAAGTGCGTCTCTCAAAAGCTCGTTCCTTTCCTCCGCTGACTTGTGGCAGGCCGACGGTGGAGGCGCGGAAAGCGTTGTACACAGACGCTGCACGCCATGCGGAGGACTCGCGTGGGCAGATCCGCAAGCTCACCCAAGCACTGATGAAAAAGAAAAACAACCCGAAGAAAGGGACGGCAGAGTTCAACGCTGTGAGTCTGTATGCCTCCTACTTGTCCGGCGTGCCTGAAGTCGCGTTTAGTATCAGGCTTTGAACGACAGGTTCATGGGCGAGATCGACAAAATCCTGGCCCACTTGAAGAAAAGTACAGGCTAGACGTAGACGTCGTCACCTCGCTTTCTTACCTCTTGCTGTCCCGTCCGCGTACACTACCTAATGCTAATGCACCATCCGTTTCGACGACCGCTGGCACATGTTCACGCCCAGCGCCACGAAGCGCGGACAGACTACGCACACGCAGCCACATGAACCTGCTTTTGGGACTATACGTCATATCATTGCTGCGAACGGTAGGTTCTAGGTACGAAGGGTCGTGCTACCAATGAGTAAAGACCATGTGAACGAGATGGATCAACGCAGCCTACAACAGCCATCCCCCCTTACGCAGGCTGCCTTGTGCTAGGAAGAATCTCGACTTCATTATGTAGTCGCTGGAGCATGTACAGATCGTGATCTTTCTTTATCAAAGCGCCTGGCCGCACCTCTGTGTTCCAGGGGATGCGAGGATCCAAGTTGATGTCGAGGGGATACTTCGCGTCTCCGCACTTGCCGCACCAGTCAAAATCGACGAGCATGACTCGCCCATCGTCCTGGGCAATCAGGTTGCCACGTCGCAGATTGCCAAACACGAAATCGTCCTTGTGCAACAGTGTGACGGCGTCGGTTTGGATCATCGCCATGAAGTAAGTGAGGGTGGTATATCGTAATCGGAGGAGGGTGTAGAAGACGATAGTCGCCGATCTTGTAAGGTCGTTTCAGGATCTGGGCCACTTGGGCAGCCGTGGAGGGGGCGAGTGCTTGCTTTTGTATAAGTGAGACAATGCTTTCACGGTCTGGCAGTCGAGGGATTTATGATAACGCAAAACGTCAAAATTCACAGACTTACCGATTGACCATCCATTCTCCTCAGGCACAACATCAAGTTGGGTGGGTTGAGAGTCGTTCTGTTGAGGATCCGTGATACCTGGTGTGCATGTTAGCTCGGCAGAGAACTGCCAGGAGTAACATACTAATCACGCCGATAAGGTTGTCCATAACGTCAATTCTCGAGTGCCGATTGGTGGGATAAACCATTTGAGCTGGCAGCTCCTCCGGGCCTGTCCGGGTCAGGCTCGCACATCGTTCCTTCCAGCGCAGTGGCATGCCAGGCTGAGCCGTGAAAAGTGGCTCGTCTGTGGAAGAGGTACCGCCGGAGCGAAGAGTTGAACGAGGCCAAAACACACAGAAGTGGCAGCGACGAACCTCATAGATATCCAAAGTTCAACGTTCATGACTCTTCGTGACACATGACATGGACTTTGGGTCGAAACGGCACAGGACGTTACAAACCAATCCCGTTGCTCCGGAGACAGTGAGAAGATGGATATCATGTTGCTTCGCTATTAACCCCCCACCAATGACGCCTTCGTGCCACGGGATCCCGTCGTTGAAGTTGATGTCGCGGGGGTAGCGCGCCTCGCGACCTTACCACACCAGTCGAAGTCGATGAGCACGACGCGATCCTCACCCGCGACGGCGATGAGGTTGCCAGGTCGCAAGTCGCCAAACACGAGGTCGTGCTCGTGCAGAATTGCCACCGCGTTGCGCACATTCGCAGCTTGTTTAGGCGTGAGTCCTCGATGCATGGGTCTCCCCGGACGAAGTCCATGACGACGACAAAGTTGCCGAGGACCGGCGCCCACTCTCCGTACCACAGCTTAGGTGCGAGCTGGCGCTTTGCGAGCAGTTTGTGACCTTCGACGCCGTAAGCGGCGCGAACTTGACCGCGACGTCGCCGACGGCCTTGCCAGACTTCATGGAGATGACATCGGCTCTGAACACAGCTTGATCTGAGGCCCCACCGGTAAAGCGTTTGATGTATCTGAGAAATACGTCGCCGTGGTGGGGATGAAAGAAGCGCGTGAAGCGCATATCGATTGACCGAAGCCAGCTGGAAGGGGGGCATGCAACAGCTGGTACCGTGGATCAGGGTGGCGTGCGCGTTCGAGAGCTAGATGATACGTACTGACGACGCCTATGAGATTGTTCGGATTTTTGATTCTCGCGGAACGGCAGGGAGGATAAAGGGGGTACGCCTGGCGCTCCAACTCTTCGAGCGTAAGGGTTTGACATAGTGCCTTCCACTGGCCTACGATGGTCTTCCCCGGGTTGGCGACCAGCGGCATCACCGTCTGTGCGGGGAAAGGGTCGATCGGGGTCTACGGGAAGGCTTCGAATGCAACGCACCTCGAAAATATCCACCACGATATCTTTCTCCGAGACTTGGAGGTCATATGAAGGTCGCTCAAGCTGCAGTTGAGCAGCGTACAGGACTTCATCGAAAAGGTTGTGGAGGCGCTCGTCCTTGTCGTCGCTCAAAATGGTGTCGGAAGCGGCAAGGAGGGTCAAAGCATGCCCGTTATAAAGGAGGATATGAACGGAGACTGTCCTCATCGGGGCAGGTGGACGAGGCGGAGATGGTTCCGGCGCCTCATGCATCTTGATTCTTCGCACTTGCGACCAGCTCTAATTGCACGTGAGCGTGCACGTGCATGGAGACCGACATTGATTTGTGCATGGCGCCACTGAAAACCCAGACCTAGCCCAGGCTCCTAGTACCCATCCTCGTCTATCGTGTTCTCGCTCCAATCCGAGAGCGCACACAATTCTTATCATGTAAATTTGAGACTTACCTAATGCACACTTGTCGGAGACCGGAGAAACATGATGGGCGGAGGGTTGTAGGCAATATCGAGCACCTGCACCACCCCATGTACCGGACCCAGCTGCCCCAATACCACCGAGCAGGCCGGCAGGATCTCAAGGACCTCTTACGGCATGCATGCAACATCATTCGCGGCGACATTAACACCGGGATGGATAGACGGCCTGGCAAGGGTTCTGGTACCGTCATTTTTGAGACCTGCAAGGATGCTCAGCAGGCCATCATGACCAGTGTGTACACTGGCTTGTAGAATGGCTTCGACCGGTACGGCCGCGCACTCGAGGTGTGCGAAGACCGCCGGCCCCCAGCGACTTCTGTGGTGGTCTCCGCCGTGGGGGCTTCCGAGGGCGGCCGGGGCGTAGCTAATGGGGCGGGCGGCCGCCGCGACTTCTCTACTCAGGGCATCTACACCGACTGGTCACTACTCAGTACTCAGGTTTCGACCAGGGCGACATGCGTGGCATGGTGGTGGTTTTGGTGACGGGCCCTATGGCGGTGGCGACCCCGCACTGCGTACGGTGACTTTACCGCAGACCGAGCCAGCAGATCGCAACACGTGAGTAACCCCGTCCCTCCCTGACCTTTTTTGCCTCTCCCGTGGTAGACCGCGAACAAAGCCCATGTCGAGCTTTTCGAACCGACGGGCACAGTCGATCTCCATGAGATCCTGTTTGACTGCAACGTCCTCCAGGTCGCCCAGGTCGCCCAGGTGGAGACCGCCAATGGTACGCCCCTCCTTCGTGTCCCGCTTTGTTCCGCGCGCGCTGGCGCGTTTTCCAGCAGCGAGATTGTAATAACCCATGTACGGTGGATGGCCGTTGGGTGAGTGCATCTATCCCTACCGTTCGCGTCGCAGTCACTCATGTCGTTTATTACATAAAATATCGTACTCACCTGGACATGGTGACCCGAGGATGCGAACTCGACGGTTGGACGATGCAGATGGGGTCCGACGAGAATTTTATATTGCAATTACATAAAGCGACCGTTGGGAGGGCGGAGATCATACGCTGCGACCCCAGACAGGCCGACAAGCAAACACTGGAATAGGCGGCGTTCTCCAGAGCGTACCTACCAGATGGTCGAATAAAGGGTGAGGGCTCCAGCGAGGAACTCCACAGACAGGGGACGAAGCTGTATGTGCGGAAGCGCATTACGAACCGCGCTGCACATATGGTGAACTTGGCGTCGTCGACAGGCTTGCTCTATGTAGATTACGGCTCTATGATCTATAGGATAAGTACATACATCGCAGTCGTGATACTTTTGATGTCGATTACGCCCGTCGAGGGCCCGATACCAACCCAGCCTTCTCCCTCAGCTAAACCGCTTGCTGAGCCCGTCGTAGATGATGAAGATGAGCGCACTGCTCGGCACCGCGCGCGCGACCGTGATCCCACAGCCCGCGTACAAGCCCCTCAGCCCGCCCTTGCGCCACATGTCCCGCGCGGTACCCGCGAACGTCGCGCGCCCGCCGCCCGCGCGCGGCCCGCGCAGCTCCGCCTCGGTCTGCATCGCGCTCTTGACGGTGTCCGCGGGGAAGAGGGCGACGTTGTACGCGACGCCGGCGCACGCGCCCGCCGCCGCGCTCTCCCACGCGCGCAGCTCGCCGCGCGCGGTCGGCGCGAGCCCGCGCCGGCGGAGCAGCACCCCCGCGACGCCCTCCTTCGCCGCGAACCACGCCGCGCCGCCGCCGGTCTCGCGGAGGAGGGTGCCGGTGTGCCCGAGCCAGAGCCCGCGCAGGCCCGTGTCGCGCACGACGCCGGCGAGGACGGCGAGGGGGCCGGGGAGCGGCGCGGAGGAGGTCGGCGCGATGAGCATCTGCACCTGCATCTTGCACTTCACGAGCTCGATCGGCGTCCTGCGGGAGAGGGGCGGCGTCGGCGTTCCTGCGCGCGGGCACACGGATGCGAGAAAAAGCAAGGGCGACTCACAGGACGAAGCTCGTCACCGCGCCCGCGCCCGCGCCTGCGCACGCCAGCTGGCGCAGGGAGAGGTCGGGGGTCCCGAGCGACCACCGGAGCGTGTTCTGGATCTCGGTGTACGTCCAGAAGAGCGTCGCGTTCTCCGCCATCGCGCCCACGATCGGCGCGGGCAGGCCCTGCGGACGCAGCGTCGCCGTCAGCGTTCCTCCGACACGAGAAGCGAACGGTGACGAAAAGCAGGGGGAAGGCCACGCACCCGGTAGAGCCCGCGCACGCCCTCCTTGCGCCACGTCTGGGCGAGGCAGTCGAGCGGACCACTGAAGCGCGCCGTCGCGTCGAGCACTTGCGCCTGGAGGCGGACCTTGGTGAGGTCGAACGGGTGCTCGAACACCTTGGAGCATATCCCCGCCGTGCTCCCGAACGCGATGTCCTTCATCGCCCGGATGGTGATCGAGTCCTCCGTCGCCGGGCTGGGTAGTGGCGAGGCCTCCATGTGGTGGCAACTTCAACCACGGGGGTTCGTTGGATGTGTCGAGGATTGAAGTGGTGACCGCGGACCGTCAAAGAAAACCGCAGGAATTAGTCGTAGCGTGACCGCGAGGGTATGCAGAGGGTATCTGTTGGTGCAAGCGAGCCCCGTCAAGCAGTAGTCATGATGCAGATGTGGTGGGTGCCAAGAGTGCGACGACGCGGGTGACTCTGGCCCCACAGACGAAGGCGCGCCGCCGCTCGTCGGTGGACGGGATCCATAAATTTCCGCTGTGGTCGGCTATTCGCCCGGGCCGGGGCTTCGGCGTCTGTGCATTTGGGACAAACGCGACCTCCACACACGACCACTGACAAGTACTGACATCTCGACGAGACACCGGTGACACGCGGGACTTGGAAGAAGGACAGAAGAGGCCGCCGAGAGGAAGGTGTCTCAATGAGCCACACAAGCCCACAAAAGCGACACCGCGCTCCTCGAACGTCGGGAGTTGCAACGTCAACGGCTTTCCTCACGAGCACCAGAACCATCTGTTCGGCATTTACTCATATCTTACAAACACGGTGATCGGAATCCAAAGTCGTTCACTGCGCCATGCAATGCGGCCAGGGACAAAACCCTCGAGATGTGATGCTAACAGTGTGTGGAATGCGGGAGCGCCCGAGGCGTCGAAGAGATACCAGTACATGGGGAGTATGTTGGGCAGGAAATACATGGATAATTGTATACCACAAGGTGAGTTGTTGCGTCGAGGGCTGCGAACCGAACAAGAGTTGAGGGGCGCGGGAACGATGAAGGCGGAATGAGTGATATGGAGCAGTGGAGACGGGCGAAGACGAAAAGGACAGAGGGGGGAGGCGATAATTCAGTGTCGGACAGTGTGGTGGATCCAGGTAATGTTTATCGGTACATTCGAGGCACATAGATAGAGGGCCGACCATGGGCTAAAAGGACAACAGGAGTCAAGAGGAACGACAAACAGAGGCCGTCTTGCGTCCGTTCGAGATAGCTTACAGGATGTCAAGCAAAGAGGATACGAGCGCACTGTCCGTTTCAGACATCGATCATGTGACAGAACTACGGCAACAACACTCATAAGTTGCGCGCACGCGTCGAAAGAGCGCGAAAAACTCACCTCTGCATAAGGCCGAATCGGATTACTGCCCCGTGAGTCTATAAGCTCGGGAACATTGGGGTCGTACTTCACAGTCTCGCCGCGATGGTTGCGCCATCCTTCGATAGGGTTGGGGTAATCCTTGAGGTCCGACGGGTTCGCCAGCGCTCTCGGGGCATACACGACATACTTCTCGCCATACTCCGTGAAGTACAGATGGTCGCCGCGCTTGTTCCAGAAGCCCATCCGAACTTGACGCCTGGGATGTGAGCTCTGTTGTGCTGCAGCCGCCGCGGCTGCGGCGGAAGCGGACGACGAGCTTATCTTGCTTGCCTGTGCGCGGGAAGGGACATGTTGCTCGGTGTATGGCGATATCACAGGAGGTCGAGGAAGTGGATTGTGTGATGGACGGTAGGGCGACGGGGCCCGAGACCGGGACTTCTCGTTGGGCGAAGTACGGGTGTTGCTGCTGTATGAGGTGCTGGTGGTGAAAGAAGAATGTTGCGGTTGAGCAAAAGTAGAAGGAGTGTAACGAGACGCAGACGGAGGAGAGGTAGTGGAAGACTGGTTGATGACAGGGAACGTCTGGCTACGGGATATCTGGCGGGAATGAGAGGAGCCGTGTTCAGGTGATGGACGTGTTGAAGGCGAACGAGCAGAAGGAGGTGTACGTCCCGACGGTGGGGTTCGGCCAGACGGTGGGGTACGAGCGTGAGTATTCTGCTGGGATGGAGTTGGAGTGGCTTGTGAATCTCTATCCCAGCGCGATTCCGTTTCACGGACACGAGACCGATCGCGCGGTCGGTCGTTTTCATACCGCGGGGTCTGAGTGTATTTCCTCAGGTCTGCTTCGTCCAGGAGTCTGCCGTAGGCTGTTGGCTCATTGCGATCTTCAGGTGCCGGATGCGTGTGACTCCGCGACGAGCCGCGACGATGCAAATCGAAACCCTTCGGCGGTGACTCTGTGTTGACCAACGGGCTAAGAAGACTAATGGGCTCCTCTGAGGCAGTGAGCAAGCCAAGCCAGAGGCCAGGTGGGTCCGATGAGGACGATCCAGAGGCGGTACCGGGGGACTGCTTGCTTATGCTGTTGGAGCGCGAAGGAGCTGTGCGGCGCGGAGGTGTAGGCGTTGGTGTCGTAGTTTCCATGTAGATCGGCACCTTGGACCGAGAGGGGGTACGTTCACGATCTAAGCGATCGAAATCCTCACTTGGACGATTTGAAGGGGGCGAGGAGTAGTGATCGGGGGTGCGGATGATGTTGGGGGAAAAGGTTGTATGAAGCTCACGGCGTGAGCTGTATGCTTCCTTCTCGTGGTCCATATCTTGCTGTGCGGGTGTGGTGGCACTGCGAGCGGCATGGGCTGCAGCTGCTGCGGCCGACGCTGAAGAGGATGTCGATGTCGTAGGTGCCGTGTAGGTGCGAAGATCGCGCAAAGTGACCCTGACCTGAGGCTCTTCAGGTGGCCTGGGTGAGACATCCCGAGAACGGCGTCGGGGAGGTAGCACACCATCCCAATGGGCTTGTCGTTCTCTCTCCCGCTCTCGGCCTCGTTCCCGCTCCCGTCGGTCCCGCTCCCTCTCCCGCTCCGCTCCCTCTCCCGCTCCCTCTCCCGCTCCCTCCTCTCCCGCTCACGCTCCCGTTCGCTCTCCCGTTCGCTCTCTCTCTCCCTCTCCCGTTGTTGCTGGTCCCGTTGTTGTTGCTGCTGCATGTAGCTGGAGTATGACGACATGGTCGCAGGGGCACTCGGGAATCCGGATCTTGAGCTTGCCTGGAATGTGATGCGTTGGGAGGAGTCGGGGGACGAATAGACAGCGGATGGGAGCCGCTGGCGGAGCGGGAGTGATCGTCGAAGGTGGGAGGGGGAGGAAGATCCTTGTTGTTGGACCCAGCAGGCTGTTGTACCCCAGTCGCGATGTTCGACGTACTTTCATCCGCGCTCAGATCCTTCGGCACCCATACCCACGGTGTATGCGGCGCTCCATTAGGTCCGTCCTTGATATGCCTGTCGCTAGGGGGAGTATCGTCCCTACAGAAGCCCAAAGATCAGCTCGCGTTCCATGCTAAGTCATGATAAAGCGCACTTGATATGCATGTTCTCGAGACCAAGCCCATTATTCGTTAGCTGGGTTGCCCAGTAGGTGTGATCTCCAGGATTTGGGATGCGTTTGAACGGATTGTGTGGTTGCTGCTGTTGCTGTTGCATTTGCATCGCGGCTTGCATCGCAGCCGGGCCCCAGCCTGGATGGGGTGCCCACATCTGTACGCCGTTGGGAGGGGCACTCGTAGAGGGTCGAAATTGGAGGTTGGGCTGCCATTGACCACTCATCCAGGTCTGAGGGTTCATCCCAGTAGGAACGGGTGGCGGAGCGGCGTTGAAAGGGGCACTGGCGTAGTAGCCGGCGTGGACCCATCCATGGTTAGCAGTGGGTATGAAAGTGTTGCTGGCATAGGGACCGTGTGCGCCAGGCTTCATGACATGGGCCATGATTAAGAGTGGGAGTGGGATATGATCGGGGGACGGTGAGCGGGTGTGTGTTGACGATTAGAGCTTTCTATAGAGACTCGCATAGATATACAGATTGAGAGTACTAGAAGAGCCGGATCTCGCTGTATTCACGAGAGCGGGGCCGGGGAGAAGACGAGGCAGAGAACACCCCGAGGGAGCGGCGCGGGTAGGTCTGCAGCCTGTGCAGGGAGAGAGCGATGACAGCAGATGGGAGTGGACGTCGACAGGCGAGACGCGTCGAGGGGAGAGCGGCGTGGATCGGAGCTGATTATGGGCGACGGATGTGCTGCAGAGGCGAACTGTCCTGGCTTTGGCTGTCTGCGGCATACAGCGCGGTCAGAAGCGCCGCGGGAGGAAGGAGGGGAGAGGCTCACCAGGCTGGCCGGGGTCTGCGCCCTGTTTCTCGCAGAGAGTGGCCGATATATACGCGGTGGGAGGCAGGAAGCTGGTACTGGTGGGCGTGTGGGTGCGGAAGAGGGTTCCGTTCGTGGATGGCACTATATGCGCTCGGACACAATTGATCGAGTTCGCGAGACGAGCTGGCCGGGGTCGGTGCCTAGACAAGAAGCGGCGAGCTTGGTTCGCTGGCCAAAGCGACAAGACAGAGGGACAAAGAGCAGGACAGAACGGACGCGCTGGACGTCGAGCTCCTCCGAGCCCAGCCTTGGTTGTGTTTTGGGGTGTTTGTTACCGGTGGCACAGGCGGGAGGTGTGTCGAACGGCCGTCGGGCCGAGACAGACACTGAGGGCCCCGCTTGCGGCCATCGGCGTAGGAGGGCACGCGGGACGGCGGGGACAGCGCTCTGGTCCATCGCCCTCCAATCGCCCTTCGACGCGTCCTCCGCAAGACGTCTACCATCGAGAACATCACCTCCTTCCATCCAGAGGATGAGTGCCCCACGTGCTCCGTACGATCACAGCTCCGAGCGCCTGCACGCTGCGGCTGCGGACGCTTTCTCCGCCTCCCTCGCAGTCACTGCATGGCGCTCGGCCCACATGGCAGGTATAGCCGTAGTGTCTTTCCAGACGATATAGACGGGGGTCCGGCCTGGTGGGGCTCGGATAACTAGACACGACACTAGCCAGCTCTCTGGCTACGCAGGCGACACCTTCAACCGGCGGGACTTCTATGGCTCCTGGGACAACCTTCCTCAGTGAGTACAAACCTTTCAGTCGTTGCAACAGAAATTCATTCGGCCGAATATAGGCAATGTTTGGTGGCTCAACGACACTGAGGCAGCAGCGGAACACCTCACGCATGTCAACCACGCCGAACCAGCCATCATCCGCGTCGACAACACGACGATTGTGCCCAAGGAGGAAAACAGGAACACGGTGTGTCTCTTATGCTTCAGTCGACACTTCCCGCGTCTGAACACGCCATCTCAGGTCCGTGTCACCACCAAGGAATCGGATGCTTTTGGCAGTTTGTAAGTGACACCTCCCGTAAGTATATACTATGGATGCTCCGTGTGGTTCACCTTCTGGACCCAGGGACCCGTTTGGCCCGATAGTGGGGAGATAGATACCATCGAAGGCATTGACCTCCAGCAAGCGAACCAGATGGCTATACACACACCCACAGGCTGCAAAACGACGAGCATGATCATGCAAATCCGTGGAATCGGCTTCACGAATTGTGGTGACAATACCGGATGCACAGTTCTCGAGACAAAGCCGAACGGCTCCGATGAGGCCTTCGCGAGCGTTGACGGTGATGCAGCTTGACGAAAAAGGCATCAACATGTAGTTCTGGACAGTGAGTTTTATCCCCTATCCGCCAGAACCTTGGGCGACTCCAGGACCCCTGCTATCTGCCTCTGAGAATAGCCCTGTTCTGACGCATATACGCATGCCTTAGTGAGGTGAGGTCCCTGCGGGGCTCACTAAAGAGAATAAGTCTTCCGTCGACATCCCTTCCTGGGGTTTACCTTCCGCAAGCTATCCGGTGACTCCTCGCGACTGCTCACCCTCCCAAACTACTTTACTCCGCAGCCAGTCGTCATCGATATCGCGCTCTGCGGTCAGTGGTGGGTCTCGTTTCGGTTTGACCCCCACTGGGCCACTATTCCCTTCTGTCCCTTTTCTGCTCGTGCGCCGGTATACTTTAAGCTGACGCTCGTGCTCCTGATAGGGCCGGCTCGGATGTTGATTACCAAAAGACCTGCACCGGCACCTGTGACGTCTCGGCCCCCGGAGGTCCCGCATACGACAACGCCTCCGTCGTAATCAATTACGTCTGCGCGCATGCCTTTGAGGCCGCACTCGTCGCCTCAGCAGCTGCAGGAACGCCCTCCTAACACCGCGACCTAACCGCGGTGCGTCGAACAGTCCTGGCATGGCGCAGCGCTCCGTGCGGCAGGCCTAGGCCTCGTTGCAACGATGGCGGGGTTGGCCGGGGCGCTGGCCGGGCAGCTACTCCTTTGAGCTCAGGTTTTGAGGGTGGCGGCCTCTAAGTGTCTTCTTGGGCATGGGAATCAGTGGATCAGGGACTGTGGACCGCTTTCCTTGTATTGGGATCGATGTGGACCGTATGTGATGCTCCTCGTTGTGACTGTTGTATGGGCCTGTCCACATATTGCCACGTTAATGACATCTGCCATAGTGCAGCAGGTACTCCCCTCAGCCTTCTACTGGCAGAGCTCAACGCCTCGACCTCGAGGACGCGGCTTTGTATGACCCGCAGTAGAATGGTTCCATGTGTGCGTCTGATGGTCTACATACTAATAGATCGGTGGCGAGGTGGCCGTTGAACGTTGGACGCCTGTCGCTGGCCTGATGAGAGTCCATCAATCACCGAAGCGTGGCGGGGGGCGGGTCGAGCTTTGCTACGGCTCAAGTTTTCAGTGCAGGATTCGCTCCTCTTTGCTGAAAGTATGCTCTCTCACCGCGCTTAATAACTTCAAATAATAAGTGCGTCCTCCATTCGCTGGATGAAGTTCAAAAAGGCCCTCGCCGCCGAGGCACCAAGGCGATCATCTTCACGACCTCCAGAGGTCCTGTATATCCTTCCTGTCTCGCTCGTCGATGGGTGGCGTAAAGGTATGAATAATGGGACATCGTCCGGAGACGTAGTAGTACAGGGGAGTCGTAGGACGGGTAGAGCAGATAAAAATGAGGGTGATCGGTGGCGGAGATAACGTCGGGTCCTAGTACAATTACATTGGGGTATCTGGTATCCGCGAAGCACACACAGTGGAGTCATGGAGAAGTGGGAGAACTGCATCGAGGCGATACGCAGGCACGGAAGCAACAGACCTAAACGACGGCAGTAGCCATTAGCTCGGACCGACCCAGCGAACACGAGACAGCAAACTAATACGTACAACAAGACACACTCCCCGGCAACCATCCCTATCGGCGACCATAGCGGTTCCCGGCCGGCCCTCAGAGATGCGCGTCCAGGCCGCCGATCCCACCATGGATCGCGCGCATGTGCCCGTACACCTCCCCGCTCGTCTCGAACGTCTCGAGGCATGCCCAGCAGATGTGCGTCTTGCAGCGCGCGCACGTCATGTGGTTGCATCCCGCCTCGCGCTCGATCGGGACCTTGCACTTCGGGCAGTCCTTGACATCGTGGCCCGACTTCCAACCCACGAATTGCGCCTCGTCCGCCGGCGAGGTGTCCTGGCAGGAGCGAGACTCATGGTGCTCCGCCCCGCAGGCCCCGCAGACACGCACGAGGCACGACGGACACTGCAGCACCGGAGGAAGCGTAGGTGCGGGCGCAGGGGTAGGGGGCGGGGGATCTTGACGGGATTTGCCCTTCCTGTTCGCTTTGGGAGTGGGAGCGGGGCTGGTGGTCGAACAGGGGCGGGGCGAGGCGCTTTCCCGGGACGCGGTACACCTGGGGGCAGTCCGGCGTTGGGCAGTACTGGAACTCCTTCGGGCGCGAGCGGATGTAGATATCAAACGCAGCGCGGGCAAGCGCGTCGAAGCCGTCCGGGGTGAGGAGCTGTCGCACGACGCTCAGTGGGATGCGATGCGTGCAACGGGCGCTGTCGCCAAGGCAGGTGAGGGGAACGTCTGAACATCGGATGCGGCATTGAGGAAGGCGCTGAGGCAGGGTGTGCACCAACGATGGCCGCATGGGAGAGAACGGGATGCGAGGGCTCACTCAGGCAGACCGGACAGCCATCGGAGTGGGAGACCCGGGGAGCCTGGCCGCGGCGCCGGGTGGCGTCTTGAAGAGCCAGCTTCGCGGTCTTCTGCGCGTCTTCGTCGCCATCAACGACGAGCTCCTTGGTGAGGGAGTCAAACCGTACGTTCTCGTCTCCGAGCTCCTTCTTGAGGCTCGCAAGGTCTTCGCTCAGGAATGAGCCAATCAGGTCCCATGCGAGACGATAGTGCCGCTGACGCTGGGCTGTGAGGAGACGGTGCCGGGCGAGGATGGCCTTACGAGCATTGGAGCGGAATGGTTCTGGCCCGAAGAGCACGAGCGTGCGTCGACGGTGGTCGCGGTTGATTCTGACCCTAGGGATCTCTTTCTCGACGTCTGCGAGGAACTGAACCCCTGCCGTGCTCTCGAAGAAGTCGTTCCAGACCGTCTGCCCGTTCTCCGTGATCTTCTCACCGTGCAGGATGCGATCGAAGGCGGCTTTAGCGTTGGGTATCCCTGATGGATTCTCTGACGCAAGCCTGATCGTGATAGGTCCAGGTGGGGGGTTTTTGTCGTCAATGGATATCGTGGTGCTGTATGCGCTATTGAGAAACGCCTGTAGCTCGACCAGATCTTGATTTATTAGCTTGAACTTGCCCCGAGATAACGTGTATAGCAACGACCGGTAATGATGGGCAAATATCCTTCCTTTTCCTGTGTACGGAGGAGTGCATCCATGGAGGGTTTCGCGCGCGGACGCCGCAGACGAAGGATCTTTGAAGTGCGCCCAGAGGGAAACATCGTGCGGTGCGGACCTGGAGGAACGTTAACGGATACCTCGCCAAACTCCTCCAGTCGACGCCTCAGTGCCATGACAGCGTTATGACTTGACTGGTAGCTGGGCCGCTCAAACATGGGGGCAGCCTCGTACTCTCCCCAACGCGCCAAATCCTTCACGGTGGCGTTCGCTGGGAGAAATTCGTACTTGACGTTGAATTGGCCGACTTGTGGAACTCCGTTGTAGCGTTGGGCCAACACTTGCATGCCGCGGAGGTCCTGCTTCATGGCGTTCGTCATCGCTGTCGAGGCAGCCTTTTCGGTCTTGTACCCTACGTAAGCAGTCGTCCTTGCTGTTGGAAGCTGGAAGAGTACGTCGCCATCGTGGAAAGTGCCGCCGCCGACAACTTTGGTCTTCTGATGCTGAAGCCGGGCAGAAACTGTAGCGCCAAACAGTGTCGAGCCGTCCAAAGCGTTCACCGCTTCAGTTGCTTCGTCTGCTATGGCGAAGGTTACACTGTAGGAGAAGGTTTCTGGGTTCCGAGGCTCGTCGAAAAGAAGCACGTTCACAACGTCGCCAAGTGGGCTCAGAGCTGTACGAACCTCTGGAGGAGAGATAATGGAAGGGACACCGCCGAGGACATTTGCCGTGTCTCGAAGCCTGTTCGGACTTGTTTGACATCAAAGCCAGAGCCAAGCTTCACCTTCACTGAATCCATGACTGCGACGATAATCTCCTCTTCCATCGGAGTCTAGATAGATGGGTGACGGTGTCAGCGCAATGACTTATGATGCGTATGGCGGCGCCCACACTATGTGCTTCAGGTAGGGAGGGGGCGACGACCTGTAGTCATGTAAACGATGGTTCTCTATCCAAGCCAACGAAGTTCTTACCTGCGCTGTCAGATCCTCGTCCTTCCCACGGATGAGTGCGTGAGAGTATAGGCATCGCCGTCTGGTGCACTTTCCGTTGAGGAAGTCCCAACACAACTTTGCAGTTGCCGCTGTGGTCGCGGTCGTGACGGTTGAAGTCGAAGATTCCTCCACGGATGTCAGTGATGTTTCGGCAGACACCGTGCGAGACCAAAGCTGCTCAAGCAGGATCAGAAACTTGTAGGTCAATGTGGGACGTGGAGCTCACCCTAGAAGACGGTACCGTGTCATCTTCGCTTTCGGTGTCTCCGTCAATGGTAGCAGGGGTCTGAGGAGGAGCCGACTGCTCGCGCCATTTGCGGATTGAAGGTGACGCGCGACTGTTGACACTGTCGTTGCACTCGGCGCCTTAGTGATATCGGCAGACGGGGTTCGAGTAGGCGGCCCACAAGCGGGAAGCGAAGAGCTTTGCTGAGTTGTACCAGAGCTCAGTGCTGATTGTCTGGGTTGACCGTTCGAACCTGGCTTTTGTATAGATTTCGATGGCTTCTCCGGACGATGGCTGGAACGCCCTGTCGATGTCGCTGTTTTTCCCTTCGACAATCCCACCTCTTTGAGCGAGGCATTTGCACCATGAACAGACTTCTGCTTGCTGTTTTCGGCCTTTAGGGGTATGCCTTCCTTCTTCCCGGCCAGCCGTGGCGTCTCATCGACTGAATCGTCGGGTTTCTTCTGTAACGATAGACTGAAAACGTGGTTTTAGGGCAGTAGACCCCACGCACCTTTGTACGGGACTTGCCACGCTGGCCCGCGGCATCCGTGCCCCTATGGCAAAGGGATTGAGACAGAGGAGACAAACGGTGATGATAATCACTTACTTGGACTTGTTATCGGTCTGACTCTCACGCGACAGATCTACCACCGGCTCCGGCGGAGGCGAGGGCGTGCGACCGCTGGTCCTCCCCGCATCGACTATCAACTCCCCACCGGCAGCGACAACTGGGTTGAGCGTGGACAGTTGATCCCGAGATACGTGCCAGAACGGCAAACGCCTTCGCCGCGATGGCATTCGTGTTTGAAGAAAAAATCTCGGCACACATACTTTGGAAGGGTCACCCAGCCCGGTGGCACCTGCCGACGCAAGTTAGTACCGTATGCTATTGATTGTTCTAGAATTCTTACCGGCGTCTAGTAGCAAACTGGCCGTCCTGCCCGTGGGGAGCGCCTTGGAAATAACGTCAATGCCTCGATAGACATACATGAAAATTCATTACCTTCGTCAGTGCTGTTCAGACGAGTGGGCGTGTGGATCGTGGCCATCCTGATGTAAGATATGTGTGCTGCTACATTTTATCGGAGCGATATTACGCTGCAACGCCACAATCAGCGAATTGAAAGTTCGCAAAATACATCACCCTTGCCTGGCAGGGAGTCGACGATGTCGGGCCCCCGCAGATGGCACATGCTGCACATGTACCTCGGCATCTTTCCCCCCACTGACACATGCCCCCAGTATAGTTCATACATATTTCCGTTTTCTGCGAACACAAAGCATCATTAGAACATACACACAGGACCGAGAGAACAATCAATTACTTTGCTAGGAGGAGTGGATTCCTCCACTGGTGATGTGATATTTCGGGGTTCGCCTGAGGGCCTGGCGATATATAGTGCAGGCTCTGGATGAGGAGCACCTGCCAGCACGCTTGACGATGGACCACCGCGGTGCTCTGGATACCGAGGTTTGGCGCCCTGCGTTGAAGGAAGACTTCGACGGGTCATGGTGGGAGAGGTGTCTGAAACAGAGTCGTGATCGGCCAGAGTTGTGGCATTCAAGGTGTGGGATACGTTAAATCTATCCGTGTAAGTTCCGCCCTTGGCAAGCTTGGCCAGGAGCTGCTCCACAGTCAGTTGTTCAGCTGATGTCCAGGGGGACTCCGTTTTGGGGAGATACAGTGGAGGCGGGTTTTGATGTGCGGAGGTATGTGACGGGGATGGAGGTGCATGCGGGACAGTGGGTTGCGGTGGTGTGTGCGGGGATCTAGTAGCGTTCGCGTTGGTTCGCTCACTCTTCTGCATGTACACATTAGTAGGCCCTTCTCCCATGCGAGTCACGCTCATGACACGCACCGCGGGATGCAAATATTTGCAGTGGGGTCCCCATGTGCAGCGCCCGCCCATATACTCCCAACATACCTCGCGGTCACGCCTGATGTTCTGCATTTCGGCAAGACCACGCGTAAGCCGAAGAGCCGGAAGACGAAGAAGGTGAGTAGCCTCGTTTCTGCAGGAACTGACCTGAGGAGGGCCCGGCACCCAGGCGCCCTTATATGAAGCGCCTGAATCATACTGCGGTATGTCGTCACGGGCCTCCCTGCCGTCATATCCACGCCAGTATCCCGTCGTGGCGCGGTGATCGTGGTAGTAGTGGGACGACGGAAAACGTCGTGGAGGCCTCGGGGGGCGTGCTGCGAGGTGGCGTCAGGAGCCGCGAGACAAATGCGAGTCGGCGCGGAGCCGGGGCGACCACCAGGAGTCATGTCGAGAAAGGACCCGGAGTCAGTCAGCGCTCGGGCCCAGCGCAGAATATAATAAAGCAGACTTACCCCAGAGCGCTCGCTGGCCGCGTTTGGGCGCACAAATGACGATGATGTATGTGCCAGCAGTGGCGGCCCTGCGGGTGGGCGGCGGATCCGGGGCGGACTGTGTTCGCGGCCGGGGGGTGACTGGACTACCACAGCACCCGCGAGCGTGTGCTTTGTCGCGCAGACGCCGTCTCGCGCACGCGCGTCTCGGTCATACCAGCCCCGCGGTAGGCTATGAGCCGGTAATGTGTGCACCAGCGTTGTTTCGGATTCGCGTGACATCTGCGCGCACGGGAGGCCGAGCGGGAGTGTGCTGGTGGCGAGCAGATGGTGGTCTTGGAAGAAGAGTGGCGGGCGCGGGCGCGCACACAATTCAGCTGGAGTCGCTGACAGACCAATATACGGTTTGGGCTTTGAGCTTGACCGCACTGTTTATAGTTCCATTACTTCCTTGTTGATGACGGGCGTTAGAGTAACCAGGAGGCGTTTCGACACCAACGCATGCATACACCCATCTATCACCGGAACACACGCTGCATTGGGCAATATCTGTGCCACACGATACAGTTTTAATGTCACTGGCGCGATCAAAACTTGTGATATGGACGAATGGTGTCTGACAGGGGTTAGGGCTAGAAGCTATTTACGGCCAGAGATCTGACGCCCAAGGGATGGACTCTAGCACTGCAGTGAAGCCTGTCGACAAAGCCGATCCGGAATCCGAGAAACCCTCCCAGTGCGGCCAGTAGCTGCTATGGATGGTGCTGATGCAGAGGGTATGCACGTCGACTAGAAGCTCCTGCAGCATTCGAAGCCCGGCAGCAGGCTTGTTGCACTTGTCGGCAAGGGTTCCAGCAAGCGATCTTCGCGGCGGCCAAGCCTGCAAGGAAGTCGAAGCAAAGCCCTGGTCGAGAAGAGGAACACAAAGACAGTCTATAATACGTGATGCCTCGTCACACTAGGAAGGGAGTGGCACGAGTATGTGAAAACTCACCGTAGTAGCCCAGGTGGTGAGAGCGATGAGAGCGCGGACCACTACTGCAGTAGCACGGAGCGCGGAAAAGACCGGTTGCTGAAACGAGGCAGGGTTCACTGCAGAAGCCGGTGGTATTCAGTGTTGGCATTCCATAACCAATCGACGCACCTCGAAGTATGTGGACTGCAGCGTGCTGCAGCCAGGGTCCTAACGCAGTGCCCCAGTCATCTGTGCTGCGATCCAGACTCTCCTTCATTGCAGTCATGGTGCATTGATCTCTCGCGCTCTGTATGGGTCTGTTCCAGCATGTCCGTCAATGATCCGGACAAAGTGTCGCTCAGACGAAGGAGGTCCGCGTGCTTCTCAGAGACGGTTATTGCATGCTGATACGACAATCCAACACTGCATTTGATTTCTGTATGCCCCGGTGAGACTCGTAGCGACCTGCACTAGTTCTAATATTCAGTCTTCATGGATATGATGCCACTCGTACCTGTTCCAAGGTTCCAAACGCTCCTTCGAGAGCCGAGAACCGAGAACCGGCACGAAGCTGCCCCCCGGTTGAGCGAGCAGTGAAAAAAGACACAATGAAAGTTTCATACCGCTAGCTCGTTCATAGCTCCATCTGACGCATTAAAGGGGCGTGGGCGTTATCCATTCTTTCGTTGAGGTCTTGTTCGAATGTGCGCGCGACGCTGCCCAAGACGATCGCAAACTAGACAAGGATACCTATACTCAGCAAGCCTCATACCACTTCAATATGACCACGTACTTGCTCGACTACCTCTGACATTCTGGCATTCATCTGTATGTTGTCCATTGGATCATATCACTACTGCAGTAGGAGCCGTCACGTACCTGGGTGATCATGGTTGTATGCCCGCGCTCAAAATCCTCCACTACATCTGATGTCGCGATTTGCAGCCCGAGAAACGCCTAAATCTCCTGATGTCAGCTTCGTGCGTAGTATTTAGGTCTATATATGCGCACCTGGTCAAAGTTTGCACTGGTCCTGACCATATTGTCGCGAGACGCCACGTCCGCAGCTACCGCCGCTGTACGTATCTCGTGCACTACTTCTCGCATCGTCTGCGCTCGTCGGATCAGCGCCGAGTAGAAGCAGACCTCAAGCCGCATGCGAACCTGTAAGATGGCAGACGAATCATCCCATGCTGTTTGCATGTCCCTTCGTTGATCAGAGATGACGCGTAGAGCCAAAATCGCCTCCATCGTGGCATTCCTGTGCACTTGTTTTGCGGTATCTAGTGGGGTGCGTTGAACGATTAGCGGCCGATTCACGTAACAAGGGGGCATACCAATGTCGTTCCATCGCTGAAACGCAAAACACAACTGGGCTTCTGCGGTTTCAGCAGGAACTCCTCATGCCACTACGCATTAAACCTCACTTACCAACTTCTCGAAGATACCCGGAATAGCTAGACCAGTATTGCGCGCTACGCGACAGAGCCCTGTGAAGAAACTCAACGTCAAACTCTCGTTGTTAGAATGATGGTCGGAAGGGGTGATCTTACGAGACACATTGTCGGGCCGAGGTGTCCCCGCGGGAGCCATCTTGCCCTCCGAAGGAAGCGCATTCCATGGGTGGCGAATTGTGTTCGGCGGTGGCGATTTCGCATAATGTCATTGAAAGTGCGGCTATATGCGGTCATAGTGTCATGAAAGGCCTCGTGGAACAGGGTGAAGACGCACCTTGAACTCGTGCTCCTTCGTCTATCTCAAGTTCGCTGCATCGAGTTTGGATACGCTTAGCCGCCGCCCGGAAACAGTCAGGCCTGTTTGAGTACGTCTCCAAGGACCCTAAGATTCAAATGACGGCACGTCGTCAAATTCGATAGATGTGCGTGTATAGGTTGGCGCGATACGCACCAACTCCCTGCAGAACTGCGGTGATCTCTTCCGGCGAGGGAACTTCTAGCCATACCCACAATCCTGAACACCGCACAGAGACCGAGAGCTTGTACGCACCCGCAGCATTGGTGATCGCTCCAGAGATCTTTCCCGCAGGCGTGTATGTCCACGAGAAAGCTTGAGCCATCGGCACCAGGGAGGTTACGATTGAGATCACCAGCATGGCTGAATTGAACGTTCCAGGGATACGCTTTGAAGTGAGGTGGGCGCAACGGACGTGCCTGACCAATGGATCCACATTGGACATCACCATACACGGAAGAGAGACAACGTACGCGAGAAAAGTCTTTGATTTGAGCTTGGAGGTGTGCCGCGACGTCGCAGTCAGAATCAGACGGATGCCAGTTTCGCAGGCGCCGCATGGGGACCTGGGATGCTGGTACCGCTGGCCCGGCTGTATTTCTCGCCAACCAACTCTCATTCCCTTGCACCCAACACGGCATCTCGACACTCCCTCTCACCCTTCGCCCCCATCTTATCATCATCGGTGGAGTGGCAGCACAAGACTTATAAGCGGGCGATACAATCTGTTCCAGACTGGCAACTTGAAGGGTTCGCTGAAGGACGTACATCCCATTCATTTGCAAACGTTCGTGCTGGCGGCGCATACAATGCAATGCAATGCCGCTCGCCGTCTTCCGCTATTCATGTGGGTGAATTGCGACGATGGCGTCTGGGATGTTGATCCGACCTGAACGAACTTTGCAACGGCAATGTGCGTGTTCTCCCACAAACGCCGCGCTAAGGTCAGCCGCATGACCTGCCTGAGCTTCACATCCCTCGGAGCTTCGTTGAGACCGACGTGGATAGATGCTCTCGGCCGCCAGTCCGCCCCGCACGGATGCCCTGGCTTATTAATGCTGCCAGCCTGTAGCACGGATACTCATACATAAACGGTGCGTCCCACACTCCTCGCAAGCTTAGCTTCCTGATCTCGACCATGATGGCTGCTTCTACCACTGAGCCGACGAAGCTCGTTGTTCACCACCTCAATGACTCCCGTTCACAGCGTATCTTGTGGCTTCTGGTATGTCACCATCCTCTCCTTTGAAGCAGTGGCTGCTCCCTCTCATTGGGGTTTCCAAATGTGTAGGAGGGTTTGAGGTGCCCTATGAAATCAAGAAGTACCAACGCCTCCCCGACGGCATCGCGCCGCCGGCGTTAAAGGAAGTCAACCCACTTGGAACGGCTCCCGTCATCACGGACGACTCGCGGAATATAGCAGAGAGTGGCGCCATTGTTAGTGAGTTTGTTCCCCTGCTGTGCGATCGCATCTCGGAAGTTAGGGCTGTGAAAGTGCTAGACGGGTGTCGAGGACAAAACCGAGGTCGTTAAATTGCCTGACAGATTTGCTAAATGGATGTCTATCCGCGCTTCCCAGTCTATCTCATCGAGAAATATGGAAAGGGTCGTGGAAAAGCGACCGAAGCCGGGTTCGTCAATGATCTATTTTGTAAGCACTTTCAAGTTCAGCTATCTTCACTCATAGCAATGACCTCTCGCAGATGTACATTACTCAGAAGGTTCCCTGGCACCGATATTGGTCATGAAGCTTGTGTTCGGAATTATCCCGAAACAGGCCCCCTTTTTCATTCGCTGGCTTCTCAACATGGTTTTCAAGGCAGTGGACTCCGCTTTTATTGGTCCTCGCCTCAAGGTGCACGCGAGATGGTGAGTGATTTCGGCTTCCCGCTCTACCTACGCCCGGTGCATGCTGTAACTCCGAACCAGATTGAGGCGCACCTTAACAAATGTGGGGACTGGATTGCAGGGGGGAGCGAACCGACCGCGGCCGACTACATGATGGTGTTCATCATCGAGTTCTGGGCCGACATCGACGCGTCCCTCATCGGCCCGAAGATGAAAGCGTATGTCAACCGTGCCCATGCAAGGTGAGCATTGTACCGCGCTACATATCTACGTCTTCTTCGCCACTGACCACTCCCTCCCAGGCCGGCGTACAAACGGGTGGGTTTCGCAACATTCCACCATCTGCGACCTAAGTCACCGATCACTGACCCTTCCCTCAGGCGCTCGAGAAGGGTGGAGAGTACAAGTGGGCGAAGGATCTGTGATGACGGCGGCTGCGGTTGCCGCCGTCAGCAAAGGGAACACGCAGCGCGACTTCGCTGCGTCCCCGCCGAACGCTGGCGGCGCGAACAAGTTGTTAGGGCAGCGGCCGGGAGCCTGCGAACCTTTCCCAGCGTCCAGCCGAGCGTCGTCGCTCCCTGCAACCTGTCCCAGTCGCAGCAGCAATCCATCCATCTTCTGCGCCCACACACCACAGCTTATCGCTTGCTGTACACCTGATGTACTTACATGGTTTTTATACAAGTGTTTTCGTACGCGCTGCGGGCTGTTGCCGGACTGTCGCAAAGCGGCTCTCCCGCCCCGCGTCCCCACCCAGGGCGCCACGCCAGGCTCCACCTTGTCGTCCAGCATACGCCCGTTCCCCGTTGTCTTGTGCGCCCAACAGACGAGGGCTATTACACTCCGCGCCCCCCGGCCAAACTCCCACGCAGGATTGAACGTGCACAGCCTGCGCGGGCGGGGCCGTGCATCGCGTGTCCGTGCGACATGATCCTCGTCTGATCTCTTTGGCGCGGGGGCGCTGTTGTCCTCGTCGATTGATCATCGACCCCGTCGACGCCCTCCCCGCCCCAGTACGCATCGGCGTCCGCATGGCAACCCGCACGCCCGTGAACGCAGCCGTTGCTCCGTAGCACGGACCGCGGACCGCGGACGTCGTCCGGGCTGGGACCGCCGAGCGGTTCGAGTAGTTTCCGTTCGGCCCCTGGTGCGCGCACCGCAAGCACCGGCCTTGCATATGCCAAGGGGGAAAGCCATTGAGCTCCGTGCCGCGGCAGACGCAGACGCGCTCCGGGGATGTGAGACCCCCGTCGCCGGCACGCGGGACACCAACATGGGTCCACAGGTGCCACATGTGACCGAGACCTCGGTTACGCGGGGAGGTGCGCGCCGCTCGCCGGAGAGAGAGAAAAAGCGTCGGTGCACCTCCCCTCGCCGTGTAACGGCAGAATCACCGAAGGACGTGGGCACGCGGACGACCAGTGAGGGTATGAATACAATAGTTAGAAATTAGGAAGGAGCGGTAAGATATCGGTGCTGGTTAAGCGAGCGTGAAGAAAGGGAATAGGAGGAGGGCCTCGTCTACAGGCGCGGATGTAGGAGTCTAGGGATACAGTGGGGGGTAGCAGAGGTCGCATGTGCTCTTGACTATCCGATGCATGGTGTGGGATGCGATGGGTAACGATACACGATGGAGAACGGAAGCTATTGTGGAGACGAGCCAATACAGGTAAGAGGAGAGGATGCAGGGAACCGGAGAGGCGAGACGAGAGACGAGAGGACGGGCGAACGGTCGCAAAGCAGTGTGCAAGATAGAGTAGTGGTGCAAGGGCGAAAAGGACTGTGTGCAAGAAGAACGAAGAAAGCTATGAAGACAAGTGAAGATGCGAATGGAAGGAGATTATGCGATGCGACGGCAAACTCACGGGGGACTGTATGCAGATGCGGGGAGATGAGAGAATAGTGTGTGTGGAGAGAAGCCAGTCCGGTCTAGTGCTTTCAGCGACGTTCCGAGTCCTGTCGGCGGCGCATGTGCGCGCCCGAGGCGACTTGCTGTTCCCAGTACGCGGCGCCCTCGCCCTCGATCCAGTTTCCAGTGACAGGGTCGCGCTCGAAGTCGCCGTCCTGGTACCCGTACCGCTCCTGGAGGAGCTTGAGGAGCGGGTTGCGGAGCGCGGGGTCCATGCGCACGTTCTCGCCCGGGTGGTAGCTGCCGACCTTGTGCCGCGACAGGCTCTCCTCGAAGAGCGCCTCTTCGACGGTGCAGCCGCAGTTGAGGACCCCGGGCGGGCCATGCGGGGCGGGTACGCGCGGCGCTCGCGACGCGAGTCGTGCCACGCGCACAGCGCGTTGCCGGCGCGGTTCAGCGAGCAGTAGAGCTTCGCGCGCGCGTTCGTGCGCGCGCGCCACTCCTCCTGGAACGACAGCCGCGGGTGCGGTGTGGGCATCGGAGAGGGGAGCCCGCCGTGGTACACCCCGCGCGAGACCTCCGCCTCGAGCTCGCGGATGCGGAGCCGGTCGGAGCCGGAGACGAGCTCGAGTTCGCGGATGCGCTGGCGGAGGCGGTTGATCTCGATGTCCTTGTCTTGTGGAGAGTGGCTTCCACGGGGCGCGGGGGTCGGCGCTGGAGACACAATCATCGATCCCGGGTACTCGAATCCGCGAGGAGAGGTCTCCGGAGACACGAACATGTCGCTGTACTGGGCGTTGGGCGCGAAGGTGCCGACGTGACCGCCGCCAGACATACCCATGTAGGTTGACATGTCGTCAGGACCCATGTACGACGAGCTGGACGTTGGAGAAGGGTTCCAGGACGGCAGGGTCATGCCTGAAGGCGGAGTGACGGAGGTCCGGGTGCCAACAATCTGAGCCGCGTCGGGACCCATGGCGCCCATAAGGCTCGACGTGGAGCTTGAATGAGGCCGCATACCAGTACGTGATGCCATACCGCGGTGCGTCTCAGCCTGGTACGGAATGCCAACGGTTAGCTCAATGGACAACGAGGAGGGTCTGTAGAGAGCGCACCGGAGGGTAGGTCCCGTAGGGGGAGTGGTGGTCTCTGCTGCCACTTCGCCTTGGTGGCATTCCGGCAAAGGCGTCGGACTCTGTCTTGATGCCAGTGGGCCAATTCGCGTACGGGGAGGTCATTTTGATTACGAATTTGTTCTGGCGCTTCCGGAGTGGGCGGGCGTACGGGGTTTTGTGCCGAAGGCGGGAGGGACGGGAGGGCAAAGAGGGACTGAGGCTCGCGAGACGCGATGCACTTGAAGGAGAGGTGGGGGTCGTCAGGATCGACGAGGTGAGGGGAAGGGGAAGAGACGGTGAGGAGAGATAAGTAGCCAACTTGGGAGCTCGACTCGGCCTGAGTGGCGAAGGAGCGGTGAGCAAGGCAGTATTATATGAAACGCGGGGCGGGCGAGGGGGTTGTGGGAATTGCCGCCTATTCGGGCACCTGAATCTCGATGTTGCTGAGGAGGAGAGATGATCAAATGTCGCGAGGGACGGCGATCCTCTCGTGCGGGCAGAGTCGGGCGCTAGCGGAGCAGGAGGAGGACGGGGTGCGCGCCGGGGGGAATCTATCCGACGGGAACCGCCTCTGCCGCGCTGGGAGTGGCGACCAGAGTCAGACTGGTTGGGCGCAGTCGAATCAGAATTCGGCCGTCATGTGGTAGATGCGGAATGATTGTGCACTACAAGACCGTCCACGGCAGCACTGCAACCTGGCCACGCACCTCCAGTTCACATGGTAAACATGGGCACAGCCCTCCATTCGACCAGTGTTCCCTCCACGGGCGCGCATACCGCCTTGAGGGCATCTCACCAGCCGGCCCAGCCCGCACAGGGCCTCATAGCAGCTGCATCGCTTCAGCAGTGATCATCTATCACGTGTTCGTCCCGCCGCCTCGCCCCACCGTCATCTCGACAGAGCTGTTCTCCGCCAGGTCCGCGCAGGCTTGCGGGGTCGTGCGCCCACCCTCCATTGAACCCACTCGCGCCATACCATACCATCCTGCGAGCGACGCTTGTCGGAAACCGAACCAGAGGAACGGTTCGACGCCGAGGCTGCCGGCGCCTCTTACATCGACCCATCAGCGCCAGCCCAGCCTGCAGAAAGATCTAATTACCTGCGGCTCCGATTTGTCACTCTCCAAGGTCCCCGGAGTTCTCGATGTGAGGGTCAGTCCCGAACCCACGGCGTGCGTGCGCAGCGATGCAAGACCTTGGAAGGATCGCTAGCCTGATAAGATCCATTGTTAATCCTTGGGTCATGGCCATTGCGTGAGATAGGCAGCGTAAACGCATATGGCGCGGCGTCGTTCCGAAGCAAGTTAGCCGTGTCAGCCGTACACAGCATGGGCGAGAGACAGCGTGGACATACAGGGTACCATGCGCCGAAAGCCGTTGGGCCCGCCGTTCGTGCTTCGTTGGACAAGGGGGCCAGGAAGATAAGCGCTGAAGGCGTCTCAGCAGAACCCGAAATACTCGGAGCCACTCGGCATTCGAAGAGAAGACACCGGTCAACCACTCACAACACGGTGCGTATCGTCCGCCGACCCAGACATAGGCAAGCTATTATCGCGACATTGGGCGGTGGTGGTTGCCACACGCGGTCTCGCAATCCAGGCAGTGGGGCAACTCATCAATGATGACAGGTGATCTACACCCAGTGTGACAACCGTCAAATAACACAGTGCCTCTGGTACACTGGGTCCCACAACTGTCTGGTGGGAGAGGTTCCTACAGCGACGAGTGATGAGCTATTGATCATAAGAAGACCGGCCCATCCATCGATAGCCATGCATTGCAGCCCAAGCGATCGAGAGAGTTCGTCCATCATGTGAAGCTGTACATCGAAGGTCGAACTCACAGCCGAGCCCCCAGTATTGCGTGCACAGATGATCACCCATGACCTCGTGTTCGCGCGGAGAGATAAGTGCTTGAGACATGAAGGATCAATGCGACCTGCCGAAGAAACTACCAGCACGTATCAGCCCTGTGATCATTCCAGACGGTTTCCAGAAGGCTGGAGTGAGCCTTGAATTCGCTAAATCAGCAGTGTCGCGGACGTAATCCCACCCAGCTGTAGAGGTCAAGCAGATTGTGGTCAAAGCCGCTTGCTGCGCACGGCTCGGGGATGCGTCGTCGAAGATCACAAAGACACCCGACGATGATGCGGAGATTACTCACCGAAGGAGACGATTCGAGCTCGCCATCGTGAATTGTGGCGTGAACTGCGACGACAACTCCGTTGACGCGCTTTCTTACGGCTTGAGCACGTATGAGACGGCATTGCGAAGCGCCGGCACACGGCATGATCAAGGCGTCGGCTCCGCACAGCTGCACTGGAGGTGAGCACTTGAGTGCCTGATGGGGGCGATGGAGAGGATGAGGATGCGCACCCAGTCCGGCAGCACCTAGTTCTGGAGGTCGCTGAAGTACGTCCATAAACAGCGAGCAGAATGCCGGAGCGCAACGGACTCGATGCGACACATCGTGGGCAGCCTGAAACGCCTTCCAGGTTCGCGGCGGGGCCGGACAGATAGAAGCCAACGCGTAAATTCTCCGTGACATACGTAGCTGTAACGCGCGAAAATGAGGCCCAATCTCTTTCTTGAAACCTAACCAAACCCCGACCGAACCCGGGCGGTCGAGAGGGGCCTGCGCGCTCGGTTTCAGAGTCTGGGGTCGCGTCGCAACACCTCACGCCATGGTTTCCCCTTGGGAATCATTTGACTGCGGGAAGTGTCAAGCGTGTAAGCACTCCTCGCCATGAGATATGTGAAGGAATGCCGACCTTGAGGGTACTTGCACGGCGCCTGTCTCGAGGTTGATGTCCACGTAGCGAGTGAGTTCCACCGCTGGCCTGTTCGGACAGCTGGCACACGTGGTTGGCTCACGACGGACACGTTCACAGGGGTGCGGCGGCCGCGCGACGGACGAGTGCATGGATGTACACGTACATTCTGAATATGCGTGGAATGGGCACACAGTGCACGGCCGGGACGTCGCCCGTCAGCTCGCCGTCGCATTTGTACTGGACGATTTCTGCAAGCCGACACTTCTCGCGCGGAGGCACGTCGGGGCTGGCGGGCGGCTTCGACATCGTTCAGGCGGGCGATGGTACGACGGGAAGGCAAGAACGGGGGCTGGTCATAGGCTGAGACGGCGTCCAGGGCGCGGCTGCAGCGCGGACGAGAGGAGGGAAGGCGGCCGCCGCCGATGGCGCCGATGCTCGATTAGATACCGCGCGCACGTGCCTCCGGCGTGGAGGACATGCTCGTTCGATTGTGCAAAATAAAAACCGGCGACCTTCATTCTCTCTCTCCTCCTCCCACATCCCCCCTCTCCTCAATCCACCCCCTCTTTCAACACGATGGTCTTCAAGGTTGCCGGTGAGCACCGCTTTCCCTCCAGAGGCCGGAGTTCGTACTCACAGCGTGCGGTCAGACGTTTCTCTCGCTGCTTTCGGGCGCAAGGAGATCGAGATCGCCGAGGTATCGTCGCGGTCCAGTATTCCCCCGTCTTGCATTAGTCTCACACATCGCCTCAGAATGAAATGCCTGGCCTCATGTACATGCGCCAGAAGGCGAGTTGTCTGCCATGGCCCCTGACCGACATATGAGATCGATATTGATTGCTCTCATCAATGCATCACAGTACGGCGCTCAGCAGCCTCTCAAGGGCGCCCGTATTGCTGGATGCTTGCACATGTGAGTTCATCAATGTTTCTTGGCGCCAATGTCTCCTCAATAGTTGCATTGCTCTAGGACCATCCAGACTGCCGTCCTTATTGAGACCCTGACGGCCCTCGGTGCTGAGGTTACTTGGTCCTCTTGCGTGAGTTGCCGTTCGGAGATCTTTCGGGAGATGCGAATGCAATATTGACACGATTTCCGCTCTAGAACATCTTCTCCACTCAGGATCATGCCGCTGCCGCGTACGTTCTTTCCATAGCTGTGCGCCCATACATCTACTCAGGTTCCCGCGCAGTATCGCCGCCACCGGCGTCCCGGTGTTCGCGTGGAAGGGAGAGACTGAGGAGGAGTACCTCTGGTGCATCGAGCAGTCCCTTGCTGCGTTCCCTGGCGGCCAGCCCCTCAACATGATTCTCGACGATGGAGGTGACCTCACCACCCTCGTCCACGAGAAGTACCCCCAGTACCTCACCGACATTCGTGGTTTGTCGGAGGAGACTACCACCGGTGTCCACCACCTCTACAAGATGTTCCGTGATGGCAAGCTCAAGGTCCCCGCCATCAACGTTAACGACTCCGTCACCAAGTCCAAGTTTGACAACTACTATGGCTGCCGCGAGTCTCTCGTCGACGGTATCAAGCGTGCTACCGACGTCATGCTCGCCGGCAAGGTCGCTGTCGTTGCTGGCTTCGGTGATGTCGGCAAGGGCGTGAGTAGTTTTGTATCTGAAGCGTTCCATACAATGCTCAAGTTCATATGACTAGTGCGCCGAGTCCCTCCGTTCGTACGGCGCCCGTGTCCTCGTCACCGAAATCGACCCCATCAATGCTCTCCAGGCGGCGATGGCTGGCTATGAGGTCTGCACGATGGAGGATGCCGCCCCAAGGGCCAACGTCTTCGTCACTACCACCGGTAACCGCGACATCATTACTGCGAAGCACTTCGAGGTCATGCCCGAGGATGCCATTGTCTCGAAGTACGTTGTCAAAGTTATAAGCCAGCTCCGCGTTCTCACGTTTATACAGCATTGGCCACTTCGATGTTGAAATCGACGTTGCCTGGTTGAAGGCGAACGCCAAGCAGGGCGTGAACGTCAAGCCCCAGGTCGACCGCTACACGATGGCTAGCGGCCGCCACATCATCCTTCTAGCGGAGGGCCGTCTCGTTAACCTTGGGTCAGTAATTTTTACCCTGACCGGTCATGGTTCCCACAATTGACATATCTATAATCAGTTGTGCCACCGGTCACCCGTCTTTCGTCATGTCGTGCTCGTTCGCGAACCAGGTTCTTGCCCAGATCGCTCTCTGGACGAACCCCGGCAAGTTCGCACTTGGCGTGCACATGCTTCCCAAGGAACTCGACGAGGAGGTCGCCCGGGCGCACCTGGCGCAGCTCAACGTCAAGCTCACGGAACTCACGCCCGAGCAAGCGTCGTACCTCGATATGCCCGTCAGCGGCCCGTACAAGCCGTCGCACTACCGCTACTAAGCGCATCGTGGCGTCGGCTTAACTTATCCTGCTGCGCAGACGTACCACGATATCGTCATCATCGGCCTCAACGCGCCCTCGAGAAAAGGACCAACGGTTCGGGATCCTCAACGGCCCTTACAGAAGAGGATAGGTTAGAGGCTGGGTGAGGCGGAGGCTGCGCGTCCAGGCCGTCGGGCCGGATCGCCTGCTCGTCGGAGTGGTCGAGCGCGTCGAGTATCTGGCGCATCGGGGAGAGGTGTGGCGCGAAAGGCCGTGTTTTGCATTAGCATGTATCCTGGCAGTGCAGTTGTTCTGGGCCTCAACGTGCCCAATTGTGTATTGTATTCCGTGGCGTGCGTTTGATGATTGCTACCTGTGATGCCTGCTGTGCCAAGCGTGTGATGGCCCAACGAGTGTGGCGTTTGAAGTTAGCAGGGCTTGCTCCTTCGATGAAGATGTTGCATGTTGCCAGACTGTGGGCTATGATCACGCACGGTCGGGAACGTAGTCTGGGAACGGGCCTTGCACCCTCCAAAATCTTCTTCGTACGTGGACAGTATGATCAAGGCACGGCGCGAGGTAGCTTGAGCCTTGGACCCGAGAGTGACTAGTCGTGTGAAAGTCACGTGCATCCCTAATCGCCACCGCTGGTTGGCGGTTGACCAACGCCCTCTTTTATTCTATAAACATGGTATCTTAATTCAATCCAGCAGCGCGAGGGCGACGTACCCTGTTTGCGTCACGTTGGATCATTAGAGATGACAACCGGTCAAATTCGGGGCTTGGACCGAGTTTCCAGGACGCTTCGGTACGTGTTGGGTGTCCCTTGGTGTCCCTGGGCGAGCTGCAGGCTACGCGAATTGGATTACGCGTTGTTGGGTCGATCAAGTCGTGCGGCGGCGGGGTCACGACATCCCGCCATGCCGTCGAGATTCGTGATACATGACGCGGCGGTCCGACGCGGCTGCTGTTACCCGGCCCATGGGAGACGACAGCACAATATCTCGGGAGTCTTCGCCGGCCGCCTGTGTCGGACTCGGAGTCAATGTGGCTCGCCGCAGTGGGTGCGGCATCCGTCGTGAGAGAGCGCTCCGTTGATTGTGCAGGCGAACAGGCGCCGATTGATATCGACGCGGATCGATCGAGACTCGACTCCGAGATGAACCGATTGGGCTGCAAAGTCGCGGGAGCTCGCCAAGGTCGCCAAGGTCCTCGCCTCTGGGCTTCCCCGCACCGTCGGCATTTTGACTCTCGTCTCTGGGCTTCCTCGGCATTTCGACTCGATGGGCTCAGTGTCGCCGCTAGGCCCGATCGACCCTGCGTCCGTGCCCGAGGGCGAGACGCAGAAGCACGCGCCATGGATTGTCCGCAAGCTCGTCGGGGTGCGTCCCCGAGTCCTTCTCCCCCGACAAGTCTCCACCACTGCGAGCTCATGCTTCTGCTTCCATCTTTCACCTCTTCGTCTTCGCGCCCTGGCTGCGCGTCGGGATGCTGTAAAACCCCCTCGATCCGTGTGTGCCCGTCCATTACGGATGGACTGCGAACACGGGCCTGGATACTCCCCGTCTCCGCCCCCGTCAACTTCTCCATCGACGTCTCAATTAATCACCTTCGCCTTCCACCTTGGTCATGCTCCCGGCCATGCGGGAAACACCGATGCTGGAGTCAGTCCATGACAGGCCGCATCGTGCGCTCGTCCTTCGAGACCCTCCGCGCCTCTGGAACGAGTGTCATCTGTCTCTCGCCCGTGCGTCCACACCCCCAGCCCCGACTCTAGCTCATTCGCTCACGACATCTCCACATGCATATCCGTCGGCGTCTGCGATCGCTGTATGCTACCTTCCTTGCGCCTTGTATTCCATTCGCCCCTCGGGCCTGTGCACCGCATACTCCACGCCGGAACATGGACAATGCCTTCTATCTGTTCTGTCTTCTGGTCCGAACGATCATGCATATGTTTGGGTCGACATCTGCACCGGCATGAACACAAACAACCTCGGCCGTGTGCAATCACCGTCGCCGCCCGTGCTCCATCTGTTGTCAACATAACCAACAGTGGGGTGATTCCTCGCCCCTCCTCCTCCCCTGCATCCGCTTTCGCGACCTGGCGGTGCACACCATAATCGCAGCGACGGTGCGCATCCCGCGATTCTTGCCCCCGTGGCGCTAGCGCTGACAGGGTCTTTCTTCCATCGATCGTACACAAACTTGCTGCCCATTGCATCCGTTGCATCCGGCGCGCGCCCACGCGGATTTTGCCTTCGTATTCGCACCGCGTTGGCACGTTGCCCGCGCGCGCGCCTGCGATCGCGCGCCCTTGTACCTGGAACATCGGCCCCGTGTGGTTACTGCCTTCTTCTCGACGATCGTACGCGCGGCACTGCGCGGCGGCCGCACTCCGGCATGATCGACGACCGACCCACTCACCATTCACGCCCGCCGTCCACACGGGCTCGACGTTCACCGACGTCGGGACCTCCGCCCCCGCGTGGACCTGGCGCGGCTTCCGCCGGGTCCCCTGCTGCGTCGACCGCTCGTGCCGCCCGCCCGCTGCTTCAACGCCGATACCCACGCTGTTCGTATGCCGCCGTTGACGGCGGGCGCGACGTCTTCATCTGCACGAACGCAATTCATTGCATGTTTGTCCGCGACCCGCTCCCTGCGCCATGCCTTGGACCCTCGCCTTCCGCGTGGACAGGGAGGCATGGCCGCGATCGCAGCGCCAGTGATGGGCCCGGTTTCGGACGCGGTCGTCTCCACCTTCGGGGACACGATCCTCGTCGAGATGGGCATGCACCTCGGCTTCGACCTCACCGCCAAGGCCGCGAACGACCTCGTGTTCGACGGCGCGATCAAGGCCTTCGTACCCATCCACAGCTCCCGGCTTGCAACGACGGGCGTGAAGACGATGACGATCACCCTCAAGTACAAGCACGTCCCCGAGGACGCGTCCCTCGGCTTCTACCGCAGCAGCGTGCACCAGTGCGTGTCCTCCCTTCGTCTCGCCTCGCCTCGGACCCGCTGTGTCTTCTTCTGTTGCTGTTGTGTTTTTTGTTTGGGTTCCGGCTCGGGTTTCGAAGTTTGCGGCTTAGACGAGGACCCGCGTGGCTGAGGCGTCGGGCGCGGCTCTCGAGCCGCTGCCTCTGACCTGTTGTCTCGCGTCACCCCTCTTTCGATACCCCATCGTTACGTTCCTGTCTCAGATTGCCTTTACCCAGGACAGAGCGATGCGTGGAACACCGTGGCAGATACTGACGACGAATCGTCGTACCGCACAGGGACAACTCGCTCTTCGCGAGCGTCATGGACTATCTCGCTGTCGAGAAGGGCTGGTTCTCGCCGTATCTGTTCGCCAGCGGCCGACGCCCTGTCATCCCCCGCTCCGTCAAACCGGATGTGGTGTTCTGCCACGGGCCCTTCCTTTCCGGTATGTGCCCTGTTTCCTGCCGAGAGCGATGCTGACGAGTATTCTGGGACACGTACAGGCGACTACCGCGTCGGGGAGACGCTCCTCGCCGAGTCCGCGCTCGTCATCTCCTTCAGCCCCCCGCCCCCACCCCCACCCGTGGACCCCTCAGCGGACGACAAGGACAAAGACACGCCCAAGGCCGACGGCGGGAGCTCGCTCAAGGTCCCCCACTTCTCCAACCTCTCCCTCCCGCGCCTGCCGGACCTCCAGCAAGCCTTCGCCCGCTCGCGCACGCCCTCCCCCGAGCCCCCGCCCGCGCTCGCCCCGCCGCCGCCGACGCCGCCGCGCCGGCTCGCGGTCGTCGTCGTCGGCCTCAAGCCGCACCGCACGTTCTGGACGACGAGCCAGCGCCCGAGCGAGAGCGTGGTGCAGTACCAGCTCCTCAACGGCTGCCCCGCGCTCGTGCTCCCCGCGGCGCGCGGCGCGCCGCTCCTCGCCTGGGACACGCTCACGCTCGAGCGGCTCTGGGCGGTCGCGCTGCCCGCCGGGGACGGCGCGGGGGACAGGAGCGCGGATGGCCGGTTCGAGGGCATCGTGGGCGTGCTGTTCGAGTACCTGGACCTCTGCGTCGACTGGCCGCGGTTCGTCCTCGCGGGCGCGGAGGCGCAGGAGGGGGCGGGCGTCGAGGCGGCGGCGGACACGGGAGCGGACGAGGACGTGGAGAAGAAGAAGGGGGCGCTGAAGGACGCGGTCAAGGTGCTCGTCGCGGCCGCCGTGCGCAGCGGGGCGAGCAAGGAGGTGAAGGACCAGGTCGACAAGGAGCGCAGCGGGATCGCAATGTGGCGGATCCCGTGAACGCACGCTGTACTCGGACGTGATCCAAATCGTGCACAAATGTTTGTGTATGCGTTGTATACCAGAATGTACCAGAAATGTATCGTCCACCTCCGAAAAAAATCCTTTCAAGACGGGAGTCCGAAGCCATTCCGCAATGACCATAATCTATCAGACGTCCCACTGCTTGAGCATCCTCTCCGTAATGCTCCACAGGTCCTTCGCTCGTTGCTCGTCCTCCGCCAGCTCCATCGGCCCGATAGTGCACGGCGGGCGCAGATATGCACCCTTGTACTTGTCGCTCTGCGCCTTGACGACCGGAGACGCCGCGGCAAAGACTGAGGGGTACGCGCCCACGCTCGCTGTGCTGAATAACGGCCGCGCGAGGAAGAGGACCAAGGACCGCAGGAACGCGATGGGTATCGCCGGGTAGTTCTCGACGCCCTCTGGAGAGAGGCGTAATGCGTCAGATGGGCGCGGGAGAAGACAAGACGGGGCGGGTTACCGGTCATGACGGGACCTGGGTGCACCGTGACGACGGGGATGGGTGACGCTTCGGCGTCGAGCTTGCGTTGGAGCTCTTTCGCCCAGAGCGCGTTCGCGAGCTTCGACTTGGCTGCAAAAAGGCGCGTAAGACGGATGGGCCGGTGTTCAAAAGTGGCGAGGTAGAAAGTGGCGTACCGTAGCGTGACTGTCCGTGTAGAATCCCCGTTCCGAAGGTCTCGTTCAGATCCTCGACGGTCTTGAAATTGACCTCTTTTCTGGAAAACTCGAGTGCGGAGTCTGAGGCTACCTGAGGTAACTTGTGAACGGATGGAAAGGCGGGGTGGCGGATTACGCTCACCACAACAATGCGGACGTCATTGTCAGGCTTTTGAGCGGTCTGCTTCAAAAGTGGGAGTAGGGTGTTCGTGAAAACCACAGGTCCGAAGTAGCTGGTGGTTGGAAGTGAGTGCTGGGTACGGGACTTCCCATTACAGTTCGATGCAGGACCCACTTGGTCATCATAGACTCAATAATCCCTATATGGACTCAATGAAGGACACGCGTAAGAGACGCAAGTAGTGCACATACCATCGGGTCCCATGGTGGGTTGCGCATACAGTCTGCAGTTGTGTCTCAATTAAATCTTGTTCGGGGCACTTCGGGCATAAGCTCACTGGGCCGCGTTGTTGACTAAACGCAAGCAAAGATTAATTTCCGAGCCATGGGTTAGACGGGGAACGCACTCAGGATATCCAATCGCTTCTCCTTCGCCAGGAATGCCTCGGCGCTCGCCTTCGTCTTGCGAGGATCCCCCAGGTCGAGCGAGAGATATTCGACCTCGCCGTTCCCAGGTCCTAGGCCTTCCCGGTGCAGACGAAGTATCGCTTCTTTGGCAAGAGACTCGCTTCGCGAGGCCATGTAGACCTTGGCGCCCTTGCGCGCGAGGTGCTGCACGGTCGCGTATCCGATACCCTGACTACTGACACAAGGCAAAAGTAAGAGTTTCCAGGCGCGAGAATGCCACCTCACCTTCCCCCAGTGACGAGAACGACCTTGCCCTTCAAGTCAGGCAGGTCCTTAGCAGGGTCGAACTCGACCTTAGACGAGAACGTGGCTCCCATTGTGGCGACAGTGGCAGTTCAGTGGGGCTTCGGCAGCGTGGAAGGGGCAGATAACGAGGGCGTGTGGTACGAAGGGAGCGAAGTCGCATTTCTCAAGGTCGGAAGGGCAACGCATTGGGTCAACGGGTCACGGTGTGGGGTCCGCTGTGTCTGAATTCTCACCCGCGGTGACACATGGGAGTACTATTGTCGCGGGAGTGTCACGCGCACGTGATCACGACGCGTCGTACATGTTTGGCGCTAGCGCTTCGAGCCCGCGACGTGCGCTTTCTTCCAAGGGCGCGCCGCTGCCATGCAGCCTGATGAGTGAGGGTATCAAATGTTGCAGTTTCTGCAGAATGCTACATTTTGGCTGTGTGAATAAGCGTATAAAAGGAGTATTCAAGTATAGATTGACCCGGTTCGGATGAATCTCTGCATGTGCTGCCACTCTAAACACGGTAGAAGACTGCAGAGATGCACTTAGGGGTATACGCTGTAGGATGCAGTGGTCATGGAATGCCGCGGTGCGGATCCTCTGCGCGGGTCTCACCCGCAGACAAGAACAGAGTCCAGCAATTAAGGGACCCGGCATATGCCGGGGGCGTTGCGTGGCCCCAGCTGGTCGTACTGCCGAAAACACTTTTTTGGCTGCAGACTGCAACGGAGTTTTAGCGTTGCAAATCAAAGGGTGGTCTGCACAGCGTGGTCAGTGCTGAGCGCTGAGCGCTGAGACACGATTGCAAAGCGGATGAGTTCAGTGTGTGTGCCACACCAATGCGGTTACGTGAGCGGCAAGCGCAACATATGGCGCGGTGGACTTCGAGACGACGTCCTTGTCCTCAGCCACCACCTCCGGGTTGCTCGCTACCCGTTGCGGCCCGTATTTTTGCACCTCTCGCACTTCTGCGTCTCCACTCTGGCCCGGGATTGTCTTCTCCCTCGTCCTGCTCCATCCCATCCCCATCCGACTTGGACGCCTGAACGCGAATCAATCGATTGCCCACCCTCTCGACCTCTCCGTCCCGTCGCCTCCTTTCAGTTCGCCTACCGTCGCCTCTACGGCCTGTGCCTTGCTGTTGCAACAGCAGCGCATCAAAACACATGGTGTCTCCGGCGCCGACCACTGCCGCCAACCCTCCCCCTCCTCTGTCCTACGCCGAACGCGCGAAGAAAGCCCAGAATGCAAAAACGTCATCTCATACTACCCCCCAGCGTCCTGCACCAGCTAGTACGTCTTTAGTAACCCACCTCGCTCCTTCGACCTCAGGCACGCGTTCTGCTCCTCCCATTTCGCGTCCTTCTGCCCTCAAACCTCCCCCGCATGCTGCTGCTTCTACCCCCAGCTCCCGAATACCGCCATCAGCATCTCCCTCGGCATATGCAGAAGCTCCTCGCGTTAAGACACCTCCCTCCCTGGACAGCTTTCCCGAACCGAAGCTGAATGGTGACTCTCTTCGGACTACCAGTGACTCTTCGCCCTTGGGTCTGCCGGTCGCTGTTACCCCGAAACAGCCTACTGCGCCTCCGAAGAACGTCTGGGAGATGCGCATGGCGCGTGCCGCGCACAACCGCCCGGCTCAGCCCGTAGCTGCTTCTAGTACTCCAGCTCCAGCCCCCGCACCGGCACCGGCCGCCCCACACACTACTCAAGAGGCCGTATTGCAGCAATCAAGTAGCTCCACTTTGTTAGAAAAAACAGCGACGCCGTCGCCACCTATCACCCATCCTCCCGCCAACGGACATCTCGCATCCTCTCCAGACGATGACGATCCGTTTGTTGTGAAGCCCGGTCGCTCCCCTGCAAGCCTCAACTGCACGCCTCCCATCATCGACGATGTTGAAAGCTGGCCTGAGGTTGGTCAGGCTCCACCTGTGGCGGAGTCGGGGAAGAACAAGGACCATGAGGAGGTGGACAGGAGTCACGAGAGAGAGTCGTCGCAGGGGCAAGGGACGAGGAAAGGTATGTTTGCCTAGGTCATGTTTACACCGCCCCTTCTGTGTTCTCCGTCTTTGCTGTGTCTTTGCTGTTCTTCTGATTAGCGCATACATTGACCACCCATTTGTCTGTGGCCTGGCATCCTTCACAGGAGAGAAGACGAAGTGGGTCCCTGCACCTCCAGAAGTTTTGCAATTCGAAGGACCGGCCCGTTCTCAGCATGGGCGCCGGAGTTCTCAGACGTACGAGCGATCAAACTCTCGTCATCCAGTCGGTACCTCTGCCGGTGCTTCCTCGTCGTCCGGTCCTGGCTCGCAGCAACAGAGTCGCACTCATTCTGCAAGTGGACGAAGGCCTACCCCAACACATACTGGTTCGGTTGGTCATTCACAGACGCAAAGTAGGACCGGAAGCGTCCACTCTAGCCCCCGACATCCCAATACACGAGGAGGCAATAGGAGGTTGCCAGACGATGTCAACGGCCTCGGTTGGGGCCGAACAGGAGCTTACGGTCATCTGGGCACAACTCACCAGCGACGTATGCTCAACCCCATCCTCTCCCTCCCCAAGAGTTCATCCCCTCTCGGCCATACCTCGCCACCCACCCCCCTGATGGTGGGGAACCCGAGGGCCTCATCCAGCTGCCAGACCCCAACAACTTCATCGTTCAGCCGTCATACTTCCCTCCTCCTCCTCCCTTCGGTGTGTCGCCTTACCATTCTCCGCATCCATCTGGATCACCCGCCAATGCACCGTACACCCTCCCACCCTTGTCATATCCCGGCCAGCCAGGAATGCCGCCCCCTGTGCCAATGTCTGGGTATGGCACCCCTCCTTATCCCATGTACCCTCCAACATACGGCTATTCTTACGGACAACCGTACATGTACTGGCCCCCTCCGGGGGCTCCTCCGTCGCACCCACACCCCAGTGCATTCCCTGGCGACGGCTTGCCACCGCCCACGATGATCGCACGACCGCCACCCCCAAGTGAGTCCGATGCCGTCGCCGGGTACCGTGATATATGGTCTTTCCTTCCACCACCGGCCAACGCAGGGTCTCGGCCTGAAGCGAGGAGCGAGGGCCAAGGACAAGGGAGCTTAGCTTTGGGAGTATTGGACTGGAGGGATCAAGCACACCCGCATCGCAGGGGTTGAGCGTTGTTCCGGAAGGTGCTGCGTTGGGTTTGGATGTGGGGAGCTCTTCGGCGCAGAACTCGGCAGCACTTCCGGCAGGACCAGCTGAGAAGAACGCGACGAAGGACGATGATGACACCAAATCGTTCACCGTCTTCTCAATCGGTGTCGCACCAGGCGAGCCAACCCCTTCGAGGATACGTTCGAGGACAAGGACATCGTCAAAGGGCCCCGCTGTGTCCATGGGAAATCAACCCCATCCGACTGAAACCTCAACCGAGAGCGTGGTTGCAACCGAGGTGGTGGACATGACCAATTCGGACTCGAAGTGGGAGTTTGGGACAACGAAGGACGAGAGTGCGGAAGATGGTGCGTCTGCCATTCCGCCACCCAGCGACCCCGCAAATACAGAAGCTCCCAACACCGGACCGCCTATCCCCCCGTTGAGTTCCACGTTTATTCCTGGTGGGCAAGCATACCCCGGCATGCCCCCTTACGTGCCCCCGGTATTCATTCCTGGCGCCCCGCTCAACGGTCTGCCTCCGCCAGTCCCATCCCCGTCAGCATATGCGCCTCGTCATCCTCCCCTCAGTGCTGAAGACGAATGGGCTGTTCGCGACTACGGGTACGGTTTCGGACGCGGTGGATCCCAACCCTCGTACTCACAACATCCCCCACCACCCCGCGAGGATCGATCGTACAGGCGCGAATTCCAACCGGGAGACCGTGATCAACACTTCGGTCGACTGCGACGAGGATCGTACGGCCAAGGCGGATACGGTTACGAGCGAGGCGGTGAGCGAGGCTCCTTCGGAGGACGTCGCGGTCGCGGACTGGGTGCAGGCTATGGTGGTCGTGGGTACTCCGGGCGTGGGTACGGTCGTGGAGGCTACGCTCAACGGCAACAGCAACAGCAGCAACAACAACAAGCATTTGTACCCCCACCTCAGCCAGACGTCGACGTCAATGGGTATTACGCTCCACCCGTTCCGACTTTGGCCACGTACATCCCGCAGGCCTTCGAAGGGTACCCATATGCGCCTTATCCGCCACCGCCACCGCAGGCGCAGATGGCGAGCACAGGGCCTAACGGGCAGCCCCTCACTATGCCCATGCCTCAGACGAACGTGGGCTTCCCCCTGGATTCCACGCGGTACTACCTCCTCGGTCAGCTGGAGTACTACCTCAGCGCGCAGAACATGGCACAGGACTTCTTCCTCCGTCAACAGGTGAGTTACATGAGTTTAGTTCGCTTCACAGGAAGCTGATATTCGTTTCGATTAGATGGACTCACGCGGGTGGATCCCGATTGACCTTATCGCACAATTCAACCGCGTGCTCACGTTGACCAGAGAGACGCATATCGTCGTCGAGGTTCTCTCGCTCTCATCCCTCGTCGAAGTCCGTGGTATGCACGTTCGCCCCCACCAATGGCAGCAGTTCGTGCTTCCAGCTGCTGCGGTGAGCACCATCGAGGGCGTGGACGGGCAATCCCTCGATCCTGCCGATCCTGCGCCGATCGGTTATGGGCACCCCGTTCCATCGGAGGCCGCAGAACATCCTCAACCACCCGAGGAAGACGATGAAGAAGATGTACAGTTCATTTTGTCGTCCTAGGTCACTGGCACTCTCAAACTCTGCCGAGGTACATTTACTCGAAGTCACCCTTGCTGGTCTCGGATTGCCCTGCTGGCATTGGACATTTTTGAACATTGATTGCTACCCTTCCCACTCCGCACCGTCATCCACCAGCACATTCTCGGTCCTCGTCTTCCTTCGGGCACGCTCGTATACATTGAGCATGGTTTGTACATTCTCGTCGCCTATCTGCGTTCTTTTTATGCTCTGCGGCTATCCTTTCATTACTCACGAGTAATACATGTCTCTGACCTCAGTCTTTCACTCTGCATTCCCCCCGTCTCTAGTCCCGTCCTCTTCCTCGTCTCGTCTAGCCTATGTCTCGATCACCACCTCGATCCCCTTGACTCCCCACGCACGTCCACAGTCATGCAACACGGTCCCTTTCCCCCAAGTTCCCCCACCGCCACCTGCAGTGACGACCGACCCACGTACATAGCGACAAAGCTGCTCTTCCTCGCCCCCCACGCTGTAATCACTGCTCCGGCCCCTTCGGTGCTGTACTCGTATTCCTCGGGTATGCATTCTATTCCAACTTCCGGGCCGCCCGTGCCCCCGCCCAATGTTCTTGCCCTCTTGCTCGATGTGATACCACCCGCTCAGCCATTCTCATCTCGCCTGTTGTCTCATTGTCTCCATGCTCCCTTCGTTCTGTCTCAATTCTCGTCCCATATCGCGCCGTCTCCCGCCAACATAAGTATTTATCCTTACTTTTCCGGTCCACTAGTACTACCATCGACTCTCCTCTGCACGACACCCTCACTATCATCTTGCCCCCCTCCACACACACACGACGTCCCGCATCTCGCATGTGCACGCGCCCACACGTACATCATCCACGTTTGGGTCTCATAGTATTGTATGCTACCACTCGATCGATGTCGCACCTATGAACTGGCCCGCGAATCCTATCAATGAAAAGAATCCCGACCGTTAACGTTCATACCCTCTCACGACGGCTGGGCCCCGTACAGTTATGCGAAATCGTGACTAATCGTTGCAGCAAGGTCAAGATGATCGATGCACAAAACACAGCGCAGTCGGAGCCGTACGCGAGCGCGGCACTCCGGGAGCAGGGAGCAGACACCGGCTCAACAGATAAGGGACACTGGGCACGAGTGTATTTGCAGGCCTGTGCATATGTGTGTGTGGCGCATAGCACTCCAAGGGATTGTCATGTTCTAGCCAGTACTTCGTGTATTCGTCGAATGGTCGTACGAGGACCCGTCTTTGCGTGTGCAGCGGCGGCGAGCCGCGTGGTCATAACAACTTCATCTGTCCGCTCATCCTTCCATCGCACGCTCCTCGAGCATCGAGTGCTGCCGCGGTCGCAGCCCAGTTCATAACCCGAGCCTACACCGCGTCCTGCTGGAGGTACTGCGAGCGCCGGCGGAGCGCCGGCCCCCACTTCTGGAGCGCGAGCGGGATGGGGACCATCAGGACCGCGACGCAGCCGACGAGCGTCGACGCCCAGCGCGGGTTGAGCGCCCTGAAGAGCTGCGTCGAGAAGAGCTGTGCGCGGGTCCGCGCGCTCGTGAGCCGGCGTACAATCGTGCACGCGGTGAGGGGGACGCACGGGGAACACCGCGCCGGATATGGAGCGGATGACGGTGAGCGCGCCGAGGGCGGTCGCGGCGGTGTGCACGTAGACGTCTGCGCGCCGTCGGGCGCGGCAGCGCGCGGGTCAGCGGAGCGCGGGAGGGGGCGCGGGGGGGCGGGGAGACGCACCGACGACGTAGTTCAGGAGCGCGACCTGCGCGGCCCCGGTCAGCGATCCGTCGCCCTCGGCCTCGAGCAGCGCGCGGGGGAAGTACTCACGAGGAGGGCGAGCGTCGAGAGGCCGAGGAGGACGCCGCTCATGAGCGGGACCCAGAACGAGACCGTCGGGAACGACGTCCACCCGAACCAGAAGAACGAGGCGGCGAAGAGCGGCGCGGTCCAGATCGCGGGCGCGAGCCGCACTTCGGGCGGGACGGGCGCGGGCGCGTGGGCCGCGACCGCGCGCTCGTACGCGGGCTGGATCACCGCGAGATACTGCTTGCGTGGGTGAGCGGGGGCACGCGTAGGGACGGGGGCGAGCGGGGACGTACGACGAGGAGCATGATGATCGCGCCGCCGGTGAGGGGGAGGTATGCGAGGCCGAGGCTGCTCGGCTTGAAGTGGTGGCCCTCCTCGAAGACGATTGGGTATGCCTCGAAGAGCATGTACAGGCATCCGCCGGTAAACTAGATTCTCGGATCAACGGACGAGCTTGGTTATGCGCAGCGAAACGGTCGGATAAAAGGAACGAAACGCACGGCAAGGTAGACTGTAGTGGCAATGAGAGCGGGTTCGCGCACGAACATGACGAACGGCTTCGAGAGCGTCAGGCGCAGACGACCACCGAGCGTGTGGCGCTCGAGGAGCTCGAGGGGGGCGCGGTAACGGTTGTCGTTGAGCTGCTTGCGGAGGCTGGCGGCCTTGCGCTCGAGGATGATCGGTCTAGGGGTCACGAGAGTATGTGAGCCCCAAAGACGGTTGAACCAGAAAAGGCGGGTGCGTACCTGTAGGTCTCTTTGTGCGTCAGAGCGATCATAATGGTGGAAACTCCGCACTGCGAAGACGTAAGCTCGTGCGTGTTGGTACACTGGATGTGAATGGATTACGCACCAGGATGGCTAGCAGCCAGAAGCACCACTGCCATTCAATCCCCGCACTCGCCATGTAGCCCCCAACGAGCGGGCCCCTGGTCAATGGGCCCATGCCGTCAAATCAAGGCACGCGGATATGTTATGAGACGTACATAGTAGGCCCTACGAACGACAGGAAGCCTAGGTAGATCAAAGCTTTCTCGCGAGTGGCGACATCCCAACTGTGATGAGACAGTCAGAGCGCGAACTGTGTTGTACAGGGGGGCGCGAGACTTGTGCTTACACGTCGGCCATGACAGCTCTGTGGAGAATTAACGGTAATTCAAACGAATACCAACAAGTGAAAGGGGACGTACGGGGCGATTGGGTGTGCACCAGCGGAGAATATTCCAGAGATGAGACGGAAGGTCGTGATCTCGGCCTTGTTCTTGGCCAGTGCGCAACCGATTTGAAAAGCCTGATGAGACGGGTGAATGAGAACGCGACTATGATGCGATAGTGTGGAACGCTCACGGTGAAGACGATAGAACAAGCCAAGAGGACGGGTCTGCGACCATACTGAAAGAGTCTGCGAGTGAGCGCCGGCTAGCGAGAACGAGAGCGAAGAGTCGGACGGACCTGCTCAGAGAGCGGGCCCCAAAGGACGGGTCCTACACAAAATCCCACGATGAACAAGGTGATCGTGAGCGCTACCAGCTCCGAACTGAGACCGAACTCCTTTGCGAGGGCACCGGCAAAGCCAGATGGGATTGAGGAAGCGAAAGTGCTGGATGAATAACGGAGATGTGAGCAGCGTCAGGACAGTACTACGGGAAGAAGACGGACGTCAAGAAGACCAAGTAGCAGTCGAAGACACAGAGGTACCAGCGATACCACCTCGGCCAATTCTGTCGAGGGTGTGGGATGTGAGGAATCAGAGAAACGGTGAGACGTAAAGAGAGCTGACGTGCGGGTCCTCGGGATCGCCCTCTTGGAAGTGAACGACGATGAGATCCAACTTCTCGGCAGAATCCTCGAGCTCTGCCTCGGCTCGCTGCACGTACTCCTGCGCGTCCTCTGCTTCCAAGTCCGAAAAGCGTTTCATGTTTGTGCGAGGACTACCGGGCGTCAGATGTGTCGCATACGATGCAGATGAGGGTGCAGAGGATGGGGGTTGAATCCGCAGTCAAGGAGGCCCGGTCGTTGAAGACGTCGAGGTGGAGAGGACGGCGTGGCGGCAAGGCGCTGGGAGCCTACCTTTCCATTGGAGCATTGCGCTTGAGCGTTGCGCTTGAGAAGAGTTGACGGGTCGTGGCAGGAAAGTTGAGCGGGCCGAATGAGAGGACGTAACTTTCCGTGGACGGGAAAAGGCAGGGCCGCCATCGTTCTGGACAGCAGACCCGGGGCAGTCATGCTTCTCGCCCGCCAGGGAGGTTGAGCGGAAATGTGGACGAGAGATTTCGACTGGCTCTCCGCGGGAAGACATGCGAGTGAGCGAGTGTGTTCAGCTACAGAGCGTTGTTGCTGGGCGGAGACGCGAGGGGCAGCTGGAGCCGGGATAACATGCGGTGAGAGATGATCGGCGAAGGGGCTCATAAATGGAAGCCTTGAAGCTTCACGCGAGGGAGGTCGGCCGGGAGGAGGAATGTTCGTCGTCCAATCATCGCACCGACGCGTAGGGGCGCGTAGGGACGGCGACTGGGTGGCGAACAGAGCGCAAACACCGGGCACGCGTCTGCCAGGCGAGGCCGCGTTACAGACGCTGAGTGCTTCGTTCTTCCGCGACTGCAAGAACGCACCTGTACATCGCATGTTGCAAGCACCTGGGTATCCGTGAGCCAAACAAGTTGCAACGATCAAGCTGGACTCACCATTTATATTACCCAGCCGTGATGGTGTATTGAGCTTAATGCCGTGCTTTCTTGAGCAAACATCGGGTGGGGGCTCCGCACGAGCCAACGGGGTTCGCTTTATGACCGCAGGGTACTAGTCGAGATCAAGGCGAGACCGGCGGGCAGCCCTCGAACGGGCGCGCGGACGGCGCTTGTTTCGCGCGCTCAGGACGCCAGCGCTGTGTGGCAGGACGGGCCTATTCAATACTGCGAGGCATTAGTGATCGAGCTCGGCGAGCGTTGACTGCGCCTCACTCGTCTGAGGGCTGGAAAGGAGGTCGGAGTTCAGATCGACTTCGTTCCAATCGCGCGGCGCTCGACGACCCAAGCGCCCGATGGGCCAAACGGACTAGCGCCCGACTACCATCAAATGGATTTTGTTGAGTAAGCTGGAGAACAAGCCCGATGGCAAACAGTCCGACCTGAATTCAGGCTAAACGGTCATCGTCACTCTTCCTACTTATCGGCCTGTCCCTCCTGGGCCTGCAACCGCGATACTTCCACCCGAGATGAGCGGTCTGCGGATGGCTACCATAGGGAGGCCGGCGCAGCCTGTGCTTCAGAGGTCGCTTGTGGCCGCCTCCTATATGTTCTATCAAACTCTGGCTCGGTCAGGATGGCAACCTTTCCCCGGTCACGGACCACACAACGCCACCGCCGACGCAGTCTAACCTCGTTCAGAGCCGATGTCGCCACGGACCCGGGGTACCGTGCCTCGGTAGGGCGCATCAGGGATCCCCAGATCCTATCTGCGACGCCTCCATCCTCCCTGACGGCCTGAGCATTATAATCCACCCTCACCGGCCCATGCCCTGCTTCGCCCCTCTTTTCCCCGCTTGACGGTCGCCCCCCCTGTCCCCGTTGCTTCGGCCCCTTTCTGCTGTGCCCCCCAGCACATCCACTATCCACACCATGGCACTCGCCATCCGCCGCAAAACCTCCGGGATGTCGTCCAGCGAGAATGCCTGGCCGCCTCCACCACCGGCAGGAGAGACCGACCTGGAGAAGGAGCTCCGGACAGAAGAGGAACGAGAGGCAAAACGCGTTTCCGACGCGATTGATCGCGTGCTTGAGGCGGAGCGACAAACGATGCGGAAGAAGCGGAGAGAAGAGGTCAGACTCTTGCTGCTCGGTGCGTCGCAGCGTCTTGCCCGCTTCCCCTTGCCCGCTTCTCCTTGCCCCCACCCCCCGCCGCTCGCGCGACGAGATGTCTGCAGTCCACTTCGGGCGGCTCCGCTGACCGCGCATCCCGAACTTCATCTCCACATTCCCCGCTCGCTGCTATGATCCCAGTCCTCTCACACACCCACACATGATTCGCGAGCTGAGACTGACGTCCACCTGCCTTTCTTCTCCCGCGCTCCGTCGTTCCCGGCACCAGGCCAGTCCGAGTCTGGCAAGTCCACCCTCCTCAAGAACTTCCAACTCATGTACACCCCCACCGCCCTCCACGCCGAGGCCGCCGCCTGGCGCGCGGTCGTCCACCTCAACCTCGTCCGCTCCGTCAATTTCATCCTCGACTTCCTCACCTCCCACACCGAGCGCAACTCCGCCACGCCCGGGTCCTCCGACGGCCACTCCCACGAGCACGGCGGCCATCGCCACCGGATGAGCTCCCTCGCATCCGGCGCGGGACAGGGCTCGGGCATCCGACCGAGCGAAGTCCGGCGCTACAAGCTCGCGCTCTCCCCGCTGCTCCAGGTCGAGGTCATCCTCGTCCGCCAGCTGCGCGCCGCGGACTCGCCGCGGTCCCCGGTCTCGTCCCCCACCGTCGCTTCGCCCACGAGCGCGACCGGGCACAGCTTCGCGAACGGACTCGGCGCCCGGAGGGGCTCGAAGCCGGATTTGGGCACCGCCGAGGGCGGCTCGATGGACCTGGAGAGCGGGGCGCGCGGGGGCAGCTCGGGGGGCACGCGACACACGGGGGTCGTCGTCCCTGGGGGGAAGGGATGGAAGCAGCTCTTCGGGTCCGGGGGTGCGAACAGGAAGGGCAAGGACTCGGCCGCGGAGGAGCTCGCGGACGCGCGGAGGATCCTGGACGCGTGCAAGACGCACATCGCCGCGTTGTGGGCGGACCCCGACGTCCGCGCTGCGCTGCGTGACGCCAGCTACGCGCTGGAGGAGCAGTCCGGATTGTGAGTCCCGCGCTCTCGTCTGGTCGCGTGCCACGGCTCACGGTGAAACGACAGCTTCTTGGACCAGGCGCTGACTGTGGCAGATGCATCCTATGAGCCGACGGTGGAAGACATCCTACGGGCGCGCCTCCAGACTGCCGGTGTTGAGGAGCATCGGCTGATCATGGAGACATGTGAGTACTTAGTATTTCGGCTCGCTTCGCGCACTGACGCCGTTGGATAGCGGCGGAACATGGGCAACAGTGGGTCTTCTACGACGTCGGTGGTTCTCGAGGCCAACGTGCTTCATGGGTGCCATTTTTCGAAGACGGTGTGTGTTTTCTGCCCCCACGTTGTGGTAGGGTGATACAGCGGCTGACCGGGACCGCCGTTGCAGTCAACGCCATTATTTTTATGGTTTCCACGGCCGGCTTCTGCGAGGTACTCGCCGAGGACCGCTCAGTTAACCGGCTGGTGAATCATTGCCGAGGTGTCTCAATAGGACGGACTGCTGACGGCCTCGTGTTATAGGCGGATTCGTTCAATTTATGGAAGACCATCTGCTCAAGCAAGCTTCTCATCTTGGTCCACTTCATGTTGGTGCTGAACAAAATGGACATCCTCAAGACGCGACTCACAAGTGGGATCGAGTTTTCATCGTTTGTGCCAAGCTATAAGGGCTCCAACGATGTTGAGGGTGTCACAGAGTGTAAGTCCACCACCAACCAGCGACGGGAGTATGCGCTGAACGCGTTCGACAGACCTGAAGCGCAAATTCACCGTGCTGCACCACCACCATTCCCCCCAGAAGCGGCACCTTCACGTGCACTCTACGTGTGCCATAGTAAGTCGCCACTCGATGGCTCTGCGGGCTGGTGCTGAACGTGACCAACCCTGCGCAGAATGTACAAATGACTTCGGCCGTACTCACCAACAGTATGTGTTTTTTCTCATTTTCAAGTCTCCTCGTATTGCCTCTAATTTTGCTTTGCAGTCCGAAACACTATCCTCGTCAACTCACTCACCTCGACACACATCATTTGAATCACTCCCCTGTTTTGTTACATGTCTCATCTGGCTCCGCACCACGGACTCGCACGTACTGGTGTTCATAATCGCTTGTTCGTTTCGCTACTTCCCTACATGCTACTAATCGGATACGCGCTGTCCAACCCAGTCGGCTATTCTTATTCGCGCGTCGACGTCCGTAGCTGTAGAACAGGTTGTTCGTACTCTATGTATCCCTGCCTTACCTTACTCACATCTGCTGTTCTTTCCTGCACTTGACTGGCTCACTTACGTGTACTGTGTATGAGCCAAAGGCGCTCAGAAGTAGCCCGGACGCAACCTGGACGCCCTCGCAGCTCCCCGATCGAAATCTCCTCCTTCGGCTGGAGCGCCCGACGCGCCTCCGCCGGTCTCGCTTCGTGCCTTCGGGTCGCTTGTTTGCATGGCATTCTGGAACGTCCAAATCACTCGGCTCGCTCGAGCGAGTCGCTCTCTTGCGGTGCCACGCGCGTCCTGGCCCACTGTCCTCGGAACCGTGCAGCGTGTCAGATCACTCACAAGTGTCGATTTCCGGGTGGAGCGTATCGCGCGCAGCGGCTGCGTCCCTGATAGCGAAGTAATCTCTGCGACGTGTGTGGCACGGGACCTCAAGGGGCCTGTAGGTCGTGCCTTACGACCCTGAGGTGTTTTACGAGTAGTGATTATTGAATTCATTTGGTCGCTGTGTTTCAACACTCTGGAGGCAGTGGAGGCAGTGAGCCTGCGTCCACGAAGGAGTTCGCGGCCCGTATCACGGCCCGCCGGACAAACGACGTCACTGACTCACTGACCGTGACAGGAACAGTCACGCTGGCGTCATCGTGACACATGTATCGCGCGCGCCACAGGCGCAGCGCGACCGACGGAACTCAAAGCCTAGTTCACTGCCCCACTCGACCCGCACCTCACCTGCTCGTCTCCCATCCTACCCCCTCGTACGGCTCACGACGTCCATTCTCCCGTGCAACCAACAACGAAACAATGCCGCGTGGTTCTGACATCCTCCTCGTCATCGTAAGTTCACGTTTTCGTCCTTGTTCACTGGAGTTTCGAGTTGGCGGGCGGGGTACGCTCGGGTCACGACCTCCGAGGGCACAGCGGCCCCGCCCTCATACTTCTTCTGTCTACCGTTGTCAATGGAGCGAGAAGGCTAACGAGGGACCAACGCGTCCAGGTCGCCATCCTCTTCCCGCCCGCGGCCGCGGCGTTCATCACGGGCTGCAGCTGCGACCTCCTCATCAACATCTGCTTGACTGCGTGCGTACCTCCTTCATACTCCCCCGCTCTCTCCCGCAAGCTGACCGGCACCCTCGATCCTTCGTGCCCGACAGCCTTGGATACCTGCCGGGCCACCTTGTAAGCTCTCCATCTGCGCGGCCCTTGGGTCCACCTTCACTCATTACCTGCGCACAGCACGCTTTCTGGCTGATCTACAAGAAGATGCAGGCGGAGGAGCGCTACGGACAGGGGGGCTACGTTTGTGAGTGTGATCACTGCCCGCGGTTTACCTCGCGCAGGACTCATCGTCGTTTCACGTTCAGACGTCGGGAACGGCGAGTACCAGCCCGCGGCGTACGGCCAGATCCCGCAAGGCCAGCCCAACTACGGTGCCACCGGGGGTGCGTACGGCCCGTAGAAGTCTACGCCTTGCGGGACTCTTGTTGGCGCGCCGAAGCTTGGATAGTTCTCGACTGAAGTACGCTGTTGTTTGGAGTCTGTGTTTGTGACGTCAGGACGATGTGTATGTATATGGCTATGTTTGATGCATTGGATCCTGCTCGAGAAGTACGCCTGTGATCCGTGGTCATTGAAACCATGCATCAAGGGCTGCTCTGGACTGTCCAAAGCTACGGAAATTGGCAGAAACGAGGAAACGCAGAATAGAAGGAGGCGATGCACGTTGTCTGAAGGAAACAAGTTGCGCCGAATTTCACGGAGGCCCTGGCCTCGACAGAGGGGCGGGCCGGGAGACTCGTCCAACCCAAGTCCAACCTCGACTCTGCACTGAACTGTCTGCACCCACTTCGACGTGGTTGCCTCCTCTCCTATTTCTGGCTTGCCGCTGTCGTCGTGGAGCTTCTCGGCCACACCTGCACCATACCCGTCCAAATCGTCGCCCATGCCTGCGGAGTCCCCGTCCTGTGATCCCGCACCCGGCTGCTCTCCTGCCCCCATGCTGCCGTGATGTCCGACCACTGCGACGCATACACAGCCCTGTCGCCCGCATCGTTGCGCTCTGAAGTTGCGGAAGTTCTCCAGGCTATAGCAGACGGTACGACCGGCCGCAGCCCGTTTTCTCATGTTCATCAGTGCTCAGCGTCGCATCCCAGCGTCCGCCTCGACGATCATTGCGGCCACGGCCGGAACGGAGCTCGTCCAACTGCTTATTGACGACATCGTGTCGTCGTCCGACACGTCCACGAGAAGTCGGCTTAGCCGCGAAGGTGCGTATCAATCTGTAGAGAGCACAAGGCCCCCTCTCAACAGTCCAATCGTAGACGGATTACTCGCACTTCAGGCCCTCAGGACTCTCGGTAGCAAGTCTACGGGTGCGAAAGTCATTGGTACGGCCGCTAACTTCACCAAGCTTCTGTCTATCTACGCGGCGTATGAGGGCACTCCGGAAGCTTCGGGCACCACGCTGCGATGCCTGGCCAACACGCTCCTCCAGGTTGAATCGGCGCGAGTGACATTCGTAGAGGAGCCTGTTGCAGGGGGTCATTGGGCTGTGGAGATTCTAAAGGTGAGTATCTTTTCTGTTCAATGATGTGAATACATGTTGAGTCGTCTTGTTCCTCCGGTGGTTGGTAGAAAAGCGAGTCTCTGGATCTCATCTTCTTCGCTGCTCGCGTGCTCCTCTACGCAATCGTCAGCGATCCGGCAGACAACCGAGCCGCAGCGGATCGCTTCGTTGCGTCAGCTATCGAAAGAGAAGAAGACCCTCCAACTGTCGTCGACATCCTCAGCCAGAAGCTAGATGTCGCTTCCGCTGCTGTGCTCTCAGGTGCTCAGTTCGGACGCGAGGCCTTGGTCGACTTGCTCAAGGTCATTGGTCTTGTCATTGTTTCATATACCACAGTATGCGCCTCTTTTCTCCGCTCGTTAGTGTTTCTCAACGCGCATTCCTCCAGACCGCGGGCGAGACGCCGCAGGATTCGGATCCTGCATGGAATGAACGCTTGGATGGGTAAGTCCTTCTCCTGCCTTCACTCACAATCCCATGATGCAAATCATTTGCAGCCTTCTTCCTGCCTTAATCCGGGCCTTCCACTCCATACCACCTTCTACGACACCACTGCCCTACACCTCCCCATTGACAAACGCGGTCGTCGCTCTCGACGCCGTCCCGATCTCGCCCTCCCTGAAGCCAATCTGGTTCCCCACCGAGGGGTCGCACGGCGACATGCTTCTGCGCGCGTACGACGTCCTCGACGCGACGCTCGCGCGGTACATGCCCGGGCGCGTCGAGGCGGACGACCCGGTCGTCGAGGAGCAGTGCAAGGAGGTCGGCGAGCCGCTGAACACGTTCGCGACGCCCCTGGTGCTGCTCATCTGCAAGCTGTGCGCCGCCGACGAGCACTCGCGCCGCCGGATGCGCGAGTGGCTCCTCCCGGACGACCTCGACCGCTCGACGCACCTCGAGATCCGGGCGGACCTGCTCGGGCGGCTGCTGCGGCTGCTCGTGAGCATGACGCACTCGCTCCTGAAGCAGAGCGTCGGGGAGATGCTCTTCGCGATCTGCGAGTTTGATGGTGCGCGTTGCCCAGTCACTTCCTTGGGCTTCCGGGGGCGCTGACGAGTGTGCAGGACGCGTGCTCGCTAGCGCGGTGGGGTACGGCAACGTCGCCGGCTTCCTCTTCCACAAGGGCATCAGCAACACCGGGGCGCAGACCCCGACGGGGGTCGACGTGCGCCCGGCACGGCAGACGACGCCGGACGGGGTGCCCATTGACCCCGTCACGGGCGTCGCCCGAGATCAGGGCCCGCCGGTGGACCTGACGGAGGAGGAGCGCGAGCGCGAGGCGGAGAAGCTGTTCGTCTTGTTCCATCGGCTCGAGCAGACGGGGGCGATCGCACCGGAACATAACCCGGTGCGGATGTTTCGGGAAGAGAACCATGATACCTGAGGTGAAATGTAGCGGGTTTGGGGTCGTGCAGTGGAGGCAGCGGCTGTATGAGGTACTCGAACGATGCTTTTGCTCCTGGGATCAGGCTTGTCAAAAATAGGCCCGTGCGCGCGGACCTGCAGTGGGACCCCGTGGGGAATGGCGTGATATAAAGCTGGACACAAGCCTGTTCTCTCACAGCACGTCGACGCTTTCTCTCTCCCTCCTAGCTCACCTTTTGTGCAAGAAGAGACATGTCGGGCCCTATGTGCGATAGCTGCTTCACCGGTAGGCTGCAGTCACGACATGACGTCATTTGGGCTGATCCTCGTTCCTTCCCAGGTGTCCGCCACGAGGGTGAACCGGAAGGTTCGTAGTATTGTTAACCTGTCTGGATGCCTCTAAGGCTGTCCTCTTTGTGAAACGACTACGATTCTAATCGATCTCCCGTACAGGCAAGATCGAGCAGATCGCCGGCATCGAGTGTTATGTCGCCACGCCCTCGGGCGAATACGACAAGGCGAAAGTCGTGCTCTTCCTCACCGATGTCTTCGGGATCCCGCTCATTAACAACAAGGTCTTTCTTTCTCGTCCCCGTCGGTGCGTTCCCCCGCTCACTCGATGTACCTCTCTGTCTGCAGCTCCTTGCCGATGACTTCGCGCGCAACGGCTACCGCACCGTCATGCCCGACCTCTTCCAGGGCGAGCCCCTCCCGAGAACCTCATGTCCCTTCCGCCCGGCTCCTTCGATCGCGAAGGCTGGATGACCCGCCACGGTCCCGAGAGTTGGCACCCGGTCGTCGATGGTGTCGTCGCCGCACTCAAAGCCGAGGGCATCTCCTGGATCGGCACGACCGGCTACTGCTTTGGCGCCCCGCCCGCGTGGCGTCTCGCGCTCAGCGGCGACGCGAAAGTAACTGTTGTGTCCCACCCGTCTCGTCTGCGTGTTCCGGAGGACCTCGAGGTGATATCCGCCGCGTCCACACCTAAGGTGGAGAACATACTGACGGGGTTTCTGGTGGTAGGAGTACGCGCAGAAGGCGAAGGCGCCGCTGTTGATCAACAGCTGCGAGGAGGACAAGGCCTTTCCGGCCGAGGCGCAGGCGAAGGGGGACGATATACTCGGGGGCGGCAAGTTTGCGCCCGGCTACGAGCGCACGTACTGGCCGGGATGTTCGCATGGCTTCGCGGTTCGCGGTGATATGGTCCGTGTCTAGAGTTTCAAGCTTGTTCTGCTTTCTAACGCCCCGGATCCAGAGCAACCCTCAGGTCAAGGCCGGGAAGGAAGGCTCGTTTGAAGCGACTGTGAAGTTCTTCAACCGGTATAAGAGCCTTTGAGCGCGCCTTCGAGAAACTGTCATGTTTGATATCATACGAGTACGAATGGCATTTACTGCTCTGCGACAAGCAGGATTCTTGATGATCGCAGAGACGGGCAAGAAAAACAAAAACATAAAAGGGCTGGCAATATTCGTGGGAGCATCACAACCCCAGTCAGATTTCCTAGGAATCCTTCGCTGCCGCGACGGCAAGCTCGAGTAGGTCTCGAGAAGTCGGTCAGGTGCGTCTTCGTGCTCCAGACCGAAAATCACCTGAACTGGGTACCACTGTATGGTTGAACCCTTCAGGCGGACACAGCCCCGCTTTGCGTCTTCACTGCGCCATCACACCATTCCGCAGGTCGCTGAACATTTCCATCTGATTCCAATCGTGTTATTGCTTTCTGTTTGACCCGTTTTGATGTGGTGTATACTGCGGATAATGCTCAGTGGCATACGCCTTGAATTTCAGAGCGCCTAGACGTTAAGCGCCAAGATATAGTACGGAACGTCACCAGTCATCTGCACGTCTCCGATCTCACAGACCTCGTTTCTACAGCAGTTGTATCTGGCTACACAACAGTATCATAGCACCATTTTTCTATAATTCTCAACCTCGCTCGAGTGCTGTATAGTTCATGAATCCAACCACTTGCTCTGCTCATGTACAAACTGTGATCCCTCTAAAGGGTTCTAATGAGTGAGATAGCTACACGGTCGAGGCTGCCGTTTCGACGCCCCTCGCTACGCGCGTTTCGTGACCGATCGGCTCTGCGCCTGTCAACGATCGACCTGACCGCGGGCGCTGGCCAGTGGGATCCTTAGAAGACACAACTTCGCAGTAGGAAACCAGACACAGGCAGATTTCGACGGAATTTAGCCGACTTTGATCATGCCATTGCCAAGAGAGTCGTGGTTTACGGCTGCAATAAGCGTCGACAATGTTTGTCTTTGTTTGTATGCCTGTTCTCGCCCTACAACATGAAATGCTCGCTGCGCTCGCAACGAGGACCGAGCTCAGCTCTCCCTCTCCTCCTCGCTCGCCATGATCGGGACCTCCTTCCCGGAATACGTCTTCATCCGCCTCGCCATCCTCTCCCTCCGCTCCATCGCCCCCCTCAGCTTCCTCTACCTCGGAGCCAGCGCGTACTACAGAAAGCCTGCATGGTCCAACGCCTTCGGATGGGCTCTCGGAGCATACGCTTGCGTTGAGGCCGGGTTCTATCTCTTTGTGTTCTTGCCCAGGAAAAGACTGGTACAGAAGGTAAGTTCATCTTTGCGGATCACATGGACATTGCGGGATGCCGAACAATGACGTCGTTGGCTGGATGTCGCGAGGTCGTGTGCGATAATCCGTAAGTACACGCCGAAGCTAATGCCCCCTCCGTATACAGGCCGCTGCACACCCTCCATTACCTCTGCGCGAAGAGCGCGAGGCTCTGTTTGAGCGGTGCTTTGCGAGTATGCGTAATGCGGAGGTGACCGCGGGCTGGTTCCCGCAGGGTACGCTCGACACCCTCAAGCGGGACAATCTCATCGAATGGCTGCTCTGGGCCTTCTTTGGCGCACCGCAAATCGGGATGCAGGATGAGTGGGAGGAAGAAATAGACGGATATGTGCAGAAGTTGGAGGACAAGTTTGGCTTCAAGCTGGAGCATGGTTGGAATGAGAAAGCCAAGTGTCTCAAGCTCACCTTGGACCCCGTGGATGCCATCCACCGTCCGCTACTGTGGTACCTTGTGAGTGAACCTTTCGTGCAAGTAATGCGTGGCGGTCTTCTTATGTTCTTCAGATAATCGGCCTCGTAGACAACTATACCGGTGCCGTGCTGACATTTAGTGGCCTCCGTCACTACAACCCTCGCAAGTGGACGACCTACTTCCCGCTTCGTTCCTTCACCCTTTTCTCCAAGAGATCGGCTCACCCCGACATGGTATATTGGTATCGCCCTCACCGCTCCGCCACGAAAGATCCCATCCTCTTCATACACGGCATCGGGGTATGCTTTCATCGAGATCACATTCGCACGTTACACTCACAACCTCATAGATCGGTCTATGGCCCTATATCCCATTCTTACGCGACTTACTTGCTTCGGATCCTGATGTCGGCATCATTGCCATCGAGACCCTCGCCATCAGTTCTCGCATTTCTCCACCTCCGCTCACGCACACCGAGGTGCTTTCCGCCATCCGCTCCGTCCTTGATGCGCACGACTTCAAGCGCGTAGTCGTCGCCGGGCACTCTTACGGCACCGTCATCGCCGCATGGATGTTGCGCGACCCCATGATATCCCCCCGCGTCTCCGCCTGGCTCCTCGCGGACCCGATCCCCTTCCTCCTGCACTGCCCAGCGATCGCGTACAACTTCGTCTACCGCCAGCCGCGGCGGGCGAACGAGTGGCTGCTGTGGTACTTCTCGAGCCGCGACCTCGACATCGCCCGCGCCCTCGCACGCCACTTCTTCTGGGCGGAGAACGTCTTGTGGAAGGAGGAGCTGGAGGGGCGGCGCGTCGCAGTGTCGTTGAGCGGGCGGGACCAGATCGTGGATGCACCGGAGGTGTGGCAATACCTGACAGGGGAGCTAGAAGGGCCGAGTGAGCTGCGTTGGAAGGACAAGGACCTTGAGGTGCTGTACTTTGATGGCCTTGACCATGCGGAGGTGTTCGACACGAAGAGGGACAGGCGGATCGTCCTGGGCGTCCTGACCGACTTTTTATGACCTCAGTGACCTCTCCTACTATTTATACCATGTACTTATGATCTAGAGACTGTGTACGTTCTTGGTGCTTTGACGATGAACACGTATATGATTGCTGCGCACGTCCCGCAGAGCAAGAGTACGAAACGCATCGACCTTGTGCTCCCTTCGAAGTCATTCGCGCCTCCTCATCCAACTCGGCACTGGCCAGTCAGCTCCTTGCCCACCTCTACATCTGCCTGCCCTCCGACACGGTCGATCACTTCCTCTCCTGTGAATACTCCTGCATACTTTTACGAGCGCAGGACCTACTAGACGAATTGTGACGGCGGTTTCCTCGGGGAGGAGCATGTTGCTCGGGAGCTGCTCGCCGGCACTAGCAGGCCTACTCAAGGTTGCACACTCGTCGGCCTTCCTATTGCACCACACCCTACTCTAGAGTTGCAAACACTCACGCCGTGTCGTCTGTGCTTCCCTGACCCACGCGTCCCTTCTAGTGGAGGGCCGATTTGTTCTCCTCCAGATCCCCTTACGCGCCTGACCCCCATGACTCGTAGATTACCTGATCGCCTCCCACAGGACTCGGCTCTCGAGGGCGTTGGATGAGAAACAAGCACACTGCGCACGCGGAGTGAAGGCGGGCAGGACGAGGGCATGAATGTATGAACGGCTTTTTCATTGATAGTAAATACGCGAATGGTACAAGCTGCGGGATGTATCTTCCGTGACAAACCTCCATACCGTACATAGAATGGCATCGAAGTAATAAAGGAAGGGAAAATCGTTGCTCTAGCACCAAGAAGCCACTTCAGGAGCTGCAGTGGAAAATCGCCGCTGCGCCTGTACACAAATGGTGCGGAAGGGGGGGTGACGGAGGACGTACTGTGAAACGGCATAACCAGTCCCAATGGCACACACACAACACGAGAAACAGACCGTCAGGTCACGATGAGAGAGTAAGAGGATGGATTAGACGGGAGATGGTGGGAGAGAAAAAACACACGATAGCCGAGGGCAAGACGCCGAGGTTGTAGGAGGCGGGGTTCGAAAGCGTGTCAACTCCGCAACGCGTCGACTCCGAAACGCGTCGCGTGCCCAGCATCCGCTGGACCCGTGCATACATCCACTCCCTCTTCCTAACCTCCTCCCACTAAAATGGCTCTTATGTACGGCAAGGAGAAGGATGCAGAGCACGAGATAGGCCAGTGCCATTTCCCCCTTCCGTCGTGCGCAGTGAAGCTGACGAGCCGTCCCACTCCTAGACAACTCCTCACACCCCGGCTTCTGCTCCTGGTTCGCGAAGCTGCCCTCCAAGTCGCCCGAGACGGGCACGGTCCGGCTCTTTTTTCGCACCGAGTACTACTCCGCACATGGGCCGGACGCGCTCTTTGTCGCCCAGCACGTCTTTCGCACGAACTCGGTCATCAAATACCTCGGCGGCGGAGGGCCAGGCAAGGGCCTGCCGAGCGTGACGCTAAACGAGACCCTCGCGAAAGGCTTCCTCCGCGAGGCGTTGACAAGCAAGCAGCTTAAAGTTGAAATATGGAAGCCGAAGCCGGGCCAGGGGAAGAAGGCGGTTGAGTTCGTCCTGGACAAAGAGGTACGTCGCAGATGGTGTGGTCGGTCTAGCGCGCTGAGCACCGAGCGTGTGTAGGCGTCCCCGGGGAACCTGTCCGCTGTAGAGGACATGCTGTTCGTGAACACGGACATCGTGTCTGCGCCGATCGTGATGGCTATCAAGGTTGCGAGCTCGCCGGCGGCACAGGGTAGTGCGACGAAGACAAAGGCGATTGGGGTGGCGTACGTTGACAGCAGCACACGCGAACTCGGGGTTGCGGACTTTGTCGACAACGATATCTTCTCGAACACCGAGGTGAGTTTTGTTGGCATGTACGGGGAGCATCCATTGACTGAATGACGTACCTCTGCAGACGCTTATAATCCAGCTTTCCGTGAAAGAGGCGATTGTTCAAACGGGCACGGCATCGGGGACGACGGAGCGCGACTTTGACTTGAAGAAGCTGAAGGAAGTGCTCGACCGCTGTGGGGTAGTCGTCACCGAAAGGAAGCCCAGTACGTTGCGTTCCGTGACACCTCAGCGGTTCACCTCTAACTCATATTTCAGGCGAGTTCTCCACGAAAAGTATCAGCGAAGACGTCGTCCGCCTTCTGAATGCAAGCTCAATGCCGTCGTCCTCGACCGACCCCGCAGCCTCGATCTGTGAGTCGGCCCAATATGAAACATCGACTTCGTGCAAGCACTAACCTTCTTGTATCAATAGCTGAACTGTCGCTGCCTTCAGCTCCCGCTGCCTTGGCTGCGTTAGTGATGTACCTTTCGCTCATGACTGACCCGTCGAACCACGGCGCCTGGAGCATACGAACCCACGACCTGTCCCAATATATGCGCCTCGACGCCAGCGCTCTTCGTGCGCTCAACCTAACGGAAGCTCCGGGAAATATCGTAAGCCTTCCTCATGGAAAGGTCAACGAGATGCTTACAGCACCTCTTTGCAGGGGTCAAACAAAAACACTACGTTGTTCGGGCTGCTCAACAAATGCAAGACAGCCCAGGGGTCCAGGCTGCTTGGAAGCTGGTTGAAACAGCCACTGGTCAACCGTCATGAGATTCGTGAGTGGACTGATAAGACGAACGGTTGGGCCGGCTTGCCTGACGCGCATGCAGTCAAGCGCCAGCGTTTGGTGGAAACCTTCTTCGAGGATGCCAACACTCGCAGGACCATTCAAGACGAGTATCTGAAGTACATGCCAGACATGCATCGGATCAGCAAACGGTTTCAAAAGTCAATCGCCTCGCTCGAGGATGTGGTTCGAGTGTACCAAGCGGTTCTGAAGGTATGACATGGAGCCCCGTCTTGTTCACACTGCTCAATGTCTCGTAGCTCGAAGGTCTCATCAAGGCCTTGGACGAAATTGAGGCATCTTCAGAAGAACAGAAGACTCTGTTGCAAGAGACGTACCTTGCGCAGTTTCGGGTCAGTCAACTCTGCCGTACTGCAGTGAGGTGTCAATGCTGACTTCACGACCACAGGAGTACGAAGGATCGCTTTCAAAATACTCGGAAATGGTCCAGCAAACGCTGGACCTCGACGAGCTCGAGAATCACAACTTCGTGATCAAGCCTGACTATGACGAGCGTCTGCAAGCACTGGCGGACCGGCTTTCCAACATTCGCGACGGCCTCGACGCCGAGCACCGCAAGGCTGGCAAGCTCTTGAGTCTCGACCTCGATAAAAAGCTGCATCTGGAGAACTCGCAGCAATACGGATATTGCTTCCGTGTGTCGAAGGGTGTGAGTACGGGTGGTGGGCTTGCTGGCGGTAGCTGATAGCCGTGCTCTTTTGCAGGATTCGCGAGCGGTCACCAGCGACAAGAACAAATGGCGCGAGCTCGGAACCCAGAAGAACGGCACGTACTTCACGACTCCAACACTCAAAGACCTGTCGACGGAGTACATCGAAGTCACGGAGCAGTATACCCGCACGCAGAGCGGCCTGGTCAAGGAGGTTGTCAATATCGCTTGTGAGTGCCGGAATTCGCATCGAATGGCAGTGGTTGACATGGTTCTGCAGCGACATACACACCTGTGTTGGAAGCTTGGAATAATGTAATTGCCCACCTCGACGTTATCGTGAGCTTCGCGCATGTCGCAGTGAACGCGCCGGAGACCTACGTGAAGCCTGAGATCCTAGAGAAGGGTTCGGGGAGCTTGGTTTTGCAGGAGGCCCGACACCCATGCTTAGAGGTGCAGGACGACGTGAGCTTCATCCCGAATGACGTCGAGATGATCAAAGGCATGTTTCGAGGTCCCTCTTATGAGTTTTCACTGATCGCCTGTCGGATAGATTCAAGCGAGTTCCAGATTATCAGTATGCATGCTTATGTGACCACCGAAGCTTATCTGCTCAATGTCTCTCTCCAGCTGGCCCGAACATGGGAGGAAAGAGCACCTACATCCGTCAAGTTGGGGTTATCGCGCTCATGGCACAGACCGGGAGCTTCGTCCCATGCGCTTTGGCCCGCATCCCCATCTTCGATTCGATCTTGTGCCGTGTCGGCGCAGGTGACAGCCAGCTGAAGGGTATCTCGACGTTCATGGCCGAGATGCTCGAAACGGCCACCATCCTCCGTGTGCGTCCTCAAGCAATTTTGTGCGTCAGTTGTTGGCTGATCCCTTGCACATACAGTCGGCTTCCAAGGATTCCCTCATCATCATCGATGAACTCGGAAGAGGTTCGTGCCGGTCCCTTGGCCGATCGAGCTCTTGCTCACTCCTTGCCTTCAAGGGACTTCAACGTATGATGGCTTCGGGTTGGCTTGGGCTATCTCTGAGTGCGTCCATCACATTGTGGTAGCCACGCGTGGTCATGCTGACGTCACTTCGAATAAGGCACATCGCATCGGAAATCCATGCGTTCTGCATGTTTGCGACCCATTTTCACGAACTAACCGCGCTGGACCAGCAGATCAAGCATGTCAAGAACCTCCACGTCGTAGCACATGTTTCCAATGCCGAGGACAGGGGACAGGACCGCGACATCACCCTACTGTACAAGGTCGAGCCCGGCGTCTGTGACCAGAGTTTCGGCATTCATGTGGCGGAGCTCGCCAACTTCCCGGAGAGCGTCGTGAAGGTGCGCGCACCGCCCTCTACCGCATTCTCTTGAAGTAAACGTTGACCGTATCCGCACAGCTTGCAAGAAAGAAAGCAGAAGCCCTCGAAGATTTCGCTCGTGACAAATCTGAGCCTGAGCTTCCTGACGACGTGGTCGAAGAAGGCGCGAAGATCATCGAAGACATGCTGCGTTTGTGGGCTTCTTCAGGCGGCCACGACGGTGAAGACGTCGTGATGGAGGACGAGGACGCATCTCCCGAAGACCAACTGGCCGAACTTAGACGATGCGTGGAGCAGTTCCGTCCGAGGATCGAAAGCAACGCGTGGGCGCAGGGCATTATCGCGGCCCTATAGAGCTCTGTTGCGGAACACACTAGACTATGACATGCTTTGTTGCCAGCTCGCTATCGTACGTACTCGCGTTTTCCATCTGCTATCAAATTTCTGCTCCTTCCAATCTTCTATGCCTCGAGTTCGACACAAGCCACCTCGAGGCCAACACGAGGTGCCTCCTGGTGACACTCGCCACCAAGATTACACGCTAGCGCGTCAAGAACCTCCTCCCACCCTTTCCGGTATCACCGCGCCGTCCTGTCCGGCCGCTGTGGACGGCTTGCCTCCCTCGGTGCCAAGATCACCCTCCGGTCCGCGCGCTCTGTCCTCGATCAAGACTGGGCCCCGTCATTGCCACTCAGAAGTCTGTCGTAACGTCCTTTGTGAGCTCCCCCGCCGCCATGGTCGCTCCACTAGCCCGTCCTGTCGAAGATGAACAAAGCTAAGTCGTGCATCTACCTCGCCGCAGGAGGCCTCTGCATCGCCGGAGTGCGACATGCGGTCTGCAAGATACTGTTAAGAGGGCGGGTTTGGGGGGAGGGAGCGTCGGTTGATCGCTCCCCATCCCCATCCTCCCCTGCCGCCTTCTCCTCCCCTCTCAATCCCCGTGACTCATTGTACATATCTCCCATTCGACGATCCACATCGGACCCAAACCCTTAACCCCCGCGTCGTCCCGATGTCCCCTCGGGCCGCTGAAGCCGTCACCCGGCTTTCGCTCGGTGGCCCAGCCACCGTGAGTGCCCTTCCCCTTCACTTAAGTTCTGGAATCGCTCACAATCCCACTCAAGCAGAACAGGATGAGCTTCGGCTCAATATACGCCACGGCTCCAAACACTCCGAACACGGTCCGTTTTCCCGCTCCTCCCCCGTCCCAAGGAATCGCGCCTACGGCACAAGGTGAGATACTACAGCAGGTTTCATCGCTCTCTATGCTGATGCTTGTTGGTCCCCAAGTCGCCCAGACCACCAAACTTCAGGTCGGCGCCCCGGCAAGAGGACTTCCATGGGTTTTCAGGTCATGGCTCGTCATTCTGGTAGCGCTTGCCCTGTTCGGCTGCGCGACGGCTCTGGAAATTTTGTTCTGGATCCCCACATTCAGGTCAGGTGAGCCGTAACTTTCCTGTGTATTGTTGGAATCGCGACCGATGATATATCCCTTTCAGGCTGGCCGGTTTTGGAGGAGAAGGAGTCTGTAGTGCTCTTCATTGAGCGATCGCTGGAGTCCTTCGCACCTCCAGCGGTTTGCGCACTACTCTCGCTATACTTCGGCTCTCTATTGACCGAAGTGCGGACGCTGCAGGTATGTTTTGGCAAATTCCTGCTTGAACAGGCGATCTCATGTGCACGCAGCCCCTGGTCAACCTCATCGGAGAAGGACGGCCCACTCATCGTACGGTTCGCCTCACCTACGCCGACAAGTCGTGGTTCACTGTCCCGTTGTTTGCTTGGGGAAACGGCGACACGGTGGTATGGCTGGCGTGGACACTCTCCCTTGTATCAATGCTCTTACAACCTTTCGTGGGAGCCCTGTACTCAGTGCATAGCGTCTGGCTGGTATCTGGAGGTGAGTCAATGGCTGTCTTGAATGGGCCAGCCCGAGTCACTACTGACTTGATCCTCAGACCATATGGTCATGGGTTTTTCGCAAGTCGGCCTCAATCCCTCGGTCAACTTCATGGACATGATCTGTGAGTCAAGATATACTACAGTTCTTCACCGGCTGTGCTGACGATCCGATTCACAGCCTTCCAGGGTGCATCGGGGTTCGCTGCTGCCACGGTGCTTTACGATGGTATTGGCGTCCCGCCTTTCGTTGACTCGCACGGATACACTGTGGAGGCTTTCGAGGTGTGTGCAGCCCACGTCTCATATTAGCCCGATGTTTACCTTGTGCGTTGCCCTAGCTGCCTCATCTCGACACACTCAACAGCACTGTGCTAGCCGAGGTGGGTGCCATCCGGTACCAGGCTTCTTGCGAAAGTCCTATCTCGGTAAGTATTCAATGTGAGGCCGACCTTTCAGTCTACTGACTGGTCGCTTTAGCTGGAAATTTTCCTTGATGGCGGACTGTACATTAACACCACCGCCATTTTCGGTGACTGCCATGTCCCCCTGAAGGTCGCACACAACGGGTCCGACGTTTTTGGTAGGCCGTTTTTTCCCTGCTTCGTCCCGAAGCTGATCGCCGTTGCAGGAGTCACTGCTTTACCTGACGTAGAGGAATGTCAGACCTTCGCCTCTCAGCCCCTCCAGTATCGCCCAGTGCTCTTTTACTTCCTTTCCGACGCCGACAAGTCGCTCGTGATGTGTACGCCCTCCCTGGCGGCGGCGACTGTCTCGATCCAGCTGGACGCTCAATCAAATGTGACGTCAGTCTTGTCAGCTACGGACATCACTCTACCCTCCGACATGGCCCGCAACATTTACAATGGCCTCTTCTTCAACGAAGACGATCTCGAAAGTGATGCTCTCGCACGGCTATCCGGCATACAGCAACAGATCCCCAGCGCGATCCTGCAGCTGGCGAGACTACGATATGATGGCCTCCCTTCGACCGATAGCCTAACGAACGCGACCACCACCATTTACGTGAGTTCATCGTTCTCGAATGCGGACAACCCCTGATTGCTGGTGCAGAACACATATCTCAGCCTGGTTGCTAAATCGGTGTATATGGTCAGTCCTTCGGAGCCCCTCAAGATCACCGTCCGGGTCGGCTCGATGTCACTCCTGAATATGTTTTCGTAAGCCTCAGATGTTGTTCGGTCGCTACGTCTCTCCTCACTTCCTTTCAGGCCGCTCATCACCCATCTTTTCGTCGTCACTCTCGTTGTCCTGTTCATCGGCACCGTCATCCTTCACCACATACACCGCTCCGCTCGCGGTGCTCTCTCGCCTCCCCCCGGTTGGGGCTCGCTCGCTGGTTCGCTACACCTCCTGGCGGAACCGGAGGTGCGCGCGATGCTCGACGAGGCATACCACGAGGTCGGGAAGGGACAAGACGGCTCTAAGGCGGACAGTCTCGTCATGAGCCGGTGGGCCCTGGACGACGACACCGGGCGTGTCGTTGTTATCCAAGCCCCGCGTGCGTACACGCCGCCACCGTCGCGCCGACCGCGTCTCCCTTCCTGGACGAAGTTCAGTTGGGGAGATAGGAGCCGGAAAGCGTCGGACGCCACCCTCGTTTGATATTCGTTCTCTTCGTTCACGTTTTCCCCGGTCTTTCACGCGTCGTTTTGTGTTTATCATCGTTGTGTCTTTTCACATACTATTGTATCGGTAATCTGTTCTCTCTGCACTCACCACGGTCTTGGCCAGGCTCGGCCACTTGTTGTAGTAATCATTCATGTACTCGTCGCTATCGTCGCTATCGAATTGCTTTCACGCCAGTCCCTTGTACCTGATACTGCTTCTTGTGTGTCTAGATCAAGGCCAACCGGCCTAAGCTCAAGTGATGGTGCGCGGACCGTAATTTTTGCGCTAACGCCACCGTCGGGTCAGAAGAATGTCCGTGCCACTGGGCTGCTTGAGAGCCGGTGTGGCCGCTGCTTGGTCCACAGGACTCCTTCGGTGACACTCCTACCACTCACCACACCTGCCATTTGCCCGATGGCTTGAAGTGGGACAAAGAGGCGGCCCCTCAGAGACGGGTGGCCCATGGTTCCAGAAAGGTTGTAGATATGTATAAAAGGCCTCGAGACCTGTGTGTCCTCGTCCTCATCCCTCCGATAACCTGACTCCCCAATCCCACTCCCTCAATATCCTTCGCCACCTACCATGGGTAAACACCCGCCTCTGCGCTGTCCTCGCTCTCTGACAGACAAACTACTCAATGAGCTTCGACTTACGCCACGGCTCCAAATACTCCGAACACGGTCCGTTTTCCCGCTCCTCCCCCGTCCCAAGGAATCGCGCCTACGGCACAAGGTGAGATACTGTAGCAGGTTGCATCCCTCTCTATGCTGATGCTTGTTGGTCCCCAAGTCGCCCAGAACACCAACCTTGAGGTCGGCGCCCCGGCAAAAGAACTTCCATGGGTTTTCAAGACATGGCTCGTCATTCTGGTAGCGCTTGCCCTGTTCGTCTGCGCGACGGTTCTGGAGGTTTTGTTCTGGATCCCTGAATTCAGGTCAGGTGAGCAGTAATTTTCCTGTGTATTGTTAGAGTCGCGACCGATGACATCCCTTTCAGGCTGGCCGGTTTTGGAGGAGAAGGAGTCTGTAGTGCTCTTCATTGAGCGATCACTGGAGTCCTTCGCACCTCCAGCGGTCTGCGCCTTACTCTCGTTATACTTCGGCTCTCTATTGACCGAAGTACGGACACTGCAGGTATGTTTTGGCGAACTCCCGCATGAATAGGTGATCTCATGTGCACGCAGTCCCTGGTCAACCTCATAGGAGAAGGACGACCAAATCATCGTACGGGGCACCCCACCTCACCCCCTTGCCTGAATCGCCCGGTACGACGGGCAGACCTCCGCTCTTTACTCGGCACCCCTTGCGCTGCATCCGAAGCGACGCGGCTGGTCGCCGTACGGGGATGCTGCGGTACACGCGCGCGGTCGCTCGCGGTACCGCGAGGGACGAGCGGTGGTGATGTCGCTCGAGCGTACACCATGAATCGTCACTCAGGAGAAGCGAAAGCCACTCAGCCTTGAAAGCGAGTACAGCAACTTCCAGAACGCTGGAAGACCGCGACACCGAACTTCAAGCAGACTTCCGTGTGCTCGGAGAGCTCCCCGGCGTCTCGCCTCCACCAAACTCTCCCCGACTCGGGAGACATAGCTCGGGGCTCCGTCTTAACTACAACGATCCCCATGTAAAGTTACCAGGATAGTTGTAGAATCATCATAATTTGGATATTTGGAGTACATAGTTTGAGAGTGACTCTGCAAGAGATTGGAGGCAGAGCAACTTCGAGTGCGAAGCTTTACGGCTTTCGGCACGCAGAAATGGCGCATTTCGCCTGCAACGTCCTCGGACAGGGTCATGAGAACGTGACAGACGAACGACTCGTTGCAGCACAAGGACTAGAATGAAAATGCGGAGGGCAGACGGGGTCGAGTCTCCCGGGTGCGACTCCAGTAATACGAAAGAAACACAAGAGCACGCACGACATTTGTCCAAAAGCTGTATATTCACCCATTACTCTGTAGACCTAACGCAGAAAGCTACGAGACCTTGCCGAACAAGTCGACCTTGGCTGAATCGAGGTCGGTCGGTGGTCGCGCCGGACCGCTTGCATTTCACGCGGGACAACTGAAGGCTTGCAGGAGGTGTGTGGCAGCCGATAGTGGCGCCGGGTGCCGAGCTCGCAGCTGGCGAGTCGGAAAGTGGGGGTGAGTAGTCGATGGATTGAGAGGCAAGTAGAGAAGAGGTGCTCGCGCCGGTTGGCCCGCGCTGCTGCCCCGACTCGCGAAGAAGCGCCGAGTGCGATACTTGACTTGAACGACTGACAGTGACATGAGCCCTTCGAGTTGCAAACCTCTGTTGCCTCCCTGGCCCAGGCTGGCTCCCTCAGACAATCGACTACCTAGGTGAGTGCGCGGTTTTGCTCTGACCTGCGATGCAGATTACGAGGCCTAGCTTGACTGAAAGTGATTGTATTTGGATGCTACAAGTAACAAGTGTAGATAATGCTCTCGAAAGCGTCGAATATACGGTTGCCATTGGATCGCCATCTTTGTCACCCGCTCTCACATCCCTCTCGCCAGCGGGCCGTCAGCAACCAATACATGCCATGCGTGACCTTTTCTGTGGTCGAACACTGCGCCCTCTCGGTACCACTAGAGGCTCAACTGCTCGTTACTACATGACAGGTCTTGGTGGAAGCGTCGGTGCACACGAGGCGAAGCACGAGCTGACGCCACTGTTACCGGACCAAGCGAGATTGAACTGCAAAGCCCTCAAGTGCGCCGGAGCCACTCGCGCTGCTCGAGCCCAGTCCTCTGCTTGGTCCGGCTGCCATCGTGCTACATCCCTGTCGCCGCAGAACAAAGAGACCGCCGATCGACGACCGGCGGCCCACAGAGCTAGAGAGATATAAAAGGCCGCGGTAATCGTCTCCTGCTACTCATCCCTTCGCTCCCCAGTCCTCCCTGACTGGAGCCTTCTGAGTCGCCACCTAACCATGAAAAAACAGCCTTCGCTACACTTGCTTTCCTCTCTGATAGACAAACTACTCACCTCTCTCCTCCGCGACTGGCGTCCTCGGCGTACGAGGCCATGACGGCCAAGGGATGACCGAATGGACGGCAATGCAGCACCCGAGCCCCGGACGAACCCCACTCAGCCCGACTTGCCAGGCGAGGTGGCTGGTCCCATAACCGTCACCATCGTATGGACGACCGCCCTCGCCCTCAGTCGGCCTTCGGCCCCCCGATTCCGCCGCCGCACACCCGGCCCTGCCAGTGTCAGTATTTGCGCATGCACACGCTCTGACGCCGCCCCGGCCCTTCCCCTGCATGGATCCGCGCTCGCCCCGGGGCCACTCTGAGGTGATGGCACCGAAACCGACGCGCACCCTCGGCGGGCCCCCGCCCATGCCTGTCGATCCGCCCGGCCCAAGGCTTCATCCGCGCCCCCGCCCCTCGCCGCCCGCGCACCCCGGCCGTGTTAAAAGACGGAAGCAGTCGCCCAGGTACGGTCTGCAACACTACTCTTCCACCACCGGCAGGTCTCGCTACCCCACACCCCCAGGCAGCACATCGTACGCGGGTCAGGAGCAGGCCACCGGTGCGCTCGCACGGACACAGCGGGTCCAGCTACGCCTACAGCCCCGCACGGTGGAACCGGCACCAACGCCCTCCGCCCGTCCACCGGCCCACGTCCACCGACCCACGCGCACATCCCGCCCCGCCCCGACACCCTCGACGAGCCGAGACCGCACCGGCCACGACGCCAACACCGGATTGACCGAGTGCACAGTCGTGTTCAATGCCGCCTTGCAGGACCGGCGTTGGCTCGTCGTCGCAACCTGCAAAGTGCCTCCGGCCGGTGACCCCCTCACCGTCGCGGACGTCCTGCGCGACATCGGCAAGAAGATGCAGCACAGACCTGCCTGGGCCAGCCACACGGGCCCGACTGTGGTGTGCGCACGCGTATCACGTCCGGCTGGCCAGCGGCCGCAAGGGAGAGTCACTCACCTACGCAAACCGGTTACTTGAGCCGAATCGGACGACCTTGCTCGGATTGCGAGCGGCTGCCTTCATACTGGGGGAATTCGCCGTTGTACCAGGAGACCGCCACTGCGGGCAGCTCTAGGTGCGTCAAAGCCGGACTGCGCTGTGGTCGCGCTCGTTGTCGCGCTCCTCGCTGACGATGCGCCTCCCCCAGGCTAATATCGCTTGGTCCCTTGCAACACGTCTCGTGAGGGATGTACTCTACATCGCTTCACTATCCACGTCATCACCTAATCCACTAGATGGAGAACACGTCCCCCCACACCCTCTGCGCGCGGGCCCGAAAAAAGAGCTTAACAGCGTTCGCTCAGCCTCCGACCGAGCAAAAAGCGTCCCAGGCTCCGCTTTAGCTACTACGAACCCCCATGTAAACTTTCGAGGACAGTAGTATCATTAATGTCACGATTTGTGAGACTTCTGCGACTCGAATGTGACTGCGTGGACGGACGGGGGACAGTAGGCGGGCGGGACCGCGGGCGAAGTCGGGCAGTCCAGCTGTGGCGCGCCCGGGCACAGCGGGGCGCGACGAGGGAAGAAAAGACAAGGACGCACGAAGTCGAGCCATAGCGTGCAGTTAGCATGAGGTCGATGTATAGAGATGTGGAAGTGGACAAGAGGCGGGGGGACATCCCAGGCTGCCATGGCGCTGTCCACGCGCCAAGTACGCAAGAAATCATCGGAACGACCAATTACTATATTGTATACCGTGTGTTCTAATCTGCTGCTACTACTTGTACAAGAGTCTTCTACTACTAGGATGCTATTGCTTTGTGGATACGTAATGCTACTGCTGCTGCGAGGGTCTACGAAAATGTGGTGTGCTCAAGCGTCCAATCCGTGCTCCCCATTCCCACCCTCAACGCGCATATCGCCTTTGCCGGTCCCGGAAGGAGCCCCGGGAACATTGAACGACTCCGCTCCGTCCGGGAAGAACCCGGAGTAGGGGGTAGATGGACTGAGCGACGCCGGGGTTCGCGTCGAGTAAGTGAGGGCCGGTGATACCGCGGGAGAACCCTCGGAGCCCTCGGAGCCCTCGTGCGGGCTCGACGAGGGGGCGGCCATCGTTGGTCGTATCAGCGAGGTGCCACTTGGACCCGTCTTCTGCGCCTTGACCCCGGCACCGGTCGTGGAGGCTACGCGCATGCGCGACACCGTACTGGGCACGTTCACGTTGTTCTTGCTCGAGAATAGAGTCTGGGTATCGGGTAGAGTAGTCTTCATCGCATTAATCGGGTTGGTGTTGCGCGGAGAGATGTTACTGGTGATAACGAATGGACGTGCATGGGTTTGCAGGGGTTGTGGGTAGCGGTGGATGAGCGGAACGCGTTACTGCTGAGGCTGCTGCTAGAATCGTACAAAGGAGTAGTGTTCGTGGTCGAAACCGAAGCGGCATGAGTGCCGAGATACTGCGAGGGTAATGTCGAGGAACGGATGCGGAGACTCTTGTGATCGGCTTCCGGATGTCCCTGAGTCGCCAGTGTGTGGTTGCGCTGATGAGCGAGCGTGTCGTGGACAGAATCGCCCCCAGCACGAGAGAATGGCTGGGCGGAGACTTCAGGGGAGATGGCGAGATGGCTGAAGCTCGCAGTGGCATGGAATTCTTCCTCTGAGACCTGGGGGAGATAGTCGAGTAGCCGGCGTTCGCGAGATGCGTTATTCGTCACACGGTGTCCTGCTATCCCGGTAGCGCGCGTCGAAGAGCCACGGGCCTGAGGTGCCTCCGATTGCAGACCGCGGGTATTTTGCTGGCGATTGTGTGCCTGTAGGATGAGTTGCTCGACCGGAGTGTAGCCATTCTGAGCGCGACCGCGTAAACCTTGTAGACGCAGCAACGCCAACTGCAGCTCGGAGTCGTCGTCAAGCCTATCGGCGGTGTTGTTGACGGAAAGATGCGACTCGAGGCCGACGTTGTGAGGTGCGATGTGGGACGGATGGGCGTTCAGGTTGTCGAGGGAGCCAGGGCTTCCCGCGCTTGACCGCCGAGTGCGGTGCGCGGGAACGAGTTCGGTACACCCAAGGGAGAGGCGCCAGCAAGCTGTCCTCCGTAATCCATCCCGAAGGAGAAGCCGGTGATGGGGCTAGAGAGGTTGGAGAGACTGCCGAGGTTGATGTCGGTCATCGGCGGAGATGGCGTTTGGTATTGAGTCCCCTTCAGGTTCAGCAACGCCGCACGAGCCATAGTAAGACGAGCAGGAGATGAGTCTCCTTCCTGGGTGTGCCTCTCGGTTCGCTGAGAAACAGAACCATGGTCAGTGAGATAAATGCGGTGAGTCGATGATGATGGCCACATACCCTGAGCTCGCGCTGCTCAGCAGTGTCTGCGAACCTGACAGATATCCTGCAGCCGGCATCGTTCCAACCTCGGACAAGACGACCATGCAGCCTTTCGATGATGTCCTCTGCGGCATCGCGAGATTCAAGCCTATATACAACAGCAATCAGTCGAAGTACTCGAAGGGCCGATAAAGGATGTGTACCTGACGAACGCGATGATCCTAGGAGGACTGCTTAGTCGCGTGTGGAAGAATCGAGAGCTCATGATGCGGAATGGGGTCACAAGAGCACGAAGCGTATCTTCGGTGATGCTCAGAGGTAACCCTTCCATGTAGAGGTTCGTAGAGGCTACATCGCCGAGCTGTTCCATTTTCGCCTTGAAGGTGTCCGCAGGCCCGGCGCTCACAAGAGCCGATGGCACAGAAGCGTAAGGGGTCCCAGGGATTTTGTGGACTTGCTGCATACGATCCGTTCAGTATATGCGTACATTCGTGAAGCTTGGAAGCCAGAAGTGCGCTTACCTTCGAGAATGAAGGATGGAGGTTGCGATATGTGCGGAGTTCCTCGATGCACTTCTCTGCCGCGGCAAGAGTCTCAAACCTGAGTTCTGGTGAGTATATGCCTTCGTTATGAACAACTAACAGGGCACTTACAAGACGAACCCGTATCCCCTACATGGAGCAGGAACAAATCAGTCGTCAGTGCCTTCGCATATAGACGAGACCAAAGATAGCGGGCATGACAGGTAAATATAAGAAACTCACGACGGCTTGTCGCTCACATGCCGAGTGAACGTTCGAACGCTGAGGACGTTGCCGTAAGGACGCGTGATAGCTAACAGGTCTTCCTCCGGGAAGTTGGGCGGAAGTCCATTGATGTACACGTTGGGTGGGCGTGAATCCGCGGAATCATCATCATCGAAGGCGTCCTCCTGGTCAACCTGTGATCTGGAGGCGGCAGGCACGAACGGAGGCGGAAGGGCATCGAGGTAGACCTTGCGCGGAGCTGACTCCTGCGTGGGAGCTGAGCGCCAAACGGCGAACGCGATCAGTCAGATGGCAGAATGAGAGTATGTGAGGCAACATACTGGGACTGTCATATCCATGGTCCGCAGGCATCGCCGGGTTAAGGCTCTGACCAGACGCGAGGGAGGCTTGAGATGCCGCCGGGCTGTCAAGCTCGGGGGCGAGGCAGTGCAGGTCGATGGGTGTGTCGAGAATTCGAGACTGGAACTGGGAGCTAGCGGAGAGAACAGAGGAGAGCGAAAGGTCTGAAGATGCGCCAGGGCTTGCGCTGGAGAGCGGGGGCGAGGGGACCGAGTGCGTGGTACGAGCGGAGGAGTCCGGAGGGGTAGGCGGAGCTTGCGGGGAACGAGAAGGATTGAATTGCGGCGTAGCGGGCGTGTCGCGAGGCGGAGAGCGAGAGAAAGTGGCAGCGAGCGAGGGAGAGCGAGTGGGGGAAAGCTGTAGTTGAGCGGAAGAGTTGGACATTGTGCGGGGACGGAAGGCTTGGACGGGCAAGAAAGAGAGCGATGTCCGGGACGAGCGGTGTGCGGGAAATAGGATGCAGCGGGTAGCTGTACTCAGACGGCGCCGGGCACAGGCGGTCGGGGGCGTGCGGGGGTCGTGAGGCGTTCTGCAAGATCCAGGCTGGGGTTATAGGACGGTGGGCGGGGGGACGGGGCAGCGAGCAGCGGGCGGCGGGGGCGGGGGGACGACGGCATATATACCGGGCAGTGGCAGCGGCGGAGCGAACCGCCCATCAAACCGTGAGCTTCTCTTCGACACCCTGCGCACGTCTCTCGGCCTGCTGCCCACATCGGGCGGCGGCATCGCGCCTTTCGGCGGGGGCAGCGTCGGACGCGGGCGAGGCAGCGATCGCCCGCCGCGTTCTGTTGGGTGTATCCCAGATACGGGCACGCTCTTCGCCCTTCGCGCCACGCCTGTCCCCGTGAAGAGCGCGCACTCGGCACCCTGCGCCCTTCCTCGCCGCGCTGCCGCCCGCGTTAGAGTTCCCGGCCTCCATACACGGCAGCGAGCCCACGCGTCCGCCCCCTCGCTGCTCGCCCAGCCGAAGCCTGCACCGCTAAACGTGGAGGTGAGCGACCGTCTGCGCTGTGCACGTGCAAGTGGATGCGGAGAGGACGAGGGCATGCGGTGCTCACTACACAGGGACGCCGACGCTTTGCTGGCCATCCTCGGTCGACCGCGACGAGGACGTGGACGTGTGAAAGAATGATCGCGGACACCGAGCCACGCTCCTGCCGGCACAGCGCTTGCGACGTAAGCCAGTTGTAGGGTAGACCCTTAATAAAACTACATATATACTTTATTAAATGCGTAACGCCGTGAGCCTGCCTAGCTCAATCGGCTAGAGCGTCAGACTTTTAAGACCCATTGGTCCGAAGGTACATCTGAAGGCTGCGAGTTCGACCCTCGCGGTGGGCTTATATTTTATCGCCTTTGTCACTATACTCATTGCCATCACGACACTTTTTTAACTCCTTACAAGGACATGGGTCATATTCTTCAAATTCAAACTACGACACTCCATCTTCACTCCTCGTCGTCCTCATCCCGCGGCAACGCATGCTCCCCCCGCCCGTACTGCTCCAAGCCCTGTCGCTCTCGCGCCCGATGCGCCTTCCCGTCGTGCCGCGCCTCCTTGCTGCTCATCCCTCCGCCGGGGCGCCCCAGCCCGCGGTGCACGTCCGCGCTCGTCGCGCCCCCAAGCGTGTCCGACGCCCAGGTGCGCTCCGCGAACGGGTCCGAGTCGACGACCGTTCGCGAGTCGGGCGCGGGCGTGAGCGGCTCCTGCGCCTCGTGGAGGTGCCGCGGGGGCGACGGCGCGCGCGGGTGCGCGGCGCGCTCGGCGAGGATCTCGGACGGAAGCGCTGCGTGGAGGAGGGAGGCATGAGGACGCGCTCGGAGGAGGGGAGAAGAGGGTGCGGGCACTCATGTCCGCTCGTGGGCCCTCGGGTGCCGCTTGTGGACGTCTTCTCGCGGGGCGAGGTCTGCTCTTGCGCCCGCGCAGAGTCGGATTGCCGTTGTTGCGGCTCTGCGGTGGGCGGCGTACGGATGTTAGAATCGTCGCCGACGAGCTTGAAGGTCTGGTGGTGGACGCACCTCCGGGGTTGATCGCGATAAAGTGGTGGCCCGACGTCGCCATTTCTGCGCCAGGGATGCGGTATTTGTTCGAGTCGGTCCCGACAAAGTCGTCGTGACGGCCGATAGTCACGTCTTTTCCGGACATCGTGTGAGCTTTGGTGAGTGAGGTAGTAGAAGTTGTGATGAACGGCGTTCCTCAGCCGGATCTCCTGCTATATATCTTGGCCCCGCCAGTTCTTCAACGAACCCAGACCGTGGTCGACAAGATCATTCATGGAGTGCGTTGCATCATGCATACGCCTCGGATGGAGGCCCACGACGTCATCACACCCATAGGATTCCACCTTCCGAATCTGGCGAGCGCGAGCGCGCGGCTCTGCGCAGACTCTTCGTGGACGATGCAATCTCCACCCGCCTGCTGTTCGGAGCGGTACGACCTCGGAGGCTACGAAGCGACGACACAGAAGCTGGGAGCATGCGGTGGCCTCCTTGGGTCCTACATTTCTATAGATCAGTAGCGTAAACTCTAAGCATCGTCTGCCCCAGCGGACGTCCGCAGAACCTTCCGGACGACCCGCCGCGTCGAGCCATCCTCGTCTCTAACCCAGTCCCGCACCAGCGCGTATCCGCCTCTCCGCGGCAGCCACACGCACCACACGTACCAATACGCGACCCCGCACAGAGAGACCAGCCACGCCACGCAGACGTGCGCCTGGCGCAGAAACATCCGTCAGCAAGCCCATCGTCGGCACGGAGATGAACGCGAGAACGCCGCTCACCCAGTACGGCAGGTGCGCGTAAGCCTTGTACCCCTTCGACGGTGGGACGAGCGGCACGGCGACGAGGAAGACGTTCGAGAGGAAGAAGAAGAGCACGACCGGCGTCCACGCGCGGAAGGGCGGGTGCCAGTCGTACGAGGCGCGCAGCGCTTGGAGGCGCTTGGCCACCCAGGCTTCCGGGAGGTGGATGAAGAGCAGTCCCCCAGAGACGAACGTGTTGATGAGCGCGAGGGGGTACGAGGACACTAAAAAGATGATTAATATCTGATCGGCGTCAGCGAGATGCTGAGGAAAGTGACGCACGGCTGAGCATGAAAAGGTAAGCGTCTCCAGGAGGCACGAAAAGAACAAGGGCGCTCGTGATGAACCATTGTTCAAAGAGGCCGGCCATAGGGGCGCCGAATGGTCTGTTGCTCGCGAAGAAGGATGAGAAGGGCAGTACACCTTCTCTACCTAACTCCTGGACGACTGAGTCGTTTTCGTGTTCAGAGGTGTGTATCAAAAGAGAACATGAGTGCAGCTCACCTCGACCATGGGTGAAGAGGACAGCGAGGATGTTCCCCACTGTGGACAACGCGATGACCACGCTCACGATCTGCGACCACACCGCGCGACGATATCAGTCCCTTCAAGCCTTCAATTGGCGAATTCTCGTGAGAAAACGTACCCGCTCGGCGTTCGTGCCCCACAGCCTCCCGAAGTATAGCGCGGCCGCGATCCGCCCGCTCCCGGCGATGTCGGCGCGGTCCACCACGGCGTAGTACGCAACATTGACGAGCATGTACACGACGGTCACGGAGAGCATCGCGAGCGGCGCCGCGCGCTTGATCGTCCGCACCGGGTCGCGCACCTCCGCCAGCGCGTAGTTGGCGTTGGAGTACCCGGTGAAGCACCTGCGGGTTCGGCGCGAGCGCACGCGGCAACCATCCGTCAGCGCGTCGCGTCACGTCGCCATGCACGCGGAAGAAGCTTACCAGATGACGGTGAAGAGTCCGGTGACGAACGCGTTCGCACCGCCCTGCAGGCTTCCCGCCCACATGTTTTCCCACTTCAGGTTGTCTGGAGGCTGTTCCAGAAGCCATGGTTCGACGTGCCATCTTTCAGAGAGCCCCGCATCGTTTACTCACGTTGTCAATGCGGAACCCGGGGACGCCCAGGAGGACCGCGAGACCGCTGAGCGCGATTCCCACGAGAACGAGGAGCTTGAACATGCCCAGCGCGTTCTGCAGCCGCAGCCCCGCGTTCAGCGCGGTGCCGTGGAGCAGCAGAGCGAAGGTGATGCAGGCGACGCCCGCCAGCCGCGCGGTCCTTGGGGACGGCGGTTGGGTGGGGTCGATGGCGTGCAGGGCATCTGAAACGATGAAAGGTTCGAGAGATGGTGACCACCGACTGGAGATGCCTCTTACACTCTCCGAACACGGACACAGAAGCTGCTTGCCACCCCTGCCGCGTACGACATGAGTACGCGACTTGGATGCACATCGATAGAGAGCCACTCACAGTGCAAACCGCATACAGCGCATATATGCATGTGACGAGTAGCTTGGGGCGCCTGTAGATGAACTCCAAGTAGTTCTTCTCGCCCCCGTTGCGTGGCAGTCCCTACGATTCCAAATCACCTCGCTGTCCCAAGTAGCCTGGATCGAGCGGCCCTCACCGTCCCGAGTTCCATGTAGACTGCGGTCCCGCATAACGCCACGGCGGCCCCTAAAAGCCACATGACCAGCGACAGTCCCACACTTCCCGAGGAGCGCAGAATGACACTAGGCGTCGCGAATATCCTACATCAGGCGGCAAAGTGTCTATTAGCCTCAAATATTTCGGGGTTATGGTCGCGAAAGCGCATGTACCCAGTCCCTATGACCCTGTTGAAGATCAACGACGCGGTACTCGTCAAACCTGGCCTCTGCTGTCAGAAATGTTACGTCCCTATCGTCGCAGCCCAAGCGCATGCACCTAGCTGACGCTTCTCGTCCGGCACACCGCCCAGAGCCACTGCAAGCAGTCCGTCAGCACACCTATGAATCTCGACACTTCCCAGAGACGACACGTACGTGTAACTTCATGATCATCCCCACCAGAAGAGTCCACAGCAACCACGTCGACGGAGGCGTACTTGGGCGTGCTCGTCCCGGTGCCAGCTTCTGTGAGGACTTGGCCGAGTAGCGGCTCACGCTCCGTGGCGGATTCACGGCGAGACGAGCCGGCGGTCGGCAGATACGGTCTTCGAGACATGCTCTTGTCGTTCGCCTTGGTTCACTGCGACTGTGGGCAAAGCCGGTCCGATCGGCACGAAGATCCTCCTATGATAGACTAGGCCGGATGTGACCGCGACTCACCTCGACCTACCTCGCTGGCGGCAAATTTACCTTCGGGGGCGGAGAAGCCAAGCAATGTCGCCCGTGCAGAGCCTTACCGCGAGCGTGGGGGAGAAGATGCTGGCACACGGATGTTGAGGATGGCGGGCCGCCGTAGGCCGCCGTTCGTGATCTCGCGCAACGATGGCGAACGCTTGCGGCGCCGGTTCCCTCATTAGGAAGGTTTCGCACCATATATAGACAACACCTCTCTCGAATGCGCTCTGTCCTGCGGTTCGGCGCCCGCGACTGCTCACCCAGCCTACAGGTCTTATGACACGGCGCTGGTGGCACCTGCTGATGTGCATGGGGTCTGTCGTCCCGTCTATGGAGGGATAAAGGCTGATGATCAGACGTAGCGGCGGCCTGGCGGGCGACCTCCGGGCAGTGCGGCGCCGGCACACGACCGTTCTGGTACCCGTGGGACGCGATCCGAAGAACCGACATCGCTCTGCTGTGCGCATTTCACGACTGCGCGTCCGAGGAACTGGGCGCAGCCGGCAGCTGCTGCGTGTGTGCGGGGGACACGACGCGATATGCACAGCCCAGCAACGATCGATAGCAGAACGCCCGATGACGTCGACGACGCTCGTCCACTCGTCACTGAGTCGTGCATTGCGATGGTGAAAATACAAGGATGGTTTTCTTCTGCTGCTTATCTGCCTACTCCGAACCCCGCGAACGCTCAACCCAAAGCTGCCGGTACAAAACGGGGAGCTCAGACGGTGCCGCTCTTCACGATGACGATTTTCGCCTTCGGGGTACCGGATGCGGAGCCGAGGCCCTCGATCTTCTTGACGAGGTCCATGCCCTCAGTGACCTCACCTACGTCCACGTTGAGAACCACATGCGCTGCGAGTCGAGCGGAGAGACGTACCGAAGACGACGTGGGCACCGTCGAGCCAGGAGGTGACGACCGTGGTGATGAAGAACTGCGAGCCGTTGGTGTTCTTGCCGGCGTTGGCCATCGAGAGGATGCCAGGCTTGGTGTGCTTCAGCTGGAAGTTCTCGTCTGGATGGGCCCAATCAGCCCCTCTCCCCCTCCGCTGCGTTCGTGCGCGTGCGCCCACTCACCCGCGAACTTCTCGCCGTAGATTGACTTTCCGCCGGTGCCGTTGCCGCGGGTGAAGTCACCACCCTGGAGCATGAAGTTGGGGATGATGCGGTGGAAGGAGGAGCCCTGGTAGCCGAAACCGTGCGCGCCGGTGGCGAGCTCACGGAAGTTCTTCGCCGTCTTCGGCACGACATCGTCGTACAGCTTGAAGACGATGCGACCCGCGGGCTGGTCGTTGATGGTGATGTCGAACTATGCGTAAATTGCAGGATAAGACGTAACGCCGCGCCAGTGTGAAGGAGTGCGGACGATAGGAGGCCAGCAGGAGAAGCGAGGCAGAAGGTCAGCATCTGCTCGCACGGAGTGGTGTGGAGGGCGCGGGGACAGGGCGGAGCGGGAAGGTACTCACGTAGGCGTTAGACATGGCTGGGGAGGAAGACAGAGGAGGGCGAAAGGTAAAGGAACGGAGAGCAGCTGGGCTCTCTTATGGGTGGGGCTGGAACTTGCCGATCAGAGGGCATCACCAGCAAGATCATCCTCGTCCGATAATCTAACCGCCGTGACAATCGGTCACAATCGGTGACGTATCCTCCGCCGGCCCCGGCGCCCCGCGCTCTCTGCGCCGCTGACGACGACCACTGCAACGTGCGCAACCCTGTGCCCGGCCAGGTCTGCCCTGGACACAACGTGCTGGACAGCGCGCTCGACGCATCCAGGGGGTTTCTCGCCCGAATATGCGCTCGGGTGTTCGCGCCGGGGTGCAGGAATCAGATTCCGCCGTCCTCGCGTCCACCCGCTCTCACCGAGCGACCCGTCACAAGCCTTCGGGATCTTCTCTCCGGCCTCTTAAATTCCTCTTTGCTTCGTCCAATGCGGTCAGGGCAAGAAGGTGTGTCACTCGGGTTCGCGATGACCGTCTAGCTGATCGATCCTGTTCGTTCTCCCAAGGACACGATTCTGGGTGCAGTTGTCGAGTGTCCCTTAAACATTCAGTGCGAACGTGACACCCAGTGAGAACGCCCCCTATCCGGAGCTATCTGGAGCTATATGCAGATATCCCCACCTATCTTGACCGATTGGTCCGACATTTAGCGCCAGAACTCTCTCGATTTTGACGCATTGACATGTAAAAGTGTTCTCACAAAGCACAAGCGTGTCTCCCCGAATTGTAATTTTGGAGTGAGCTGTCGTGCGCGCTCTCTCTCTCTCTCGTCTGTCCGCGGTCCGGGCGGGCGGCTCTCGCGGTCACATGAGCTTGTTCAACGCGTCTCCGCTGGAATGCCTCCCTTGAGACTCGCCGATGCGTGACATGTCGTAGCGGCCCCCGCGCGACGACGTCTGTGATATCCTCACCTTTTGGATGGGTCTGTTTGAGCCGAATGGATGAGGTATGTTCCATTTTCCGCCCATATGTGCTTGATTGTGATAGCTAGTATACTTTCGAGTCACCCGCAGCATTAACGGCACTGCGCACTCGACTTTTCGCGCCTCCGCGAGCTCCTGCGCGAGCTTGACATGGCATGGAGCACGCGCAACCTTTGGCGTCCCCCTCGCTTCCGCCAGCTCACACTCGCAGTTCATTACTGCCACCAAACACGCCGCGCAAGTCCCACAGGCTTTGCTGCGGCGGTCTTGGGGGAACACTTGAAAGGTCGCGCGGACGACAGGCGAGTTTATGTCCTCCCTCAACGGCTATAGAGGCACCCAAATCGAGTACGTGCGCGTGAAGTGTTCTACTTCACCGGCTCATACTACACTGGCTCACATATACGCTCGTTCTCCCCACGCTACTCTCCAGACCCCATTCTCCCAACACTCTGCAGTTTCCCCCGCCTGCTATTGTCGACCCCGGGCCTTTCTACTCCAATGCTCCCGGAATGACCCCTCCGACCCACGCACACGGCAGACATTGATCACGAAGGTGAGCCCATGCTGCCCGATTATCCTGCATACCACTTCCCATAGTAGACGCCTTCCGAACGTGCGCAGAGTCGTCAGTCGGCATTGCAGGCACGTGCTCAGGCAGGAGGGGTGTGTGGCCAACGGCGTCCTCCAGGCAGCCCAAGCGGCACCCATCCACGCCGAGGCGATGTGGCCTGCGACGCAGCCTGACGAGCTGCGTGCGCGCGGAGGCGCTGTCTGTTTCGTGTTCTCCCAGATGGCTAGCGAGCTGTCCCAATGCACTGCCCATGTACGACTGGCGAGTCACCGATATGCGATTCACGTGTTTGTCGGGCTAGACGCACTCGAATTCTAGCATCGTCGCATTGGACGCGCTGCGGCACGAGGGGATGATATGGGAGAGCATGGAGGACGAGACGATTGCCGAGTGCTACACTGAACCACCGCGGTAGCACCGCAGCTTCGAGGCTTCGCGGCTGCCTCGAGGGAGCAACTCTGCGAGGGCACGGGTGGGCCTCGGACGACCCGAGACTTACCCGTGCGGATCTGCATCCCAATCTAGGTAGCACCACCGCCTGTAACTTGCTCAGCCACTGCACCCCGAAACCATTTCCGTCTACCGTGCTCCGATTTGCGGCTATGTATATTGATCTGCGTGCATCTAGGAGCACTATTCATCTCACCTTGCCGAGAACGACCATGCAGCCGAGGTCGTTCCGTGTGTACCTCCCCGTAAGACTGGCGATGCCTCGGTAGCTCTGACATTCCTCGGAGCACGTCAAACTGTATTCACAAGGCTCCAAATAAGTCGGTAGGTTGAGATATCCATTGATTCAGTGCGATACAAATAACAGAGGACTCGCACACAGGAGTCACCCATCTTGGCACACACCTTCCCACACCTCGCATATCTCGCCACCATGGCTTCAGCCTCAGAGCCGCTCCACCCTTGCAACTGCGTCAAGGGCTGCGGCGGCCAGCTCAGGATGCTGACGACATCACAATGGAAATCCCATGCCAAATTCCGTCCCGTCCCAGCGGACTTGTTGGACGGGCCGGAGCCAAGTTCTGCACCTCCAAATTTTACTCGCGGACGCGGCGGCGCGGCGGCGACAGTACGTCCACGCCCCCGAAAGCTTCATACAAGCTCGGCTCGCTCACATTTTTATCGCCCTGACAGTCCAGGAGCCGCGGCAGTGGTGGAAGTTCCCCGGCTATGCCACGCAGTGCGTCAAATCGAGCCCGCAATGCTTCACCAATGGTGAGTAGAGCGCAGTTGGTCGTGACTAGCTGACTCTCCGAGCTCACGTTTGTACATTTGCCAGATTTTCCGGGGCTCTGAGGCTGGGAGTCCGAGTCATCCTACCCACCCGGTTCGCGTCCTTTCGTGCCCCCCACCCGTATAACTATTTATCCATGCAATTACAGCCGCATCAAGCACAACGTTCCATCTCCCAACCGCCGCAGCCTATGCGAAGTTCTCTATCACCTCCGCGGCACGAGTTTGATTCGCCTCCACCATGGTCGCCCTTGCTGCAGCCACGAGCCTCACCCCCTCTGCAACCTCCCCTTCCGCAACCACCCATCCCACGATCTCCTTCTCTTCATCCGCCCGAGCCGCATGTCAACCCAGAGGACGAAGTGGGGGAGCTTATCAACCAAGAGCTCTCCGCTGACCCGTACGACGAGACGGGGGCCACACCAATCCCCACATTGGAGGAGCTCCGCCTTGCGATCGCCTTCCAGGATGCCATCAATCGTCCTGATACTCCACCGGTTCAAACCGTTGTCGATGGCGAAGATGACGACACTCGGGAGGCTGCAAACGAGATGGAGAACCGCCGCCTGAACCCGGTCCGCGGTGTTCCTTCGCTCGATCGATACGATATCGCTTCTCTCAAGATGTACCTCGCCAGGGGTGACGCTTCGCAAGACAATTACACAGACAATCGGGAGGCCATGCTCGAACTTCACCCGGAGGATCGCATTCGCACCTACGCCGGTGTTAAGAAGTTGATTCGATCGGTCACCGGTATGTAATTGTTCGCACATTTGGCAGAGGCACAAGGCTAACCCCGTTCGTTACAGGCATCTACGACATCACGGTCGACATGTGTGTCAACTCGTGCGTGGCATTCACTGGTCCTTGGGAGAATCACACACGCTGTCCGCTCTGTGGAGAAGACCGCTACGATTCCTCTCAGCCTGCACGACGTAGTAAGAAACCTGTTCCCCGCCGCACGTTCAAAACTTTCCCCATCGGTCCCCAGCTCCAGGCGATGTGGGCCTCAGCCCCGTCCGCAAAACTCATGCGCCATCGGGAGAGAGAAACCACACGCATTCTCGAAGGCCTTCACTCCGGCACCCCCGACACCAGTCTCAACGACATCTATCATGGATACGACTATCTGACGGCAGTGCATAACGGCGCATTCACCTTGACGGACCCCCTCCTCATGTTCTCCATCGACGGTGCCCAGCTCTACGAGAACAAGAGCTCAGATACCTGGATATACGTATGGGTACTTCTCGATCTTCCTCCCACTGTCCGCTACCACAAACGCTTCGTCATTCCAGGCGCTGTGATCCCAGGTCCGAACAAACCCAAGAACTTGGACTCGTTTCTGGTCCCCGGGCTGCGGCACCTGGCCGGGCTCCAACGGAACGGCCTCATGATCTGGGATGGTGAGAGGGCAGGCGCCTTCGACTCTCATCCATATCTGTGGCTCGGAACCGCCGACTGCCCAGGTATGGCGTATATCTCGGGTCTCGCCGGTCATAACGCGAAGCGGGCTTGTCGTGTCTTCTGCGGCCAAGATGGACGCCACAACCCCGGTAAACCTACCTACTACCCCGCGATGAAGCCTATCCAAGGCGACATGTCCGATCCGCACGCGCGCGTTTTCATGCACCACGTCGACTACGGCAAGTACCAGGAGAGAGTCACCAAGTACTCAGAAAGCCTCCGCGCTGTTGTGACGTCACCCTCGCTCACGGTGTACGAGGCCCGTCGACTGAACACCGGCATCTCAAAGCCATCGATCCTCTGCGCTCTGCCACGGTTCCCTGGATGTCCCCGAGGCTTCGGTCTCGATCTCATGCACCTTCTTAGCCTCAACGTCACCGCTCTCATCGTCTCCATCCTCCGCGGATCTCTCAAATGCTACGAGCCCGACGACAAGTCACAGTGGCGATTTTCCCCATTCCGGGACGATTCGGTATGGAAGGCTCATGGGAAACTCGTCGGCGCGTCCACGCGATATCTCCCCGGATCCTTCGATCGTCCTCCTCGGGACCCAGCGGAGAAGATTAGCAGCGGCTATAAAGCCTGGGAGTATCTCCTCTACGTCTACGGCCTCCTCCCCGGATTCCTTCGCATCAACTTCCCCGACAGATCCCCTTTCTACCGCCATTTCTGCAAGCTCGTTCTTCCTGCACGCGCCGCTCTTCAACACTCCATTCCCCACGACCAGATCGCCCCCATGCACCAGCGCTTCTCGGAGTATGTGCACGAGTACGAGG